GTTGATCACCCCTAACAGTCTTTTTTTGTATGATATAATGAATTGTACATTGGTGGCACGTTAATGAACTCCTTGCTAAGTTGCTAAGAGCCAGCGCACTGCTTTGTCGCAATTCCTTCCTGCGCAGTTCACACGCTCACTGTAATCTCGACGCGAAGTACGTCGTCACGGCGCTTGCGTTTCAACAGTCGAACTGCAGCAAGTTATAGTCACCCATGCCCAAAGTAATGCGCTGTATATGACTGAACGAAGCCACGAGTGAGTCAGATTCACCTTTATACACCCCTTGCTCTGTCGTTGCTCTACGTTTTCTCATCGCATTAGGCGGCTTGAGAGTTCTGCACGCTGTTGTGGCCTGGGCCTCCTTCTAATATCGACCGACCGACTGCCCCGCCGTGGTTTTCGGTGATGGCAGGTCATATAGTCTTTTGTGACACCAATCAGGGTTCAAACTCAAGGTGGACAACACGTCGTGTTGGAGTCAGACTGAAAGTACCCATACCGGGAGGGTGTTTTCAAAGTTCTTTTCGACGGGAGATACCGTCTTGTCATCACCGTGACGGTCGTCTTCTTGGTCTTCAGTTGGGTCTTATAGTTGCGACGATGGGTGAATTCAGGATGGGACATGAAAGGAGAGGTCGAGCTGTCGTCTGACCCCTGTATTGCAGTCCCAACGAATGACCTCACAGTTATCCACCGTCCGGTTTTGCGGCGCGCAGGCAGTTGAGAGTTATGCAGTGGCAACCGGTCCGACCAGAAGGTGAAGTCAGATTGTATCTAAGGGAACAAGACAATGGTAGGCCAAAAGGTCAAACAGACTTATGCAACGAGACACGGTCAATAGTACGGCGCCTTCGGACGAAGCATGGATATGAGGAATAATTAGGAGGGATTGGATCCCAAGTGTGTTTGAAACGGGAGGCGCAAGAAACGGCGATGAGGTCGAAGTTGGAAAAGGTGTATGGCCATTTGGTTGTATATCACAAGTTCAGAAGAAGAAGAAGAAGAAAGAGGAGATGCGTCGGCCCGAGAGCCATTCTAATTTCGTTGACCCAAGGGTAAATAGATGCGCAGAGATGTCGCCTTGCCTGGATGCGAGCGCCACATCGTTGTGCTGCGGCCCATGCGGTGCGCCCCGAGTCCCTGTAGGACAAAGGTGCGGAACCATTGGTGGTGAAGTATGCCCAGTGATCTTGGCAGAGCCTGATAGAATGAGCATTTTGATCATATTGATTTGCAGACCGACTCAGAGCATAATATGCCCAAAGAAAGACATAAGAACGGTCTCAATCCATCGACGATGTTTTGCTTCATTCATCCTCCGGTCTCCTCCGCCACCCCCTCGGTATTTCTTTCCCTATCTTTTTCTCCGCTTTTTTCTCCGCCACGTACCTCTCCGCCTTCGTCCCCGGCTCCACCAAATCTTGGGCTCAGGGGTCCTTCTCCGCCATTCGAGTCATCGTCGCTTGCCTCTGCCTCCGTATTGTCGTTCGGGTCCACCGAGGGTACGATAGCGAGGTGGCCGCGACGGAGGTCGTCAATGATAGCCTTGAGCTGAGCAACGGTTTGCTTGGGCGATGTCTCTGCACTATGATGCAGAGCCATTTCGTATCTACTCTTCGTTCCGGGCTTGATCCGCAATTTGACACCAAGTGCCTTCAAGCCCTGGGTAGACCATATCATCTTCTTCTGAGGTGTGAAATCGCCTGTCGATGATCCCGTGTCGGAACGGCGATGTATAGTCTCGAGAGCAGAGTCTGTAAAGACGTAAATGATTAGCACGGAGTCGAGCCCGATCAGATGCAGACTACTTACTGAGTTGGGCGCGGAACAGAGTGCCGTGCCATTTGCCAAGAACGCCGCGAGTAGCACTGTCCATCGAGCGAGTGTTTGCTGATAGATGAGACGAAAACATATGTCACATAATTGGTAACGGTAACGTGGTCTCATGCGCGCATAACTTGCGGGGGCGAAAGGCTCACCCTCCTTCAGATCTGCCGCTTCATTGGCCTTGAGTGTCTCATCCCAGCTCATCTTGGAAGCAAAATTAGACAACAAGGAATTGCCGGATGGATCCTTGAAGTCGTTGCAGTGAGCTGCAAATCTGAGCCCACCTATCGAATGCACGGTTGCCTTCGTCGCTGGCGATACGTCGTCTTGATAACGAGGGACAATGAAGGCCAGGGTTTCCACTCCGTACAGCTTGGACATGCGTTGCGCCAGGTCTCGCAATTCTGCAATGTACTTTTTGCATTGCTCCATCCGAGTTAGGGAAGGAATGTCGGATGGCGACCGTGTGATGATGGTGGGTGGTACTATCGAAGTGAAAGTCGTATTATTTCCTGCCTCTGCCGCTGCAAAAGCCGCGCGAACAAGCTCTTCATCGTCCTCGCCAAGTTGGGTAGATCCGAGGTTCCCCTGGTCTCTCAGGAAGTTCCAGAGTTGAGCGGCAAGTTTGGTGATGGATTGCGATTTCGAATGATCCGATTCTGAACACGTTTGACACACCCAGGGTATGTAAGAACAGATATTGCGGACGCAGCGGTAAGCATAAGCGAGAGCGTAGGAGAGTGGAGTGGGCATGACCGGAAGCGCCCGGAGGACCGACTCACCCTTGCTTGCTCGCTGGTGTAAAACCTTGACTACAGGGTCCGAGAGAAATCTAGACCACGCATTGCCCTTCGAAGCGAGGCTGTTGAACTTTTTGACGGCCTGAACGAGCCTTGCATGGGGTATGCCGAGTTTCGCGGCCATCTTGAGCTCCGAGTAATATCTTCGAGCGGCCCAGTGCTTCAGCGAGGTCCACTTTCTTTGACTCATACGACCGGTCGCGTTCCGATGCGAGCCATGTATGGCCGTCCAGAGCCTGATAGCTCTTCGATGGTCGATCGCGACATCTTCAAACTCGCTCTTACTGTCACTGTAACTGTCGCTGTCGTCAGCCGAGGAGTGACTGGAATCGCCCCAATTGGGCTCGTCAGAGTCGGAGTCGGACGAAGGGGTTTGGGGCACGGGCATGCGCCGCTTTCTCTTCCGAGTCGGGCGTGGAGACGGTTCATCCAGAGTTGTGCTGGCTTGTGAGGATGCTCGACCGCTTTGATCGTCCCTCCGACCTGCAAGAGGTGTGAGAGAACAGAGAATTCTTCAGCTGTCCGGCAGGATTGAGTAGATAGAAGGATGAGGTCGATGACCGGCACTCTGCTCTCAGCCCTGCTACAAGGGATCTTAGTTGGCACACCAGACAAGAGCACTCACTCGGATGAGCGCCAAAGGAAATGGACTCTGCTGGAGAACCTTGCCTAGATCCCACGCGTATGTCTGACGGTCGCGTCATGGTGGAGCAACACAATTAGGCCCATGAAGGGGGATGTGAGGCGGGGAAACGCGTCCACATACCTCCATTCGGCAATAGCATCGATGTTCGTTCAACAGGCGCAGGGAGGTTTCAACGTATTGAGATGCGGGGCGTGGCGTGGGTCAAGGGTGCGCGTTGTCGCGTTGACGTGAGTGTGCAGAGGTCAACGTGTTCACGCAGAGCGCTCGCCAATCTGAGCTCCGCGTGCGGCCGCACAGCCAGGCACAGCCCCGCCTCAATTTTGCCCGTTCAATTACTCTCTGGGAATTGATGCAGGACTGATTGCCGCTGGATCCAAGTCGTCCGTCCGAAGGGGCTTCACTAGATATCCATTTTCTATACACAGTGCACACCGTTCAGAATAAGCGTTTGTCTGCTCGAGGACCGATCCAGGATTCCAGGGACCAGGACCGATCCCTCCCTCGGGCCCAATCATAGACACGGTGTGTACTCCCTCGGTCGTATCCAAACTAACAAATACAAGAAAACAGGACGAAAAGGTCTACACAGAATCTGTCGTACACATATCAGTTGATGGTATATGGAACTACACGAATTGAATGGACTGAGTACGACAAGCTGTATGACATTTATGACATAATTCGAACTTACAAGTCTTCGGAAAGTGTTATTCGTGATGATGGTGAGTCTTACACGAACTAGTAGCCCTTTATTACTTATGACCATTTGGGGTGCACTGAGCCGGGGTGGGACGGGGTGGGGAGGGCATTGGTGCACCCAACCTGTACCAACCTCCAACCGGGCCAAAAAAACAGAAAAGCTGCCTTAACTCGCCCGCGCGGGGGAGCTCATTTGGCTGGGTTAACTGACCTGCCGATCTGGACTCGCGACAGAATGGCACGGAACTTGGTGAAGCAGCCAGCTGGTACCATTGGCAACCGAAGGATAGAAAAAGACTAAGGTAAAATCACGAAAAAAGAAAAAGAAAAAGAAAAAAGAAAAAAAAGAAAACACACAGAGGGGGAGAGAGAGAGACCAACAATAAACACTCAAGTCTCACCATGGAGGCGAGCCAGGATCCAGGCAATGACCGTGTTCGCCATGGGATTGGGTGCACGCATCGCGACATCTCCGTCCACGTCCGACACAGCCTCCATCCACAGACGATGGAGGAGGCAAGAGGGCCTCGCACCCCTGAGCGTTCGTCGCGCGCTCGAGGCAGGGCGACGAGAGCTGATCATGGGAAAAGACGGGGCTCGCGGACACGCTCACGCCGACAACGCTCGAGCATCTGCCCCATGTGCCTTGTCGATCGTTGTAGCAAGGGCCGGGCGAGCGGCGAGCCTGAAGCGACGACGAGCGAAGCCAAGAAGACTCCTCTGACTATCCGAGTCAGTCTCGAGGCACCTGTGCGGCAGGCCGAGGTGATCGTAGGCGCAGTCGCCAGTGAGTATGATCCCCTTGGGGATCCGATCGCAGAGCTCGGATTACGGATTGGCGTTCGGCAGGAAGACCACAGGTGTGCTGGCCTCGAAGTTGCTTTGCCCGAGGCGCGTTGCCCGTCAAGATCGAGCGTCGACACGCGGCACAGCCGATCGTGGACGAACGCGGTCAACCGAGCTCGGACGATCTGCAAACTCGATGGGAAAAGAAATCGTCGTATAGCGTCCATACCGACATATGCTCAAGGCACGTGGAGGCCAGTAAGCACGGGCACCGACCTTCTTTGCCTTTTCCCTTTTTCGTCCTCTCCCGCCTCTTCATCTCGATTTTCCTCCTCCCCTTCCATCTCTTCTTGTGCTTCCTCCTCGGCGTTCTCACCCACCGGGTCCGGCCTTATCTTGCCTCCCGTCGTCGGATCACTCTTCACCATCGCGGTCGACCATCGTGTACGGCTCGATCGCCGTCGCTGCAGGTCAAAGTCGGCCAAAGGTATGGAAAGCGCCAAGACCGTCGCCGCGAGAAGGAAACAGCAGCGAGCAGCGCCGAGCAGCGCAGCAGAAGCACGGATTGGTGCTTGTCGGATACACGACGATACCACTACGATAGCTAGCTCACGATCGGCAGCGTCTTGGGGGCGCACTTGAACGATCAGGTCCTGCCTGCTTTGCAATTGCTCGTCCTCGCCGCGAGCACAGCTAATCGAGACCTGGTCGACCGTGGGCAGGTTGTGCGTTTTTGGTCTCCGACGACCTGGCGGCAAGAACTTGAAAACGACTTCCTTGTCGACGACCCACCCGGCTCTCGCTTTCGCGGCGACGACATGTCGAGCGTAGGGGGTCCGTCCAGCGCAGCATCGTCTAGAGTCGCGCAGCGTGTCTTGCTGGAGATGGGAGCTCGAAGTGAACGGCATGCGTGCAGCCATTTGTTCCAACGACCAATTGTGGGCGAATGCGACGGTTCAATCGTTGCTCGGCGATGGTAACGCCGGCCACAGACACCATTGCTTTCCAACCGATGCTGATCGAGTTCCCCGCCGAGCGAGGTGAACGCAAGAGAGAGCTGTGGTAGTTGCGCGTATTCACGCAATCCTATTGCGAGAATGCGACGACACAGCAACAGAAGGAGAAGGCGAGTTTGCGCGTGGTCAGCACTCGGGTTTGAACTTCAAACGCCACCTCGCGGCCCGGTTGCGGAGCCACGCCGAGACCGTAGTCGTCCGGACCCTGCGGCGATACGGGCAACACGACCTTGCCCTTTGAACAGAACAGCACGTCAAAATCGATCCACCACAATCGACGCATTCAACGTCGAGAGGGCCGAGGTCGTGTCAAATCAACGGGCGCCGGCTCCAACGCGATGCGAGCGCGTCGTGGGGCGGCGCGACGCGACGCCACGGTCGATAAACTCGCGAGGTCGTGGAGGGGGGTGTACCTGCCGTAAGCGGGCTGCTGTTGATGCCGACGGACAACGCGATTCGCAGTCGTCTCGTCTCGTCGGGAGGGGTGGGCTCAGGGCACTGGGGCGAGGGTGGGTCGGGCGGAGGTTCGCGAAGGGGTGGGCCATCATCCCCGGCCGCGGGCTGCCGCGGGGAGACCGCCTAATAGGCGGCGACTGGACCGTGTCAGGGGAGCAAGTGTCGCACATTCGGTCACCGTTCGCGTTCGGCTTCGTTGCGGGGGCAATGCATCTGAAAACAGTCATAAAGGTGAGCTCCGAGTTGCAAGAATGACCGAGCTTGATCCATATGGCTCCCAGTACAGCTACCAAGGCCGAGCACGTTTTACGTAAAATTCTTGTACGTTTCGGTTCCGCACCCGCTAGCGTAGCCACCTATCTTGCACACGGAATACAACTGCTGTCGAAAAAGAAAAGAAAAGAAATCACAACGATACTCGGACGCTTCCCATCGTGCTCACTCCTCCTCATCTATCCACATGCCGGGCTCCTCGGGCTCCTGACGGTGACCTTCGACCGGCGTCTGCTCGACCTCCTCGGCTTGTGCGTGCGATCCTTCGTCCCTCGTCGCCGCAGCTTTGGGTCCGGCGATCGCGTCTTTCCCTTGCTCGCCCTTCTCGCCTTCGCCTTCAACGCCAGTTTCCTTCCCCTTCCCTTTGCCGTTGCTCGTGTCAGAGTCGTCGTAGTTGCGGAAAGGGTGGTAGCCCCACACGACGATGTGCCATCCCACAAAGGCGATGTTGCGGGCTGCGATGAGGTCCCGGTGAACCGGTAGTTTACAGCGTGGACACATGTACACTCGCAGGTTGTTTCTTTTTTGATTGACGCGACGTCCGGTCTTGACGAGACTAGGTGCATCAAGGCAGGAAAGGAGGGAGAGCGAGCCAGGGTCAGCACCGCCAACACCCCCCGATGAATCCCGCGCACCGAGAAGAAAGACTGACCGCGTGCGCTTCCCATCCTCGTCTCGACACGTCGGCTTGTCGCACACCGACGAGGTGAGATACTCGTCTACTTCGTAGATAACTATTCGCACGCCCTGGGCTCGAAGCACCCGCACCTTCTCGACGAGCGCGCGGCAAATCATATTCGTGCGATTTGTAGCGCTGATCTTGCCCGAGTTCGAGCCCTTGCCGACGAAGACGACCGCAAGTCTGTCCACTGGGGAGCGAATGTCGTTGTAGGTGATCTCGTACTCGCAGACCACGCCATCGAGCGACCTCTACGGTACGTGGCGTCCAGGACGTCTCCGTCCGGAAGAGGGGGTCGAGGTTGACGGCGCGAGGGGACCGTTGTTCGACTGATCCACGTTCATCGAGGTCGAGGCCACACTCGACTGCTCTTGCTGTTGGTGTGGCTGTGGCTGTTGCTGCTGTTGCTGCTGTTGCTGCTGTTGCTGCTGTTGCTGCTGTTGCTGCTGTTGCTGGCGATCATGTCGCATCTGTCTCGCTGTAGGAGCGCAATGAGAACCAATGGGCTAGTGTGAGCTCCTGCAACCTTGATGTTGTTGTAGATACCCACAAACGGGACATACCAATGATGTTGATTCCCGTCACGTCAAAGATTTGGTCGATGAGTCGGTGCTTGGCCTTCTCGGCCCGCACGGTGGTCCGGTGGTTGCGAGCAAGGCGAATGCGATCGCCCGCGAAAACTAGACGGTACAGTCTCGAAAGGTCATCGAGGTCTTCGACCTTGTCGTCGTCGTCGCCTCTGCGTTCCTCGTCCCAAGCTCCATCCGGCGAGTCCTCGTCGTCGTCATTATCATCGTCCGTGTGTTCCTCGTCCTCGTCATCGTAATCGTCATAATCCTCGTCGTCCTCATCGTCCGTCTCGTCGTCAGTATCGTCGTCTTCGTCTTCTTCGAGTGCCAACGTAGGCGTCGGATGCGATGTGTCGCTCGCGTCGACCCGCTCGACAGCCTTGTTCCCGTCAATCCCGCCCGCTCGGTGCTCGCTGCTGCCGTCATCTTCGCCCGACGGTCGGCTTTCGAGGATGGTGTCGGGCGAGTTCGACGTCGAGAGGTTCCACTTAAACCTCTTGAGCATGGCGTTCCTCGACCTCTTGATCTCGTCCTGCCCGTTCCTGAGATCGCCGTCGAGGGCACGCGCCGAGGTGACGAGGTTTGCCTGGACGGCCCGTTCGAGGCGATCAAAGCAGCGGGCGGACACGGCCACTGGAAACGTCAGACCGGGATCAATACCGATGGTGATCGTATTGTTCACCGCGTCATTGGTGTGCCTGCGAAGAGTGTCATCTCGAGTGACCGCGACCTCGATTGGATCTGCACCGGCCCAATCCTGATGGGGAACACATCCAGTGCAGGGCAGCTCTGGTCAGTGTGTGGGAGGTGTGGGTGTCCAGAGGAGCTTCACTGGCTGTAAACGCGAAATTTAATCCACTCACCTTCTTGCATTCTTCCCGGTAGAGGATATCGAGCACCTCGTCGCGATGGTCGGCGATGTCGGGAAGGCGGGGGGCGCCTCCTCGCTTCGTAGGCAACGGCTGGAGGTCCTTGGCCGAATTGACCCATCTGACTTGATCATCACCGCCTCGAGCCGTCGGAGATCCGTGGTCGTGAGGCGTCGTGCCGTCGGGTAGGGCTGCCGGTGTGCGAGAGTTTACGCCGGGTACCTTGGGGTCGTACCACTTCGAGTACTTTGTGGTGACCTTTTCAAAGGTCTGTTGCCTGGACTGGGCGGGCCAAGGGCTTCCCAACGGTGGCAACTGCGGCTGAACGAGCGCATCTTTGGATTTAACGGCTGTCTTGGTGTCGATGGTCAAGAAGCACGTGCGCAAGCCGTTCGAAGTTCAAGTGCCATGAGGGATGCAACCGTGACCAAGCTTGCTCGTGTCGAACATCAACGCAATAAAATCGGGCCCTCGTCCAGCCAAGCCACGGCGTTTCCGGCCTTTGCGGCGTCGAGGGTTCGAGTGGGCTGGGTCCGTCGACGTCTCGAACAGTGCGGCCGTGATTGCCTTGCCCCAGTGGTCGAACGCCGCCTTCCATTCGTCCGAAAGTGTGAGACGGTCGCTTGCAGGTGTCAACGCATCGAACAGGTGGAACGGAGGGGGTAGGGTGGGTACGATGTACTTGTTCTGGATGCGGTTCAGCCATCTCGCGGATTTGCGGTCGGGTTGTGGTCGAGACAACCCGCGATCTGTTGCCACAGCTCGTCCCGGAGTTGACCCGTGGATGTCTTCATCTTGGCGGACGCCCAAGGCAAAAAGGTGTCCTCGAGCCAATTCACCAGCTCCGCCGCGATCTCCTCGCCCTGCTCAACTAGGATCGACGATCGCGCCAAGGACACGGAGAACGTAGTTGTTCCGAGGCGCTGAAGAACGCATTGTCAAACATCAGTGACCCCTCGACATACCCTGTGTTCTGAAGCGTAGTGACGGCGTGTAACTCACGGGAGCAATCCCACGCTTGATGCCGCTGGCGACTCGCATAGCATTGAGAAGCGGAAGAAGGGTGGTGGGGGGCGCTGGAGGTCTGCACCCCTCTGCCGGCTTGGTAAAGTCGCTGAGTGATCGGCCGCTCACGTCCCGTGCCGAACGAGGATCGAGTACGTCGAAGGCGTGACCGTCGATGATCGACATCGCCAGGGTACATGCACCGTGAGCCCGATCGGCGGCACGTTGGGCCAAGTCGAGAGGCATGGGTGACGTCTTGGCGTCGACGAGGGTGTCACGGATCTTGATCGCCGTCTCGGCAAAGACGCCGTCGTTGCCTTCACCACCGCGAATGGTCGCTCCCATAACGGCTTGCACGAGTAGACGCACCGTGGTCTTGCGGGTGCTCTTGGAGGTGTCGATCCCTTCAAAGACGGCTCGCAGTTTCGAATGGAAAAAACCACCGACGACTTGCTCGACGCGATGCTCCCACACGAAGATACTTGCGATGACCTGGTTGAACCGCTCTTCAAACCACGAGGTTTGATTCGATAGAGTTGGCAATCCACAATGCTCCTTCGAAGCATCCTCGGCCGACGCCAAGACGGCGGTGTAGGCCTACGCCAGCAGAAGGGGGGATGAAGTGGCGAACGCCGTATCAGCTCTGCTCTTCGTTGCTCGACGGTAAGACAAGCGGAGTAATATGTGCCACACACAACTCGATCCGAGCTCACGTAGTTGTAACGCATCTTGTCGAAACGGCCTTGCACGGCCCGCTCGAAAACCTTCCGCTCGCGATCAAAGGCGGCCGCGTCAAGGGAGGCCAGCGAGGGAAGGGCTCGCGTCAGCGTCGTCGACGCTCCTCCTCTTTTGGGCGCATTCGGTCCAGCCGTCCTCAGAGCGTATACGATGGCGTTGAGGAGACCGCGCCACGCGGCGACGTCCGTACCAAGCTCCTCCATTGGGCCTTGGTCATGCGCGCGAGGGTGGCCCCGAGCACCTCTCCGATCGTGTTTTCTATGAATCGGTGTGTAATGGCCATGAGGCACACCAGGGGTGTCCAAACGCATTCCGCTGGGGTGGGCGCGACGGGGTCGTTCGTCTGCGTTTGCTGTGGCATCTCGGGCCGGGTGAGGTGGTGTGCGCTGGCAGGGAAGAGCGGGACGACAGCTCCCACTCAAAGTACCTAGGCGAGAGCGATGCCTGTTCGACTCCGCACCTTATTCGTTTCGCCAGAACGACAGTGCACATTGCCTACACTCGCGAAATCTTTTTCACCCACCCATCGTCCCAATAAGGTGTAGAGACCTATCTCGAGGCAAGATTTAGTTCTGCAAACCGCGGTCCCTGGGGTGTACGCATCATCCCAGGGTCTCGTTCTGGGAGATCCCTGAAGCTCTGTTAGAGCCGAAGGTTTACGGAACCTAATCGTCGGGGACTCAGCCATCGAATTGGTAATGGAAAATGTGCATCCGGGAGCGGAAATGGAAGAGATGGAAGAAACTCGCGCGCGCTTCCATGGGTTTTGGCCAACGGTCCGCGCAACGTTTCGCAGCACGGGACCCGCGCGTTCGGCACCCACCGCGTTCGGCATCCATCCCTCGCGAGCTTTGGGTCCAACTGCGACGGCTTTGCGTGGATCTCGACTCGGCCGACGCAGAGGTCTCGGCTCGACTCGTCATAACATCCTTGTGCGTTCACTTGCCTCGGGTGCATCGGCCGAGACGACGGCAGCCTTCGCAGGTCTACCGGCACCCAACACGCCGCGGTATGGATCCCTTCATCCTACCTACATCTACATAAAAGAATGCACGACTTAAATAAGGTTCTCAGCCGCGCGCGCGCGCGCGGCGATCTTTCCCCCCCCCCACGGTCCGGGAGGTGCGGGCGGAGCTCGCAACGACCTTCATTTACGCAGGGAGGTGGGCGCGGAGCGCCCCCCGAGCCCTAGTACTGTATAACGGTCCGTGCCGACAGGCCGCCTCATTTCCGACACTTCCGAGGCGGTGCCCGCCGCCATAAGCCCCTAAGCATCGACCAGCTGAAGCAGGCACGATTATGTTGCCTTTCTTTAGCCCAAACATACCTAGGTACCACCAGCTTCGTTCAATGAGAAAATAGATCATCTCTGCCGACGAGGTCAGAGTATCTACGTGATCATTGGTGCCGAGTGACGAGCCCTATGCAACGAATCGGACCCCGCTCCCGAGTCTGGTAGACCAGACGCTGATCCGGGCTGGGCCAGCATATTTGTATGGCCGGTGCGAGATTCAAAAGTAGAGATGCGTACAATAATCCAAAGTATAAACAAGCCTAGTCCAGCCACTAGTTCCCAGAGTACGCCTCAGGGAACTGCAGAAGAGGGAGAAGACACACCGAAGCCGGCGCGGACGTCAGGAAGCCAATGTCAGCACAAAGACCTATGCTGAACGACAGCAGGTGCGGTTTCTCACCTTGAATCCAAACTCATGGCGCAAGATCTGCTTGATGGGCCCCACTCTCATATCGATCCAGCGTCCATCCGGGTCGCCTTCGTTCTTCGGCTTCGTGTGGAGCCTCGCGCATCTTGAGCCCTGGTACTCCATCCCTTCCCTGAAATAGAGCGTGGTCCTTCTCCCCGTCTCTCGATGCAGCTTAGTACAAACAAAAAAGTTGACGAATGTTGCCTCCGCGTGGTTTGAACTGTAATAGTTGAGCACTTCCAAGTCCGTGAATCCCACGGTCGCCAGCGCGAACGAGTATGTCGGGGTCCAATACTCCTTGGTCGAGGCTGTCGCTTCGACTTTGTTCCAGACAGTCCACCGCGATGACAAATCGGGTGTGAGATGTTGAAACGACTCCGTGCCGGGAAGGTAAGGTGTTTCCACCAGCTTGAAGGTGCCATTGGGGGTCGGGCTTTGAACGGTGGCCCCATCGTGGAAAGGAATTCTGGCCAGTGGAGATGGTGCACAGCCCGGATCAGCGTCAAGCCTTAATCGAGATCGAGAGTGAGCAAAGTTGAGACATGACGCACGGAACAAGCGACTGGGAATTACCAAATCCAACGTCGCAAAAGTATCGTTCGCCCCCGCTCGCGTCCCAGTCGACGACGCAGCACTCGTGAGCAGTCGGTTTGAAACGGAGACCGACGACCTCGGGATCTCGACCAACTTGATAGTTGACGCGAGCAGCGACCTCGCTGACGCGAAAATCAAAGTATCGCAGCAGGGAAGCAAACAAGCTGTTGAGGAAGAAACAAAATCCGCCGCGTTGAAGCCTGATCAACCGCTCGAAGGCGGCCTGTCCAAGAGGCGCAGTTTCGCCGCCTCCCAGCCGAATTTCAGCATCGTCGTCTGTCCAATCCTTGACGTGTACAACAGTCGATTCGAACGGTATACTAGGGTTCAAAGGGTACACACCATGTCAAACCCTGATCTATATAAGCAGCACCACCATCAAGGGTCTGGTGGGGTGCCGACCGCGAAGTCTGGCACAACTCGTGGAGAGCTTGCTCGAGCGTGGCGAGGCGATAGAGCTGGTCACAACGGGAGAGTTGCCCTCTCCCGACTTACGAGTATAAATGGGCTGCTTGTAGCTCGCTCAAGAGCTCGTAGGACGGCTTGCGATCGAGATATTGATCTGGGTCGAGCCCGATCCGTTCCAGATACTTGGCGACGTCGTCGCGTCCAAACCGACCTGTCTGGAACTCCGATGCATATGTGGTAGTTTCATGGGCCGTCGTAGAATCTACACGGGTTCCATTTTGAGAGGATTTGCCGGCCATTGCGATGCAGTTCCCAAGCAGATCGAGTCGGGATGCGGAGAAACGAGGTCCTACGGGAAATCCGCGCAACCCGCAGTTAACTTAACCGCGGCCAACCGCGGTTGGCCGCGGTTGACGTCGCCCGTCCAGCCATTCGAACGTAACCGCGGTTAACCGCGGTTCAACTTTGGCCGCGGTTGACGTCGCCCGTCCAGCCATTCGAACGTAACCGCGGTTAACCGCGGTTCAACTTTGGCCGCGGTTGACGTCGCCCGTCCAGCCATTCGAACGTAACCGCGGTTAACCGCGGTTCAACTTTGGCCGCGGTTGACGTCGCCCGTCCAGCCATTCGAACGTAACCGCGGTTAACCGCGGTTCAACTTTGGCCGCGGTTGACGTCGCCCGTCCGGCCATTCGAAAGTAACCGCGGTTAACCGCGGTTCAACTTCAGGCCTAGAAACGCGGAGGCGCACTTTAACCGCGGTTGCAAAATACCCAACCGCAGTCGCGACTTCGGCAACCGCGGTCGCAACCGCACCAACCGCAGTTGTAGTAGATCAAGTGATTGCGGTTACAACTCAAAAACCCCGTAAAGAAAGCGCGCCGACCCATTTTCTGAGAAAGTCTAATTTGAAAAAAAAAAAAAAAAAAAAGCGATTTTCGTCAAGGTCAAGTTTCTGCGGACGTTGCGTATTCACGTGCGGCAACTTTTTTTTTTTTGTATCAAGCCTGATTAGATTTCACATATTCGGTTATCTACGCAAAATCAATTTTCTGCCTTTCAAAAATGAGGCGGATGGTCCGTGCGCAAGCGATCTGACATGTAGACGAAGACGCGTCACGCGATAAACCGGAATAGGAGCGTCTGTCGCCGGGTCCTTCCGCGACTCGTTGGCTTAGGGGTTCCTTTCCGACATCCCTCCGGCACGTCTTCCTTTCGCCTCTTTCGTTTCCCACTCCCCGCTCGTACTACTCGGCGTGCAGAGCGTAAATTTCGCCTTTATTAGAGGAAAGTGAGCAGCGCTGCAGCGCTAGTCGCGGCCTCGGGAAGTCTTACGTTGGAAGAGGAGGTCCGAGCGCGAAGCTCGAGCGCGTCTAACAACCTCTACCTTCGGCCAATCTCCGCGTCGCGCGCTGGAGTTGAGCGCTCTGTAAGGTAGTGTACGATGACATGGTGGAAGAAAGGCCCTATCCGGCGGGGCGTACTCGGCGGAGCATACTCGGCGGGGCAACACGGGCGAACTTCACGAAATGAGCGCGACAACTTTTTTATAGGGGGCACGGGCGCTCGGCGTTTCACGTGACCTTCACAACCTACCTACATCTACATTACCCTAACCAGTAAAAAAAAGTGTCGATCCGCGACCCACGTACCTAAAATCGCTGTTTTTGTCTGTGTTGCGGGCCGGAGGGCCGCAAGTGGTGAATGTATCAGTATACTGTTGAGTCTGCCGCACCTGCCTCAGGTGGTATCGGCGTCCCAATCAGAAGTCATGTACGACCCTTTCTGCATTTTCTGGACCATAAAAGTCGAGCTACAGCCCGACTATAATTTTTGTCGAGTTTTGATATGGTGGAGAACTATTGATCAGTGTGTGTAGGATTTAATGTATAGCATGCGCGTGGGTTTGTATGACACTTCTTCTACAGATCTCAGGCGTGGTCTCGCTGTCGTTGACGCGCGGGCGCGGGCGCGGCTACGCTGCGCGATGCCCCGTCGATCACGTGACGTATTTTTGGCATCCCGACACCGGTTTTAGGGGCTCAACAACAACGTGAGGTTCCAGAAACTGTGAATACGCTACTCTCTCTAATTTTCGCCTTTTCCCTCCCACTCTCATGGAATCTTCGTGACATAGCGCCGTACGATAGCGTACCGCCGTACCATGGGAGACCAGGGGCCTGCTCGAGCAGGCTAGAGCAGGCTAGAGCAGGCTAGAGCAGGCTAGAGCTTGCTCGAGCGCCCGCTGCTACCCGCTGGGCGCCCCGCTGCTCGACTCTCCTCTTCGTCCCGATCCGATCAACAGAATCAGCTCCCCGCGCGTGATGACAACCACTCGACCGATCTTGGTATTGAAGCGTCCGCCGTACAGCTTTGTAGAACGGACAGCGTGGTCACCGCGATGGCCCGATGGCCGATCCGACGCTGAGCTCGCCCCACCACCACCTCTTCCTGCGCAGAGGCAAGTGCGCAGGCCTCGAATCAAGCTCAAACCACTCAAGCCCCACGTTCCCATCCGCGACTACCTCGGCACCAGATGACCGTGTGTACCCACTGCAACGCTCGACACTGGGAGTGCGAAAGGACGAAGTCGGCCGGACACTTCAGCACGTGCTGCTCGCAGGGCAAGGTGCAGCTACCTCCCTCTCTCCGGCCCAATCCCAACTTTCAACAGCTACTTGAAGGCTCGGATAGCGGTCAGTTGCTCCGTCCAACGTCATTCGTCTGTAGTAGACCCACATGCTGAACTGTGCGACCCACCTACACAGAACCTAAGGCATTCCGGCGTTCCGCGAGAATGCCCGGTGGTACAACAACGCGCTGTCGTTCACTTCGCTCGCTACCCACTTTGACCAGACTCGACCAGGCACTCAAGGACCCCGCATGTTTTGCGTTTTTGGTTGCTTTTAGCATCGACTCGCCGCCTTGATTCCTGCCGTCAATCAACGTCCAGCCTTTGCCCACATATGGCTCATTGACCCGGCTGAGGCCACTGACACTCGACTGGGACCCGACGGCGCAGACAGTCGCATACAAAGATCTACTTTGACCAAGCTCGAGTCCATCTTGCGTACCAAGAATCACTTTGTGAGGGAGTTCGCATCGGCCAAAACCCGCGCAGGTTGGGACACGGCCAAAGAGTCGGCCCTGCGCCTCTGCCTACCACCTGGCCGAGACCGACGCACCCACAACCTTCCTACGTCGAGCACGGAAATGGCGATGCTTATCTGCGCTTCCGACACCAACACGGGAGATCGTGGACCTCAAGACCTTATTCTCCAGGTGCACGGTGATCGATGTCCCGATGGTCGGCCCAAGTACCAAGTCATCAGCTCGCTCCATCCGTCTGCGTTGCCTCTCCGGTAGCCACTACTATTTCCTGCAGGGGAAGATGGCTTCCACCCCAACATTTCTCTTTGCGGGTTTCGCCAAGCTGGGCTGCCAATCGCCAGAAACCGAGAGCAGATCGACAATGGTGTCCAATCGCGCGGGGTACTTGCCGGTCTCGGTCTTGATGACGAAGGCGAAGAGGAGGACGAAGACCGCGAGGATGAGGATGAAGACAGCGAGGAAGGGGACGAAGAGGATGGTGATGGCGAACGTACGCGTCTTCGGCTCTTTCTCGGATGTTCCATTCTGTTTAAGGCGCAACCACAGACTGATATTGAACTTTTGAACACCTAGGACGAAGGTCAAGTAAAGGGGTCGAGGTGGCGAGTCTCGCGTTCACAATTATTTGCGCACTACTTGCCAAACGCGACGAGTACTTCTCAATCCCGCATTGCACCCAACGTCCCTTCCTGGAGTTTGTGGTTTTAGGATATACTCCCAAGTCGAGACCGATCGACTCAACACTTCCGGTTGCATCAAGAGAACCTACGCCTCACCACGACCCAAGGCATCAACGGCTTGACATAATGCACGACTTAAATAAGGTTCTCGCCCGCGCCCGCGCGCGCGCGGATCTTCCCCCCCCCTCCACGGTCCGAGAGGTGCGGGCGGAGCTCGCAACGACGTTCATTTACGCAGGGAGGTGGGCGCGGAGCGCCCCCCGAGCCCTAGTCACGAAATAAAATGAAAAGTGAACAGATCTGTCCAAAAATCTGAGGTTGAGGTCGGATTTTTGAAAGCGCTTCAAACGCGTTTGCTTTTCAAAAACTGAAGCGATCGCGATCGAGCCTAACCCAAAGAGGACGGCGCGAGCGATTTCACAAAGTCTATTTTTGAGTGGGACTAGTGGGACTACTAGTAACTACTACTACTGCACGACCGCGGTTGAACTTTTGTGACCGCGGTTGCAACTGCACATAACCGCGATTGTAATAATGTAGTAGCCTATACTATCCCTTTCTTCGCTCTCCTTTGCATGTACAGTAAAGATATAGTGAAGTGCCACTGCCAATGCCATTGCATTATCAAGCATACGACTCGAACCAAGAGACGAACCTTGAGCCTGATGAGGCGCTCGGCCTCAACTCGTGAAATCGCTAACTTACTTGATCTGCGTCAGCGTGATCGGTGCGACACACTATCGAGCGAGGCCGGGTCGGTCACAGTGACACCAGTTGCACGAGCCATAGGGAGCGACCGCGTAGCATCGAAATTATAAGGATAAGTCCATCGATCGGCTCAGCATACCTTTGCGACAAGACAAGTCACTGTATAAACACGGATCGGCGCAAAAGGCGCGAAAGGAGGCAAAGGTTCGGCTGAGAGCTGTGCAATCAGCGTGTTGTGTTGCCCAGCAAGGGCTTACAGAGCTATATGCCTGTACAGCTGAGGTGTAGGAATAAGAGTGCAGAGTACATGTCGCAACAAGCGCAGATGTATCTAGACAATCACCGAGTCACCCCGAGTTACTCAAGGCGAGCCACGTCGAGGCTTTGAGACGAGCTACCCTTTCTCTCCCTACGGTTGTGACGTCATATTCTCCCTTCCAAGGCGTCAGTCACACATTGGTTCTGTCATGTCTCGCAGAGTCGAACCAGACCTACTTGCGCAGCGGACACAGCAGATCGAGCAAGCACAAATCAACCGCGTCCGGAAGAAGCTCACAGACACACGTCCGTTGAACGGTCTTGTCGGACTGCCCGAGCACGACAAAGCGCACTGTGTGCCTGCCTAAGTCTGGAACCTGGCTTGCAAGAAGAACCTGGACAGCGCATCTCAAAAAGGACATTGAACAGCAACGGCCAGGCGCGAAAGAACTACTAGCGAAGTGCTGGAAGCGAAAGGGGCCTGAAGAGGCACCAGCTACACCAGGTCCGTCAACAACTTTACTCATCTTGGGCCAATCTCCATTCTGACCTTCGGGGACGTCTTTTACCGGCAGCAGTCGGTCACGCGATCCCAATGGCGGTCGATGACGATAACGCCGATGATATGGATCGAGAATTCGGCGGAGGGGTGGACGAAAGCGGCGACGAAGACGATCTCCAAGGAAACCTCAATGAAGCCGCAGATGATGAGGGAGAAGAGATGGTCGTAGACGAAGAGGAGATGCGCGGTTCGAAGGAGCTTGACGATCTGGACCTCGAATGGGGTTCGGAAGCGCAGGAGGAACATGATGGTGACAGAGATAGCAGTGATACGGACTCCCGTGCGGGTGAAACGCCAAGTGATGAGAACGATCTGGGAGGCGCGGGAGAGGAGGAGCATGTCCAAGGGGAGGGAGATGAGCCCGAGCCCACCAAAGATGATATTGCCGCGCTTGAGGCTCATCGTGCCGAGCTTGATGCCGAAGGTGATTCAAAGTCTTGCTGTAGTTCAAGTGGTCCAGTTTAACACAAACATGAGAGCTGATGCAGTAACTACCTCATACAGGACTTCATAGTCGAACGCTTCCCCCCCATGACCTTGCAAAGCTACAACTCTACATGTTCAAGCGGGACCATTCGCTTTCGAGGGACGCTTGGACTGACCTCCTCACATTGCTGCGCACCTACACCTTCCACGACGCCGACCTCAGCGACATGTCCGAATACAAAATGGTCCGAGCGATACGACATCTCACCGGCTTCAGAACTGTGGAGGTCGGGAAGTGCCCCAAAGGTCACGTCTCCTATGGCGCCAAACGACTCCAAGACCTCGAGGAGTGTCCGACGCCCGGGTGCCGCGAGAAACGTTTCACGCTGGGCAAGAATGGCGAGAAGATTGAACGGTCAACGCAGCGCTTTTATGACCCCGCCCCTTTTGTTAACGCGCTTCGTGCACACCCAGTAATCGGCCCTACCCTCGCCAATGCCAAGCCGAGCGACGAGGTCGTCGACTTGCACAAGGCGTCAGGTGGCTCGGGCTCTTACCCGGTCGTGAGGCGATGGGTCGACGGCCTATACGCACGAACGCTTTACGCAAACGGCGATCTCAAGCCGGATGACATCCCTCTTGCAATCTTCTCCGACGGAACCGAAGTGCTCGCGCACTCCAACGCCAATCGCAAGGTCAACGCCCACATCTCTGGGGTGATACCCATGACCCTGCCCCCCGGACTTCGTTGGAAGCTATCATCGCACTGTCATCTCCGTGAACGGCCCTCAAAAACCCAAAGACGAGCAGTCATTCCTAGAAACACTCTGTCAACAGCTCCACATCTTCGAAGGGGAGCGTACATCCTTTTCAGCCGCTCAGGACAGGCACCGTGTGCTTTGCAGAGACAGGATCGTGGCTTGCATAGCCGACACGCTGGAGCAAGCAGCCCTTGGAAACCTCGTGGGAGCAAGAGGCCTCGCTTCGTGCTTGATCTGCTCGATCATCAGCATACCTCATTACGCACCTGGAAACACCAAAGGCTATCTGCCGTTCTGTGTTCCTCATGCGAAAAAGCGTTCGAAAACGACGAGGGAGTGATCGTATTGGTGCTCGACCATCCCGAGTGGGCTGGGCTTGTCGACACCGCCACGACGTTCCAAATCCCTGGTGGGCAAGACGTTCGACTGGATAACGAGCGCAACTACAAGCGCTACCGTCGGGTGGTTGAAGCAATGAAACGACACCCGACCAAGCTCGAATCGCTGCGGCGTCGCACGGGGATCTCAGGCGAAGCTCCGATCGAGGCGCTCGACCTGTTCAAGGATGCTTACTCCACGTTCCTACCATTAGATTATATGCATCTGATTGGTATCAACAGTGGCAGCACTTTTATCAATATCCTCGTCCGCGACTTGGACTCGAAAGCACGCAGGCACGCCATGACGTTGACCTCCGACGCGATCGCTCGCATGACTCGTGCGTAGCTGTTGTCTCGGCCGTACCTTGCGAGAGTGGAGGGTGTGATTGTCAGGCCCTTAGCCGAGAAAAGGAAATAATGGAAAGCAATCGAACGGGAACTGTTCATCTTGCGTGACCTGGGACCGCTTTCGTGCCAGCAATTCAATGAACCCGAGTTCGAGCGACTGACAGCGCTGACCATCCGAATGTTTGCGGCGATGAAGACCGATGTCTTCATCGACGATTCCGTTGACTTTTTTGATCGCCTACCGGACGTGGACCGGCTCGAACAACGTCGTCTGTACGAGCTCGATGAAAAGGGCGAGGTTCCCATCACGTACACCTACCTCTATGTTCTCATCGAACAGACTCTGCTACTGCGCGAGAAGCTTCTGTATGATCGAGATCCCGAGTTTCTTCGTTCCCCGCCACAAATCATCGTCTTATGCACGGTCCCGATTTTATGAAAAGAATGGGGCCGCTTCGTGAGTACTCGGCTTGCGGAACGGAGACGATGATGGGCTACATCAAAGGGGGGATGAGAAGCAAGTCAAAACCCGTCGAGTCTGGCATGAATTTGGCGGAGATGCGGAACATGATGATGATCCTTCGACTCAAGTACGACATACCAACAATGGACGATCTCCGGGACACTTCGCCGAGGGATCATGCCTCGCATGCCCAGCTGCCGGGCTACAAGCTGCACACGCTCAAGAAAACGGCGCGACGCCCTTCGCAAAAATTCGTCGACTTGACCGAAGAGGTCGCAGTCTTCTACGGAGGCAGTGTCACGTCGATAACTCTCTGGGATCGCAAACGACTACACCAAGAACCATCTATGCGATGGACTCTGGCAGCTCGCTCGACGAAGGATGGCGGCGCCTTGAGGGTGCAGGTGCATCGGCAGTCACGTTGCTCGGATCCGGTAACGAGATGCGAAACACGCAAGGCACCGTCAACTGCAAGACGGCTAGATTTGTGCATGAGTACCACCAAATCAACTCATCACATCTGATGTCAGCGGAGATATTCTTGACAGCGAATCTGCGATCCACAGATGTCAATGGAGGCCGACAATTCACAGCGCGCCGGCGAAGTTGTGTATTTTGTTGAGCTAGGTGTAACGACGCTGAAGGAGAAGCAATTGCTTTCGTTGGTCGATGTCTTCCCAGTTGCCATGGACATCCGGGGGTTGTACGAGAGTTTCGATGTGGATGGTCCTCGCAACCTCAGCCTGATCGGTGTCGAGCGTCTCCGCCAACTCGTGTCCATCATCCCGAATACGATGAGGCCGCCTCCCACCGCGGCCGAGCTTGCGCAAGGTGCAGGGCCGGCTGTGACAGCTCCCGACACATATGCGATATCTGTGTTTCCACATTCAACTGCGACCCCTCTGCGCCGAGTCGACGCCTGGCACTGACACTCGGTTAGTCTCGGAGGCAGAGCGCTCTCCGTTTGGTCGTCCGGAAGATAAGGGGCGCGGTCTTTCCAATTGCTCATTAGCTTCAATCCTTGAGAATGAATAAAAAGGAGACCTTGTCCAATTCCAAGAACACCACATCTTCATCTGGAGATGTTACACATTCTTAGGTTGATGTAATTAGAGCACCACTCGAGACTATAACACGAGTTGTTTGCTGCACTAGGTAAGGTCTGAAAGTCAGGCTGTTCTCGCTTAGTCTACGAGCCAACTGAGAATTGCAGGGCGTAATGGAGCATTCCCAAGTTGGCGACCTCGTGCAGTTGCAACCGCAGTTGCGAATAGTCTTTTCGGCCTTTGCTGCAAGATTTTGACGCGGACAGCTCAAGCGCGCTGGTCTCGGCCTAACGGGGCCCGCTCGCGCTCCACTCTTCGAACACGCATTCTTTGGACCCTGTGTCAGCACGCACTCTTCTCGGCCCCCTTGGGCCTCCCGCCTTGCTCACCCGCTGGCGCGCGCGGGCCCTTCCTCTCCCTCTCCCTCGTCGTCCCGCATGCCTTAGCGTTTCGTGTTGTGGTTCCGGCACCCCCCCTGCCAGTCTCTACTCACTCAAAGTGGGTAACATCCCTCGTAAGCCCTCTGCCCTTGTTGGACAGTTGGACTGATGAGCTAGCCTGCCACTACGTTGTAAGCAGCCGCCGTACCCGCTGCTTTGCAAGGTCGTATCGCACCCACTGCTTAGAGCAAGGGCGAACTTTTCGAGACTCGCACTATCGCGGCTCGCTGTTTCTAGCTAAGGTTCGCATTCCGGATCACGACTGTCCTTGTTGGGCATGTTGCCAAATTCCTTGTCCTTGTTGGGCAAGTTGACTCATGGGGCTACCTTGTATACAGACCTCGTTTGGCCGCGTCTACCTGCCGCGTCGCCTTCCTCCCCTGCCATCGCCCTGCGCTTTTCGAGCAAAGGTATGCCCTATCCCCCAAGTCAGTTGCAGTGTTTTAGTTACTAATCGGACCTGCGCTCTTTGAGCAAAGCCGATCGACCATTTTTTTGAGCTCCTCCCTCCCACCCTACTTGTTCATAACTCCTGTTTAGAAAACCCTCCGGGTTACTCAAAAAAATGGTCGATCGGCTTTGCTCAAAGAGCGCAGGTCCGATTAGTAACTAAAACACTGCAACTGACTTGGGGGATAGGGCATACCTTTGCTCGAAAAGCGCAGGGCGATGGCAGGGGAGGAAGGCGACGCGGCAGGTAGACGCGGCCAAACGAGGTCTGTATACAAGGTAGCCCCATGAGTCAACTTGCCCAACAAGGACAAGGAATTTGGCAACATGCCCAACAAGGACAGTCGTGATCCGGAATGCGAACCTTAGCTAGAAACAGCGAGCCGCGATAGTGCGAGTCTCGAAAAGTTCGCCCTTGCTCTAAGCAGTGGGTGCGATACGACCTTGCAAAGCAGCGGGTACGGCGGCTGCTTACAACGTAGTGGCAGGCTAGCTCATCAGTCCAACTGTCCAACAAGGGCAGAGGGCTTACGAGGGATGTTACCCACTTTGAGTGAGTAGAGACTGGCAGGGGGGGTGCCGGAACCACAACACGAAACGCTAAGGCATGCGGGACGACGAGGGAGAGGGAGAGGAAGGGCCCGCGCGCGCCAGCGGGTGAGCAAGGCGGGAGGCCCAAGGGGGCCGAGAAGAGTGCGTGCTGGCACAGGGTCCAAAGAATGCGTGTTCGAAGAGTGGAGCGCGAGCGGGCCCCGTTAGGCCGAGACCAGCGCGCTTGAGCTGTCCGCGTCAAAATCTTGCAGCAAAGGCCGAAAAGACTATCGACTCCTCCATAGTGCGCGCTGTTTGTGGCGTTTGTTTTAGGATGGAAGAGTCGAGTTGCAGTGATAAGAGAAAAACCCGCACTCCGTAGAGCGAATCCGCGCAACCGCGGGCACCGCGGTTGAACTGCGGTTAACTTCGGCGCCATCGTGCAACCGCGGTCAACTGCGGTTGCGCGGATTTCCCGTCGTTAACGAGGGGCCACCTTTCGGCGAGGCTTTCGCCATTCCGTCGAGGAGTGGTGGTCAAAGTGCTCCTCACGTGACCAGACTGAATCGTTTCCGGCGCGGTGCATTCACTTCACCTTCACTACTGTCTTGGTTAACCGAAGTCTGGTCGACAACGATGAATTAATAGTTGGACTTCTGGCTTGCAAATTTTCGAATCGAATCATCTACAACTAGGCTCTGTACCTCCTCGCAAACTCGATCAGCGTTCGAGTGATCTTTCCACTCATACCGGCTCGTTCGTAGCCTCCATCACCCTTGGCGAGGTCCATGGTACCGGCAATATCAACGTGGGCCCACTTGGTCAAGCTCCCCGGCTCGCCGCGACCTCCATTGACTCCACCCTCGGCACCTTCCTCCGCGTCCGAACCGTCAACGATGAGCCCGTCGATGAAGCGCTTGAGGAAGATGGCCGCCGTCGCCGATCCAGCAAGTCGGCCACCGGTGTTGTTGAGGTCCATGTTGGTCGTATTGATCTGCGCGAGGTAGCCTTCGTCCAAGGGCATCCTCCACACGCGATCCTTCTCGGATGCGGCCGCGACGTCGAGCTGCGAGTAGAGCGAGTCCGAGTTGGAGAAGACGCCACTGAATTGGTTACCAAGAGCGATCATCATCGCGCCCGTCAGAGTAGCGACATCAATGACAACGCTCGGCTTAAAAGTCGAAGAGGCGTAGTAGAGCGCATCGGCGAGGATCAAACGTCCCTCGGCATCAGTGTTTTCGATCGCGAGCGTGACGCCGTTGCTGGCAGTAATGCAGTCTCCGGGCTTGGTTGCCTTTCCACTGTAGAAATCAGGAGCATCGTTCACCGGGATCGTCATTCACGTGCACCCGAGTTAGCTCATCATTCAAGGCGAGAGCGATTCTCCCCGAATCGACGCTACCCACCTCGGCATGTTCTCGGTCAACGGGCAGCAAAGCACGGCGTTGATCGGTAGTTCAAGCTTGGCAATGGCCCACATAGTCGCTGTCGTCGTTGCAGCTCCGCCCATGTCGGCGCGCATGTCGGACATGGACGCGGCGGGCTTGATCGAGATTCCTCCCGTGTCGAACGTGACACCTTTACCGACGAACGCGATCGGCTTCTCGTCGGCCTTGCCACCCTTGTAGTGGATTTCGAGGAAACGGAGCGGCTCATCGCTACCGCGCGAAACCGAGATGAAAGAGCCCATCTTCTTCTCCTCGGCCCAGGCCAGGTCATGGACCTGGACCTCGACGTTCTTGAGGCCCTTGAACTTTTCCTCGGCCATCTCGCAGAAGCGTGTGGGCGTGCAGAGGTTGGCCGGCAACTCCTTGAGGTAACGGGCCCAGTTTTGGGCTTCTCCATAGATCTTTCAGGGTTGATCGTGGCACGAATCAGTTCCAGAACGAGTCAGTCCCCCACCCTCGCTCGGACATACCTTTCCAGTCTCCCACGTCAGGGCCTTGCCATATTTGTCGCTCTCGGTTTCGAGCTGAGACTCTGTCGCACTTCCAAGAAGATCGATCTGGATGGGTTCGAGTTGCTTCTTGGCCGCAGTGGTCGTCTTGAGGTTGAAGGCAAAGCTGGCGAGCGTGGCTCCGACAGCGGCCGAGTGGGGCGAGTGGAGAGGATCGATAGCGATTGCTTGCCGTTGATGGCCTTGACCGCGTTGACGGCAACACCAGCCTGTGGAGAAGTTCGACAGTGAGTGATAGTGAAAACCATTGGCATCAAGTCGGTATCGCTACTCGGACCTCCTCTCCTGTTCTCTGAGTCAGAAGGTGGAACCGTGGTTGCTAGGCAAGCGCTGCCGACGAGCTGGTCGCCATGCTGACCGCCATGCTCTTTATTTCGGGTCGAGAACACTCACGTTCCTACGAGAGAGTTCCTTGAGTGCGTTCTCCTCGGTTGCGCCACCCTTCTTGTCCTGGGTCTTGCCCGTCGAGATGGCGATCACGGTCTTGTCCCCACCGACACCGAAGAAGGTCCTCTATCGTATTGCCACGGACCGAGATTAGCATTTGGAGCCACCTTGCCCCTATCGATAGACCCTTTTGTGACCATAATACTTACAGCTTCGCCGGCCTTGTCCTTGGTGCCGCTGAGCTGCCACAACTTGGCGAGAGCGTCCTTGTCGACAGCTTGCGCAGCCGCGGAAGAGACGGGCTGACCACCCGAAACCCCAATGTAGACGGCTGAAGAGGACATGTTGCGCGAGTAGCGAGCTGGGGTGTCACGAAGAGTTTGGATCAACGATGTGCGTGTGAGGGGCTTGAAGAGCATTCGGGGACCCGAACAAGATGGGCGGGTAGGAAAAAGGGGGCCAGACCACTTCATTCGACCACGCGGGTCCCGCTCGGGCACCACATGGTCTTGCCCCGTCTTGTGAGCCCGGTTACCTCCGCGGCGACCAGCAGCGCACCGGTCCGATGGCATATGCACAGGCCCTTTGAGTAGTAGGTCAGACCACGAGCAGACCAAGTCAAGGCTTGATCCGGTAGGTAGTTATTCAACTTTCGATTACAACACATGCGATATCAACAGCAACATCTTTCGACCCGTGCACAACATAACTGAACGGATCACTAATGAGTCTCGTGAGGAGGATGATCGACGACCATCGCTCGTGTGGTAGGCCGAGCGATTCAAGAAAATGATCAAGAAGCGTCATATCACGATCACTCGTGATGACGAGAGGGCGGTGGTGGAGGAGGCGGCGGAGGCGGCTCTTGACGACCTTGAGGCATCATGTGGGGGTCGTACCGCAGGTGGGAAGGTGGGGGAGGCGCTCTCGAGGCGTAGTAGTCTCGAGAGGACGCGGGCTGGTTGTACGAGGATCCAGCAGGTGAGTGAGGACGGTGGCCCAGCACTGATGGTGTGTTGGATCCGAACGACGGATAAGGACTCGGGGACTGGTTCCAGCTGTTGTGCGACTCAAAATTGCCCGCTCGTTCCCGAACATGCATCGATGGGACAGAGTAGGCCGAGGGACGGTACAGTGGAGGTGAGGCGCTGTATTCGCGACAGTCCAAGGCGTGACTATGCGATGGAAGGTGACGCGGGAACGAGTGCGACTGGGAAGGAAGGTCCGTATGTTGAGACGGGGGCGGCGCAGGGTCGTGCAGGATCGAGCGAGGTCCGCGCATCGAACTGACGTCGCTCTCTTCCTCCGTCGTAGCGCCGATCTCCTCGCTAGCCCGGGCCCCGCTTCCCCCGAACCAGTCGTCGCGGCCGGGCGAGTGTGCGTCCTCATCCGGCGTGTCGTCGTTGAGCAAGTTGCGGATACCCTTCGAGCGAAGAGCCGGCTCCGAGATGGGCAGCGGAGGCAGCTCGACGTCGGACAAGGCTGGAGTGGCCGCTTCATCGAAGAAGCCGAAGCGGGACCTTTGGTGCTGCACGAGGCCGCTTTCGAGCGCTTCACTGAGAGGCACGCCAGTCGGAGCCGTGTACTCATGGCTGCTGGCATGGCGAGGCGTGGTGCCACCGGAGCCGGAGCGCGAACGATCGTCCCCGGCGTCGCGTTTGGTCGATGAGTTGACGAGCTCCGCGAGATCGAACTTTTTGGTGTTGTTTTGAAACCACTGAGCATATAAATTACGTCAGTATTCGTCGTAACATGTGGTGCATGCGCGGACAGAGCAGAACTCACATTTCGGCACTGAACAGCCGTCTTATGCTCCAAACCCTCCGCAAGCTTGGCCCAATTTTTGCCATAGACTGCGAGCAGGCGCATGAGCTCGTTCCGTTCGGCAACCGACCAGTACGAAGATGAAGTCCCTTTGCGTCGACCGCCGACCGAGGTCTTCAGCAGCGAGCGGTCGCCATCGGAGGCGCGTCCAGCAGAGTCCTCTTTGTTATCCCCGGTTTCAGGGCCGCCGACGAGACCTGCCAGTGCTTCTGCAGCCTCCAAGGCGCCATCGGAAGGGAGAAGCATCGTGTCTCGGATCTTGGGGGTGCGCGCGCCTTTCTTGCCATAGCCAGCAGATGAGCCCGGTCTCGATGGCTCGCGTGAGTCGACCGTGGTAAAAGCCTCGTCGCCGAGCCACAAAGCGGCCAAAGGAGGGGGTGATGACGCCCGAGGCGGTCGCATCGGAGTCGGCGGGACAAAAACCAAGGGTGACTCGAAAGGCAGCTGACGACGAGCGGTCTCGGGGCTGAGAGGGCCAGAGCCGACGGGTGGAGGCGAGCCTTCGTCGACGTCGTCGTCGTCATCGGGCTTGCGTGTTTGCAAATTGGCGAGCAAACTCTTTTTGCCGCCTTTGATCTCGTCGACACGCTTCTTGCCCTTTGGACGTCGTCGACCGTCCTTGTACTTGCGGTCCGAGAGGATTGCCCTAAATTCTGGCGCATGCTTGACGCGGTAGTAGAACAACACGCACTGCGCAGTCGTCTTTTCCGGGATACCAGCCGCGATCTTGCCAAACTGCTTGGGATGTTCCTCGTAGAGTCGATTGAAGGTGTTCACCTCGTCGCGCGTCCACACATCGAGGGGCTTTTGGATCTCATAAAGTGCGATCGGATCTTCGACTCTGCGCTGCTCGTCGTGAAACGCTAGGGACAGCAGATCGTTCCGTTCCGAAGGGTCAATGAGTTGATCGGGGACCTCGACGGCTTGGCGTTCGGCTCGAGCACTGGCATCGCGCCGCGTAGCGTTCTCGAGGTTCGCCAACACCTCCAGGAACTCGGCCTCGGACCGTACCGTGTCGCCGAATCCGACAAAAGCCGAAGCGCCGCCTCCACCTCGACGATTTGGCCGACCGCTGATGGTGACAGGTCCGCAGGTGGCTGTCGCTCCTGCGGCGGCGGGAGCACCGGGTGTGGCGGGTTCGGTCGAGTAGAAGGGCAGCCCGACTTCGTCGTGCGGTGGTTTGATAGGTCCCGTTCGTCGATGGATGCGGTTGTGCAGCTTGTCCAGCCGGTCGCAATGCGCCGTCCAATCCTCGTTAAACAGCTCGTACTCGGCGCGGAGCTTGAGCATCTTGTCATGGCGACGATCATCACGCCTGACAAACGCCTCGATCAGGAAAGGTTGGACCTGCTCATGCATCCGCCACGCCGCTTTGGATAGATCGAGATTCGTGACATCACGCACGATCGACGAGGCTTGCTTGGCAATTTCGGGCGCGGACCTCTTGCGGTTGTCGAGCATGAGTGCGTTGACCTCGCCCGAGTCCTGTTCGTTCGCGGCAATGACGTCGTTGAGGATCGAGGCAAAGCTTCGCGGTGGGGAGGTGGGAGGAGACGGTGGAGAGTGGGGTGGAGGAGGGGGCGGGGGTGTGGGAGTGCGCTTTGCGATCTTGAGTAGCAGCTCGGCTTCCAGCGTGGCCTTGTCGACGGGCATCGACTCCCCTGCCTCGGCAGACTCGACAAGCACAGCCTCGGAAGCGACGGAATCTGGGACTTCCATCGCGACGACTACGGTGCTCTGCACTTCTTCCCCTTCCTCGACCTCTTCCATCTCTGCGACTTGACTGGCGGCGTCGCTTGTGCTCGGGGTCGGCAGGGCGAAAATGGCCGCAGGTTGAGGTGACGATGGTGGTACTACTGCAGCGTCCTCAGAAACAGCCTCCCTTTGCCCAGTTGACGCCACGGGGTCGACTTCCATTTCGGTTACAGGCTGGACTTTCTCGGTTTCGAGGACGGGCTCCTCGGCCTCATCTTTGACGGCCGGATCAGCAGGCGCATCGATCATCTCGTGATCCTCGTCACCGACATCAGCCAGCTTTTCCTTGAGTTTTGTCGGAGAGGGGAAGTCAAAGGCAGGTAGTCTAGGTGGTGGTGTCCCCGGTTCGTCGGGGTCGGTCAGAACTTCGCCTAGCTCGAGCTGATTCTCCGCTTCGTTGTCCTCTGACTTGAAGGTGGACTCGTCCCTAGGTTGCGCACTTGTCTCCTGAGCGTCTTTGTGATCCGCAGCCGGCGAAGTGGCTTTCGTATACGGCAATTCGACGTCGACCGGAATCGGCGAGGCCGGCGTCGGAGTATACCCTCGGGCCGGCGAAGGTTTGTTCGATCGTCTATCGCCATTCGAGTACGTCGGCAAAGGGTTCGGGCGCTTACCCTTGAAAGGTTTTCGATCATCATGGGCAATTCGTCCATCCCTCGGGAACCCAGCGAACCGATCTCCCAGACGCAGAGGCGAGCGTGATCTCGAGCGAGTCCATTGGATCTCGCCAGGGGACATGGAACGACCCCTTCGAGGTGGGGGCGATCGATTCGGACCCGAATAAGGACGGGGTGGATCGAAGCGATTGGCAGTAGAGAACTCGGAGCGCGCGGGGGAGGGCTGTCTTTGGTTCGTCGAATAGCGGTCGTTGTGATCGGCTGGTCCCGGTCCTCCTGGTCGATCGCGATCATCGAACCGCATTGATGACCCATGCGGGTATCTGTACACCCAGATCGTCTCGCACAATATGTCAGCTGTTATCTCCCAGGCACGGTAGCCAGAACACGGTGAGTGCTTGATCAAGCAAACGCACCCTTTGCCCGGATCTCCCGATCTGCGCGAATTCGCGGTATCGTACCCGTTCGGCGGCCTCCGGTGGTTCCAATCTGGCGAAGGTGGTCTTCCCCATCCTGCCTCCTCTTCACTCTCGCTTCCCCTCCCGTCTCGGCCCCGTCTCAGTATTGGTCGAGCGCCATTCGCATCGGATCCAGGTGCGCCGCGGAACGCAGATCGTGGCCAAGGTGACGAGGCGAAGCTGGCACGGCCCGAGGTGGAAAGGGGGGGAAGGGACGAGTACGAATCCCTCGAGTCCCTATTGGGTGGTGGCCCTCCACGACCACTACCGGGTGGTCCCCTCCGGTCCCCTCTGCCCATGCTCAGATCCCTATCTCTGGGGTCTCGCTCTCGTTCGCGCGGACGCCTCGCCCAGTCCCGGTCGTGGTGTTGTTGTTGCTGCTGCTGCAGTTGTTCCCAAGCCCAATCTCTATCCCTGTCGCGGTCCCTGTCGGCTCTAGGGTCCCTGTTGTCCCTGTCTCGATCCCAGCCCAGAGAGACGTTGCGTCGATGCCCTGGTAGATCGTCGCGTGGTGGCCACTGGGCCGGCCCCGTTTGAGACGACAACGATGGCCCTGTTGTAGTAGAGGACGAGTTTGCAGGTGGTGGTGGTGGGGAGCGAGGCCTGGATTGAGATCGATTGAAGCTCCGATCGGTCGGGGCGCGCTTGGGGAGCGAGCCGGCGTCGAACGAGGAGCGCGCAGCAGAAGCCAAGCTAGGCGTAGACGGGAGGGGATGTCGGGAGGTGACAAAGTTGGCGATGGGGTGGGTCGAGGACGATGAGGATGCCAATGCCAGGGACGAGGAGCGGGGAGGGATCGACGGCAACGACGAGGAGGGCAAAGGGGCACCCAGAGCAGGCGAGTCGAGGTAAGGTCGCCTGCGGGGAGAGCGTGTGCACTGCACGATCGTCAGTGATGGTCCTGCCCGACTGGAGGCTGGTCGGTAGGTGCGTGAAGATACCTCTGAGCGTAGACCTTGGCTGCCGAGGCCCTCGGAGTCGAGTTGGAGTGCGAGTGCGAGTTCGAGTTCGAGCCCGGCGCCGACTCGGACGCAGGCGAGGGCGACGGTCTAGGCGAACGGGACCCTTCCATGCGAGAAGGTCCAGCCACCGTGTTGCAGCAGAGTAGTGTGATGGTAGGTCAGAGCCCAGGCTGCGGGAGGCGTAGGTACTCGTCGCTCAGAGCCGAGATCAGAACGGGGTGTGTGTCGAGTGATGAGGCCGCAGCGGCAGTCCGGGGGTCGGTCTGACGGGACGGAGTATACAAGATGCACGACCCCACGATACCCCACGAGGTGCGCTAAGTCGAGTTAGGGCCCCGAACGGCCGTGGCAGAGGCTGGCAGACGGGTGAGGACACGGCGGGAGCACGGCGGGAGCACGGCGGGAGCAAAGCGAGAGCCGGAGAGACAGCGAGACCGACGGTGAGTTGCTAGCAGTGACTAGCAGCGAGTAGCAGTGAGTAGCAGTGAGTCAGCGCCTGTCAGCGCTAGTCAGCCGCGCAAGTCGAGCCAAGTCGAGCCAAGTCGCACAGAGTTGCACCCACTGCACCCACCACCCCTTGCTCTCGTCGGCTCTCGTCGGCTTTCGTCGGCCTTTCGTCTGCTTTTCGTGCTGCTTTCATCCTCAACTTGCCCCAAATCACGCCGCCTCGTGGTGACTCGACACAAGAGCCATGTCGATCCACTCGATCGACATCGACCACGACGAGCTGCTCGACGAGCTCCTGATCGAGTACCTCGCCGACATCGACCTCTACCAAGCAGCCCAAGAACGTCTTCAAGCCGCACTTAAACAGGTCAGCTCTCCTCGGCGCTCATGCTCGAGCCAACCGCTCGCCGTGGACTCGCTGCTGATTCGCCGTCTTTCACCTCCTCGTTAGGCCTCCTTGGATCTGGCAAGGTCCAAGTTGGCCGTCGGAGCAGCCAAGATGAGCCAAGATGGTCACGACCTCGGTCAGACTGGCTCCAATGTCGCAATGTAGGTGTACACAATCGCTGGCTACGACGCACAAGAGTCCTGGCTCGGAACTGAACCGATTTCAGAAAACTGTTCGCTGGTCGTCTAGTTCCATCGTCGCGACCGAGAACAAATCATGGGCTACAGGCCAAGCTTCTCGAACGAAAACAGCATCTCTCACAGAGAACGATACAGATCGACGCTCGTTCGCATGGACTCTAGGACCTTCTCCACCTCCGGCTGCCCCATCACCTCCGAGCGAATCCACCGAACCTAGCCCCTCGACCTCGCTTCGCTCCCGTAGCAACACCAAAGCCACCCCAACACCTGAAAAGTCATCGAACGACTCTACACCAGAAAAGCCGACCCCGTCGCCGCGACCTTTGCGAAGATCGCCCTTGCTACAATTCTCGGCGTTCCCACCGACAGCTTTACGCAGTGCCGAGCACAGCTGGCAAAAAGTGTTGCGAAGCACGGTCGAGCTGACCGAGGCAAAGTACAAGCTTGAGGCGAGTGAGGACAGGGTACGCAAGTGCAAGGCCACCCAGAAGCAGGCCAGCTCCGAGGTCAAAAAGTCACATTGATCGGCGGGAAGGGTGGCCACCCTTCGAATCCCGACCTGGTCATGTAGTAGTGCGTTATAGATTACATGTTGTAGTTTGGTACAACTGAAAAGTGAATGCGAATGTGGTGATACAAGACTTTGCGAGATTTGCGACGGCGTTGACGGTCCTCTTTTTCCACGAAGGGTGGCTTGGGATCCTTCAGGGCTTGGGGTCCTGCTTCTGCAAGAACTCGGCGAGTTGGAGGTAGTACTCGCCGTCGAATCCTTTGGCTCCGTAGAGACCCCCTCGCTTGCTGTACTGGTCCTTGCCCTTGGTCGCTGCCATTGGCCACAGACCGTCCTTGGTGTCGAGCTTGACTTCCTTGGCGACGTACGGTTTCATCTGAGTCAGGGAAAGAGGGCGATGAGCGCCGAGATTCTTCCTCGACGTGAGAGATGATATTGAAAACATACATCGGTGGTGTTGAGTCCTAAAGGCACGACAAAGGTGCGCATGCGTTCGGGCATGAGAATGTAGGGCGCCTTGCCTCGTCCACCGTGTCGTCCTTGCGCTTTGGGTCCCAACCCGGGCATGGATCCGGTACCTGTCAGAATGAAACCATCAAGCATAAGATCAAGATTAGTAAAGTATAAGGGAGAGACGGGATGCTCGGAAGGTACGGGAATGCCGACGGTTCACGCTGCGATGCGCAAAGGGAAGGGCGCCTGACCTTTGTAGTAGTTTTTGTTGCCCTGCTTGGACATCATGGGGAGTCGAGACGCCTTGGAGAGGACGGGTGATGTAGGTCTGAACATGATGGTCGGAGGCGGGTGAGCAAGGTGTCGTGTGGTTTCGAGCCAAAAGCGCTGTAGCTTGGCCGTGCTCACGGCTTGCTCCTACGCGAGATGGCTTTTTGCGCTTGGGCCTTCTGGAAATCCAGGCCCAGCACTGTATTCATTTTGCGTAGAAAATCTGATATGTGATCAGGATACAAAAGATAAATCGCACCATCCGAAGCCCAAACTGCGACTCAAAAGTGGTACGTATCACCACAAAAAAGATAGCAGATCGTTGAGGTACGCCCAGGATGTGGTACAAATCGAATTGATCGAAGTACGTCGACCTCGCACTTTGCCCGGCCGTCCTGGCGCGTATAGCTGAGCTGTGATCAAAGTGCACCGACCGCTGTTTAGCGGTCCATAAGTTCGAGCAAAATTGGACACGCGAGCCGATTGGAATGCCAAAAAGATCTTGAAGTGCACCAAGGCGCAATACAGACAGACGCTGGAGGTGAAAAAAATGACAACTTCAGACGCCCCTGGCGTCTGACAGCACCCGTCTCGGGGATTTGAACTTTTACGGGCGGATTTATGCCTTGTAACATGCTACATGAGGTAGTTTTGATGGTAGAGGACTTTTTCAAATATAATTAGATAACTTGGTCTTATACCGGGATACATACACCCCTTGGACAAGGCTCTACTGTGTACAAATCGGCCTAAAAACGTGGTTTTTCGATACGCCCCTTGGGCTGAGCTTTCCCGGGTGCTCCCCTGACCACCCTCACCTTGTGCCACGTCGCGAGCATCCTACGTTCTGCGCACTTCCCTGTGTGCCCTTGCTGAGGGTTAAGAGGACAGCATGTCATCTACAGCAGCCCCTCTAGATACACGAATTCAACTGCTCTTAGCCGACGTGCTCGAGATTCCAGATGAGCAATTCGCCGCTATGTCTCCTGTTGCCGAGCTCACTGTCGGCGAGCTTCTCGCGTTCAAATACACCCGGCCTGACCTGACCGCAACGCTCACCGTACCCGAATTCGAGCCAACATTTCATCAGCATCAGATTCGCCCCGTTAGCACCACCCGCGCATTATTCAACAAAAGTCACGAACTTCGAGTATTGTACGCCTCCGGCTGTCATTCCATCGAGGTTCGTGACTGTTGTCGAATACTGCGCGGATGGTGCTACTGGGTCGGATCTGATGTTGATGGAACGTTGGCTCGAGTTGGATACGTCGAGCGTCGTGGTCAGTTCAGGCCGGGTAAAGTCGAACGCGAGAAGCTCGCCAACAGTGAGCTCGACAACTGAGGAGGCATAGAGCAGCGAATTGCTCCTCTGAAATCTCGGGCACGTCGTCTAAGAACAGTTGAATTCGTGACTCTGGAGGGGCTGTTGTAGATGACAGGCTGTCCTCTTAACCCTGAGCGAGGGCACGCAAGGAAGAGCGCAGAACGTACGATGACCGCGACGTGGCACAAGGTGAGGGCGGTCAGAGGCCGTCAGGGGTGTCTATTGGCATTTGTTTCACTTCCCGCGCCTTCTTTGTCTTGGTGAGCGTGAAGCGCATTTTTTGGTATTACGATCGGCTAGCGCGCCCGATTTTGATTTTTGATTTCTTTATTTGCTAGATTTCAATAACAGTGTAATTATATTAATACCTAGAAACCTTTGGAAAAGTCGGAGGGAATGCAGTTAAGCACACTGGCTAGGCCAGCCGGGGAGCGGCGAGGTCGAGGTACATCGATGTGCACCCCATCCTGGACGTACCTCAATGATCTGGAGTGCCACTTTTAATTTATTGTCGATTTCTACCACTTTTGAGTCGCAGTTTGGGGGTTCGGATGGTCCGATTTGTACATTTTCAAGGACGCACATGCCATGGCTGAGCTTTCCCGGGTGGCCATCATGAAGTCGAGCACAGTCTAGCCTATAGCCTAGCCCAGGCTCCTCCAGTCTCAGCCAGTCTCTGCCAGTCTCACGCGCGAATTTCTGGTTGGGCGCTGGCACGTCGCCGCCTGTCGCGCGTCCCGTCCTACCATCCCCACCGACGTGTCAGCTGGTGTCCGTCTTTGTGACCGTGCGACCAACCCGAGCCGTGTGCGCGTGATTGGCTTTGGAGGCTGGTCTCGAGTGCTACTTGGAGAGCTATCGATCCGAGTGCGCCGTCATCGATCCGCGTTGGACCCGGCCCACTGCCACGTCCTGCCACGTCCTCCCGCTCCCACTTGATCACATCTCGGGCTGCCCATCAGTCAGTCCCCGTTCTGCACCCCTTCCTTTACCGCGTACACACCAACTGACTCCCTTGAGTTTGCTGCACAGTGCAACACCATCAACAACAGCAACACTCTGGGATGGGCGCTCCTCAGGGACAGTATCAGCAGCACGCTCAACAGGGCGCGTACCCGCCGCAGGGGCAACCGGGCCAGGGCCTCGATCCTCAGCAGCAGGCTGCCCCGCAACGCGCATTCGACTACGAGGACGTCGAGGACCGCGATGGAGTCAGGTTGTCTTGGAACGTCTTTGCCGGCAGTCGCATCGAGTCGACCAGGACCGTCGTCCCCATCGCTGCGGTGCGTCCGGCACCCTCCTGCCGAGCGCTCGCCGTGTGGTGCTGATGTGCTCTCTCTCTCTCTCTCTTTCACCTCCCTTCGCATCTTGCACAGCTCTACACACCTCTCAAAGAACGGGCCGATCTTCCTCCCGTGCTCTACGAACCCGTGACGTGCAAGACCTGCCGCGCCATACTCAATCCGTACTGCCAGATCGACGTGCGCGGCAAGCTGTGGATCTGCCCCTTCTGCCTCCAGCGCAACGCGTTCCCTCCCCACTACAAGGACATCTCGTCCAATAATCTCCCCGCCGAACTTTTGCCCAAGTATACCACCATCGAATACACCCTCTCGCGACCGGCGCAGGTGCCCCCCATCTTCCTCTACGTCGTTGACACCTGCCTCGACGAGGATGACTTCAAGGCGCTCAAGGAGACCATCATCGTCAGCTTGAGCTTGTTGCCCCCTCAGGCTCTCGTCGGTCTCATCACCTATGGTACTATGGTCAGTACCCCAACTTCACCATCCTCCCCCCCGCACCTGCATTCAGGCGCTGGTGTTGTGGACCGCGGTCGACGCGTCGCTCACTCTTGCGCCCTATCGCAAATTCACAGGCCCAAGTCCACGAGCTCGGCTACTCCGAGTGCCCCAAGTCATTCGTCTTCCGCGGATCAAAAGAGTACTCGACCAAGCAGATCACCGAAATGCTCGGCTTGACCGCTGCCGTGCGACCGGGAGGACCCGCACCCCCCAACGCACCCCCACCTACCGTCCACGGCGCGGCTCGGTTCCTGCTTCCCATCAGCCAGGTTGAGTACGGCCTCACAAACGTGTTGGAGAACCTGCAAAAGGACGCATGGCCGGTCGCGAGTGACAAGCGAGCCCAACGATGCACTGGTGTCGCCATGAGTGTCGCCGTCGGTTTGATGGAGGTATGTCCTTGTCCGATCACGAATCCGTGGTCACCGATCAATAGTTTGCTCACGCTTCGCCTTACGTGCAGTCCTCATTTCCCAACACGGGCGCTCGCATTATGCTCTTTGCCGGCGGACCCGCAACCGAAGGCCCGGGTATGGTCGTCGGTGTCGAGCTGCGAGAGCCGATCCGGTCACATCACGACATTGAGCGCGACAACGTCCGCTACTTCAAGCGAGCGAGCAAATTCTACGAATCTCTGGCTCGGCGAGCAGCGCAGAACGGTCACGCGATCGATGTTTATGCCGGATGCCTGGATCAGGTCGGTTTGCTCGAAATGAAGTCGCTTGCCAACTTCACGAACGGCTACATGATCCTCGCCGATTCGTTCAACATGTCGCTGTTTAAGCAGTCGTTCCAACGCGTCTTTGTCAAGGACGAGCAGGGGCATCTGCAGATGGGCTTTAACGCGACGTTCGATGTGCAGACGACGAAGGAGCTGAAGGTCTCAGGTATGATCGGGCATGCCATCTCGGCGAACAAAAAGTCCAACTGGGTCGGGGAAACCGAGATCGGTCTGGGCCAGACGTCGGCATGGAAGATTTGCTCGCTGTCGCCCAAGACGTCGAACGCCGTCTACTTTGAGGTCGTCACCCCCGCGGGCCAGCCTCTGCAGCCCGGTGCGCGTGGTATGATCCAGTTCGTCACACATTACCAGCACACGTCGGGCCAGTACAGGCTACGCGTCACCACGATCGCGCGCAACTTTGCCGAAGCTGGACACCCGTCCATCTCGGAAAACTTTGACCAGGAGGCCGCGGCCGTGTTGATGGCCCGTATCGCCGTCTTCAAGGCCGAGATCGACGACAGCCCCGACGTATTGCGCTGGCTCGACCGCATGCTCATCCGGCTGTGCCAAAAGTTCGCCGAGTATCGCAAGGACGACCCGAGCTCATTCCGGCTCAACGAGAACTTTATGATCTACCCTCAATTCATGTTCCACCTGCGACGAAGTCAGTTCCTGCAAGTCTTCAACAACTCGCCCGATGAGACGGCCTACTACCGGCACATTCTCAACTCGGAGGACGTCAACAACTCGCTCGTTATGATCCAGCCGACACTGATGTCGTACGCGCTCGAGCAACCGCCCGAAGCGGTCTTGCTCGACTCGATTTCAATCCAACCCGAGACCGTGCTCTTGCTCGACACGTTCTTCCACATCCTCATCTTCCACGGTGGGACGGTCGCGCAATGGCGTCGTGCCGGCTACCATGAACAAGAAGGGTATGAGAACCTCGCCAAGTTGCTCGATGACCCCAAGGAGGACGCGCAGGACCTCTTGCTCGATCGATTCCCGATCCCTCGTTATGTCGTGACGGATGAAGGTGGATCGCAAGCGCGTTTCTTGTTGAGCAAGTTAAACCCTTCAACAACGCACGTCTCGGGCGCGTCGCAGTACGGTGGTGCACCACAAGGCGCGGCGATCTTCACCGACGATGTGTCGCTGCAAATCTTTATGGAGCATCTCAAAAAGTGCGTTCTGCTCGCCTCTCCCTAGATGTTATTGAACTGGTTACTAAGCCCGTTTATTATTCTTTACGCTTCATAGACTCGCCGTGACGGGCTCCAGTTGAGTCTTACAGAAACGGAACGAGGCCATGTAGATTTGGAAAAACCCGAGGTCGGCGAGCCATGATCGGAGACACCTGGTCCTGTCTCGTCTCGGTTCGACCTGTTTGTGTATATGTTTGCTCTGCCCTTCACCCCCTTCTTTTCGGATTCTATCTACATTTAAACCTACCCTTGTGCTCGACCGTGCTTTTCTGACGAAATGCGATGCCGACTTAAAACGGCATAGCCCCTCTGCTTGAGAGTCACTACTATTTGCTAACAGTGCACTCGTGTCAAACTGCAGAGGTGAACGAACCTCAGTCAGGCCAAAAACCTTGTCTACTCCCGACCCACCAATACTCACCTACCTCGGTGCAAGCGACCACTCTGGGACCTTTCTCCCGTGTGAAGCTCGTTGTATGCAACTGCGCGCGCTTGTACATAGATCGGGACGGCCCCGAGCCCGGGTTTGGGTGACGCCGCTGATTTATGATACCCGCAGAGTTACAATTATCGGACGGTGAGGCCTAATCAGATCGGCAGACTCAGCTCCATCGACAGCAAAAAATAGGGATGGAGCGCATGGCATTGGGTCGCTCAATAGGGCGCCCCACAACCATGTCCCGGCCGATAGAGAAGCTTCGCGAGAATCTGACTTCCACCAGCGGCTCGATGCATGCGGCCAGGAACCGGAGAGCACCAAGCTTGGCAGGGCAATTTTGCTGGCACTCTAGCGCCTTGCTCGCGGGGCGCGCGGCGAGATGAGCTTCGCGATTGTTCTCAAAGCGTGCCGCATCCTGCCGGTTCGCTGTTTTTTGGTTTGTAGGCGTGCTTTTTGGAGGACGACTTTCCGAAGTGTGCATGTGCTGATCCTAATCATCGAGGAGCAGCTAGGCACGTTGTCGAGCATCCGGGACAGAGACACACCTCTTCGTTATCGCATTTCACCTACTCTCGTTCTCACCTTGCCCTTCATCTTTGTCCTACTACGGTCGTCCCGATCGGCTCCCGCAAAACCTTGCCGATTCTGATTCGGGCTTCTCTCGGCGGCGCCACGGTCGTGCGACGCGTCCCTGTTCACACTTTGAACCCGATCGATACATCTATAGAGGGCCTCGCTGGTTGTTTTTTTGGGGTGCGTCTGGATTGGGAATGAACTCGTCTACCTCGATGTACTGACCTTTGACACGACCTTACAGCGCCTCGTCGCGATCCCTTTCCTTTCAACTTTCCGGGGTTCGGGATTCCATTTCAAGTCTGAGGCTGCCTTGGAGCACGACGACAGAACCCGCAGCACCACGATCCTGGAGCTGTACTCTCATCCTGCGACTGCGCACGACACGAAGCGTCGTCCTCGCCCGGCGATGAACGAAACGACATCCACCGGGATGTTTGACCTCGACTTGGAACGGCAGGATGCGCGTCAGAACGCGACGCAGCGGCCGTACGACCGCGATGACAGGGGGGACGAGTGGAGCGATACGCGCCACAGGGCCCGTGCGGCCGCGGCGGTGGCTCCCTCGCCCACGGCCGCATCTCTGCCTCAGACATTTGACCCATTCGCGCCGCTCCCCCCTTCCCACATCGACCAAACGTGGTCAGCCGCCACCGTCGACCTGGCTTCCTCGACCGCGTCCACGTCGTCATCGCCGAGCGCCCTTGGCTCGAGCGTGAGCAGCCACGCGTCGCACCCGCTGCTCGACACACCCACGACCTCGAAAACGACTTCGTCGACACGGACCTCGCCTTCGGCCTCGCCGCGTGCCTCGCCCGTGCCACTGCAAGACCACGCAAAATACACCCCCAACGTGTCCAACTCGGCAATTCTGGGGTCGAATACTCCAAGTCTGGGGCCCGGTGCGGGTGCCTCGGAAGGTCCGGCCGGCAACGGCAACGCGACTGGGGGTGGTGGCACTAGTGGGAGAGGGCGGCCTTCGAGTCTTTACATCCCCATGGACGACGATCGACCAATGGGGCTCGGTGGGAATGGATTCAGTGACCATTCGGGACAGACCAGCTCGACATGGCCTTTCGGTAACGGGTCGCACTACGTGTCGTCGCCGCCGAGCGAGCCGTATCCGATGACGCCCTCGGCGATCCATCCGTCCTACGCTGACATCGACGCGAGGGTGTCGTCGGGCTCGGGCTCGCTCGCACCCGCCAACTCGCACTCGACTCCATCCTCCAACGGTTTCGTCGCCGCCGCCGCCGCCGCTTCTTCCGCAGCTTTCGCGTCCATCACCGGCACCAAGGAACATCTCTACTCCGCCATCCCCGTCGCCGCGGCGTCCCCGGATCGCAATGCGCGGAGCAGCTCCCCGATGCGGAACGCACAGAACGGCAAGCATCAGGTCACATTCAGCTCGTCCATCTCGACCTCAAAAGGGGCCAACATCACCGGCCCGCGCCACGCCCCGACATTCTCGGTCGGTACTCACTCGTTACTCGCCTCGAGATCAGGCTCGACCACATCCCGGTTAGCCCAACGCTTGGACTCGGTGAGTTGCGCGAGTCTCGGACGCGCCGCGTCGAACCTAAGTCAGTCTCGGCGGTGACTGATTCACACTTGTCCTTCTTCTGTTGTGTTCCACGATGGACTTGTTGTTCTCCACATCTGCGCCTATTCGAAACCCCTTGTTCGACTTCGTCTCCTTCAGCCGCCAGCATGGTTGCTGCTGTACTTCGGGTTTAATCTGGGTACGTGTCACTGGGGCTCCTCTCGATACCCCTCCGCATTCCTTTCTCCAGAGCACTCATCGTTTCGAGGCTGGTCCTATCGCCCCCACAGGTCTTACACTGTTCAACAAATTGGTTTTGCAAGGCTTCCCCTTCCCTTGGACGCTTACAGCGATCCAGATGCTGTCGGGCACGATCGGCACCCAGATCGCCCTGTTCCAAGGCTACTTCACCCAAGCCCGCCTCACAACACGCGAAGGGCTCGTCATGATCGCCTTCTCTGTGCTCTACACGGTCAACATCGCCGTGTCCAACATCAGTCTCGGACTCGTCACTGTGCCGGTTCGTTTGACACTTCGGTTTCCGGCCTGCGTCCGAATTTGAGAGTGTTGACCGTTGACCACTCATTTCGTTCTTACTCTGTCTCACATCAGTTCCACCAAGTTGTCCGCGCCATGACACCTCTCTTCACCATTATCATCGCAGCGGTCTTGCACGGCAAACGTCATTCCCGCGACACGTATCTCTCGCTTTTGCCCGTCGTCGCCGGTGTGGCCTTTGCTACCTACGGCGACTACTCCTTCACCGCTTGGGGCTTCATTCTGACCCTGCTAGGGACCTTGCTCGCCGCGCTCAAGACGATTACCACGAACCGTGTTCAGGTCGGGCGGCTGAAGCTACATCCGCTCGACCTCTTGATTCGCATGTCGCCGCTCGCCTTTGTCCAATGCGTCGTTGCTGGCTACCTCTCGGGTGAACTGGACAAGGTGCGAATCTACGGCGCAACGGAGATGACGAGGCACAAGGCCATAGCTTTAGCGACGAATGGTGCGATTGCATTTGGATTGAACGTCGTCAGTTTCACGGCAAACAAGAAGACGAGCGCCTTGACGATGACCGTAGCTGGTAAGCTGTCTGTTTTTGAACATTCGCTCGAACTGCGCGTGTCGGGGCCAGAGTGCTGATGCTGCAGGCACTCTCTTTGCGTCGAACAGCCAACGTCAAACAAGTTCTGACAATCGGCCTGGCGGTCCTCATCTTCAACGTCACGCTGAACCTGATGAATGTCTTTGGCATCATCTTGACTCTTGGAGGTGGAGCTTGTGAGTTCGCATCCGTCACGACGAGATGATTATAGCCAGCTTGCTCACATGCGCCGACAAACACCGTCTGCTACAGGGTACGCATTCGTCGAGTTCAAAGAGAAAAACAACAGGAACAACAACGCGATTCAACCGCCGACACGATCTGGACAGGCTGAGATGGAAAAGTTATGACCGCGCTCGATCGTGACAGCTTTCTCCTGCTTCTCAGCCCACAATGATATCCCCACGCTCCCATTCCGTTCGTTATTATCTTCTCTCGGGTTGGCCCCGAGAGGAACAGATACCGTAGAAATGAAACCTTACTGTGCTTGTATTATCGCAAACTATTTTCACTGCTTTCCTTTGTCCCCGGGGAGCCTGGGCTGGGAGCCCGTCCATGCACCGGACACGCGAATTGGAATGCAGATGTGATAGCCCAGGTGTGGTTCCTTACAACGGTTTCTATAACAAAAATATTCACGCTATGACTATTCATCTATCAACTTCTTTGGAACCGATCACATCCCGTAGCCCGTAAGAACCATTCGGCCCAAACCTCCTCCCCATCCTCAGTCGACCCAGTCGTCGCCGATCCCGACCGGTCACCATTCCCAGTTCCGTTCGCAGGTCTGTGGCTATGCCCCCGACTGGGATCGGTGCTGAACCCGGCTGAACCAAATTTCTTACCTTTGTGATGGCCGGCGAGCGAAGGGATCTGGGCCGAAGCCAGACGTATCTCGGTCTGTAGCGTTTGTCGCGAGGCGCTGTAGTCTAGAATGGAGAGAAACTGCATTTCCGTCAAAGGACTGGTCAGGACGGGCCGGCCATCTTCGGGAGAGATTGGGTTAAGAAACTCGGAAGGACAGCGCGTGTATCGATGAGCTGTAGAGGAAGGTCGAGCGTCGAGGGTGCATCGAAGGATATGGATCCGGATCTCGATCGGCAGGTGCTGGAAAGCGAAATAGTCTCGAGACGGTGCGAACTCGACCCTCGAATTAGGTGATGATGTCGAGGATGGTGATCGATCCGTGGCTTGTGATATGGCTGAAATTCCGTGTGACTGCTGACCGAAAAGAACACGAGCTTTGGCGAGCAGCCCAAGAGCGGCGAGACGAGTTTCCTTGAGCACGATCTTGTTCATCTCCTTCGCTCGCTCGAATCGATCCTTGAGGCTCGCTCTTTCTTCGTCCGTCTCTTCATCTTCAGCTTCCAACTCTGCAATCACGTCTGCCCAGACCGTTTGCTTCGCTTCGCCGAGCTCGTTTGCAAATAATTCGACGTGAACAAGTGACGGCGCTCTCCCCGTCGCGACAGACCGTAAGATGCGACGAACGCCAGCTTCGCTGAGCCCATTGCCATTGAGACCGAGGGCTTGCAGCCGTCCTCCACCGATCGGTGATTCCAACCAACGAGCCAGAGGTTGGGCACAATCGGGTGTGAGCTTGCACACCGAGAGGTGCAGTTGGGAGAGCTGAGATGGGTTTTCCGTGCCGAGCCGGAGATGCTGGAGAAGATTGAGCAACCCTGAAGACGAGATGGTCGGATTGTTGGTCAGGGAGAGACATCGGAGCGAGGACGAAGGGGACGACAGGCACGACCCAAGGAAAGCAGCTAGCGAGGGCGAGAGCCGGAAGTCGTTGGCGGTGAGATAAAGATGAGTCACCGTCGGCGGATGCGGCGAGGGTTGTAGCAGGTTGAGCGCCAGAAGATGGAACGACACGTCCGTAAGATTGTTTCCGGACAGATTTATCTCCTGGGAAATACAATGCAGAGTCATTCGGTCAATACAAACTCTCAAATAAAGAACTGTGGTGCATCCCACCTTGAGGCAAGCGCCGATCCCCCGGGACCGTAGCCCCTTTAGGCCACGTGTTATCGCCATGATGCCATGGTCGCCAAGTTTGTTTGAGCTCTGTGGATGAGCACACTTAGCACTCAGCGTTCAACTCTATCCACCTCCATAAGTCAGTGGCCACCGCATCTGCGTCGGTGCCGAAGGAAGGTACACCAGACCTGGCTGAACTGGCCCCCACATCGAGCATCGGCATCGACATCGCGAGTGACATCGGATGGGTACGCAGCTCACCAGATTGACCGTTTCGACGCCTGGTGATCGCTCCAGCGCGGCCAGGAATACCTGTGCTCCTCGATCACCGTACAGGTCGTGGTCGAACAGGTCCAGTCGCTTGGTGGTGCCAACGTGTTTGGCCCGTAGCCGCTCCCACTCCCACTCGCGTGAGCCGTCGACGGAGCCGCTCGACGAAGTGGCGAAGGAGGCGTAGCGTCGGATCGGCGTCGCCAACTGACGAAAGAAGGAGGCCAACTCGCTTCCTGGGCTTGAGAAGCGGTCGTACGCCGACATGACGCAGGTGAGCCAGGGTCGGCACTCCTTGGTAGGGTCGCGGGAAGCGTGAGGACGAAGCACGAGAGCTACGAGGGTCGGCGGCTCACGACACACCCTCGTCGTTCAGAGATTACGTGACTGAATGGTTCTGCCGGCTGCATTGGCCATGAATCTAGATACAACATAGAATAAAATATAGATATGCCATCTAATGGACTATCTGGCGGCGGAATTGATCGCCCCCGGGCCGCTTTTGACCCCTGATCGGCGAGCGCGCCGCGGAACTCAATCGCCTCTCACGGGCCCAGTAGAGCAGCATCAAAATATTTAAAAGGATCCTTTCGTCTTTCGAACCCGTCAAATCGTCAACACAACACCGCCTGGACGGCGTTCGACCAGCTTCCCCGGCGCCCCGCGGAGGCAATTTGAGATTCGTGCCCTGAGCTGCTAGCAGCTCATGCTGCCATGCGTTGAGTCCGAACCGTTGACAGAATCTCCGTGTAACTGATGATTCGTTCTCAACAGGCTCGAGCTATCCAAGAAAGGTCGCAAGAAAGAGCTTGTTATTTTTGTTTTGTTTTACCGGTGTCATAAATTGCAACCTTTCCGCCCAGTACACATGATGATTTTTGCTTGTTTGTTTGTTCTACCGGGGCTCACGATTTACAATCCTCCGTGTTGGCTGGGACCGCTACAAAGAGAGCTAAATGGGTTCTAAGCAATGACGACGAGCAGATGGGTGAAAATCATCCCCCCCCCCCCCGGCGCAAAGAGCGCCGCGCAGATCAAAACCCGCCAAACACCTAACTCAGACTCCAACGGCCGTGAGTCTGCAGCCGCTTCACATCCCATGACTGGGAGCGAAAATAACCCCGCGATAACCAGGGACGCGATAACTAGCGTTCACCTAGAAAGAAAGGGAACTTATACGGAAAGCCACGACCAGGAACACGGAACGGAGAGCCAGTTTTTTTTAGTTTTTTTTTTTTTTTTGGGGGTAGAACTTGTTCATCATATTGCCCCCGGTTCAGTTCCCCCTATTTGGCCTATGGGAAAAACTAGATGGAAGTCGACGATGATAACACAAACCGCCCGCGTAGTGCAAGAAACGCCTCAAGTCCACCAATCCGATATTTCGAATTCAAGTGCCGCAGCCAAGCGGTTGCTCCCCCTGAGGAGACGAATGAGAGATAGAGAAAAAGAAAAAGAACTGGCGTACTAACGACAAGAGGCCCACCCCGCACCCACTTCCCAACTCGGTCGAGATAAAGACAGGAGAGTAACTGCGCAGCTACCCTGACCCGCGAAGCCAAGCCCCAAGTCTATGCTCGGTCACAACAAGACGCGGTGGAGGCCCCTCAAAACCTCCACCTCAGCAGTCCCTGGCCCCTCAAAGCCGACTTTCTGCCTGTGTCTGCTGATCCCTCCATTAAACTCAGAACCCCGAAGCCAAAGAGCGCGAGCCACCGTCGAGTCAATCCCAAAACGCGAGCCGGTCCATGAGCAACGGAGGCAGACCTGTAATAAAAGAAAGATGAAGAAAAGATATTTAGTATACAGTTTTTGTAAGAGGATGTGTGATGTGGGGTGTGTGTGTGTGGAGTGGGGTGGGGGGAAATCGAACCCTGCCCTCTACTGCCCTCACCCGCCCCTTGCTCCTCCCGCCCTCAACCTCATCCTCTCCTCCAGTACGACCCTCCTCCGCTCCAGGCTTTCCATCCTCGTCCCGTGCTTCTGCATCCTCCATCTCCCACTGCTGATCATCTCCAAAACCATCCCCGTGAAGATCTCGATCGTCCTGCCCGCGCCTTCCTGTGCGCTGAGCTTGGCCTTGAGCTTGGGGAGGCCAAAGAGTCGTTGAAGCGTCGTGTACTCGGCGCCCTCGATCGTGTCGCATCCGAGCGCGTCGCAGAGCACGCCCCTTGCCGCGGTCCAGACGTTCCGCGAGTCGACGCAGCCGAAGAAGTAGTGATCGGTGTCGTCCACCGGCGCTTCGCACACGAGGCACGCGGGAGAAGTGTCATGCTTTTGCTCGTGCTGGAGCTTGCGCGTCGGGGTGAAGCGGAGAATCAGCTTGAACCAAACTTCCCTCTCCCTCGCCGTCAGTGCATTCGAGTTGACTGCCTTCCAGAAGCTCCTGAGGTCGTCCGGCTGCGGTGGTCCCTTGAGCCCGAGCATGTTGGTAAATGCCTTCGCGTTCAGGACCCGGCGGATGCGACGGACTGTGTAGGGGCGAGCCATGTTCAGCAGCGTATACTGGCTCGCCTGTTGTGGAAGCACCGGGTCCGGAAGGCGCTGCTCCATTGCGAAGCGGGCCACGGGCTTGGGGATGATCGCCTCGAGTGGTGCGCTGGTGCCGATCCGGGGAGGCACGTTGAGTCGTCCCGCCGCCACCGCCGCCGCCAAGGGGGTGTTCTTGTGTCGATCGACAGTGAACCGGTACCAGGCCGCGATTGCCAGTCGCTGCGGGAGCCCGCGTCGATCGTACTCGCTGTTGTCGCCGAGCACATCCGCCGGCGGCGTCCAGAGGTGAAACCCCCCACCCGCATACAACTCGCGCCGATAGAGATCCGCCACCTTCGGGTAGCCCTGGAGACGAAGGTAGTCAGGTACATGAACCGCGTCGATGGTCTGTCTCCCTCTGATGGGGGTGTGGAGGCTGCCGAGCAGGGTGGGCAGCGCGAGCAGGTTCGCGGTGGTCAAGGCCCTCGGGTTGACCTGCGCGTCGTGAAGTTTCGGAACGCCCAGTGCGGCGTGCCATCGGGGATGAAGGTCGTTGGGGATGGGAGTGGATGGATGTGGCCAGAGATCGGTGGCCAGGTCGAGGTCGGGCTGAGCTCGCTGGAGTGCTGCGCGCGCAAGTCCTTGCCAAATCGCGCCGGAACCGCCGAGAAGAACGTCCCAGAGCCGTGCCGCAACCGCGTCCACAACGTCCCGCATCCTTATCACCCCGAGTCCCCCCTTGTTCTTGGCGGTGAACACAATGTCTCTGCCGTAGCTGGTCCTGCCCTTGCCCCCACGGACGAAATCGACGAGCATGTCATCGAGCTTCTTGACGACTTCGGGCGGCGGGATGTCGGCTGCAAGGAAATGCAGGATCTTGGGAAAGGCGTACCGATTGACGTAAAAGGCACGGGTGTGGTGCGTGAGCCAGCGATGCTGAACCGCTTCCAGCGTCGCCTCGAGCCGTTCGATGAGATTCGCGTAGGCGAGTTCGGTGTCGCCGCTGGGGTCGAAGGGGAGGCCGATCCACTCGAGCGACTCGCCTGCGGCCTTGACGACGATTGGCCGTTCCCCAGGGTCCCAGCGACGTCCAATCGGTAGGACGACCGTCTTGTCCGTGTTGAGCCGGCCATTCGTTGCAAGCCTCCAGTCGAGCGCCAGGTCATCGAGCAAGTTGAGTGACTCCAAGCCCGCGACGGCGACGACAACGTCATCGGCAAATGCAAGTGATGTAATGGCGCGGCTCTGTGGGTACGGATGAAGTGCAGGTATGGAGAGATTCAGCGCGATGTTTCGACGGTGTAGAGCATCCAGGAACGGCTGAAACACGATGTCCCAGACCGACGATGACGCCGGGTCCCCTTGGCCGAGCCCACACGTCAGTCGCACCGGCGCCGTCAGGAACCCATTGATGATGTAGCGCGCCGAGGTCGAGTCACCCGAGTAGAGCATCCTCAGCACGCGAAGAAAGGTGGTAGGAGCGCCCAGAGCGTCGAAAATGGCAAAGATCCAGTCATGCTCGACGAGGTCGTAGGCGGATGATTGGTCAAGAGACAAGAGCGCGGCCGCGGGGAACTCGGTCCTGCGCGCGCCAAGTTCCTCGATCAGGAGACGAAGGTGTAGTGCAGCGTCGGCCGATCGGCGGTCCTTGACGAAGCCGTGCTGCTGCGGCGGGAGGAGATCGGGCAGAATTTGGTTCAATCGGGCGACGTAGACCTTGGTAAAGATCTTGTAATCGCACTCGCGCAGGGTGATGGGGCGATACGACGAGAGTTCGGCGCGATCGGCATTCTTCTTGTGGCGCTTGAAGATGAGGCGCACGAGTCCCTGGCCCTGCTTGGGAGAGAGTGAACCGCGCTCGATCATCGCGTTGTAGGCCTTGGTCAGCACCTTGGACCACGCCTCCGGTGCGGTCTGATAGAGTTCGTAAGGCACGCCCGACGGGCCCGGCGATCGCCCCGGGTGCGTCGTCCCGATCGCGGCCACGACCTCGTCCTCGGTGATGGGTTGCTGGAGGAGATCAATCTGCGTTTCCGAGAGTCGGCGCAGAAAGAGCGGATCTGAGCGCGGGTCGTCGCAAGTCCGTGCCGCCCTGATCGGCACGAGGAATTCGTCCCGAAGTCGGTCGACGCGTTCCGGGTCACGAGGCTCGATGTGGTAGAGGCGCTGGAAATGCGCCTGCGTGTGGTCAAGAGCGACATCAATGTCATGCGTTAGCCCTCCGTTGCCCAATCGCAGTGCTGTGATCTTGGAGTCCGAGTTCCGCGCCGCGAGCTTGGCGTGGACCGGCCGCGACAGTCGTTCCTCGGAAGCGATCTCGGGGACGTGGGCTCGGATCCGGAGTAGGCGCGCGCGCTCCTCGACCGCCCGCTTGAGTTCCTCGGACGTCCTTGTCCATTCTGCCGTTTCCGCCGCCGCCCATACCGGTAACGCCTCCAGATCCTGCACCCTCCCCACCAAATACTCCATCCGTTCAGACCGCTCCCGATGCAGCCTCCTCGCCAGCTCACCACCCCTGTCCCTGCACGCCTCCAAAATCTCCTCGAGCTCCCGCACCGGTTCCTCCCCGCTTGCCCCTTCCAACCATCCTTCCATCATCCGCTGAAATTCCACCGTCTTGAAGGTTGTGGTGTTGATTCGATGTAGTTGGTTGGATGTGGTAGGTAGGCTGAGCTGTGGGAGAGCCGCATCAAGATCGTCTGAGAGAGCCAGCACAATCAAGACCGGTCGGTGATCAGAAAGATCCTTGGGATAGTCGTAGATCGTCGAGGCCTGGTCGAGTCTTTTTTGGTGTGTTCGTTGCAGGAGAAAGTAGTCAAGCCGGGAGAAGGAGTTAGGTCGCTTGCGATTGGGATTAGGTCGAGTGAAAGATGGGGTGATGGGGTGCTTGTAGCGGATGCAGTCCGTGTAGGCCGAGTCGAGCTTGCCCATCAGAATCGGCCAGTGGTGGCCGCGCCGAGTTTGGTTCCGCCGATCGACTTCTGGGCGCGGGCAGTCGTTGAGATCGCCGCCAAGGAGTCGGAGGTGGGATTTCTGTGTTTTGTGAAACAAAAATTTGTCGAAGAATTTTGCTCGTTGTTTTGGGGCAACGGGCGCGTAAAGGTTGTTGATTTCTAGAATTTTGATGTCACCCCGCAGACGAAAGGAGGTGACGAGGAGCCGGCCGTCGAGTGCCGAGTGGGTGCGCAAGAGCTCGGCGTCGATCAGAGGCGAGTTGGCCGGAATCAGAGTTATACAGTGCTGGTTGATGAAGAGCTTGCCCTCGTACTCGTCCTTGATGATCTGCCAGAATTGTGGTCTGACAAAGTGTTCTTGTATGAGAATGGCCGATGCTTTGAAAGTGGATAGGTATTCGTAAATGTCACGTCGTTTTTCCGGGACCCCCATGCCCCTTCTTACGTTCCAGGTGATGATGGTGTGCTTGATCATTAATGGGTAGTCGAGGTCGAGGCGCTCTTGGCGGTGGTGACGTCCTCAAAGAGGGGAAGGGCGGGCAGGACATCGTCCTCGGGCTCGTGGTCGGACCATCGTTTTTCCTCAGCTACCCCTCTTCCTTTCCCTCTGTCCACCTTCGTCACCTCGACCTGCATCGCCGCTGCCGCCGACATCGACCTCGTCACCCTCCGCCCCTCTATTCCATCCTTCACCACGACGCGGCTCTTCCCTTTGATGATGACTCGCTTGGCGTCGGTCGGTTCGTCACTTGGGTCACTGAGGTCCGCCGCAGTCTGCGACCTCTTCATCACCTGCTTCTTGAACTTCGCAGCGGTCCCCCTGATGTTGATGGAGCGTATCTCACCGTCCTCGTCCCACGTGGCAAAGTTGTGACGCACCAAAGGGGTTTCAGCGTTGAGCCTCCTCTCGATGCTTTGGTCCCGCTCAAGTCGTGCCTGCTCAACCCAGTTAGCTCTGATCCTGTCCCACTCCTCCCCCTCGCGTAGCGACTTGGCGAGAGTTTCGGGTGACAGAGGTGGGGTTGGTTCGTGCGGCGTCGATTCGCGGGAAGCGGTGGCGGCGGTTGCTGTGGCGTCGCTGTCGTCGTCATTGTCCAGCCTGTTCGTTTCCCCTAAGTCCGTCGCTTCCGCATTCTCCGCTTTCGTCGATCCCCTCGCTTCGTCCACATCGCCCACCTCCGTCGCCACCTCCTCTTCCTCCATCTCCGTAGCCACCTCTCCTCCCGTTTCACCTCTTTCATCCGCCATCACCTCATTCTCATCAATCACCTCTCCATCGGATCCGCTGCAGTCCTCCAAGACCGACTCGTCCTCGCTTTCAATTTTGATGACCTCCGTTTTCGCGGCCGCCTCCGATTCCATCTCCGAGTCCTCCGAGTCCTCGTCATCCGCCTTATCACCAGCGTCTTCCTCCCCCGATTCCTCCGGTCCCTGTTCGCCCTGGCCAGTTACCTCTTCCTCCTGTCCCTCCTCGACCTCGAGCCCGGCGAAGTGATTCTGTGATGCGATCCTGTTAACAACCAGCACAGGAATGGGGGCCTCGGCCTCCGCGATGTTGGTGTTGTGGGTGATGGTGTTTTTGTTGCTGTTGATGATGCCGTTGTGAGCCTCCTTCCGCTTCCTCTCCTGATCCAGTCCGCAGGTTCCCACGTGACCCACAAAGTGGCACCTACCGCAAGCCGCCTCCTTCTCATAGTCATGGCGAAGGGCGGTAACCGGGATGCCTCGAGTGGGAAGGTCGATCCTCGAAGGTAGAATCTCCTTCAAGGTCGTGTTGGGGCGTTGGAATAGGGAGTCGTCATCGAAGTGTAGGAAAGCCGAGTAGTCTCCGGCAACGTGGGCGAAGGCCGAGGCGTTGTCCACGCTGATAACGCGCAGAACCTGCACAAGTTGGCATGAATGTCCCTTGGCTGACAGGTCTTGCACAAGTGATTGGAACGATTTGATGATGGCATCCATGGAGGGCACTCCTTGAACACCGACGTTGATTCGAAGCTCGACCATGTTATGGTGGAACCTGTGAGACTTCGCGAAGCGGGCCTTCGCCGATCGCCAAGTGAGAGCGGGGGGCGTCGTGAGCGCCGCGTCACGTGCCTCGCCGGTGACGAACCCAACCGTAACGCGATGGTGAGCCGCCCCATTACGCAGGATTGATGAATGTTGTACGCCTAAGATCTGTGGTTGATAAGCCGCAAGATGGTCCGGCAGAGGAACTCCAGGCTCAAAGCAGATAGGAGAGATGGGCGATAGCAGCCTCGTGACGCAGGCCACGAGATCGATCTTGTCGGCATGAGTCGCTCGCGAGGCGCTCTGGTGAGACAGAGTCACTTCAAGGGCGTAATCGAAGATGTTCTCGACGGACCGGTTCGCGTTCAAGGCCGAAAATTTCAGCGATGTGGCGGTGGCGACGGGGTAGAGTTCGGCGAAGTAGATGGCCTGGACCCAGCGATCCATGCGGTTTCCGGGTACAGCACCCATGGCTTGTAGGAGGCTGCCCAGAGCCTTGGCACGCTGTTGTTGTTGTTGCTGTTGTTCAGGTGTTTGAGTCGCCATCTGACTCGCAGCGGCAGCATAGTTGGGTGCGGCGGTGGCGGGGCCCGTGACTTGCGTCTTCTTCGAGCTTATCGGGATCCGGTCGCGGGGGGGCTGGACGCTGGTGGCGGATACCGGTGGTGGCGGTGCCGGCAGTAGGGACCCAGGGTCTCCGGTAGACATCTTGTCGGTGTATCACTTGTTAACTCGAGTATCGAAGGCTGCAGTAGGGCGATTGTGAAGTGAAGTGTAGAGATCACGTGATTTGTTAACGAGTATCGATTGGACATATTGCCATGGAGGTATCAGTCCTCGATGGTCTATTGGCATGATTCGGCTCTCTCACAGCCGCGAACGGGGTTCGATTCCCCGTCGGGGAAAATGTATTTTTGCCTGTGGCCCGTGCTCACATACCTTGTCAAGCCGGAACATGACCTTATCTTTTTCCCTCGACGAAATGAGGCTGACCTCGGGAAAAGTTCTGGGCTTAGGGATGACCAAGGGACAACGTTTGACCAGATGTTTTTCGCCCCAGATGAACGTTTGACCAGACCAGACGGAGCGCGCCGCCGAACCTAGTTTTATAAGATAAAAGACTAGGTTTCCGCGCGCCACCTCCCATTGAAAATCAGCAGTCCTGTTACATTATTGCAGATGGCTACGGTTCTACGCTGCTTACGTCTACGTTTTCGGGAGTTTCCTTGCAGGACTGGACAGAAGTTCCGAGTCCCGTCCTCCCAAGCGTTCGAAGTCCCAATGGAAGGCGCTACACTTCCGACACAGAAGATCCATTGCACCTAAGTCATGTCGAGGGTAGGCTCCTTCCGGCAGTGGACGCAGTGCAATCGGTGACTGTGCGGCGGGTGGATGTCGCCGTGCGCGAACTGAACGCGCTCCCGGAGGTTCCGGACTGTGAGGTCGTCGCTGCGGGATAAAGTGGACGTCGGGCGTAGGCTGGGGTGGAGGTGATTGATCGACAGAATCATTTTGCTGCCTTTCCCTGAGTCTCCGCAAGGTTGTGCCCTAGATCTTCTGGAAGTAGACTGATTCGTCGATGTTGATGCGGTAGAGGCAGGGTTCGGCGAAGAACTGTGTGGGACCGGACCGGAACGCTCTCGCTTGAGCCTTTCCCGTTGACGACGTCGTTGCTGGCCTTCAGACCTCCGAGACGTCGTGCTCACAGGCGGTGGATTCATTTGATAACGTCGATAGGTGTAGCTGAGAACGTTTGAATTGATAGAAACGCTCGAGCACGTTCTACGTCGACTCATGGAACGCCGGCGAACTTGAGAGACGGCCCGGGGGCTCTGGCTCCTGACCGCCCGATAGGAGCCACTCGACGCGCCGAGAACCGGTGCGTACGTAACAGTTGTTAGAGCATGACTTATATTTCAGGGATAGTGACAAAAGGTTGTCAAAGGACCCAATGATGATCGCCTCGCATGAGTCATTGCAGGGCCTGGGCAGTTCTAAGTGAATGTGCAGAGCTTTTTGCTGGGCGACTCGAACTACAATTTGGGCAGCGGAGGCTTCGAGGGCAGTGAGAGGGGCTTTAGGGGTGGCTGGGGTGGTGGGGGCGGCAATCGACTTGGATCGAGTCATGATCGTCTTTGGCGTGGCCGGAGGAAGGTTGGGGACGGAGAGATGGTCTCTGAGCTGGGGGTCTCGGAGGATTTTTAAACGAGGGAAGAGGCAGTTCCCTGGTTGGAGGAGCGCTGGGGGGCAGCTTGGGTGGCAGCATGGGGAGGAAAATTGAATGAGAACTCGGTGCCAGTGTGTGCTGAGGCAAAGGGCCGATTAGCGTAGGCGAGTAGCAAGTGCACTACTTACTTAGCCCCTATTTTGCCTCCGGGCGCGGGCTGTGGGGGAGGGATGGTATAGCATGCCTGTACCAACGTTTTCCTAGGCCAAATTTCAAAAAAGCTGCCTTAACGCGTTCGACTCTTCGTAGAGCGCGAGCGGAGCCAAGTTAGCGGGTGAAGCCAGTCAAGTTGCAGGTTTGGGCTGAACCCGGCATCCCGTATTTTTGGTGGGTCATTCCTGAAGTTCCCTTCGCCAGAAGCGCACCTTTGAGCTCCAAAGAATGTAAGGACAGCTCGCAAGGGTTGGTGTCTGCACGTCTGCAGTTTCCCTCTCTTTATTTTTCGTGAAAGCATCGGTGAATGCCGCTTCATGACATCGTATGAAATGGAATAAAGGCGTTTTCTTCAGAAGAAGAGACTGAAAATGTAAGACAAGTATCAAATACCGCAATGTGAGTTGGGAAATGGGAATTCCCGGAACTGAGTGTTACGAAGAACAAAAGAAGATTTGGCTGAACTGAGAGTCGAACTCAGGTCCACTCCATTAATCAGAGCTGCTCTGACCTCTGAGCTACTCAACCAGCGGGAATAGGTCAAAGCAGCGGCGCACCCAAGTCAAGCCGGCGGCGGTTCTCCCTCTCACCGGGCTGGTCTTGGAGATGATCAGCAGCGGGAGGTGGGGGATGCAGAAGTGGGGGACGAGGATGGAGGGTGTTGGGAGGAGGAGGATAATCTTGGAGGAGAGGTTGAAGCTGAGGGCGGGAGGAGCTTGGGGGAGGAGAAGGCAGTAGAGGCTGGGTTCGACTTTCCCCCCACCACCACACACACACCAAATTCTCGTGACATCATTTTCTCCTACTGTACACTAAATAGCTCGCTTTCCTCTTTCTTTTGTTACAGGTTCACCGTTGCGGATCATGGACCATCTCGCGATTTGGCGTCGACTCGGTGTGGCTCGCGCTCTTCGGCTTCGGGGTTCTGAGTCAAGGGAGGGATCAGCGGACACAGGCAGAAAGTCGGCTTTGAGGGGCCAGGGACTGCCGAGGGGGAGGTTTTGAGGGACCTTCACCGCGTCTTGTTGTGACTGAGCAGAGACTTGGAGCGTCGAGGGTCGTGGTGGTTGCGCAGTCGTGCTCTTGTCTTCGTCTCGACCGAGTGGGAAGTGGCTGTGGGGTGGGCCTTCTGTCGTTAGTACATTTCTTTTCTTTCTCTTTCTCTTTCTCTTTCTCTTTCTCTTCATCTCTCTTTCTCTCTCTCATTCGTCTCCTGGGGGGGAGCAACCGCTTGGCTAGGGCATTTGAATCCGAATCTCGGATTGGTGGACTTGGCTCGTTTCTCGCACTTTTGCGGGCGGTTTGTGTTATCATCGTAGTCTTCCATCTAGTTTTTCCGTAGGCCGAAACAGGGGGAACAGGAATTGGGGGCAATATGATGAACGTTTTCTACAAAAAAAAAACCATTTTCACAGTACGGCTTGCGACACGAATTCGAGACGCACTACTGCGCGGTGTGCGATCGCGCCGGACACCAGTGGGGCGCTTGCAGGAAGCCGGTTTCGACTCCGGCCACCGCCGCCCCTGTTCCGGGGGCCTCGACCTCGACTTCGACTTCGACCACCGGCTTCCGAGTTGCTGGAAAGAATGGGAAGCACGGTGGGCCTGCCGCATTGAACTCTCGTGTCTCTGGCGCGAACATGATCCAGCTGGGACCTCGTGCTAACCCCGCAGGTGCAGTAACCGCCAACAAGGACGACGCGAACGACGGCGACGACGAGTCGATCGTTTCGACCGAACCGGAGGGCGGCGACACTGGGGAAGAGACGTCGACGCGTGCGACCCTGGGCTCAACAAAGGAGACGCAGACGACGACGGCGGCGCCCGTTTCGACCCCGACCTCTCCTTCGCCTTTGTCCGGTGGCACGTCGGGATCATCGGCAACCTCGACAACCTCGATAGCCTCGACGAGTCCTCGACGCCTTCGTTCGAGCTCGGCACCCGGCAACCGACGTGTCACCCGGGCAGGATCCGCCATGATCCTCGGTGCATCAGGGGGTGATGGCTCAGGGGGCAACAGTTCAGGGGGTCACAGGTCCGAGGTGACCGAATTCGAGGGGGGCGGCGCTGAACTGATTTAATCATGATTGAGTCACTCACCGTGTTGACGTTCAACGTCCGATCGATGAAGAACGCAGTCAACCAAGTCAAAATCATCCGTTATCTCAAAACCCTTCGGCCGGCCCCTGCGGCCATCCTCCTGCAAGAGCACCACCTCAGCTACAACGCGTCGCGCGAAGGCTTCGAGAGTGCTTGGCCGGGGGCTTGTATTCGTTTCACTCCTCATGTCCTTACCCTCATACCCGATGGCTCACCTTTGGCGGGCCATCTCCTTTCCTCTACCCCGGTCGTCTTTGCAGGAGCTCCTCGTTTCGACGGTCGGATTCTGCGCTCGGTGTTTCGTCTTGAGGAGCTCGATGTCGAGATCATCAACATGTACGCGCCGGTGCAGGAGGACGATCGTCGCGACTTTTTCGGGCTTCTGCACTTCAACGCCCCGAGACCCAAGACTCTTCGGATCTTGGCCGGCGATCTCAACGATTGTCCGGATGTATCGGTCGACCGAGTGTCCATCACCGATCGCGCTTGGACTCCTGTATCGCACTGGCAGACCTTGCTGTCAAAGATCGCGTTCAAGGCACTCGACACGGTCCGACATGTCCATCCTTGCACCCCTGCATTCACTCGTCCTCACTACCGTGGTAGAGGGGAAGAGCGAAAGATTTGCTCGTGGTCGCGGATCGACTATATTCTTGTCCAATGCAGTTGGGCGAACCGGTTGTTGAGCGCTTCTACGCTCTTCGATGCGCCCTGTTCGGACCACAGACCTGTAGTTGCGACTTTCGCTTTGCCTACATCGAACGCTGATGCCGAACCCCCCCTTTCTCTTCCCTCCACGAGCGATTTCATTTCGAGGCTCAACCCAATGGTCTTTGACGATCAAGACTTTGTCGCATCGATTCCCGGGGTCGTCGACGAGGTCTATCGAAGGCTCGAGGGGACCGCTCCGCTCGGCGACGTCTATGACGCCGCTCTGCGGGCGGTTGCAGTCGCTGGCCATGCACGATACCGCTCGACTCGTGCCGACATGCGCCGACTGCGGGCCGAGAGCCAATCCGTCATGGAGGCTTTGGAGGCACGCGGTGAGCACATGAATGAGGCCGAGCGCGATGTGTATGCTCTTGCCAAGTCGCGGTTGGACCAGTTGGCGGTAAAGGAGGCTCAGTGGCTGCGCATTCGTGCGCATGTGCCGTCAGTCGACTCGAGGGAAGGTCAATCGGCAAGCATTCGCACGCGCCTCAACCGCCGGAGTCGCCAGACGAGCATCGTCTCGCTGGAGGATGTGGATGGCACCGAGACCGTTGACATGCAGGAGGCGCTGGGTATTGCTTCACGGCACGCGCAGTCGCTCTTCACGCCGGACCCAGCTCGTGGCGACCCGACGAACGCACGCCGGTCCCTGCTCGACCCTATTCGCGCAGCGAAATGCTACGATGACGACCGCTCGGACCCTACGTTCGGTCGTCGGCTGCCTCGTCAAGCGAGAGTGGCGCTTGACGAGCCCTTCACCCTCCTCGAGGTTGAAGCGGCGTTGAAGAAGACGGATTCGGGGCGATCACCGGGGCCCTCGGGCATTCCGTACGAGCTCTTCAAGGCGCTGCCAACCTACTTTGCTCCCAAGCTGTTGGACTTGTTCAACTCGATTTGGGAGGGCGGCAAAATGACGGCGTCCTTGGCAGAGGGGCTGGTGCGGCTCTTGCCCAAGAATAAACCGGGGGCCAATCTGAAATCACTGGGGGCATACCGACCGATCACATTGCGCGAGACGACCTACAAGGTCCTCAGCAAGGTCTTGGTGGCGCGACTCAATGGGGTGCTCGGCGAGCTTTTACCGCCGGCGCAACACGGTTTCATGCCATCAAGACGTTCAGCGGACGCGGGAAGTCATCTCACTCTCCTTCTCGAAAAACTCAAGTCGCTAGGCACTGATGTTTTCCCCGAGGGCGCCCTCTTGTCTTTGGATCAGCAGAGCGCGTACGATCGGGTCGATCACGCCTGGATCTTCGAGGTCTTTGAGGCCTTTGGGTTCGGTGAGCGTTTCATCTCGCTGCTGCGCGCTCTCTACGATCCCGAGACTCTGGGGGTGCGCTACCTTGTCAATGGGTTCCCCACGGACTTGGTGCGGTTGCTGTGTGGTCTCGGTCAGGGGGATCCCCTCTCGTGCCCGGTTTGGAACATCACGTTCCAGCCCTTCCTCGACGCCCTCGTTCGGCGCGGGATCGCGCTCGACCTGCAGAAGGTGTGGCCAGGGGGGCCGCGTGCGCAGCTTACGCATCTGGCGTTTGCCGACGATGCTGTGGTGGTGGTGGAGTCACCGGCGGCATTGTCGAAGCTGCAAACGCTGTCGCAGACGTGGTACGAGGCTACCAACGGGAAGACCAACACGGACAAGACGCTGGTGCTACCACTCGGACCGAACTGGCTTCGGGACGAGACTGCGCAGGCGCTGCCAACGGTGCAGGAGGGGGAGAGCTTCAAGTGGTGCGGCTATGCCTTCTTTCGCCACGGTGACTCGAAACTGTTTTGGACCCATGTTCTTGACAGGATCAAGGCCAAGACCCGCGCCGCTCGAGACCGGACACTTTCGCCGAGTGGGAAGGTTTTCTATGCCAACGCTCACATCATCTCGACGGTCCTCCACGTGCTGTCCTTCGACATACCGCCTCAATGGTTCATTAAGGCGGCGGAGACGGCACTTACGGACTTTGTCTGGGGAGGAGCAGGGCGAAATACCGTCGCTCGCGATTTCGTGTTCCAGGCTCGGGAGGACGGTGGCTTGGGTTTGATTTCGATTGGCGACATCGTTCATTCGGTGGCGCTTCGATTTTGGGATGCTGTGGCGGGCTCGGACGAGGCGATCTGGGCGCCCCTAGCTCGCGAGAGCTGGAGGTGCCTCGTCGCTGCGACCCGCGATTTCAGTCCGTGGGGGTTCTTCAGCAGCACGGCTCGGGTCGAGAAGCTGTATCGCGACTCGACGCGCTGGGGGGCAGTCGTTGCAGCGGCCAGGGTCACAGTTCCAACCATCAAGTCCGAACTCCTTACGCTTCCCGAATTGCTCTCGCTTCCGCCTCGCCTCCCTTCACTCTATGCTGAAGGTGCCCAGCACGCATATGACGATGCGGACGCGGTGGCGAAGTTTGCGCAGATCGCGGACCTGTACTGGAGGGACGAAGGGAAGGGATGGGCTCTGGTTGGTCATCGACGCGGGTTCTGGCAGCACTCTAAGGAACCCGCCCTACAGCACGAGCACGTGTGGTCGCGCGTGGGTCAGTTGCTCAAGGCGAAAGCGTTGCTGCCCAAGACCGCGTTGCGACCTGCTCGGATACCTCTCAAGGAGGCTCCCCGTCCTCGGTGCTTCAACTTCTTTGGGCTCTCCCGACCTTTTACGATTCGCAAGCTTCGTCGGCTTGTGAACAAGGTGCGGTTCCCAGGGAGGGAGGACCGTGTCAAGCGTTTCCCTGATGGGACTTCTCAGAGCGATAGGAAGCGCTTCTGGAGATGGCTTCATGACCGGTTCGCGTCTGCTGTCGAGCAGGACACCCACTGGCGGCTCATGTACGACGTGACGCCGACGCGCAAGAGGCAGCATACTCAGGGTCATGCCTCTTCGCCGACGTGTCTGTTCTGTGGCAACGATGCAGCGGTCATCGAGACGGTGTCCCACTACTTTTTCGAGTGCGCGTACTCGACCAGCTTCTGGGGTGGGGTGCTAGGCATTCTGCTTGACAAGCTCGGCATCGAGGATACCGACGTCGATCCGTCGACGTTCACTCCGGAGCAGCTGACTATGGGGCTCCCCCTTTTGCGGGGTCGTGGGAGAACGACCTTGAAATGGATGTGGGTTCGGCTGGCCTGCGCGATCGGCTTCCAGCGGCTGCACCTGCTCCGCTGGCGCGTTCATCAGCGGTTCGAGCTGGACAACGTCGTGGCCCCTCCCTCGCTTCCCAGTGCGCTCAGAGCGTTCGAGCGAGATTTTCTCTCTCGAGCGGGTTTTGTGCCTGGGGTTCGAGATTGGGAGGTGTGATGACCGAGTTAAGTCCTTCCTTCCCATTTTCCTCCCCTCCTTTCCTCCCTTCCTTTTCGGTCAGAAGCTGACTGTCTTGAAACTTGTTGCGCAGTGGAAGGCTGCGCACCTCTCCCTCTCTCTACTTTGTGCAGTAGCGGTTTTCGTTCTTGGATGGATCGGCAAGCCGGGTCGATCGTCGTTGCGTTGGAGGCTTTGTGAAGTTCTCCCCTCTCTTTCCCCTTTCTCCCTTCCCTTCCTCTTCTCGTTCCTGTTGCTCGGTTGTTGACTACGCTTCAGCCACTTCTCCTTTTATTCCTAAGCCGTGTGTTGGATTCCGTCGAATACATCGTTCGTTGGCGTTGGTCAAGATCTACGGCATGGATCGGGAAGAAAGGTCGCTCGTTTTTTTGGTCAATATCCTCGCGTCAAGGCGAGGCTTGTTTCGTTGTATTGGATCGTTTTCGCTCGGCCCCGACGGCTCAACAGCCAGCACTCGAGACTCAGCCAAGGGAGGACATCAGGCGCTGTCGGGGTGACGAGTAGCTGGGGCTTGGCTGCGGCCTGTCAGTCCCTGGGGACCTCTAGCTCTGGCTTCGACCCCCTCCCTTGGCCCCTCGGGTGTGTTCCCCTCCTCCTCCCCTCCTCTCTGTCTTAGTATTCCTGGTTCTCCGTGTTTCCAGTCGTGAATTTTTGTATATTCTCCCCTTTTCTTTCTCTAGGCGCTCTTGCCTGGTTTTCGAGTATCTTCGCTCCCGCTCTTGGGACGTGAAGCGGCAGCAGTACTCACCGCCCGTTGGAGTCCGCGTTAGGTGCTCGGCGGGTTTTGATCTGCGCAGCGCTCTTTGCGCGCAGGGGTTTGACTTTCACCCAATTGCTTGCCGTCGTTGCTTTATAACCTCTTTTAGCTCTTTTTCTAGCGGTCCCAGCCAACCCGAAGGATTGCAATTTATGAGCCCCAGTAATAAATAAATAAAAAATCACTTTCACTTTCACTTTCACCTCTACAAAAAAAAAAACTTTCACTTTCGAAATCGCGCCACCCACCACCTTCGAAGCTACAAATGATACATCAGCCTACATTAGCATGGAGACCGGCGACACCGGCCCACCCCCACCATCGGCGTCCGCGGCGACGAGCGTCCCGATTGGGACAAAGGAGACGCAAGTCCCTATCGCCGCCGCGACCTACGCCACCGCCGCGATTCAAAAGACCAAGCAGACTCCCGAGCAGCAGACCCAACAAAAACACCGTGCCAAGGCTTTGACCCAAATGTTCGAAGTCATGGGTGCTGTACCGGGCAATCGCACCGACCGGTGGTTGCAAGCCACCTTCGCCACCGACGAGTACCCTGTCGCTACCGCTACATCGCTCAAGTATTCGGCTCTCAACGCCAATCGATCCATTCGAAACATCTTCGACTTTGCTCTCGACGTCACTTTGACCGTCCAAGGCGCCTCGAAGGCCTCTCCCGCGGACAAGGCCGATCTGCTCGGTTGCGTCACGAGACTGCTCTCCCCGCAATCGCCCCTGTGCTTCGACGCCGAGGTCACCCTTCCCGAGCACCTTGCGGCGTTTGCGCCCCAGATTAGGGGTATCCAACACTCGTCTTTCGTCAGGGCCGGTGTGGTCAACCACCGTATCTCCGTGGGATTCGTTTCGGCGAAGGCACGTGACTCGGCGCTTACGGCCCCACTGGCGCTTACTTGGCACTCTGCAAAGGCTCACTTCGCAAAGGCCCACCACTTCTACCACAACATGGTCGAGCTGCGTATCAACGTCGGTGTCGCAGCGGTCCCATCCAGGGATGCCATTGTTGACTCTTTTAAATCAATTGTCACCAAAATCACAGCCAAGGGACACCGTTGCGAGCTGGTACAAGTCTTGCGCGTGATCCACGTCGATAACGACTCGGCCTATGCGCACTTGGCCGGCGAGTTTTCGGCCTTTATCCGCTTCGACGACGACGCCCTTTTCAAAGCCCCTAACAACACGCTAAAGGAGCTCCTACCGTCGAAGGTCTCTCTAGCCGGGAAAGACTGATGTAAGCCCTGGAATGGGGGGCATCGGTCCTGGTGACAGCAAGGTGACGGCCTACGTGACATGAATATGGTGGTCCAGCGGATCTAGCAATTTGTTAGATTCTGTCTTTAAACAAGACTAGCTGGAATATATGGATTAAAACATTAAAACTAGAGGCAACATGCATACGGCGGTTCGTCACGACTACGAACGAGAAGCGGCCTGTGCTCGGTGCCACTTTGTGGGGCATGTGGAGACTTGCGCGCTGGAACAGGAGAGGAGGCAGAAGGAAGCGAACAACAACACCGGAAGGCACAACAAGCACCACAACAACCCAACCAACACCAACAACAACAACAACGACACCACCAACACCAACAACACCGACAACGACGCTTCCGAGGTTGTGGCCCCTAGCCGCGCCCTCGGAACCGACCAACTCGAATCGCGGAACCGATTTGCGGGGCTCGAGGTCGAAGGAGGACAGGAGGATGACGTCGAGGAGGAGGATGCAGGAAAGGAGGGCGAGGAAAAGGAGCAGGTCGAAGAAGGAGACGAGGATACGGGCGCCAAGGCGGACGACGAGGATTCGGACTCGGATGGGAACGCCGGAGCGGGCATCGACAAGGCGGGAGGCGACGACAAGGACGACGACAAGGACGACGACGAGGACGACGACAAGGACGAACAGGACGACAGCTCGGAGGGAAGCGAACAAAGGGAGGACGAAGGAAACGATGGGGATGACGTGATGAAAGATGGAGCAGAGGAGGAGGACGAAGGGACGGAGACGGAGGTGGAAGAAGAGGTCGAGCAGGAACAGGGGGTACAGGACGACAGCATCATGATCATCGACGACGACCAAACGACGATCACCACGGTTTCCCGCGAGTCGACTCCTCGGAGTCCCTCGTGGCCTCCACTATCTCCTGAGACGTTGGCAAAGTCGCTGCGCGAGGGTGCGGAGTGGGACCGAGCTAACGCCGAAGCTGCTGCACGTGTCCAAGCAGAAAAGGAGGCGATCATCAACGCCCAACTCGACGCGGAGGAACCGCTCGTTCGCCACCAATTTGCAGAGTGGGGTCAGGAAGATGGACAACTGCGATTCATCAACATTCGTGGCACCGGCTCCGGGTCGAACAAGAAGATGAAGAGGTCGCAAACGGTGGCCGATCTCAGCGATCCGAGCGACGACCCGGTCGATATCAAGCGCGTTCTGAACAGGGTCAAAGGTCGAGCAGGAAAGGAGGTAGCGGGTCAGGGGAAGAGGGTGACGAGGTCGATGTCGGCGGCGGCGGCGATGCAGGTCGAGGGGGCCAAGGCGAAAGCGGAGAAGGGTAAAGGGGTGGAGGAGGAGAAGCGCTGGTCCGACCACGAGCCCGAGGATGACATTCTCCCCGAATTCCCACTCTTTGAGGACGACACTACCGCCAAGAGCACGTCTACATCGTCTATCCAATAATGATCAAGCACACCATCACCAGCTGGAACGTGAGGAGGTGCATGGGGATCCCGGAAAAGCGACGCAACATTTACACCTATTTATCAACATTCAAAGCATCCGCCATTCTACTACAAGAACACTTCATCAAACCGGAACTCTGGCATTGTATCAAGGACGAGTACGAGGGCAAGGTCTTCATCAGCAAACACTGTCTGACTCTGATCCCCGCCGACTCGCCCCTGATCGACGCCGAGATTTTGCGCACCCACTCGGCACTCGACGGACGAATCCTGGTCACCTCCTTTCGACTTCGAGGCGACATCCGGATACTCGAGATCAACAACATTTACGCACCAGTCGATACAAAACAACGACTCACATTCTTTGACAAACTACATTTCCACAGGACGCAGAGCACCCACCTTCGACTCCTCGGCGGCGATCTCAACGACTGCCCGCTGCCGGCGATCGATCGGCGGAACCAAGGTCGGCACGGCCATCACTGGCCGATCCTGATCGGCAAGCTCGACTCGCCCTACACCGACTGCATACGATTCAAACACCCGCTCACACCATCTTTCACTCGACCCAACATCGTCCGCAAGCGACCAAAGTCCTTTTCACGACTTGACTACTTCCTTCTGCAGCGCACCCACCAAAAGCGACTCGTCCAAGCCTCGACGATCTACGACCACCCCAAGGACCTTTCGGATCACCGACCGGTCTCGATCGTCCTAGTTCTCTCGGACGAGCGAGGAGACGCGGCTCAACCCAACAACAGTTTACCAACGACATCAAACCAATTACATCGTATCAACGCGGCGACCTTCAAGACGGCGGAGTTCCAGGGGATGTTGGAAGGATGGTTGGAAGGAGCGAGTGGGGAGGAACCGGTGGGGGAGCTCGAGGTGGTGCTGGGGAACTGCGCGAAGGAGGGTCGGGAGCTGGCGAGGAGGGAGCATCGGGAGCGGGTGGAGCGGATGGCGGTCTTGGTGGGAAGGGTGTAGGATCTGGAGGCGTTGCCGGTGATGGGGGACGAGGAGACGGCCGAATGGACGCGGACGACGGAGGAACTTAGGCGAGCGGTCAACGAGCGCGCGCGCCAACTTCGGATCCGAGCCCACGTACCCGAAATCGCTACCGAGGAACGACTGTCGCGGCCGGTCCACGCCAAGCTCGCGGCACGGAGTTCGGATTCCAAGATCACAGCACTGCGATTGCCCAACGGAGAGCTGACACATGACATTGACGTCGCGCTTGACCACACACAGGCGCACTTTCAGCGCCTCTACGATCTCGAGCCGCGCGATCGGGACCACGTCGAGCGACTTAGGGACGATTTCTTGGCGCCGATCAGGTCGGCGCGCACTTGCGACGACCCGAGCTCGGACCCGCTCTTTCTGCGACGACTCTCGGAAGCGCACATCGAGCTGCTGCAGCAACCCATCACCGAGGACGAGGTCGTAGCCGCAATCGCAACAACACACCCCGGTCGATCGCCGGGTCCATCTGGCGTGCCCTACGAGCTCTATCACACAGCGCCGCGGGCGTGGGCCAAGGCGCTGAGCAGGGCCTTCAACGCGATGACCGAGCGCGGCTCGCTTTCACCGAAGCAGGGGCAAGGACTCGCTCGCCTGCTCTTCAAGCACCACAAGATCGGGGCCGATCGCGCCGAGCTCTCGTCGTACCGGCCCATCACCTTGCGCGAGTGCGACTACAAGCTCTTCACCAAGGTCTACGTTGCGCGACTCAACCACGTGCTGCCGGACCTGCTCCCACCGCAACAGCACGGCTTCGTCAAGGGCCGCCGATCGGCGGACGCGTCATTCCACCTGCGACTCTTGATCGAAGAGCTGGGCGCGCGCGGCACCGAGTTCCCTGACGCGGCGCTCTTGTCTCTTGACCAATCGTCGGCTTACGACCTCGTCGAGCACGAATGGATCTTCGCCATCTTCGACGCTCTCGGCGCTCCTGCCGCCTTCCAACGCGTTCTGAGGATGCTCTACTCGGGTGACTCAACCACGGCGCGATATATCATCAACGGCTTCTTGACTCCGCCGGTGCGGCTGACGTGTGGGCTCGGCCAAGGGGACCCGGCGTCGTCGTCGGTCTGGGATGTCGTGTTCCAGCCGTTCCTGGATGCTCTGCACCGTCGAGGCATCGCGCTGAACCTCTCGCTTCCTACCATTCACCCCTACCCACAGAGCCGCGCCATTACATCCCTTGCGTTTGCCGATGACGTCGTCGTCGCCGTCGCGGGCTCGGAGTCACTCAACTTGCTCGACGACCTGGCGCTCGACTGGAGGCTCGCAACCAATGGCCGGCTCAACACCGACAAGACCGTCGTACTACCCATCGGGTGTCGCTGGGAGGCTGGCGATCGTCCGCTCGTCGTCAAGGCCGAGGGCGAGTCGCTCGAGTGGATCGGCCTATCTTTCGACCCCACCGGCAACACCGAACTCGCCAACGTGAATCTCGTCGCACGGCTCGAAGCGGTGCTCGATTCGGCACGGGACCGAGGGCTCACACACCACACCCGAGCGTTCTACGTCAACCGATACGCCATTCCCAAGATTCTGCACATCCTCTCCGCCGACATCCCACCGCTCGAGGTCGTCAAGGAGCTTGATCGCATTCTCGCCGACTTTGTCCGCGGCGGCAAGGGGAGGTCGTGCTATGGCAAGGACGTCGTCTTCACACCGAGGTTCAAGGGGGGTCTTGGGGTCATGCGGATGCAGGACGTCGTCGACTCGGTTGCGGCACGCGTCTGGGACGTGCTTCTTGGCGGTTCGGATGCGATCTGGCAGGGACTTGCGCGCGCGGCGATTGTACGAGCCCATCCCGCCCCCGACTTTGACTTGGCAACCGATGCGTGGCCTTGCGACTACACTCCGATCCGAACCGATCTACACCCAAGATGGCAGGCCGTGCTGAAGGTACCATCGACGCACAATGCGCAAGTCAAGCCGAGGACGTTGACGCTCGCGAACCTTCTCGCTCTTCCGATCAAGTTGCACACCCTTCACTACCTACCGGGAGCACCAGCTGTGTCGCGACCACCCTACGACGCCGACTATGCTGCGTTTGCCATTTACGCCAAGGTAGCGGACCTGTTTCGACGCGAGCTGTACCCGGGCGGGGGCTTTCATCTCTGGACGCCGCCGACGGATGTGGTCATCAGCAACAGCGAATACGATCAACGGGGCCGCCCACAACGAGAGCACATCGTGGCATGGTACCGACATGCGATCAATCGATTGAGGTTCACACCAATAGCTCAACCGGTGGCGGCAGTACGAATCAACGGGCCTCCCCGAGTCCGCCCCACCACGCCGCTCGAGTCGATCCTGCCCCATCCGATCGACCCGCCGCAGCGCCTTCCGAGACCGGCTCTCCCAGACCAATCAACACAATACAACTTGCTCAGCATGGATCGGCCATACACCATCCGTCGCGTCCGCCGAGTCTTGAATGCAAAGGCCTTCACCGACACGATCGGTTTCAGGGACTCGCTGCAGCCCGACGATCTCAAGGGATTCTGGAAGGGGGTCAACTCGAAGGCATTGACGGCGAGGGAACGCGAGGTGTGGTTCAAGCTCGTCAGGAACTTCACCCCGACTCGGAGTCTGCAGTTTCATCAAAAGCACGACGACTCGCCCGCGTGCCTCGTCTGTGGAGCGCCCAAGGACGATCGGGAGCACTACTTCTTCGACTGCGTTGACTCTAGGAACGTTTGGATCGCGGCAAGGGGCGTGCTCTGCGACGCACTGGGGCTCGACACGATCGACAACACGCATTACACGGCCGTTCAACGCATGTTCGGACTTCCGAAGCTCAAGGCCAGTCTGCGCGATCAAGAAGGAGCGGGGAGGACGATCGAAATATTCACCGGGCTGGTCTTGGAGATGATCAGCAGCGGGAGGTGGGGGATGCAGAAGTGGGGGACGAGGATGGAGGGTGTTGGGAGGAGGAGGATCATCTTGGAGGAGAGGTTGAAGCTGAGGGCGGGAGGAGCTTGAGGGAGGAGAGGGCAGTAGAGGCTGGGTTCGACTTTCCCCCCACCACCACACACACACACCAAATTCTCGTGACATCATTTTCTCCTACTGTACACTAAATAGCTCGCTTTCCTCTTTCTTTTGTTACAGGTTCACCGTTGCGGATCATGGACCATCTCGCGATTTGTCGTCGACTCGGTGTGGCTCGCGCTCTTCGGCTTCGGGGTTCTGAGTCAAGGGAGGGATCAGCGGACACAGGCAGAAAGTCGGCTTTGAGGGGCCAGGGACTGCCGAGGGGGAGGTTTTGAGGGACCTTCACCGCGTCTTGTTGTGACTGAGCAGAGACTTGGAGCGTCGAGGGTCGTGGTGGTTGCGCAGTCGTGCTCTTGTCTTCGTCTCGACCGAGTGGGAAGTGGCTGTGGGGTGGGCCTTCTGTCGTTAGTACATTTCTTTTCTTTCTCTTTCTCTTTCTCTTTCTCTTTCTCTTCATCTCTCTTTCTCTCTCTCATTCGTCTCCTGGGGGGAGCAACCGCTTGGCTAGGGCATTTGAATCCGAATCTCGGATTGGTGGACTTGGCTCGTTTCTCGCACTTTTGCGGGCGGTTTGTGTTATCATCGTAGTCTTCCATCTAGTTTTTCCGTAGGCCGAAACAGGGGGAACAGGAATTGGGGGCAATATGATGAACGTTTTCTACAAAAAAAATAAAAAAAATGGGAGCCGCGGCGGGCGGACTGGTGCACGGCCACATTGACTTCTACTATGTGCGTTACACGACGGCCTCAGCTGCAAGATCAGTTCGACTTGTCTGAAAATATCAAGTTTGTGTCGACAGAGACACCCAAGCTGGCACGACGAGAGGTGATCCCGCCTTGTGCTTCAAGACGGGGCATTGAGGGTTCGTATAATTTGTAATTTCTCTTTTCATCATCGAGTGTGAAGAAGTCGTCAAGCCGGTTGCGTATGAGCTCAGAATGAGGTTGTACGGCGGGGTCGGCTCTGGCAGGCTCGGACTTGATGAAGCTCTCGGCAACACAGTAACCACCGCCGTCCAGATTGATTAACAATGTCTGGAGGGTAGGGGAGGTGTTTATCTCGAGACTCTCCACGAGATTCAACCAGAGTTCTGCCAATTCGGCACACGTGTCGTAAATTTGAAGATCAAGCTGGAGAATGCGCAGTCTTGGCAGGGATCAGAGGTGATCGCACAACAGCGAGGCCGCGTCTTAAATGCTGACTTCGGAGTAGTCCTCATACTCCGACAGACACGCGCGCTGCCGAGCTGGAACCTTTCCAACGATGGGGAAGTTGAAGGTGTCAGGTCAGAAATGCGATCGCGGCCGCGCCATGACCCACATGCTTGCTGCAGCTTTCGTCGATCACGTAACGCAGACTACGGAGATTAGAGGCGTTGGCATCCAGAAGCCGGATCACGAACGTATCTTGGTGACGTAATCAGCAATAGGGATATTCCCCTTCTTGAGGCCGACAGTGTACGCGAGGCGCTCTGAAGGGTACGCCGCGTGCGGATGAGGGATGCAGAATCCGCCGCGCCTGGACGATAGGTCCTTGACAATGAGAGCTCCTTGAGGTGGGGGAGGATGGGCGCTGACGGGGTGGGTACGCCCGACTCGGAACCGCCTTGGCTCGTGACCGTACATCGTCGCGAATACTTAGTTTGTCCAGACCTTGTGCGAGGAAGAAAGATGCATCGACCTCTTCAGCGGCAAGATCCCTATCAATGTATCATGCACAAAGCCAGTATAGGTAGCTGTACCTTCGAGTTGCTCCTTCAGGTGCTCTTCGAACACCAGGTCCTGACGTCGACGTCGAGAGGTCGAGTCAACGCAGGCTAGCAATACAACGGAATACGTCGAATTACGTCGGGTCGCAGGAGTTCAGGATATGAAGATAATGTAAGGGGTACACTTAGGTCAGGCCCAGTTGCGGCAGACCTGGGGCCGCTCTGAGACAGAATTCTTGGAGGCAGAGATGTTTGAAGAGACGACATAGAAAGGGTCCAATCCAGGCCTGGCAGGCGCAAACTGCTCTTTTCAGGGCGTCACGGCCTTGACATCGTCTCAAACACAAACAGTAGATGGACAGGTACTCCTCACGTTTGCCATCTTCACTTCCGTAGTACCAAGGACGTACGTCGTGCTTCTGAGTCGCCAGGTATGTGATCTCGTCGAGGACGTCGGTTGGCAGTCGCGGGAATACATCAGGCGCTCGGATGATTCGTGTCGCGCATTCTGTCCAGCATGGCTCTCCGCGGAGTTCCTCACGTCGTAGACGATGATAGGAGGAAATGCTGGCAAGAGGCCAAGACGGACCAAGAGCTCTGCGTTTGTCAAGACAGCTAGTGAGAAACTTGGAGCTTGATTGTACGAATTTGGGCGCGGAGAGCCTTTGCGCCTCGAGCGCTCTGAGCCAGGCAGCCTTCCCGCCCTATAGAGCACGACACCTCGAATAGTCAACGATCTGAATATTCTTCAAAGTCAGACTTCAAGGCCGCCGCGGAATGTGCCGCCCGCATCCAACGACCATCAGTGGGCCCTCTTTCCTTGGAAGCTTTCTAAAGTCACTTTTCCTAAGCTTGACGGGTACCAAGGCGTGTATAGCGTGAACGTGTCAGATTATACAGCAAGTAGGTAGCCAAACGAAGTTTACGTTTCACTGATATTATGCTCGGCCGCGTCAAATCCTCCAGTACTTTTTCTTGTCTCGACACGCCAAGAATTGGAGAGTTGTTTGGGGTAGATGCTCCATCGAGACCGGGCGTCGCACGCCAGATCATCTAATCTGTCGCGTCCTAGTCATCGACAACGCGTCACTCAAGTCAGGGTCCCATTTCACATCTCTTCTCCTTCCAGGTCATCATCTGCAAAGGGGTCCACTTCGGGGAAGTTTCCAACGGTGACCTTGTCTGGCCTCACAAAGCTTGCGCGCAGAGGTTTAGCCTCGAAATATTTCACTCCGTCGACCCTGCAGCACGTCTAGTATCAGCGACCAAAGCGCTCGATCTTGCCTTTCTTAGACCACTCACGATCCGTCATTCTTGCCAACGGGTTCGTCCCATTCAATGCCGACCCATACGGTCTCGTCCTGGGGACCAAACTGCGTCGGCCCGAGGAAGCGAACGGTGCCTCTTCGACTGAGCACGTCTGACAGAGCGACCTCACACCGTGCACCTGGTATCAGATTGACCGGTAACTGCGTCCGTTGCGATGCCACCAGTTCATGGGAGGAGTCTACGGTCGGTGCGAATCGACCAAGTTGGTGCCGTTGTTTGAAGGCGAGAACGGTGTCTGTTCGGTGAAACGCGAGAAAAAGCCAGCCGATCAGGTAGACGGACCACGAGCATGCCCTCGCGGGAACGGCGCACCTGATCTTGCCTCGTACTCTTGATTTGTGAGCTCAAACTTTTCAACCAAAGATGTGTCTGTGAAGAGGGACGATTGGCTCTTGCCGTGAGCATCCGAGCTGTCGACCTGATCGTGGGAGGTCGTTGCAGAAGCGCGATCAGTCTGGGAGCAAGGGCGAGCTAGCGCCGACGATGAATGTGCACACCCTTATTGTCATCCATTCCTGCGCGCCATACTGTGCGAGCGTTTTGTGGTCCTCGTTGAGCTGGGCCACGACGGTCTGACCCTGCGGTACTTGGCCCGAATGGCCCGTGCCCGTTGCGGTGCGTTGTAGTGAGAGCACCTGCACGGACGATGAAATACCCGAGACCCTTTCTAGTTTGTCCTATTTGCCACCAAAGTCAAGTATGAGTTCCGGGAGATGCATGCAACGCGGCAGAGGCGGGAAGGGGGCCAGATGTAGGTGTCATTCAGCCGGAAACCCGTCGCGACGCGTGCTGTGCTTCGGGCTCGAGTTGACTCACCTTCAAATCTGCGATGGTCAGGTCCAGCGCGAACCTTCGTTCCGAGTGCGTGTCCGGCGACGAGACCCACAGCGTGATGAGCGCATTGTCGTGTCCAAGTGACTGCATCTTGTTCCGGTTCACCAGATGCGCGTCCGTGCGGAGGAAGCGTAGCAGTGAGTCAACACCGCAGACCACAGTGACCATGCCGCGGCGCACACTGAGAGGCTAGAAGAGGCTTCGATCGGTACTTTAGCCTGGCGATTCTTTGAGCGCAAACCGGTTGTACCGAAGGCGTTTGACTCTGTTTTTGGTTCGTGCAGATTTGCGACCCGTGTTCTCGCCATCTGTCTCCGCCTGAATTTTCCCATCTACTCATACGACGACGCTACCGTCACCGACTCGGAGTCTCCGTACAAGCTCAGGGCCTCCGCTCCGCAAGTCGGAAATTGGAAATTGCGCGATTCGATCGACCCCGGACGAGATCGCCTTGCCCTCGCCGCACTCCTCTCGCTTTCAACCAATTCGAGTCAACCGCCGTCGCTCGACCCCACCCCACCCACTCGGCATGCCAGGACTCAGCACCTCGAGCTATGGCGTCGGACCGCCGCCTGCTTCGCCTCTAGGCTCGGTCATCCCGGCGCACACACCCCACGCCGTCTCGGTCTCGCTCCCAACGTGGCAGGACAACGTCGCGTACGAGGAAGGCGAGCAGCGCATCAAGGACGCCATGACATCAGGCTACCCCCGGTTCTATATCCATCACCAGATCCGGCAGGTAGGCGCGAGGAATGTCTCCTTGGTGTTGGCTCGCAGCTCATCAACCACCTCATCCATGCCCATTTTTCTCAGCTCGCGGATCTCGCCATCGCAAAGTTTGGCCAGGCCAACGAATCGTGCATCCTCTTGCCCACCGCGAGAACTGCCCAAGGCTGTGTTTCTTTCTTAACATCGCGTGAACCACCCGTGCAATCGCGCGTTGTCGAATGGCCCGTAGCCGCAGCGGCAAGCTTGCCTTCCGACGCCGACGACGATGTCGACGCTCTCGCAAAGCGGCGCACGATTCAGCTCCAAGCATGCTTCTTCGACGAAGCGGACTTCTCCATTGCCAAGCAATACTGGCAGCACACCGGCGACGGCATCTCGAGTCGCATCGCCGAGCGGTGCCTCATTCTGCTAGGCGAAATCGAAGGCGAGGGCGCAGCGCACCACCACAGTCGCAGGCAGTCGCAAACATCACCCCTTGTCGCCTCGAATGGAGAGGCATCGACTTCATCTTCTTCGTTGGGGACACATTCCAAGTCGTCTGCAGGTCGTTATGGAGGCAAGGCCGGCGGCGGGCGTTACGGAGTCGTCAAGCCTTCCTCGACCCCCACAGGCACGGCGACGCCGACTGCATTGGCAGCCAAACTCCGATACTCGACCGCGTCTCGTCCGCGCAACGGGACACATTCGGATGAGTCGGAGCCAGCCTCGATGACCAACTCGCTCGACGCGCTACCTCCCCGCGAGGCACTTGCGGCCGCCGACCAGGACGAGGACGTCTTGACCCGCTACGTCGAGGAACGATACGGTCGCAACTTGGACCTGTCCCTGGCCCCGCTGGCCAAGCTGGCCATGAGGCGCCGCATCGCTGGAGTGTTGAGGGAGACGCCCGGGCAAGCCATTCCGGTGGAGCGCATGGGCAAGACCCCGGATGGGGAGGAGAGCACGCGTGGTGTGGCGAGTTTGACCGAGCGAGACGTGTGGCTGTACCCGGGTGGCATGTCGGCCATCTTTCACTCGCATCAATTGGCCATGGGCGCTCGGGAGAAAGACGGCAAACCCATTGGCAAGAGCATATGTTTCGGGTTAGTGGGACATAGGGGCTTGGAAATGGGCCACCGGCTGAGCGAATCCTCGCACACAGCTTCCCATACACCGATACGCTCAAGATCCTCGAAAAGTGGGGCCCCGGCTGTGAATTCTTTGGACGAGGCCTGTCAGAGGACCTACCGGCTCTGCGCCAAACGCTAGAGAAAGCAAATCCTCCGATCCTCGCCATCTACTGCGAGTTTCCCTCGAACCCTCTGCTCCGGACACCGCCGCTCACGGCGCTGCGGGAGCTCGCCGACGAATTTGGCTGCATGGTCGTCGTCGACGAAACGATCGCTGGCTTTGTCAACATCGAGGTGTTGCCCCTCGCTGATATCGTCGTCAGCAGTCTGACAAAAGTGTTCAGTGGAGATAGCAATGTCATGGGAGGAAGGTGAGTCATGGGCATCAGAAGAATACCACACGGCAAACCTGACGAGAGGACCCCGTACTGTGCCGCCAGTCTCGTCCTCAACCCCAAGAGTGAAAAATATGCCTCACTCAAGGCCGTCCAGGAAGCGACCTACGAAGATTTCTACTTTGACGAAGACGCGATCTACATGGAGCGCAACTCGCGCGACTTTCAACAACGCATCGCGCAGGAAAACTACAACGCCGAGACTTTGTGCGAATACCTTCGATCCCGTCGAGCACCCGGCCCGTGCCCGACGGGTGTTATAGATCCTCCTGAGGTATCGCGGACGGGAGGCGTCATCAAGGAGGTGTACTACCCAAAGTATATGACCCCGGAGCACTACACCGCTTCCCTACGCCCACCGAGCGAGCCTTATGCCTCGGGGTTTGGCGCCTTGTTCTCGCTTACATTCACTTCGCTCGAGGCTTCGGCGGCCTTTTTCGACGCCTTACCCTGCTACAAGGGCCCGAGTTTGGGCACCAACTTTACACTCGCGTGCCCTTATACGATATTGGCACATTACACTGAAACGGAATGGGCGCTCGAGTGGGGCGTCGAGAAGGGTCTGGTCCGGGTCAGCGTCGGCCTCGAGGATGTGGATCTCTTGAAGCAATGGTTCGAGCAGGCGTTGGACAAGGCCGAGCAGGCAGAAGCGAATGCGAAGAAGCTCAGCGACAGTGTCTCAACAATAGATGAATAGACAGTGTGTTAGATGCTGAACGCTACAATGTGGTGTTACTCTATGCTACTGAAAGGCGTGGGTGATGTAAAACAAGATGCTGATGCGGGGGCTTGCGCGAGCCAGGAAGAGAGAGAGCGGTTCGATCCCGCTCGGGTCGAATCACCACACCTGCAGCACTCTGTTTGACTGCGACAACGACTGCAACGACGTCCTATGACCAAACCATCGTCGATCAATGAACCAAAGCAATTTTCTGTCTTTGCTCGGCAGCGCATGGCGACTGATTTGTCGCACAAAGTCGATGTCGTAATCCGACTCGACGTAGATGACCCCTTGCCGAAGACGGGACAATGGGCGATAGCCCGGGATACTCCACCCAGCCGCCCATAGGACGTGCAGCGGGTGGCGGTAGTAGTTGGAGTTCTTGAGATGGCAAGGGCCCGGAAGACCCATCGGGCAATCGATCTCGGGGGCGGGCAAAACCGACCAGGCGTAGTCGCGCGTCGGGGAGCCGCTCGATTCGGACTCGACTTCGGAAATGAGGTTCGAGGCGCGTAGCACGTTCAGAGGAGAGAGCGGTGTCAAAGGTTGAGCGGTAGACGGTGGGATGAGCAGCTTTGTGAAGGTCAATTGGCGATCCGGTGCTTGTCGTCCCCACGCAGTGCGATCGAGTCGGAAAGGAGGTGATCCGTCTCGCGCCCTCGGCTTGACAGAGTTGTCAGCGCCGAGGGTGTCGTAAGGACGCTTGCGGGAGCCCGAAGCAGGGCCGACGAGGTCAGCCCATGAGATGCCGAATTCTTGACAGACAAGGGCATACGGTCCCGCGATATGCTTGTCTTGCCGTTCTCCGTCGTCTTCCTCGACCATTCTGTGGTTCCATGCGAATGTGGGTCTTTCAATCTTGTCCGCTTCTTCGAGTTTGGCGACCCACTTTTTACACTCGTGAGCTTTCGCGCGCGCAAGCATCGAGTCGAGTGACGAATGTTGATCCGGATAGTTATCACACAGTTGAACGTGGGACGTGAACAGCCCACTGACGGCCCACGGCGAGTCCATGGCATGATGCGCAATCGCTTGTAGTTGCTCGAGGTCAACCGGGTCTCCGTCGGTGCGGTCGACTTTGGCGATCCGGGGCCATCGCAACGCGTGATACTGGGAATTCAGCCAGAGCGTGAGCTGTCGATCATTATCCTCTCTCATCGTCTCTTGCAACCAAAACTCACCTTGCAGCCTCTCTCTTTCTGGAAGCCAGCGCCCACGATCTCGAACACTCGAGGTTCTTTAAAGATGATCCAGGGCATGGTCGCACTGCTTTCGAGTTCCTTCGACAGGGAGAATGTGTACGGGCAAGCATCCGCCATCCAAACGTCGAGACCTTGTTCCGAGACTTTGACTCGTTTGAAGTCGCCGTAAAACGCCTCGCCGGCCACGTGGCGCGCAGAGCTAAACTCGAGTTGTTCGGCCGACATGATATTGCTGTTCAGCTCACAAAGCCGATTCCTGTCGAGCGCGCCTTGGTACCCGTACGAGCTGGCGGAAAGAATGACGTAGTGCGGTTTCGCAGGTGTATTGGTCTGCAGATTATAAACAAAAGAAATCATCTGAGTTATTAGACTGTAGTGAGAAGGTGCACAGGTGCACAGGTGGAGCTCACCCAGAGGTCGAAAGGTGACTCGGAGGCCAGGAAGCCGATGAAGAAGGTGGTGTAAACGGTCGTTGGTACTGTTGGAGCAATATTGGACTAAGCCAAGTCAGCGCCGGTTGTCTTCACTGTTTCGCTGCTGACCTTTCTTACCCAATTGATCCCTTCCTCTTTCCTTCTTCCAAGATGCACCGAGGACGTGGACATCGATAGTATCGCCGCAGCCCGGAATGAAATCCTTTTTTAATTTGATCCACCTCCGGTTGTCGTGGAGCTCGTTGTAGACCCCCGTCAAAGGCTTCAACATCAGCCCCTCTGCGTGAATTTAGATAAGCGCAGCAGTGTGAGCGATCGACTCTACGTCGTCCATGATCGGCTTTGGCGCAAGGCACACCTTTACGCTCCGTGATGATTTGAGCGAAGCGACTCCTCAATTCCTAGTGACCGACGCGGATCAGTCTGACTGCTGGGTGGCGTATTGGACCTCGCTTGCAGAGACTCACTTCGAGCGCAGTCGATCGGTCAGCAAAGTCGATGTCGATTGTTTCAGGGAAGGAGCTCTGCGGATGGTCAACGGGGGGTCAATGAAGACAGGCCAAAGGACATGTGCTTTAGTCGCTGCGCGGAAGTTACAAAGCCTTGGATCTCGTTGATGAGCTTTTTGAGGAGGACGCGCCTCAAACTAAAGGGAGCTGCATGGTCCGCAGGCTCGTTAGACAAGGTAATATGGAGCGTGAGCCGGTGATAGCTTACTGTCAAGCAGCGAGATGTCATCCAGAACCAAAAGCTCGAACCAAACGATGTGTAGGTGAAGTGGAAGGCCATCTGATGGCGTCCCTTCCTGAGTGCTTCCCGTCATGGCCGACTCGGCGTCCTCGTCCGCGGCGGCGGCGCCGTTGTCGCGGCCACTCTTGGCATAGACAAGCGTGTAAAACGGTGCGGGGGCGCTGGTGTTCTCATCGAACGGTACCATTTCGCCTTCTAGAACAAGCTTCTTCCATTTTTGTGCCCTTGTCTGCGCCGAGCGTCGAAGCAGGCGAGGCTCTACGATGGTGTCGTCCGCGTGGGTCATTTCGTGGGTCGACTCGGCCGTGCGCGGCATGCCGAACCATGATCGGACTTGATTAACGCTCGGGATTGTCAGACCAAGCGAAGCCCGGATAATTCTAGTGCCAGTTAAATTGAGGGGTCACATCAGCAATGAGGTCGTGCGTGCGCGGGTCGACACAGAGACCTTACGGGATGAGACGATAGCGATCCTTGGTCGAGTCGCGGCAGCTCTTGGAAAAGATCTGCACTTGACGCTCGATCGGTAGCGAAAGGTTGATGTGAGCTTGTACACTAAACATCCATACGGGATTATAAGCACGGCATCACAAGCGCTGCAAATGGTCCGTGTTTGCAGCATGCTCACCGTTCCCCGTCGTATTTGGTCTCGACGGCAGTTCGGCCCGAAAGGCAACGACAGGCATCTTCGCAGGCTTGTGGTTTGTTCGTTCGAGGCACCTGCTCATAAACGTGCATGATAAGCTCGTCTGTGGTTTAGGGTCGCAGGAAGGAAGAGAGGCTCACGACTTACAAGAATGGGTATGCCGAGTTGAGGTTGGAAATTTTGGGGCTCTTCTCCACACCCTAGCAAAGCAGTGCTCGAACGCTATCAATAGGTGTTTGCTCATCAACAACGTGACAAGTGGCTCACTTAGAGCTCGTTCGACCTCTGTAGCTGCCTCATCAATGTCAGCCTTGATGCGATAGAGATCCGGCATGCGTTCGTGCCAGAGCGCCATGGCGTCTTGCGCCGTTAAGCGTTCATGAGCTCTTGCGTTGTATTTGAGCAACGCCGCCGTCGACGAGGTAGTCGGGAGTGGGTAGAAGATGGGCGACATGTCTTGGAGGATGATCTGGACCATAATCGATGTCTCACGCTCGGTGAGTGGATCAAAGAGCTCGCGCAAGATTTCATCCCGATTGCGCGTCCGTGATGTCGAAGAGTACAAGCTCCGGACTGTAGGAGGAAAGAGAGAACCGCATTAGGCATAGGCACATCCGTCCGCAGGATAGTTAGTGTCTGATCCCACGACAAACCTCTGTCAGCCGAAGTCCCGGCCTTGGCCGCGAGTTCATCCAGCAGCTCGTCGATCCTTTTCACCGAGCAAGAGCAAATAAGGGGCTGATTAGGGGTCAGGTGACTCGACCTGGGCCAAGTACTCGACTCGGACGCGGGACTCCCGACATACCTTCCAAGATTCAAGGGTGTCGAACTTCTTGGGTTCATGGGCCAACTCTGACTGATCTTGAGACCCAAGCAGCCCGTCACGCCTGCTCGCCGCTCGCGATCCGGGCGCGACCACTCGCCGGGCAGCTCGTCGCGAAGCTCCTTTCTGAGGTCGAGATAATCTGCGAGCCAGGCCGCCATTGTGGTATCTCCAATCGAGTACCTGCAAATGAGAGAGGTCCGCTTCAGGACCAGGGCTGTCTCGGGTGGTGTGCACGACCACAAGCAGATCCACACTGCATCCCGTGCGACCCTAGGCAAGGGTGACCGGTGACCGCTGAGCGGTGCGACGTACCTGCGTCGTACCCCTTCCTCCGGATACATCATTCTGAACCACAGCACGATCGTACCTGGCGGCATGCGCTCGCTCAACCACGGCGCGGTGCCATCTTTGTGGTCTTGGATCCATCGCTGCACGATGCTTTGGCGCTTGGACTCGTCCTTGGTCGCCCGTCTGGTGTGCGTTGGGCGGGCGGGCACCTTGGCCAGCTCATCGATCAAGCCACACAGGCCTCTGAAAGGTATCGGGTTGGACGACAACTTCATCTCTCTAAGCCGGTCCGCCGCTGCGGGTCGTCGGAGCTTGACTTTGCCAGCGTCGGAGCGTTGGGGCGTTGGGAATGGTCCGTCCGAACGAGAGCACCGACGTGAGTCGTGACGCGACGTCAAGTCGCGCCGCTCGCAGTGGTCGAGCTGATCACGTGCCCTAGCCACACGCCAAACTCGGTGAATTGAACTTCGCGGTTTCACCCTGCTCAGTGCCAAGCCAATACCTCGCTATCGCGGGCCCGCTTGATCCTTCCCAACTGAAAGACGCAGGAGAATTGATGAGCCCAACCAGGAGCCATACATGAGACCGACGAGCTGCAGATGTACCGAGCTCGGTGTCGGCGCGAAAGCAGACAAGCTAGCCGCCTGAGACGTCTCAGGGGCCGATAGGAAAGTCGATTCAGAAAGCTGTGTGATCGTGGATCGCGATCGAGGCCGGTCGCAATTACAAGGGGGCCAGATGAGCCCGTATGCCTTCAATAGCACGCACGTGTCCCTCTACCTCTACCAGCGAAGGAAGGTCGGCGTGTCCCTGGTCATTGTGCCGCTACGGATGCTGAGTCAGATGTCCGACGAGTGAGGCAGAGCACCAGAAGATGGAAAAGTGCTAACATTAGTCAGCTTTTAGCTCATCGCGGTAACTTGAAGCAAATTCCCCGTCGAGGGCCGCCACCGTCAGATCGAACATCAAGGTGTCTGTCTGACCGCCAGCAGTTCTGACTCTGATCTCGAGCCCCTCGAACACTGAATCGAGGCTCCCTCAATCCCAATCAGACGGTCACAATTCTCGCACCCTAGAATGTTGGTGTACTGCAATTTGGGTTGGCCCTGAACAGTTAGTCGGGGCTAAATTTATGGCATGGAGCTACGTTGTCCAAGCCCCAAGTTGCGGAGCTGCGCTATCTTGCTAAAGTTTTCTTTCCAATCTAAAAAACACGAAAGCAGAGGCCGACGGCGCGCGTCATCGCACGCGCTGAGGCTAGCTGAGGCTCCACTGTGCTCACCGGCCACGGTGACATCTGCCTTCGCACCATCCGTTTCCTTCTGCCCTACCTCGTGCGTGCGTTTCCCTTGTCGACGACGACCACTTCTGCCGAGGTTCGATTCCGACTGCATTTTGGTCGATTCGAGCTTGGAGCTCTCTGGGCCTGTAGGACCTACCGACTCGGCCGCAGATCTTAGACCGATCGAGCTGCCATTTGCCGGGTGGATGCCGTTCCACACTCGAGCGCCAGGGACACGATCGAGTCAGCACCCGATCTCGTCGCCGTCGAGCAAGTACGTTTCACCCGGTACGAACGGCCGTGCACCGACCTTGGCCTCGGTTCCTCGGCTGCCGTCGCAAATGCCGCTCGATTCGTCGTCTCCGAGCGCGGCGATGACCGCTAGCCCGACCTCGACCCCGACCCCGACGCCAACATCAACGCCGACCGCAGCGCCGCAGTCCCACTCGTCCCGACGTCTGACCATCAGCAAGATCCTCAACAAAGGGCGTAGATCGAGCAACACGGCGCCTGTCTTGACCAACTCGCTCCCTGCGCCTGCACTGACGCCCGTGACCGTCAGCGACCGCGACAGCAGCCCCGCCGCGATCGCCACCGGGTTCGGCCTCGGCACCGGCCGCACCTCGATCCGCCGTCCCTCCGAAAGCTCCGCGTCGGCGTCGGCATCTCCGTCCCAGTCGTTCGTAGTCGTCGATCGCGTCTCTAGCGAGCATGGATATTGGCAGCAAAGGAATTCCGCCGCCACAGAGAGCAGCGACGTGGACGACGCGAGTAGTGGCAGTGGCCACAGCGAGGACGAGGAAGGTGAGCATCTGGCCCACCTCCACTTTGCGGAGCCCAGTTCAAGTCCATGGGCATTGGGCGCGTTTTGAGATCGATTGCTGACCCGGTACGGCACTCGTCGTAGACATTTCCGACTTCATCCGTGCTTTTTCAGACGATACATCGCTGAGCTCGCCCAGAATGTCTCGTGAGTGTGTCTTCTCTGGGAGCTACGGTGTGGACAGGGGACGACGACGCCGAGCTCACCCCTTTTGGCTGGCTTCGCCCGATCTTGCGTGCAGCGATGACGTTCTTGTCTCGTCCACGACTTGGCCTGGATTCGGCTCAGCAATCTTCGTCAACATCCAACCCGGTATCCAGTCGCACCACCTCGTCGGACGAGTCTCCCGTGCCCACGACTCCACCACCCCTTTCCGCTCGACGCTTCACACAGAGTTTGCGACTCTCGGACTTGTCGACGACCAATCAGCCCGCAGACTCTTCCCGCGACGATTTGGAGGTAGTGCAGGAGACGAGCACCACATCGCACCAGCCCGTGGTGTCGGATGCGAACCCCACCGCGTCGCCGACAGAGAGACGTCTCCGCGCGCTGCCACGACTGCTGTCGTCCGACGCCTTCATGTATGTTGCTGTACGAGAGAGCGGAGCAACGCGGGGAGAAGAGGCCGCGGAAGAGGAGAGTGGGATCGAGACAGACCAGGAAAGCGAAGCCGACACTTCGCCTACACCAAGCGCGGCGCCGTCACAGCTCCCCGTCGCCCTAGAAGCCATCACTCCTAGCGTTCCCGCAGTTGGTCGACCGACAATGCCCCGCGAGACGAGTGCTTCGCGTCCGCGAGGCCTCTTGTCCGCATCGGTAACGAGTGGCGTGTCGACGTCTCGAACGCCGCGCATATCACCGGCGGAGCCCGTGCAATCTTCCTGGGTCACCTTTGGGTCGGCGACCCCGACCCCTGGCCCTCTTCGAACAGCGCGCACAGCTACGCGTACCTTCGACTCGTTGGATTCGTACTTCGATCTTCCGCGAGGACCCGCCGCGACCACCGCGACATCTGGAAACTTCGCTGCGACCACGTCCCGTCCGCCGATGACCCCTCTTCTGCCCATGTCAATGTCGAACTCGGCACGCGGACGTCGTCCGGCGCGACAGGACGAGCTGCCTGCTTCGCCCCCGCCGACGCGTGCGATGGAACGGACGGATGCTACCGCATTAAGGGAAACCATTGGGGACGAATCAAGAGCGGAACCAAAGAGCGTGATTTACCAGCGACCATCCCACAGCGCTATCGACCTGCGCAGCCCGAGCTTGCTTGATGAGGATGGGTCACCCCTCGGCACTGCCGTCTTGACGGAGTTGGACCCGGTGTGGGGTCACGGTGGAGACATCGCGACGCCGGGGCCATCCTTTCTTCCCGTTTCATCCTTTGGTATTCCGCGAATCATCGATGCTCACTCCAGTGGCTCGGCGCATTCCCGCGCCCCCAGTCCATCGCGAAAGCCGAGCACGACCCAAGTCGTCGGGTCCCGGATACAACGTCGGAGTTCAATGTACGAGCTGGCGACGGAGCCGCCTGCCTACCATGCGCAGTACAAACGTGCGGGACAGGCGCCGCAGCTCGTTTTCCCTCGAGAGGAGGAGGGCCGAGAAGGGCTGCCGACCTACAGCTGCGCGATTCACCTCGAAGGCTACATGCCGATGAAGAAGGAGTTCTCGGCGCCGAGCGTACAATCGAAGGACCGCGCTTGGAAACGAATATACTTTGTCCTGCACGGAACTTCAATCAAGATCTATCGACACGACTTGCGCACCCATCCGATCCCCGGCGAAGAGGACTGGCTCAGCAGTGTGAGCTCCCAAGATCCCGCCGCTGGACCGCACTACCACCAAGGGGAATACGGCAACGAGAACCCCATCGCAAGTTCTCACAAGTTCTCCATCACCGACGCCAAAGCAAAAGCTAAGAGCCGAATTACACACGCGGGTACGTCGGAAAACAACGCTTTGTTGCGTCACTATTCGCTCCAGCACGCCGAGTCGGGTCTTGCTGCGGACTACCTCAAACGCAAGCATGTGGTACGCGTTCGCGCCGAGGGTGAACAGTTCCTGCTTCAGACGAACGGAGATCGTGGGACCATTGATCTCATCGAGGTGCTCCAGGCGGCGACGAACGTTGCACTTGACCTCGACACCCGCGTGCTGCCCAAGTTTATTACTCTTCCTCGTCGGCGGCGCCGAAGACGGCGAGTTGTGGATCCGAACGCGAATGCGGCCAGAGCGGTGGCTTCGTCGGCCACCTCGACCTCTGCGGATGGAGAAGCTGAAACGACAGGCGAGTCCACGGCGGACTCTGATCCCACCGATCGCCTGGGTGATATGCTGGAAGAAGAGCAGGTATGTCTTCCCTAGACTCGAGCCGGGCCGACAATGCTGAGGAGTTGGCGGCTGACGGTTGGTGTCATTTCTGAGCAGCACGCGTACGCATCTGCATCGGGAGGATCGACAGTCTAGTCTTCTGCGATGCTGGGCATCAAGCACGGAGTGTGTTTTGATAACCATCTATATTATTTTCGAGACGCGGTCGCTCTGAGTAATGCGCCGCCATCCTGCGGGTTTTCTTTCCTTTGTCTTTTTTCTATTTTGGTGATTGGCAATACCCAGCTTTCTACATACACGATGCCAATGTATTTGCGCCGCTCATCCCGAGAGTTGGCAGAAAGTGAGGACACGGACGAAAAAAATCCTTTTTATACGAGGGCACACCATGGCTCACCTCGATTGGCGCCGGTCGCTGCAGGGAGTCGCTGCGAGTCAGTGCGAGTCGCCCGTCGGAGTCGACCATTTTGGGGATCGCCGATCACTTTCGGACTCCGATCTGTGTCTGGATCGACCCGACTCCTAATTGCGCACGCCAGCGCTCTCAGGTGTGGATCCTACGATCCTACGTGCTTCCATTGCTATTCTGTCAGTCGCAGGTCATCAAGGAGGTGCTAAAGTCGTCGCAACCTCGGACTTCGGGCGCGTAGCACCGCACATACCGAGCCGGCTGCCTGCCGTCTGCGGAGCTCGCTGGCCAATCCAACATGAAGTTTGGACGATACTTGAGGGAGCACGTCATCGACGAGTGGCGTCGAGCATACGTCAATTGTACGTTCAGCGCCCTCCCCTTGCCTGCACGAATGAACCGAGCGAACAGCTGTGGCTTCCTCACGTCCCCACGAGACAGCGCCTGACCCCACAGGTACCTTCCCCGAAATCTTAGATCGTCAGCTCAAAAAGCAGATAGTCAAAGCTGGCGACGAGACGAATGTCCTCGATGAAGCTGCTGAAGCCGACGAGGTGAGCTCCCAGATGGATCTCGAGAGGGGATCCACTCGGCCAGCTCGCGAGCAAGACCAGCAGCCCGCCAACGACGACGCCAACTCGTCCGTCGATCCTCACAATGCGACGATAACGGACGCTCCCGGAACGGCAAGTCCGGTTGGGAGCGGCTTCGAAGCCTCGCCCATCGCAGAACAGAGTACAAGCTCTCCATCTGCCGAGAGATCGAACCCGCCCACTGCAAGTGCTGCCTCGTCCCAGAACCGACCCGTTCGGTTGCCCAGCATCGACTCGCGCGCTGAAAAGGGACCTAGCCCTGGACCTGCTCCTCGACGCTTACTCGACCGACTTCCGCGCCGAACGTCGTCATTCAAGCTCACCAAGGCAGGCGACTTTAATCCGAAAAACTTCCGCCCCGGGTTCTCCAATTCGATGTTGCTGCTGAGGCTGCTCGAGCTGGCGCCCCCGGTTTCGAGGCGGTTCTTTGGACTGATGGACGACGAGTTGGAGCGCGTGTCTTCATTTTATGCGGATCGGGAGGCCGAAGCGTTCGCTCGGTTCGAAGAGCTGAGCGGCCAGTGGAAGGAGCTGCAGAGCCATAGAAAGGAGTACCAGGTCAGTCAGGATTCCATCCACTCGCTATGCTCCAGTCGATGGAGACTAATCGCAGGCTCTGCGATCTGACAGGAACTTCGTGCGCGAGAAGCACCCCTCTTCCCCATCATCAACCATGTGCCCCCGATGATGCCTGGATCGAAGTTGATTCGCCGAGGATTGGCCGTCGGTGGCGCACGCCACTCCTCGCACGCCCAAGACGGAACCGTTGACGGCGAAGCACCGGTCCCTGGAGGAAGCCCACGAACCCGCTTTGTTCACAACCGACCCGAACAATACAGGGATGCTCGATCCAAACTCAAGCTTGCCAGTAGGTGACCCAAGCGACGGAGGCTGGCCCAGTGCACGTCTGAACTGACGATTTGAGCTTCTACAGCTTTCGAATACTATAGATCGCTGGGTATGCTCAAGTCTTATCGAGTACTGAACCGAACCGGTGAGTTCCCATTGTTTCGACGAGTGTGTCATGCCATGGGGCTGATCGACCCAAATTATCCGGTGCCCATTGCGCAGGCTTCGCCAAAGCCCAGAAGAAATTTGAGAAAGCGACCCGGATCCCTTGCAAGCCGTGGAGCTACAAACTCGAGCAAGCCAACTTTGTCGCCTCAACCAAACTCGATGATTTAATCCGGGAAACGGAGGACGCCTTTGCGTCCATTTTTGAACGAGGCGACCGCAAGAAGGCGCTCGAGCGGTTGAGAAACACTGGCCAGAGTGAACGGCACCACTTCACTGCTTGGCGAGCGGGGGTGTACATTGGTATCGCGATACCTCTGTTGATTGAGGGTATTATAAAGAGCAGGTCCTGGTAGATGTGATTGCTCTGGCCATTACCTGCTAATCCGCCAGTCCCCCGTTTTACCGACAGGTTGCAGCGCGTCGACGCGAGTTCAAATTCCGTACTGGGAGGCGCTCATGCAACTGTTTGGCGCGATGTTCCTCCCGATATTTTTCTCCGTTCTGTTCTTCCTCAACCTCTCCGTTTGGGCAAAGACCCGTATCAATTACATTCTGATCTTCGAACTAGATGTGAGCCTTTTAGATGGTCTGCATCGCGCTGCTTCACCGTGCTAACGCCTAATCCGAATCGCATCTTAGATTCGGACGCGCCTCGATGTTCACCAGTTCATCGAAGTAGGCCATTCCGCGGAAGTCTTTATTCATCGCTCGATGCCAATACTGAGCCCAATACCGAGCCAACTCTCTTGCTCCCAGATTCCGGCCTTGCTCCTTGGGCTGTTGTGTCTCTTCTTCTGGGCCGCTTTCACCAACTTTGCACCCGACCGCCTTCCGCCATCCGCCTATCCGCTGGCCTTCTTCATTCTCGTCCTGGTCCTCTTACTCATTCCCTTACCTATACTCTATCCGTCCGCCCGGTGGTGGATGATTCGCACGTTCTGCCGCGTGCTCACCGCAGGGTTGATTGCTGTGCAATTCTCTGATTTCTTCCTCGGTGATGAACTCAACTCTCTGTATTATTCGGTGAGCTCACGCAGCGGCGGGCTACAGATGTGCTATTGGACTTTAGCTCAAATACTTTACCTGCACAGATCACCAATTTGTACGCACTCGTTCCTTGATAGTGCAGTAGAAACACGATCTGACTCCTCGGCGTTTGATCAGGGGCTTTCTGTACTGCGCATACAGTCATTCGTGGCCGTCAAATACCTACGCGGTATGCTCGCTTAACAAGACATGGGCAAGGACATTTCATTCCGAGCGATTTTTTGTATCTCGTCACTGATCAATCGCGTTCGCTCGCAGGCGACCCCTGTCCTCGCCTCCCTTCCGGCCATCTGGCGTCTGGGACAAAGTTTGCGGCGTTACATTGACTCGGATGGACTGGTGTAAGCGAAACGATGCATAGCATGCTTTCCAAGTCTGCAGCTAATGAGTATGTTTTCAGTATTCATATGCTCAACGGTGGCAAGTACACCGCCTCAATTCTTCAGTTCTGTTTTTACTACAGCTGGTGAGTGCACTTTGAAACAACTTTACCGCGTATAGAGGCTAAGCTGACAACGGTGACGGTGCAGGAGGATCGATGGCTCCACCTCCATCGCCCGAAAAGCGATCTGGATAATGTTTGCTGTGACCAACTCGTGCTACACGGCGACCTGGGGTACGCCGCAATTTCTTGCGGCTCTGCGCCAACAGCACTGACGTATTTGTCCCTCACTTCCACTGCAGACATCGTCATGGACTGGTCTTTGCTGCAAAAGAACTCGAAGAACTTCTTGTTGCGCAATGAGCTCGGTTTCAGGGATCAAAAATGGGCATATTACGTCGCGACTGTTGTCAACATCATACTACGCTTCTCTTGGGTGATCTACATCACCGACAGCGGGCCCTCTCTCGCATTGAAAGGCTTCATCGTTGCTCTTCTCGAAGCATGTCGTCGAATCGTGAGTTTTCCCCCGCACTCCTGGCACTCCCAGCACTTACGTTTTCAGGTCTGGAAGATGCTGATCACATCGAGAACCCTACATCACATCGAGCCAGGTTTGGAACACCTTCCGTGTCGAGTCCGAACACTGCGGAAACGTTGATGGCTACCGTGTTACACGCAACGTGCCCCTCCCCTACACGCCCGCAATCAGTGCGTCCTTCCCATGCGCACACCCCTGTCGAACTGGTTCAGCGCTCCTGACATTTGCACTGCCTTGCGTTCCCCAGTGCGTCCCCGGGACGATCAAGACGACCACGACGATCTCGCTTCGCCTCGCACCCGCAAACAAGTCGTCTTCGATTTCCTCCACAGTTTGCACCGATCCATCGTCGACGACTTTTCCCCGCTGGCCAATATCTCGCTCTTGCGCATGTCGGCACGCTCCAAGTCGGGCAGTAACAACAACGGCAAGACCGCTTCGAGATCGCGCAAAGCCAAAGGGAGTGCCGGTACCACTGCCGAAAGCTCGTCCGAAGATGGTGGTGGCGCTCATTCGAACGACGAGGACGAGGATGACGATGAAGACGGTCGTGGCGGGTACAGCGGGAGTGAAGATGGTGCCGATGGCTACGATCTTGGAACGGACAGAATGGTGGAGCAGGAAATTCAACAGGCGGATCTTATGATGGACCTGCCGCAGGGCGAAAGACGTCTATGAAGGCGCTGATCTAGGCCCGCCCCGGTCGACTTTTGCTAGTTCCGCCCTTATGCTTTATTACTTGCTAGTCGATGGAGGCAATTCGAGGACCCCGACAATGAGCTTTGTTTGGTACTTGGGTGCGTACGCAATGATGTCTGTCCGGTAACCAAGCTGCATCAGGACACTAGAACCAGTGAATCGGACTAGAGGTGATCACTCGGAGTCAGCAAGAGCAGCATTAAATTTTGCGGGCCGACTTTGGGACTCCGGGCTCACCCTTCTCCTGGCCCACTCGATTACACGCCGCAAACGCTACGCCCCTTCCCAAAAGAGGCGTGAGTCTCACTGCAAAGTATCGAAGCGCATCAGAAACTCTCGGCCATTCCGATTCGTCAGTCGCTTGGTCCAACACGCCTTCCGAGTCGAGCGATTCTTGATTCGAGTCGAGCGAGTTCATCGCACAGATCACCAGATCGACATTGCGCTCTCGCGCAAACGTTGCGAGCTCGAAGGCATCGAAAGGAGCAATGAAACCTTTAGGATTAAGATCCATACAAATGCTGGGGCAGATGGTGAAGTCTTGACCCCGGTGTGAAGACGAAGGTGGGAACGGCAGCACGTATGTCTGAAAAGCTTTGCCTTCGGTTGCCCAGCTTTCGTCGGTCTCGTAGAGGAAATGTTTTCGGTAAGTCGCGAAAAGCTCGCCCTGGGGAGTGACGATTAACGGGGAGTTTGATGCCTTCGAGTGTGACCGACGCTCGGGAACACCAACGAGGACGTAACATCCGAGTCGGATCGCTAGATCGAAAGAAGACACAACAAGAGGAGCCAGATCAGGATCTGCATCAGCACTAACTATACAGCACAGGCGATAGCCTTGCAGAGATGGACCTGACTTAGAAGCCCATCTGAATGTAGGTCCAGCACCAGGAACTTCCAGAAAAGGCTCGATGTCGGAGCGCCAGTCGAAGCAGTAGCCTGATGAAGTGGCCGGCGCCTGCCTCCGTCAGAGCCCGTCCGAGTAACAGCTATATAAGCTGGATGCTTGACTACTGACCGGTGAACGCCATCTCAGGGAGAACGAGAAGATCCAGTTGATCCTTTGGAAGTCTGCGGGATGTACCACGCGTCCATCAACATTGACGCAAAAAGCGAGCGGACAACCGTATCATCGACCATCCCCGGCGCCCATGTTAACCTCACGTTGTCAGATGCGCACCAGCGAGCGCAATACTGCGTTCGACGTCTTTGAAGACGGGGGAGAAGTGAAGGCAGCCGACGCGGATACAGCGAGCATCGTAGGGGGGAGGCATCCCGGCACGGGAACGATAGCAAGTAGAGGTAAGCAAGCCGCCGGCGTGAGTACGGGACCTCCCCCCACCTCGCCAACTTCGACGCCCGGATTTTGACGCTGAAAGCTATGAATCGTGGTTCGCGCGAGAATGCTACCACTTACCAGTCTCCTCGAGGCCGTGTAGCTACGTAGCTAAATCAGAAGACACCACTAAGTGTGACGTGAGAACTCAGGGGAGTTGGGATGCTTAGAAGATCAGGCGGTAAAGGTGGGGTAGTCAGAGTCACCCACGGATGATCGATGATCCCCTGTGGAATTGGCCGCCGCCACCGACTTCGGGAATTGCAGGTCCTATGACTGAGTTGGTCCCAAGAGCAATAATGATATAACATGGAAAGAAATACGAAATAAGGCACATGTAATCGTTGCAACCACTACATCCGAGAATCGATCCTCACAGCCGACCCGACGGTCACCGTCTACTTAGATCCCGACGAGAATTTTGTGACGGCCTGGAGTATTCAAATGGAGAAGGATGTCAGTGAGCGTGGTCGCAGGCTAGAGAAAATCCAGCCGCACTACGAAAGAACTGACCTTTGTGCCTTCCGAGATGGCGTGCTTGGACAGCTCTCCGGGGAGGATCAATCGGACCGAGGTCTGGATCTCGCGCGACGAGATGGTCGACTTGCGGTTGTAGCCCGCGAGCTTGGACGCCTCGGTGGCGATGCGCTCGAAGATGTCGTTGACGAACGAGTTGAGGATCAGCATCGCCTTGTTCGAGATACCGGTGTCGGGGTGGACCTGCTTCAACACCTTGCTGTGGACGGGCCAAGGCAGGCGAGGCGCGAGATCGAGTCCGAGTTCAGGGGTCAGCGGCTGGGCCTCGAGCTCGGAAGAGCCAATCTCAAAGTACGCACTAGATGTACGACGAGTAGGTCTCCTTTCGGACCTTGCGCTTCTTCTTCTTGTCACCATCGGCAGCGGGGGCCTTCTTTACAGCCTTCTTGGCGGGCGCCTTGCCAGCGGGCGCCTTGGATGCGGGGGCCTTGCCGGCGGTCGAGGCAGGTTTCTTCTCAGCAGCTTTGGGGGCCATTGTTGGTGATGGATTTGGATGGGTGAGGTAAGGGTTGAGTAGTGGAGTGGGTGAGGGGAAGGAGAGAGCGCGAACTGCTCTTGGGGACCGGGGTGCTTGTCTTCGAAGCGCGCGTGGAAGCGATGTGTTTCGTCAAACAAGTGTGTTTGACACGCTGGCATGCCCTGGGCCTTCGTTGCTGAAGCTATGACAGGCGTGAGCGTGACCTAGGCCGAGTCAGCTTGGGCGCTCGTTGCGCCGCCGCGGGGCCCGACTTGTGCACGCGTAGCCCTCCCTAGCTGGAGTCGACGGCTGACGCAGCTGCCACGCTGGCGACGGCTTGGATCGCTCACGACCTCCCTCGACCTCCCTCGACGCGCGACAATCGCCTCGACTTGCCCTCGCGCCTCGACAGTTTCGCTTTCCTTTCTTCAACCCACTCAAACCAACCCCTCACCACCCAACTCCCCAACCCCAAACCCCTCAAATCTCAACCATGTCTTCAGGCGGCAAATCAGGTATGTCGGGTTCAGTCAACCCTACCCGACAGCAAGAACTCCTTTTGGCTGACACACAGCCCGGCACCTCGTATGATTACAGGTGGAAAGGCCAAGGCCGGAGCCGACTCCAAGACTCAGTCGCGATCGTCCAAGGCCGGTCTTCAATTCCCCGTCGGTCGTATCCATCGATTGTTGCGACGAGGCAACTACGCCCAACGCGTCGGTGCCGGTGCGCCCGTCTACCTCGCCGCCGTGCTCGAGTACCTGGCCGCCGAGATTCTCGAATTGGCCGGCAACGCCGCTCGTGACAACAAGAAGTCGCGTATTATCCCGCGTCACTTGCAACTCGCGATCCGCAACGACGAGGAGCTGAACCGTCTGCTCGGCGCCGTTGTCATCTCGCAAGGTGGTGTCCTCCCCAACATCCACTCCGAGCTCTTGCCGACGTGAGTCTTTCCGCTTCTTGAGTTCTCATGGTCATGAACTTTAATCGAGGCTGACCCGTTCGCATACCCTTCGCAGCAAGACCAAGAAGGGTGCTCAATCTCAGGAACTCTGATGATCATCGGTCGATAAGTATATCCCAGCTCTTGGCTACGTTATTTTCCTTTTGTTGTACCTTTCCATCCTTGCGATTGCAACTTGCCTCCTTTTCACAATGGCAAACAAAATACAGACTCAGCTTTAAAGATCGCGAAGCACCAAATTTAACTTGGTAACGTCTGATCAGTTCAACGCTGAACTTGAAAAACATCTGGTCAAACGTTGTCCCTTGGTTGTCCCTAAGCCCAGAACTTTTCCCGAGGTCAGCCTCATTTCGTCGAGGGAAAAAGATAAGGTCATGTTCCGGCTTGACAAGGTATGTGAGCACGGGCCACAGGCAAAAATACATTTTCCCCGACGGGGAATCGAACCCCGTTCGCGGCTGTGAGAGAGCCGAATCATGCCAATAGACCATCGAGGACTGATACCTCCATGGCAATATGTCCAATCGATACTCGTTAACAAATCACGTGATCTCTACACTTCACTTCACAATCGCCCTACTGCAGCCTTCGATACTCGAGTTAACAAGTGATACACCGACAAGATGTCTACCGGAGACCCTGGGTCCCCACTGCCGGCACCGCCACCACCGGTATCCGCCACCAGCGTCCAGCCCCCCCGCGACCGGATCCCGATAAGCTCGAAGAAGACGCAAGTCACGGGCCCCGCCACCGCCGCACCCAACTATGCTGCCGCTGCGAGTCAGATGGCGACTCAAACACCTGAACAACAGCAACAACAACAACAGCGTGCCAAGGCTCTGGGCAGCCTCCTACAAGCCATGGGTGCTGTACCCGGAAACCGCATGGATCGCTGGGTCCAGGCCATCTACTTCGCCGAACTCTACCCCGTCGCCACCGCCACATCGCTGAAATTTTCGGCCTTGAACGCGAACCGGTCCGTCGAGAACATCTTCGATTACGCCCTTGAAGTGACTCTGTCTCACCAGAGCGCCTCGCGAGCGACTCATGCCGACAAGATCGATCTCGTGGCCTGCGTCACGAGGCTGCTATCGCCCATCTCTCCTATCTGCTTTGAGCCTGGAGTTCCTCTGCCGGACCATCTTGCGGCTTATCAACCACAGATCTTAGGCGTACAACATTCATCAATCCTGCGTAATGGGGCGGCTCACCATCGCGTTACGGTTGGGTTCGTCACCGGCGAGGCACGTGACGCGGCGCTCACGACGCCCCCCGCTCTCACTTGGCGATCGGCGAAGGCCCGCTTCGCGAAGTCTCACAGGTTCCACCATAACATGGTCGAGCTTCGAATCAACGTCGGTGTTCAAGGAGTGCCCTCCATGGATGCCATCATCAAATCGTTCCAATCACTTGTGCAAGACCTGTCAGCCAAGGGACATTCATGCCAACTTGTGCAGGTTCTGCGCGTTATCAGCGTGGACAACGCCTCGGCCTTCGCCCACGTTGCCGGAGACTACTCGGCTTTCCTACACTTCGATGACGACTCCCTATTCCAACGCCCCAACACGACCTTGAAGGAGATTCTACCTTCGAGGATCGACCTTCCCACTCGAGGCATCCCGGTTACCGCCCTTCGCCATGACTATGAGAAGGAGGCGGCTTGCGGTAGGTGCCACTTTGTGGGTCACGTGGGAACCTGCGGACTGGATCAGGAGAGGAAGCGGAAGGAGGCTCACAACGGCATCATCAACAGCAACAAAAACACCATCACCCACAACACCAACATCGCGGAGGCCGAGGCCCCCATTCCTGTGCTGGTTGTTAACAGGATCGCATCACAGAATCACTTCGCCGGGCTCGAGGTCGAGGAGGGACAGGAGGAAGAGGTAACTGGCCAGGGCGAACAGGGACCGGAGGAATCGGGGGAGGAAGACGCTGGTGATAAGGCGGATGACGAGGACTCGGAGGACTCGGAGATGGAATCGGAGGCGGCCGCGAAAACGGAGGTCATCAAAATTGAAAGCGAGGACGAGTCGGTCTTGGAGGACTGCAGCGGATCCGATGGAGAGGTGATTGATGAGAATGAGGTGATGGCGGATGAAAGAGGTGAAACGGGAGGAGAGGTGGCTACGGAGATGGAGGAAGAGGAGGTGGCGACGGAGGTGGGCGATGTGGACGAAGCGAGGGGATCGACGAAAGCGGAGAATGCGGAAGCGACGGACTTAGGGGAAACGAACAGGCTGGACAATGACGACGACAGCGACGCCACAGCAACCGCCGCCACCGCTTCCCGCGAATCGACGCCGCACGAACCAACCCCACCTCTGTCACCCGAAACTCTCGCCAAGTCGCTACGCGAGGGGGAGGAGTGGGACAGGATCAGAGCTAACTGGGTTGAGCAGGCACGACTTGAGCGGGACCAAAGCATCGAGAGGAGGCTCAACGCTGAAACCCCTTTGGTGCGTCACAACTTTGCCACGTGGGACGAGGACGGTGAGATACGCTCCATCAACATCAGGGGGACCGCTGCGAAGTTCAAGAAGCAGGTGATGAAGAGGTCGCAGACTGCGGCGGACCTCAGTGACCCAAGTGACGAACCGACCGACGCCAAGCGAGTCATCATCAAAGGGAAGAGCCGCGTCGTGGTGAAGGATGGAATAGAGGGGCGGAGGGTGACGAGGTCGATGTCGGCGGCAGCGGCGATGCAGGTCGAGGTGACGAAGGTGGACAGAGGGAAAGGAAGAGGGGTAGCTGAGGAAAAACGATGGTCCGACCACGAGCCCGAGGACGATGTCCTGCCCGCCCTTCCCCTCTTTGAGGACGTCACCACCGCCAAGAGCGCCTCGACCTCGACTACCCATTAATGATCAAGCACACCATCATCACCTGGAACGTAAGAAGGGGCATGGGGGTCCCGGAAAAACGACGTGACATTTACGAATACCTATCCACTTTCAAAGCATCGGCCATTCTCATACAAGAACACTTTGTCAGACCACAATTCTGGCAGATCATCAAGGACGAGTACGAGGGCAAGCTCTTCATCAACCAGCACTGTATAACTCTGATTCCGGCCAACTCGCCTCTGATCGACGCCGAGCTCTTGCGCACCCACTCGGCACTCGACGGCCGGCTCCTCGTCACCTCCTTTCGTCTGCGGGGTGACATCAAAATTCTAGAAATCAACAACCTTTACGCGCCCGTTGCCCCAAAACAACGAGCAAAATTCTTCGACAAATTTTTGTTTCACAAAACACAGAAATCCCACCTCCGACTCCTTGGCGGCGATCTCAACGACTGCCCGCGCCCAGAAGTCGATCGGCGGAACCAAACTCGGCGCGGCCACCACTGGCCGATTCTGATGGGCAAGCTCGACTCGGCCTACACGGACTGCATCCGCTACAAGCACCCCATCACCCCATCTTTCACTCGACCTAATCCCAATCGCAAGCGACCTAACTCCTTCTCCCGGCTTGACTACTTTCTCCTGCAACGAACACACCAAAAAAGACTCGACCAGGCCTCGACGATCTACGACTATCCCAAGGATCTTTCTGATCACCGACCGGTCTTGATTGTGCTGGCTCTCTCAGACGATCTTGATGCGGCTCTCCCACAGCTCAGCCTACCTACCACATCCAACCAACTACATCGAATCAACACCACAACCTTCAAGACGGTGGAATTTCAGCGGATGATGGAAGGATGGTTGGAAGGGGCAAGCGGGGAGGAACCGGTGCGGGAGCTCGAGGAGATTTTGGAGGCGTGCAGGGACAGGGGTGGTGAGCTGGCGAGGAGGCTGCATCGGGAGCGGTCTGAACGGATGGAGTATTTGGTGGGGAGGGTGCAGGATCTGGAGGCGTTACCGGTATGGGCGGCGGCGGAAACGGCAGAATGGACAAGGACGTCCGAGGAACTCAAGCGGGCGGTCGAGGAGCGCGCGCGCCTACTCCGGATCCGAGCCCACGTCCCCGAGATCGCTTCCGAGGAACGACTGTCGCGGCCGGTCCACGCCAAGCTCGCGGCGCGGAACTCGGACTCCAAGATCACAGCACTGCGATTGGGCAACGGAGGGCTAACGCATGACATTGATGTCGCTCTTGACCACACGCAGGCGCATTTCCAGCGCCTCTACCACATCGAGCCTCGTGACCCGGAACGCGTCGACCGACTTCGGGACGAATTCCTCGTGCCGATCAGGGCGGCACGGACTTGCGACGACCCGCGCTCAGATCCGCTCTTTCTGCGCCGACTCTCGGAAACGCAGATTGATCTCCTCCAGCAACCCATCACCGAGGACGAGGTCGTGGCCGCGATCGGGACGACGCACCCGGGGCGATCGCCGGGCCCGTCGGGCGTGCCTTACGAACTCTATCAGACCGCACCGGAGGCGTGGTCCAAGGTGCTGACCAAGGCCTACAACGCGATGATCGAGCGCGGTTCACTCTCTCCCAAGCAGGGCCAGGGACTCGTGCGCCTCATCTTCAAGCGCCACAAGAAGAATGCCGATCGCGCCGAACTCTCGTCGTATCGCCCCATCACCCTGCGCGAGTGCGATTACAAGATCTTTACCAAGGTCTACGTCGCCCGATTGAACCAAATTCTGCCCGATCTCCTCCCGCCGCAGCAGCACGGCTTCGTCAAGGACCGCCGATCGGCCGACGCTGCACTACACCTTCGTCTCCTGATCGAGGAACTTGGCGCGCGCAGGACCGAGTTCCCCGCGGCCGCGCTCTTGTCTCTTGACCAATCATCCGCCTACGACCTCGTCGAGCATGACTGGATCTTTGCCATTTTCGACGCTCTGGGCGCTCCTACCACCTTTCTTCGCGTGCTGAGGATGCTCTACTCGGGTGACTCGACCTCGGCGCGCTACATCATCAATGGGTTCCTGACGGCGCCGGTGCGACTGACGTGTGGGCTCGGCCAAGGGGACCCGGCGTCATCGTCGGTCTGGGACATCGTGTTTCAGCCGTTCCTGGATGCTCTACACCGTCGAAACATCGCGCTGAATCTCTCCATACCTGCACTTCATCCGTACCCACAGAGCCGCGCCATTACATCACTTGCATTTGCCGATGACGTTGTCGTCGCCGTCGCGGGCTTGGAGTCACTCAACTTGCTCGATGACCTGGCGCTCGACTGGAGGCTTGCAACGAATGGCCGGCTCAACACGGACAAGACGGTCGTCCTACCGATTGGACGTCGCTGGGACCCTGGGGAACGGCCAATCGTCGTCAAGGCCGCAGGCGAGTCGCTCGAGTGGATCGGCCTCCCCTTCGACCCCAGCGGCGACACCGAACTCGCCTACGCGAATCTCATCGAACGGCTCGAGGCGACGCTGGAAGCGGTTCAGCATCGCTGGCTCACGCACCACACCCGTGCCTTTTACGTCAATCGGTACGCCTTTCCCAAGATCCTGCATTTCCTTGCAGCCGACATCCCGCCGCCCGAAGTCGTCAAGAAGCTCGATGACATGCTCGTCGATTTCGTCCGTGGGGGCAAGGGCAGGACCAGCTACGGCAGAGACATTGTGTTCACCGCCAAGAACAAGGGGGGACTCGGGGTGATAAGGATGCGGGACGTTGTGGACGCGGTTGCGGCACGGCTCTGGGACGTTCTTCTCGGCGGTTCCGGCGCGATTTGGCAAGGACTTGCGCGCGCAGCACTCCAGCGAGCTCAGCCCGACCTCGACCTGGCCACCGATCTCTGGCCACATCCATCCACTCCCATCCCCAACGACCTTCATCCCCGATGGCACGCCGCACTGGGCGTTCCGAAACTTCACGACGCGCAGGTCAACCCGAGGGCCTTGACCACCGCGAACCTGCTCGCGCTGCCCACCCTGCTCGGCAGCCTCCACACCCCCATCAGAGGGAGACAGACCATCGACGCGGTTCATGTACCTGACTACCTTCGTCTCCAGGGCTACCCGAAGGTGGCGGATCTCTATCGGCGCGAGTTGTATGCGGGTGGGGGGTTTCACCTCTGGACGCCGCCGGCGGATGTGCTCGGCGACAACAGCGAGTACGATCGACGCGGGCTCCCGCAGCGACTGGCAATCGCGGCCTGGTACCGGTTCACTGTCGATCGACACAAGAACACCCCCTTGGCGGCGGCGGTGGCGGCGGGACGACTCAACGTGCCTCCCCGGATCGGCACCAGCGTACCACTCGAGGCGATCATCCCCAAGCCCGTGGCCCGCTTCGCAATGGAGCAGCGCCTTCCGGACCCGGTGCTTCCACAACAGGCGAGCCAGTATACGCTGCTGAACATGGCTCGACCCTACACAATCCGTCGCATCCGCCGGGTCCTGAACGCGAAGGCTTTTACCAACACGCTCAGGCTCAAGGGACCACCGCAGCCAGACGATCTCAGGAGCTTCTGGAAGGCGGTCAACTCGAAGGCACTGACAGCGAGGGAGAGGGAAGTTTGGTTCAAGCTGATTCTCCGCTTCACCCCGACGCGCAAGCTCCAGCACGAGCAAAAGCACGACACTTCTCCTGCGTGCCTCGTCTGCGAAGCGCCGGTGGACAACACCGATCACTACTTCTTCGGCTGCGTCGACTCGCGGAACGTCTGGATCGCGGCGAGGGGCGTGCTCTGCGACGCGCTCGGATGCGACACGATCGAGGACGCCGAGTACACGACACTGCAACGACTCTTTGGCCTCCCCAAGCTCAAGGCCAAACTCAGCGAACAGGAAGGCGCAGGCAGGACGATCGAGATCTTCACGGGGATGGTCTTGGAGATGATCAGCAGTGGGAGATGGAGGATGCAGAAGCACGGGACGAGGATGGAAAGCCTGGAGCGGAGGAGGGTCGTACTGGAGGAGAGGATGAGGTTGAGGGCGGGAGGAGCAAGGGGCGGGTGAGGGCAGTAGAGGGCAGGGTTCGATTTCCCCCCACCCCACTCCACACACACACACCCCACATCACACATCCTCTTACAAAAACTGTATACTAAATATCTTTTCTTCATCTTTCTTTTATTACAGGTCTGCCTCCGTTGCTCATGGACCGGCTCGCGTTTTGGGATTGACTCGACGGTGGCTCGCGCTCTTTGGCTTCGGGGTTCTGAGTTTGATGGAGAGATCAGCAGACACAGGCAGAAAGTTGGCTTTGAGGGGCCAGGGACTGCTGAGGTGGAGGTTTTGAGGGGCCTCCACCGCGTCTTGTTGTGACCGAGCATAGACTTGGGGCTTCGCGGGTCAGGGTAGCTGCGCAGTTACTCTCCTGTCTTTATCTCGACCGAGTTGGGAAGTGGGTGCGGGGTGGGCCTCTTGTCGTTAGTACGCCAGTTCTTTTTCTTTTTCTCTCTCTCTCCTTCTCTCTCTCATTCGTCTTCTGGGGGGAAGCAAACGCTTGGCTGCGGCACTTGAATCCGAAGTATCGGATTGGTGGACTTAGCCCGTTTCTCGCATCTTGCGGGCGGTATGTGTTATCATCGTCGACTTCGATCTAGTTTTTTCGTAGGCCAATCGGGGGAACAGGAATTATGGGAAGAATGATTACAGTTTCTACCAAATTGAAAATGTAAATAAGTCAGACCCAGCCAAGGGAGGATTTTAAGGCGCTGTCGGGGTGACGAGTAGCTGGGGCTTAGCTGCCGCATGTTAGTACCTCGGGATAGGTCAGATGAGGATGGGGCCCGGATGATGGAGAGGAAGTAGGGACGTTTGGGGGTTCGCTGTGTTTGCTTTCTCTTATCACGTGTGTATTCAGGCCGCGCCGCACAGCGGATCCAACAGCTCTCTGTTGTTTGGTTTCTCATTGATTGGGTAGAACAGACCCCGATGATTGCTCTCACAGGAATGCCGAAGCTTCCGGCGCCCTCGACCTCCCTCGACGTGCAGAGCGTCCCCAGCGCGGATTTGGAACGTGAGACTTTTACTTCTCCACAGTCAGCGGCCAGTCGCAATATCCGAGTTGGAGCAAAGAGGGATCAGACAATGGGTTGCTACTACTTACTAGTACTTCACCTGCCCAGCTGGTTGCCACCGATTTCGTCGATGTGATTACGATGCGGGTCATTCGCCAGATCGTCGAATCTGCTAAGAAGACATAAGAATGGCCGCGATTTTGGCTGTCGAAAATTCAACTCTCTCGACGTTCAACAGGGTGGGAACTTGTGAGCAACGCTCCGACTGATCAGTCGCCGCCTGCCAGCGGGGCGACGGGCTTGGCGCTTGGAGCTTTTTGGAATCTGCATCCGATCGGCTGCGAGGTCAAGGCGCTGTCCCGGTTCGAGGTAGGCACCATTCGACTTGGCTAGCAGCCCCAGACGCGCGCAGGTTGGTGCTGAGACCTCTACAAAAAATTGCGATGTAGCCTTCATGGGCTCCTGCAGGTGCTTGAGAGGCCGACGATCGACTACATTGAAGGGGAATATCGGCCGCAGGGGGAAAGAGGGATGGTACGAATCCGCCGATTGCGGCTTCTTGAAACATGCTCAGTTCTCGTGCCGCTCCGACCTCGTCAACAGGAAGGACCGCCATGACCCTCATGATGCCGTGCCAACTTTTGCCAAGTCTCCAACGGCTGCGCGCGCGACCGGCGGCCGTTCGACGGAGGGGAGCGCTTCGCCAAAGGTTCCCATAGCCGCGCCCCTGAGCACCACAGAGCGAGAGTGTATTTTGCTGTTTCATCCCACTTGTCTTCCTGATTATGATTGGTTACTAGTTGTTGATATTAATCGCCTCGCGCGGCTAGTGCCTGCCTCGCGCGCGCTCCCTTAGCGCTTCTCTTCTTTCTCCAACTATCTTTACTATCATCTTCGGCTCTCGTACTTACGCATCTCGTGCCTCGGCTTCAGGTTCCTAAAACCAGCTCCAACCTGCTCCAACCCCACGACGTCTCGGGACCTTCTTCACGCGCGCTCTCTCAGTTGGTGTCTTCTCTTGCCCCACCCTATTACAGCGTACCTCCTACTCTCTTGCTCCTACCTTCATCTGTCACACGTTACGTGTCGGCACACTGCTCGCCTGCCCCTCCTCACTAACACATGACTCGACTTTGATGCGCCTCTGAACAGTCGATACCATGTCGTCCAATTCAAGCTCACCCACCCGTTCGCATGGCTCCCCTCCGCTGGCCCCACCCAAAGGCCGTTATCGCCTGTCGTCGCTGCTGTATGCCCCCAATCGCTTGTTGCACCCCGGTCAGCGTATCGAGCACGAGCGTCGACGTCGCGCCTCTTCAATCCGTGGCATCGAACAGAAATTCGGCGGAGCGACAGCTGGCCAGGTGAGCCATACTTCGGAATCCGCTCTCCTTCGGGCACTCGCGGCTGGGTCCCAATGGTCACCGCTCGCTCGAGCTTGCCGACTATCACCACTTCTCGCTCTTCTACTTATTTCAGTTTCAACTCCTCGAGAGTGCGTGCCCCCTTGGAGGGTCTTGGACTTGAGGTGACTTCGGGGCAGGAGCGCAATCCGGTCGAACGAATCGATCCATCACGGTTGCGCAACGGCCGCATGTGCCTGAGCCAAGGCACGGATCGCCCGCCGCCCCGGTCTCGTCTCGGCAAGCGTAAAAACCCACCTGCCCTTCGGCAGGTCGTGCGCTCCGCCTCCTCGGTCGATCACGCTTGGGGATGCACTGTGCCACGATACCCACTCGCCCAGACTCTGGTCTTTCCGTCCCTGTCATATCTCTGTCGGCACCACTGCTTCAGCCTCTTGGATTAACGATTCAAGAAGCTGACCTCGGTATCCTCGCGCTCGAATGTCCGTCGTCCCGTCCATGCCCGCTTCCCCCCACCCCCACCTATTTCGCCCGCCGCCGCCCCCCCCCCGGCCCCCCTTTTTCTCTGCCCCCCCACCCAGGTCCGCGGCGCACGCGTCAAGTTGTGCGAGGTCCAGCTTGATGATGTGATCGCAGGAAAGTACACACCTCCCATCGGACTGAAGGACTTTGAGGACTACCTCTGCTTCCGTACCAAAAGTGCCGAAAACCTGTGAGTGGCTTCCAAGGCGCTTTGGCTCGGCTAGGTGCTCATGGCCATTTTTCGGGACTGATATACCCACCTCCTCCATCTTCGACCAGCTACTTTGAGCTCTGGCTCCGACACTACGCGGCGATGTACAACATGGCGACCCCCTCGACGCGTTCGCACGCCGACATGCTCGCTCTCGGCGAATCTTACCGACAGGCGCTCAACATCTTCTTCTCTTTACAATCCCCCCTCGAGCTCAACGTCGCGTCTGATCTCAGCCGCAATCTCGCGGCCGCAGTCAAGGACGTCGAACAGCAGGCGAGAATTGACCCGTCGCGCGAGGACTTTCTCCCGCCCTCGGCATTTGCGGCCGTGCACCACGAGACCAACGAGAGCCTGGCGCAAAGCTTCAAGTCTTTCTTGATGCAATCGTCGCGCAACGCCGATCGCAACCGTGCGAGGTTCGCCATGTTCTTGGGCGCCCTCACGTGGGTCTTGGGCCTCATACCCACGCTTGTCTGCGCCTCCCTGGGCAAGAATCGCGGTTGGCGTGCTCTGGGCTTCCCGCTGTGGTGGTTCGGCATCGTCGTGCTCGTCGGTGGCCTGAAGCGCACTTGCCTGGTCATCTACCTCTTTGGCGACAATCGTCAGCTGTACTCGTGGGAGCTTGCTCGCGAAACCGACGTGTCAGGCTCATCCATCTACGGTAGCGACGTGTCGCCGATCCTAGCCGAGATGGAGGAAGGCAAATCCCCCATGTGCGACTTTGATTCGACGCTCAAGTCAGGCGCGCCTGGCTCGCCCGACTCGGAGGCCGCACCCTCGACCTCGTCACGTCGCTCCTCTGGCCACTTCCCCGAACTCAACTACTTCCGCTTGCAACGTGCACATTCGCTCTCGGACAAGTCGATCACAATGACTGCTACTACCTCGGGTGGTCTGTACTTCGCGTCCGCGCACCTCAACGAGAAGGTCTTGCCCAAGAGCTCCGGGGTCTGGGCCCCTTTTACGTGCATCACCGAGCCCATCGTCGCGCAAGCTCAACGCGAGATCGTCGTCGCCGGCGCGTGCTATGGCATCGCCGTCATGGTCGTCACCGGTGCGATCTGCATGGCCGTCCCCAACCGTCGCTAGTTGCCAGACGTTTGTTTCTATATCATGATATATGCCGGCTCTGTTCCCCACTTTTCTTGCAAGCGTTCATGCAGAGGTCCTCGTCATTCAAGACAAATCACTCACTTGTTCACTCGCACGTCGCTTCGTTGTTTTCGTCATTCGAGGCCCTCTAGGAATTTGCAATCTTGTCGTCTCGCTTTCATAATGCTGAGAGGTGGGGGAGCTACTATAGAATGACACTGGGCCGAAAGGGTTCTTCATCCTTTGCGAGGGCCGGCCTCGCGGGTGAAACAAAAAAAAGAGATCAAGCTCGGGTTCGAAATCTCCACCTCTAGGGGTCCATGAAACATGCGAGTTTGGAAGCAAAATTGGGGTGCCAGCACATCAAATAAGCTAAACGAGGTAGGCAGGCGTAAGCGCTCCACAACCGGACTTCAATGAGAGAGCGAAAAAGCACCTGGATGGGTGGGAAAAAAACGATCACGAAGGGGATCGAACCCTCGATCTTCCCCTTGTCATAACGTAGGAGGGGGACGCCGTACCGCTTGGCCACGCAACCGGAATGTCAGCAAAACCCCAGTCTGACGGACATGATTAAATTCAAAAACCAAAATCGCTCTTTCAGTGATGACCGAGTTAAGTCCTTCCTTCCCATTTTCCTCCCCTCCTTTCCTGCCTTCCTTTTCGGTCAGAAGCTGACTGTCTTGAAACTTGTTGCGCAGTGGAAGGCTGCGCACCTCTCCCTCTCTCTACTTTGCGCAGTAGCGATTTTCGTTCTTGGATGGATCGGCAAGCCGGGTCGATCGTCGTTGCGTTGGAGGCTTTGTGAAGTTCTCCCCCCTCTTTCCCCCCCCTTTTTTTTCCCTTCCCTTCCTCTTCTCTTTCCTGTTGCTCGGTTGTTGACTACGCTTCAGCCACTTCTCCTTTTATTCCTAAGCCGTGTGTTGGATTCCGTCGAATAGATCGTTCGTTCGCGTTGGTCAAGATCTACGGCATGGATCGGGAAGAAAGGTCGCTCGTTTTTTTGGTCAATATCCTCGCGTCAAGGCGAGGCTTGTTTCGTTGTATTGGATCGTTTTCGCTCGGCCCCGACGGCTCAACAGCCAGCACTCGAGACTCAGCCAAGGGAGGACATCAGGCGCTGTCGGGGTGACGAGTAGCTGGGGCTTGGCTGCGGCCTGTCAGTCCCTGGGGACCTCTAGCTCTGGCTTCGACCCCCTCCCTTGGCCCCTCGGGTGTGTTCCCCTCCTCCTCCCCTCCTCTCTGTCTTAGTATTCCTGGTTCTCCGTGTTTCCAGTCGTGAATTTTTGTATATTCTCCCCTTTTCTTTCTCTAGGCGCTCTTGCCTGGTTTTCGAGTATCTTCGCTCCCGCTCTTGGGACGTGAAGCGGCAGCAGTACTCACCGCCCGTTGGAGTCCGCGTTAGGTGCTCGGCGAGTTTTGATCTGCGCAGCGCTCTTTGCGCGCAGGGGTTTGACTTTCACCCAATTGCTTGCCGTCGTTGCTTTATAACCTCTTTTAGCTCTTTTTCTAGCGGTCCCAGCCAACCCGAAGGATTGCAATTTATGAGCCCCAGTAAAAAAAAAAAAAACTTTCAAAAAAATCTTTCACAGAGTCATCTCACTCTCCTTCTCGAAAAACTCAAGTCGCTAGGCACTGATGTTTTCCCCGAGGGCGCCCTCTTGTCTTTGGATCAGCAGAGCGCGTACGATCGGGTCGATCACGCCTGGATCTTCGAGGTCTTTGAGGCCTTTGGGTTCGGTGAGCGTTTCATCTCGCTGCTGCGCGCTCTCTACGATCCCGAGACTCTGGGGGTGCGCTACCTTGTCAATGGGTTCCCCACGGACTTGGTGCGGTTGCTGTGTGGTCTCGGTCAGGGGGATCCCCTCTCGTGCCCGGTTTGGAACATCACGTTCCAGCCCTTCCTCGACGCCCTCGTTCGGCGCGGGATCGCGCTCGACCTGCAGAAGGTGTGGCCAGGGGGGCCGCGTGCGCAGCTTACGCATCTGGCGTTTGCCGACGATGCTGTGGTGGTGGTGGAGTCACCGGCGGCATTGTCGAAGCTGCAAACGCTGTCGCAGACGTGGTACGAGGCTACCAACGGGAAGACCAACACGGACAAGACGCTGGTGCTACCACTCGGACCGAACTGGCTTCGGGACGAGACTGCGCAGGCGCTGCCAACGGTGCAGGAGGGGGAGAGCTTCAAGTGGTGCGGCTATGCCTTCTTTCGCCACGGTGACTCGAAACTGTTTTGGACCCATGTTCTTGACAGGATCAAGGCCAAGGCCCGCGCCGCTCGAGACCGGACACTTTCGCCGAGTGGGAAGGTTTTCTATGCCAACGCTCACATCATCTCGACGGTCCTCCACGTGCTGTCCTTCGACATACCGCCTCAATGGTTCATTAAGGCGGCGGAGACGGCACTTACGGACTTTGTCTGGGGAGGAGCAGGGCGAAATACCGTCGCTCGCGATTTCGTGTTCCAGGCTCGGGAGGACGGTGGCTTGGGTTTGATTTCGATTGGCGACATCGTTCATTCGGTGGCGCTTCGATTTTGGGATGCTGTGGCGGGCTCGGACGAGGCGATCTGGGCGCCCCTAGCTCGCGAGAGCTGGAGGTCCCTCGTCGCTGCGACCCGCGATTTCAGTCCGTGGGGGTTCTTCAGCAGCACGGCTCGGGTCGAGAAGCTGTATCGCGACTCGACGCGCTGGGGGGCAGTCGTTGCAGCGGCCAGGGTCACAGTTCCAACCATCAAGTCCGAACTCCTTACGCTTCCCGAATTGCTCTCGCTTCCGCCTCGCCTCCCTTCACTCTATGCTGAAGGTGCCCAGCACGCATATGACGATGCGGACGCGGTGGCGAAGTTTGCGCAGATCGCGGACCTGTACTGGAGGGACGAAGGGAAGGGATGGGCTCTGGTTGGTCATCGACGCGGGTTCTGGCAGCACTCTAAGGAACCCGCCCTACAGCACGAGCACGTGTGGTCGCGCGTGGGTCAGTTGCTCAAGGCGAAAGCGTTGCTGCCCAAGACCGCGTTGCGACCTGCTCGGATACCTCTCAAGGAGGCTCCCCGTCCTCGGTGCTTCAACTTCTTTGGGCTCTCCCGATCTTTTACGATTCGCAAGCTTCGTCGGCTTGTGAACAAGGTGCGGTTCCCAGGGAGGGAGGACCGTGTCAAGCGTTTCCCTGATGGGACTTCTCAGAGCGATAGGAAGCGCTTCTGGAGATGGCTTCATGACCGGTTCGCGTCTGCTGTCGAGCAGGACACCCACTGGCGGCTCATGTACGACGTGACGCCGACGCGCAAGAGGCAGCATACTCAGGGTCACGCCTCTTCGCCGACGTGTCTGTTCTGTGGCAACGATGCAGCGGTCATCGAGACGGTGTCCCACTACTTTTTCGAGTGCGCGTACTCGACCAGCTTCTGGGGTGGGGTGCTACGCATTCTGCTTGACAAGCTCGGCATCGAGGATACCGACGTCGATCCGTCGACGTTCACTCCGGAGCAGCTGACTATGGGGCTCCCCCTTTTGCGGGGTCGTGGGAGAACGACCTCGAAATGGATGTGGGTTCGGCTGGCCTGCGCGATCGGCTTCCAGCGGCTGCACCTGCTCCGCTGGCGCGTTCATCAGCGGTTCGAGCTGGACAACGTCGTGGCCCCTCCCTCGCTTCCCAGTGCGCTCAGAGCGTTCGAGCGAGATTTTCTCTCTCGAGCGGGTTTTGTGCCTGGGGTTCGAGATTGGGAGGTGTGATGACCGAGTTAAGTCCTTCCTTCCCATTTTCCTCCCTTCCTTTCCGGTCAGAAGCTGACTGTCTTGAAACTTGTTGCGCAGTGGAAGGCTGCGCACCTCTCCCTCTCTCTACTTTGTGCAGTAGCGGTTTTCGTTCTTGGATGGATCGGCAAGCCGGTCGATCGTCGTTGCGTTGGAGGCTTTGTGAAGTTCTCCCCTCTCTTTCCCCTTTCTCCCTTCCCTTCCTCTTCTCGTTCCTGTTGCTCGGTTGTTGACTACGCTTCAGCCACTTCTCCTTTTATTCCTAAGCCGTGTGTTGGATTCCGTCGAATAGATCGTTCGTTGGCGTTGGTCAAGATCTACGGCATGGATCGGGAAGAAAGGTCGCTCGTTTTTTTGGTCAATATCCTCGCGTCAAGGCGAGGCTCGTTTCGTTGTATTGGATCGTTTTCGCTCGGCCCTGACGGCTCAACAGCCAGCACTCGAGACTCAGCCAAGGGAGGACATCAGGCGCTGTCGGGGTGACGAGTAGCTGGGGCTTGGCTGCGGCCTGTCAGTCCCTGGGGACCTCTAGCTCTGGCTTCGACCCCCTCCCTTGGCCCCTCGGGTGTGTTCCCCTCCTCCTCCCCTCCTCTCTGTCTTAGTATTCCTGGTTCTCCGTGTTTCCAGTCGTGAATTTTTGTATATTCTCCCCTTTTCTTTCTCTAGGCGCTCTTGCCTGGTTTTCGAGTATCTTCGCTCCCGCTCTTGGGACGTGAAGCGGCAGCAGTACTCACCGCCCGTTGGAGTCCGCGTTAGGTGCTCGGCGGGTTTTGATCTGCGCAGCGCTCTTTGCGCGCAGGGGTTTGACTTTCACCCAATTGCTTGCCGTCGTTGCTTTATAACCTCTTTTAGCTCTTTTTCTAGCGGTCCCAGCCAACCCGAAGGATTGCAATTTATGAGCCCCAGTAAAATAAAATAAAAAATCCCCCCACCCCATCCCACACTCACACACCCCACATCACACATCCTCTTACAAAAACTGTATACTAAATATATTTTCTTCATCTTTCTTTTATTACAGGTCTGCCTCCGTTGCTCATGGACCGGCTCGCGATTTGGGATTGACTCGACGGTGGCTCGCGCTCTTTGGCTTCGGGGTTCTGAGTCAAGGGAGGGATCAGCAGACACAGGCAGAAAGTCGGCTTTGAGGGGCCAGGGACTGCTGAGGTGGAGGTTTTGAGGGGCCTCCACCGCGTCTTGTTGTGACCGAGCATAGACTTGGGGACTTCGCGGGTCAGGGTAGCTGCGCAGTCGCTCTCCTGTCTTTGTCTTGACCGAGTTGGGAAGTGGGTGCGGGGTGGGCCTCTTGTCGTTAGTACGCCAGTTCTTTTTCATTTTCTCTCTTTCTCTTCTCTCTCTCATTCGTCTCCTGGGGGGGAGCAACCGCTTGGCTGGGGCACTTGAATCCGAAGTATCGGATTGGTGGACTTGGCCCGTTTCTCGCATCTTGCGGGCGGTTTGTGTTATCATCGTCGACTTCCATCTAGTTTTTCCGTAGGCCAATCAGGGGGAACAGGAATTGGGGGCAATATGATGAACGGTTTCTACCAAAAAAAAGGGGGGGCGGGCTGCATACCGGGCAGCATCTCCTTTAGTCCCGTAAGGGGTTTCTTGCAAATTAGCGATGAGTTTCATACAAAAAAAAAATAAAAAATGTCTCCTCACCGAGGCGGTACGACGCCTGTGCGGTCTTGGCCAGGGCGATCCTCTCTCTTCTTCTGTCTGGGATGTGGTGTTCCAGCCCTTCCTTGATTCTCTTAGTCGACGCAACATTGCGCTGACCCTCACTCTTCCGGAGCTGGCTCCTCGTCCGCAGACTCGATGCATCACCAATCTGGTGTTCGCGGATGACGCCGTCGGCGCTGTCGCTGGACCGGAAGCCATTGCTTTGCTCGAGGCGTTAGCTCGGGATTGGCGACTCGCGACGAACGGCCGTCTAAACACCGACAAAACCGTGGTGATGCCATTGGGCGCGACGTTGTGGGATCGCGCGGACTTGTCCAAACTGTCGTTCGTGGCACCGGACGAGTCTCTTCCCTGGATCGGTCTCCAGTTTGCGCCTGACGGCAACAACAGGCTGGGATTCCATGATCTTGAGCGCAGGGTCGATCGAGTGATTCTATCGGTGCGCGACCGATGGATGACGTACCATACCCGGGCTTTCTATCTCAACCGCTACGGCATCTCTAAGGTGCTGCACTCTCTGTCCGCCGACATACCGCCATCCGACGTGATCAAGGCGATCGAGCGCAAGCTTGCCGACTTTGTGAAGGGAGGACCGCGGCGCAGCGACTACAAGCAATCGGTTTTCAGGAACTGAGGCCGAGGCACGAAGTGCGTAAGTACGAGAGCCGATGAAGATAGTAAAGATAGTTGGAGAAAGAAGATAAGCGCTAAGGGAGCGCGCGCGAGGCAGGCTCGAGACGCGCGGGGCGACTAATATCAACAACTAGTAACTAATCATAATCGGGAATACCAGTGGGATGAAACAGCAATATATTGACATCGGTCGCCTTCACGGCACGGGCGCGAGGTGGTCTCAGCGTCGTGAGCATCCAAGATGTGGTGGATTCAGTATCTGGCTCGGAGTTCCATCCGGCGAGCGCTTTCGACCTTTGACTTTGCTGCGGATCTGTGGACGTGGAGGAACGCCGACGCACCCCGGGAGCTACATCCCCGCTGGCGAGCGGTGCTCTCGGTCGCTGAACCCTACCCTGCCGTCATCGATCCTGCCAAACTTTCGGTCTCCAATTTTCTTTCTCTTTCTCCCCTCCAACCTGGTCTGCATGACTCGCGGGCGTTCTCGGAGCAGGATAAGCGTTTGGCGAAGCATTTCAGTTTCGACCGCACCATCGCTGACATCTATGCTCGAGCCCAATACCCCGCAGCTCCAGCGGTGCCCTGGACCCCTGAGAAGCATCCCAAGGCGACGGCTCGGAGCTGTCCAACCTTTGGCAATGGAAGCGCCATCAAGTCCAGGCGTGGATCCAGGTCGCAGGCGATCGCTTCATCCCGCCGCTCCCGCCTCCTGTTCCCGCCCTCGTACGTCGACCACCCGTCATTCGTGTCGTTGGAGCACCTGGAGCCCGGCGCGGCGGTCCCCTCGAGCACATCTTGCCCAGAGCGACTCCAGTCGGCATGCCTGATCAAAAACTTCCCCTCCCCTCCGCCCCCTTGCGTGCTGATCAGTGGAGAATGTTGAGCTTGGACAGACCTTACACCGTTGCGACAAGGGGTATGTGATTGCTGCGGTCGCCGAGGGTTACATCCCCCCTTTGGACCACGTGAATCATTCGGATTGAGCGGGATGTTTGTGCCATCGGAGGCCTTGTTCGACGCGTGTCAAAAAATAAGGGGCTTCAAGGAGTATGGCGGTCTCAGGGGGGGTCTGAAGTCAAAAGATCGAAGAAGGTTCACCTGTACAACTATGATCGGATTCGCCCGTACAACACATGTACCATCACCAACAATTCCTCCATCGTTTCCCGATTCCTTGTGTATTATCTTCAATCTTCCTTTCATTCGTCTTTGGGAGGGAGAAACCGTGGGCGAGGGGGGACTTGAACTCGGATTTATCGGGTTGGTCTGTTCTGCTAGTTACAACGCATCGAGCGGCGGTTGTGGTCATCATCGTGCATACTGGGCAGCATCTCCTTTAGTTCCGTAGGGGGTTTTCTCGTCTTGCAAAATAGCGATGAGTTTCATATTAGAAAAAAAAAGGGCGGCTGTCCTGGGAAGGGGGCAACCGGCAACCGGCAACCGCTTGGCTGGGGCACTTGAATCCCCAAGTATCGCATTGGTGGACACCGGCCCGTTTCTCGCATCTTGCGGGCATTTTGTGTTATCATCGTCAACTTCGATCTAGTTTTTCCGTAGGCCAAATAGGGGGAACATGAACCGGGGGCAATATGATGAACAAGTTCTACAACAACAACAAAAAGGGAAGAGGCCAATTTATGAACCCCGGTGAAAGAGAGCAAGCCCCTCTCTTCCTTGCGTCTTTCGTGGAGCGCCGTCACATGAGCTGTGACTTTTGCTCCTCGGAATAGGTCGCCTAGATTCCAATGACCAGCTAAAACCATTATTTATGCGTGTGCGGAGGTCAGCTCGGCCTCCCGATCACTGTCAGGGCTGCTGCTAGAGTTGATCACGTCGAGAGGAGAGCGCGCGCCATTCCCCAGGGCACGGCTGTTCAGGTGCTGCCATGGCATAAGCTATCTCGCTTTGGAGTAAGCCTTTTCGTCGAGACACTGATGGTCAGAAGAAGTAATGTGGTGCCTAGTCTCGACCTTTGATAGAACTGCCCCCTGCAACGTTCGCCTTGCATCTGTGGGGGGCGCCAGTGAGCACGGCACTGTGTATCGAATGGTTGTACTCTGGCCACTGGTGTGGATCCACTCGTCCTTTGAAGTATACCACCACCACTACTAGTTGTACTCAAAGAAGGGTGCACGACTGCGCGCCCACTTACCCCAAGGCGTCCTGTGGGTCCATTGAGTCTTGCAGAGCGAAAATGAGACAAACCGAACCTCGAGACTTTCATCGTTCTTGCTTGTTGGGGGTGCAGGGAGTGCTACAGGGCGAAGAAATGTAATTAGGTACGCTCTCAGCGGCGCATGATTGTTGATTGCACAACAACAAAATTTGTGAGTGTCATCACTTGGCTTTACGATGCGAATGATGATGTAAATAGGAGCCGTGAAAATGTACAGGCCCGACCACAGCGACTCTTAGCTGGGCCAGCCGTTCACGTGATCATCCCAGCGGTTCCCACTGCCTCTCACACACATCGTTCAAAACCTCAATAGGAGGGAATGAAAAACATCCAGCTCGGTCACCTGGCAAAGACGTCATGTATGCGTCAGCATCAAGCCATCGGTGTGAAGATCTCGAGTCCCGGGTGTCACCCGGTCGACAAGCCCACAGTAAGCAAGATAGCTAAGATGTACTGCTTCTTGTGACGGATGTTTTAAGGTACACAAATGAAGCGTGTGGTGCGAGAAAGAGTATGTCATATGGGATCGAGAAGATTAGAACCGGCAGCTATTTCAGCTTCAAGCGAGCGTCGCACCGAGAGGACGCGAGGAAACTCACCTCAATTCGGCACCAATTGGTCCCCAGGTGTAGAACGTATGTCAGATCTCTTGGCATTTTTGAATGGCGTCCGTGGTGTCGAGGTAGATCTGCTCAGGGTTCTTCGTGATCTTGGTCTCCCTGTGCGCTGAATCGAGTGAATCGAGTCGTCGAGCTGGGGACGCTCGCATCTCTGAGAATGAAGCGACCTCATAGGGTGCCTTGATGTATGACCGTTGTACTGTGAACTTTTACTGTGTGCCAGGGCATCAGCATGTGGTGGTGTTACCACGTGTGTGGGGGCTGACGTGCCTCGTACGATGGCGATGAGCACCACCACCAAGTAATCACGAGCAGCAAGAGCAGTTGGTTCTGGTGCTTCTTGATCCGAATGTCATGGTGAGTACGCTCAGGGGAGGGTGTGTGGGTTGGATGGATGGGCGAAGATCGAATGCCCTGTGTGAAGTTAAGAGTCGAGGTGGAGACGCGCGTCGACAGGCTAAGTCGTCACGTCGTTGATACAAAGGTAGGACAACGCACGGGCCAATTGCAACCGGATGGGTAAGCTCGAGCAAAACCTAGGAGTCGCGCGTTCGACCCGAACTCGACAAAGGAATTCCTCGACACTCGACGACAAGGGCTTTCACCCCGGAACCCGCTACGTAGCTCCTACGACTATAGGACTGTTAATATTACAGGTGAAAAAAATGCGTGGTCGTAGTCCACAGTTCCGGAAGTAACACCTCAGCTTCCTTCCTACCTTACGCCCCCCGTGCGTGAGCTTGTGCCTGTCCTTGTGCAGGTGTGGGTCCCGTCCCCGAGGGCTCTTTTCACGCCATTGCGAACTGTCACCACATGGTCCAATCCTCTTTGGCGTGCGTGACTGTCAAAAACCAGTTCCAATATCATTGCGCAAGTGCTACAAGGGAGGTGGGGCCATAAGCCAAGAGAGAAGGAGGACCCAAAGGGGCCCTACCTTAAGTCGGTGGGGTCATGTCGTCGTGGCATCGTAAAAGAGAGAGAAAGAAGAGTGGGAAAAAAGGGGGCAGAAAAAAGTATAAGGACAGGGTAGAATGCCATGGTTCATTGGGTAAGGTGCATATTCGGACTGCCGACGGGGGATCGCTGGTACGTCTGCGAGGAGGGTATCGGTCGGATGGGTATCGCACTGCCGTTCGTGGAAGCGTGGTGGAGAATCGTCGACGACAGCGGTCGCTCGCCCAAGGGTTTGCTGGCATGGTGGTTGCCGCTCGCGACGGGCAGTGGGGGGTAGGTCGATCGACTGACGGGGCCGGAACCAGAGCCAGGACCGAGTCCGGGGCCGGTGACGGGCGAGTCCGAACTCGCGGTCCAGGTCGCGTGTAGATCCGGTCGTGACGGATAGGGCTCGATACGGTGGGACCCCAGTGCGGGTGCGCTGCCTTTGCGCGCGGTTGACCGAACGTGCAAGTCGGCACGAGCGAGAATCTCCTTCGAGGTCAACTGCGACGGATTGCTGAAAAATTCTTGATCGCTCAAGACCGAGACGAAATCGGCGGGCACCTGGGCGAGTGAAAAGCAGAGCAAAGCCAATAAGCAATCAGCTTCCGCACATGGGATCTGCCGAATCCGGCGGAACGAGGGAAACCCAGGCCCCCCCTGGTTCCTCCACTAAGTCCGCGACTTACCTGCCACAGCTCATCCTGCCACTCGAGCAGCTCGTGCACCGCTCGCACCGAGGAAAAGGATTCGTCGCGCGCGGGGTCCTTGCCCTTGGAATACAGCACGTTGGGCGATACGACGGTCGCCAGGTTCAGCAGGTCCATTTTGGATCCCGTCTCCTCGTCGACGTGCGAGAACGAGGCGACCCATTTGAGAAAGACAAAGATGGCCTCGAGCGTGTCGCGATGGCTCTTGGGCAAGAGGCAGCAGCACAGATGCAACGCGCGCTTGCGGTCCTGAACGTGGTCGATGCGCTGTGTCGCAATGAACAGCTGGAAGAGCTTGAACGGAATCAGCGGGTCGGGCAGGTCACGCAGGAAGCGCTTCAGCAGCGCCGCGATCTGCACGGGATTGTCGTCGGATAGGTTCACGGCGGCGGCATCGCGATCGAGCGCCTCCGATAGCTCCTTGAGGCGGCGGATATTGCCGTTCTTGCGAAAGATACCCTCGATCGACATGTCCATCTGCTTCATGGCCGAGATGACGTCGTCGACGAAGCTCGGGATGCGCAGCGACCCGGGACCCGCGCCGTGCATCGAGTCCGCGCCGTTGCGCTCAACGAGGGCCTCGATCGGGATGCCAAAAACGCCCTTCTTCTTTTCGCTCTTCTTCTCCTTGCCGCCCTTGAATAATTTGCCCCAGAACGTGTTCTTGCGTTCGTCGATGACCTCGAGCAGCTCGTCGAGGGCGACGACGTCGCGGAACGAGAAGCGTGCGTTTGGGGCCTCGGTCGTGAGCAGCAGTGCGGCGATGTGGCGCACGATGAGGTACTCGAGGGCCGATAGCTCTGACAAGAGCGGAGTCAACGTCGCGACGGGCTGCGTCGGCTGGTATCGCATCTGCTCGCGCTTCTGCTCGGCTTGCATGACCGTCGGCAGATCGGCCAGCGTGATGCCGTCTTCGTCCTGAGTCGGTTCCAGGCTTCCTCCCAGCACAGGCTCAAACGTCGTCGGCGAGGTATCGAGGGGCTGGTCGTCGACGATTTGTACGGCCGTGGTCGCGCGATTGTACGTCGGTCGGGACGAGTTCGAGGTCGCGATCGACATCGACATCGGCATCGACATTGACATTGGCATCGGTATCGCCGCGGTCGGGGTTGGAGGCACGGCCGTCGCGTTCGAAGAGGCGCTCGCGATCGAGGCCGAGGAGGACCCCGTCATCGCGGGCGAGACGTCGGTGGACTTGGGATGGCTCGAGTTCGTCGCGGTCGCCACAGCAGCAGCGCCTGCGGGTTGCGAAGGAGGTCGGGGTACGGTCGTGCCTCGGATGGGGTCGAGCAGAGGCTGGTCCTTGCGGGAAGGGACCGGTGGCTTGCCCGTGAAGAGCGGGATCGTCGTGTCGCTGGACTGCGCGACCCGGCCGGAGGGGCTCTGGACGACGACGGACCGCTTCGGTGTCCGCGCCGTCGTCGACGATAGCTTTCGGTCGAGGTTGACCGATTTCATGCGCTTGATGTCGGTCGAGTCGCGGTACGTGTCGTAGAGCGATCGCTCATCAGACGAGTCCTCGTCGGTCGGGGACGAAGGGACGACGCCGCGCTGCTTGAGCAGCGCATAGAGCTTGTTGAGCGCGACGCACAGCAAAAAAGCGTACTGTTCGAGCCGTGTGACGTAGTCGAGGCCCTGGCGCAGGTAGGCGTGTGATGCGACCCGTCCCAAGCCGATGCACTCCTTGCAGTAGGTCCCCACGATCTCGACCTCAACTCGCGACCCGGCGTCCCCGATCGCCTCGAGTCTGAACTCGGGCCACCACACGTTCTCGGCCCGGTCCTGCGCCGAGACGGGCTGGTCCCGACTCGCCGATTTGCCGCACGCCTTACACTGCAGGCAAGCGAGGTGCCATCGGTGGCTAGTGCCGTACCGAGCGCACTCCTCCTCGACGGTGAGGTGACACCCTTCGCACAGATCCGTCGTCGCCTCCCCAGAACCGACCAGCGTGGAGCCGTCGGGACGCATCAGCGACTTGTACCGATAGGACCGCCCGCTGGCTTCGCGGCTCATCTCGGAAGATTTCTTTCCTCGCGCCGACGCTAGACCGTTCGCATGGCTCGTCAGTGCGGCTGCGGCGCCGTGGAGGTCGAGCGAGTTGTTGGGCGAGTTTTTTGTGCTGGCGTCGGGGTCGTGCGCGAGCTGGTCCAACCTTGTCAAGAACCCGGCGATGGCGGTCGGGCTGTCGAACTCGCGCTCGAGCTTGAGCGCGGCCGTCAAGGCGATCCGAATGAGGATCTTGAGGTAGTGCGCCAGACCGGTCACGAGCGAGAGCAGGTCTTGGGTGATCGACATCTTGCGCGCCCCCGTCTCGTGGGTGTGCGACAGCAGCGAGAAGAAGCTCACAACCTTTTTGCACAACATGCGCGCCTCGCGCACGTGCGAAATCTCTTTCGTGCCGGCGAGCTTGAATTGCGCCGAAAGATCGTCGATGGCGGCGAACAGCGTCTCGACGTGCACAACGAACTTTTCGGCCATCTGCACGCCATCGATGTAGTGCCCCGACGATACGTGGCGCAGCATCTCGGAGATGCACGCCGCACTGCTCTCCTCGAACGCCGACAGCACGGTCCAGATCCGGTAGACTTGCTCCTCCATCAGCTTTTGCCGCGCTTTGAGCGACAACGGCGTTTCAGCCTCTTCCTGGGCCAGGTACTCCTTGGCTTCGAGGGCCTTGGAAGGGGGTCCATTCGCATCCGCCGCTCCTTCGCCCGCGATCGACACGGCTTCACCGCTGCCGCCGCCCGTCTCGACAGCCGTTTCGACGGCTTTGGCCACAGGGCTCAGCGCAAGCTTGATGTTCCAAAACTACGAAGTGCGAGAGGATAGGGTCGTCAGTGGGTGCGCGCTCCATTCGGATGGTACGGTCACGATATGCATTTCTTACTTTGTTGATCATGTAGCACTCGGGATGCCAGTGCTCATCGACGCTGTTGCGGTTGATCTCGACGAACTGCTTGAGAATCGCCGTCCGGCACCCCGTACATTTTACGGCGAAGCGAGTCGAATAATGAAAGTGGCAATAGACGGAGCCGGCGTGCTCATAGTACGAGTCCTGTGGGCCAAACACGGTCGGGCAGATGGAACACGTGAAGTGCTCGACGTGGAACTTCATGTCTGTGCAGGCAGCAGGAAAAAGAGGACGATTAGACGAAAACGCACTCGGCATCTCAGGTCAGGTTGGATGTGGACGCGAACGTACCTAGGGCTGTGATGTAACTGCCCCTCAAAGCCTGACCACACTTTTGGCACAAAAGGTTGAGCCGCCGAAAGTAGTCGGTCTCGCACAGCGGTACCTGCCGGCCGCTGCTGCCGTCGGGGGCGTCGATGGGAAAGAACTTGTTGGCGACGATCTTGTTGCAGTCCTGCACGATGACGGGTCACAGCGAAATTACCGGGCGAAAGGTCAGCCAGCGGAGTCGGGATTTCACGCCCGATACGGGTGCGCGTGAGCTCATCAAGACAGATGACTGACCAGACACCGAAAGCAGTCGAGATGATAGACCGTGCCCAGAGCCCGAACAAACTGGCCCGTCATCGGCAAGTCGCACTTGGCGCAGTGCTGCCCGCCTGACCGCTCCCGTTTTCCTTCGCGATCAGAACGATGCCCTTCACGTTCTCGTTCCCGTTCCCGTTCGCGTACGCCACCATTTGAGCCACCCTCGACCTCCCTCGGCCCATGGTGCGACGGGGAGACCATTGACGACGTCGACGACGATCCCACTGAAGTCGACAGGAACCCCGGAGCCGAGGGGAGATGACCCGGATGGTCAAAGTTGCCGGTTCTGGGCGAGCGTTGCGAATGTGACGTCCCACCGCTAGTCGTCGACGAGTTGGAGTGGGATTTCGAGGGGGGAAAGTGTGTCTCCCGCGTCGAGGGCGACGACGCGCGGGTTCTCGGCGAGTACGACGTTGAAGTCGAGGTCGAGGCCGAGGTCGAGGCCGACGTGGACGTGGACGTGGACGTGGACGTGGACGTGGAAGCGGACGCCGACGTCGAGCCGAAAGAGCCACTGACAGGGACGGCGGGGGACGAGGTGCTCGCACTCCTTCCGGGACGAGCGGCCAGTGTCGACGTTGTCGTTGAAGTCGCCGGGGAGGAGGATGATGACACGTGCGGAGACACGGGTGGAGCGGCGTGGAGAGACCTTGATAGGAACGACATGCGAGGAGAGCCATTCGCCGCGCCGATAGTCGGACCGGCCCCTCCGCCTGGCGAGGCGGCCGAGGTAGCTATGGTCGGTGGCGGTGGTGAGAGCTGCGAGTGCTGCAGCGGTGACGAGACGACCGCGGATCCGTAGGGCTGCAGCAGGGTATTGATAGGTGGAAGGGACATGCCGTTGCCGAGGTTCTGCGAGTGCCTTCCGGCGCCCCGGCCGGCAAAGTTGGGTTCGGGCGGTTCGCGGTCGTCGCCGTGTAGCGACTCATCGGATGCGTGGTGGAGGCGTCGCTCGGTAGTACCGGGGTGGGGCGCAGTGGTAGCGGTGCCGGCCGACCCGGACCCCTGCCGCGACGGCGGGTTCGATGACGACGGCGACGACGACGAGGTTGGAGGAGCGAAGCGCGCGTAGTCGATCGCTTGCTGTTGCTGCTGTTGCTGCTGAGATGACGACGATGGGGACGCCGATGGGGCCTGCCTCTGGCCGTAGTAGGTGGACGAAGACGAAGGCTGACTCGGCATGGCCGCGGTCGTGTCGGAACGTGCCTCGAGGTGGTCCGGAGTGGTCCGGTGGCGGTCGGTGGGGTGGTGGGCTGCGCAACGGCCTCGAGCTGGCTGCTTGCGGGCGACGATCCTCAGATGTAGGCGTAGCCAAGGCGTGCCCACGTCCGGTACCGACGAGCTCGTCCACTCGACGCCAAGAGTGGCAGTCGCACGGATGAAGGCGTCTAGACCGATATCGACCGCCTCACAGAGGTAGCTAGCTCGCTGCACACCGGGTTGGAGGTGCCGCTGGACGTCACTCGCTCGTGGTTCGTGGTTCGTGGTTCGTGGTTCGTGGTCGTGGTCGTGGTGTCGATGGTGGTGGAGGTGGTGGTGGTGGAGTGGGTGGGTGTACACCGAGGGGAAGGGTACGAGACTGTTCACCTGCAGACTACTGTCTTCCTCGTCCCACTGCGCTGTCGCGTTCACTCGCCTGGTCACAGTCGTAGCGTGCACTCTTGATCCAGCAACCGGATCCGACGGGCAACTGTCGGTGCGGTCGAGCGGGTTCAGTCGTGACCGCGTGCACGGCGAAGGGTCGAGCTGTCCAAGTCCACGCCCAGGCACTGCCCAGGCCTGCCCAGGCTGTCCTCGCCAGTCCTCGCCTGCCCTCTCTGTCCACGCGCGCGCTCGCCGAGTCGCTTATTAGTCGTCGAGTCGCCAAGGTCCAATTTCATTATCGCGAGCGTGCGCTTTTTTGTAATGAAAATCGGCCGCGACTGTCACACCGGAGCACCGGGGCGCCCGAGCCGCAGCACGGCCGCCGGTATAAACGTGTCCGTCGTTCTCTCTCCCCACCTCTCTCCCCACTGCACCAGTCACTTGGGTGCGTGTCGATAGAAATCCCCGGCGAGGTAGGAAGGCGACATGTCCTTTTCTGCTCCAACAGCACCATGGCTCTGGGTCGCATGTGCGGTGCTGGTGCCGGCGCTCGTCAGCGTCCTCGTAAGTCGGTCGGTCCATTCCGAACACCCCCTCTCGTGTGCAGACCGTTTCCGTTGGTGCCCTCGAGACGGGGGGTTGGCGGCCCTCCCAGCTCTACCTCCCCATCAGTCGTCCTTCAATTGGGACGGCACTCCGTGTCTTAATGCACCATGCTCACCCCTCCCGACCTTGGACTGCTTCCTCAGGCTTACTCGATGCTCGTGCTGCTCTCGCCACGTGATCCGCTGCCGCATGCATCAGAGTCGACTTGTCGCACGATCGACTCGGACACCCCGGTGCAACTGCCGTCCTTGCTCGACTCGCCCGCCACCGTACAGCTCTCGGTTGTCGTACCCGCGTACAACGAGGCAGACAGGCTCGAGGCCATGTTGGCCGAGTGCATCCACTACCTCGAGACACGGCCACTCGCGATCGACCAACCGCGCATCACCGCGAGCGACATCGACCTCGGCTCGTATGAGGTGCTTATCGTCGACGATGGCAGCAAGGACGACACCGCCAAGGTCGCTCTCCAACTCTCCCGAAAGCTCCATGCGCAGTTTGGAGGCAAGCGAGGGCAGGTCAAGGTCGCATCACTGAGAAGGAACAGGGGCAAGGGCGGCGCGACTAAACACGTCAGTGGCTGGCATATCTTCCATCGAGTTCTTTGCGCAGCTTGAGGTGTGTGCTCATAATCGAAAACTACACCACACCACACAGGGTGTCATGCACGCAGCGGGCCATCGCATCTTGTTCGTCGATGCCGACGGCGCCTCGCATTTTCCAGATCTGGCTCTCCTAGAGGCCGCGCTCGATCGATTGGAGACGCAGCAGCGTCGGACTAGTGCCAAACTACCACCCCACGGTGTCATCGTCGGCTCTCGCGCCCATCTTGTCCGAACAGAAGCCGTGGTCAAGGTTCGTGATCGCGAACCAAACTCCAGAATCAGATTTTCAAAGATTGCTAACGTCAGGCTGCGGCCGATCCTCTCCCTCGCAGCGGTCATTTTTGCGCAATTTTCTCATGCGTTGCTTCCATGCCTATCTTCACCTGCTCGGGATCCGGGCGATCCGTGATACCCAATGCGGCTTCAAGCTGTCGACCCGCGCCTCGGCTGCGCACCTCTACCCCTCGCTCCATTCCCCGTCTTGGATCTTTGACTGCGAACTATTGCTGCTCGCTTCCCTCGCCGGTGTACCCCTGCGCGAGGTCGGGATCCGGTGGCACGAAGTCGACGGGAGCAAGGTCGACCTCATCAAGGATTCGATCAAGATGGCCGTCGATCTACTCGTCATTCGGGGCAATTACCTCTTTGGGCGGTGGAAGAGGCCAGCCCACGTCGACGTCGTTGACGGAGGCGAGGATGAGAGCGCCGAAGAGGAGAGGAAGAAGCGGTAGAGCATTTGCTTCGAGCCTATGGTCTGGTCGGATCTTTCTACACGCATTGCCTCGAGTCGTATTTCCATATGCAACCACGCAAACAAACTCGCAACCATCTCTTCCACGAAGCGCGATCCATTGCGTTGTAAACCGCAGCCTCGCACTGCAATCACGGCATAATCGTCTGCGGGTCATTGAACGGAAGGCTCTGCAATCATGCTCCTTGTTCTCGGGTAAGAGCCAAAACTCGATGTCGTTCAATCCGAGGGGCCTAAACATGCACTTCTCACAGTGCTCGCCGAGCTTCATGCCGGTCACTCGATGGAGATGTCGGGAAGTTCCGGACCCTGGGTCCGTATAATTTAGCGTTGCTCCTGGTGTTCAAGTAAGAAAATAACGAGGGGCCTTTGCTGACTCTCCTGCCCTGTCGACGCCAATACTATAATGCCGCGTCCTCTCCCGGCTCCGCAACGAGCGCCGTCATGAACCCCCCAATTTTCCCCTCCGTCTCGTTGAGCCCCTTCAAGTTTCTGACTTGAAGCGAAATCCTCCCCCAATAAGAAAGTGTAACCAAGGTCAGAAGTATGGATGAGAAGCTGGTGAAGCGTGATGGCGCGCTTGAGCTTGCGGCCATCAGCGACCGTGGCGTTGCCGACCTCGGGTAAGACGTCACCGACAGGGGCGTCCACGTCCGCTCGGCTCTCCTCAGCGAGCTTTATCACGGCGATACGTCGAGCCGCTGTAGAGGCCTAGAGGACCCAGAATGACTGCTTGAGCATTTCGAACCTTCCTTCATATTGTGCTATGCCTAGCTCTGACATGCCGCGTTCAACGCAGCTTCCTGACTCACGAAGAGCGAGTCGGTCTTCATGAGTCGTTCAGCATTTCCGACCTCCTCTGCACCCAACGCCGCCTGAGGCACATCCGCCGCCGCAAATTCACGAGTCAAATGCCCCCAATACAGAGAAGATCTCTCGTGTTTGTTGTGTATGTACTTTGACGATGATCTAGCCTGAACGGTCCGTGGCCGCGAACACACAGCCAGCGGGCGGGGGGCAACTTGGGGTTCGGCGTCGGCGTGTCTGTGCTAGGGGGTTTGAGCCCAGAGACCACGAAGGAGTGACGATGGCGACGGGCCGTAGCTTATCAAGTACATCTTGAATTTGCTCTTCATCTTGATCCATGGGAAACTAACTCGAAGACAAAAGAGAACTTGAATGGCTCCGAAGGAAAGCCTGGCAAGGAGAGCTGTCGCCGTGTGTCGCCAGGGTGACAGCCGCTCGGCGTTCTTTCGCACTCTGGAAAGCAACGCTGGCGAGGCCTCTTGCCGGCAGCTTCCAAACCGCACGGCAATGTTTTGGACCGTGCCGGTACCTATTTCCCCCTCGCAAGGTCAGATAATTGAGTGCACGTGGGTCGAAACCGGAAAGTTGTAGCCGCCAGCTGCAGGCGAGGAGGAGGAACCAGACCGGCATTCAGAGAACCCAGACGCAAGCTTAGGTGACGGGCGAGAGGGACAATCGTATCTGATACGTAATGAAACCCTAAGCGTGTCCATTGTTCGGGCTCCGTGTCGACATGCGTCTCAATTGCAGCTTTGTTTTTCCTGTCTGCATCGGCATAGAAAGACTACCGACGGTTCCGAGAATCCGTTCCAAGACCCGCTCGAGCTCCCTTTGCTGCTTCAGCGGCATCGAGACCACTGTAGAAAGGAAAGGCCAAAGTTCGTGAAGTATGTCAGCAGAGAATGCGCGGTCGGAAAAGAGCGGCGTGCGCAACTCACGCTTGCTCCTGGATGCGTTGCAACTCCTCAAGCAAAGGTTGATATTGTTCTGCAAGGACAATGAATTCATCGACTGGATCAGTCCTATACAATCTAGTCGTGTGAGATTCAGGGAATGAAGGCTTACGGAAAGCCTCTTCGCAAAGTGTGAAACCGTCTCGACGCAGCTCCTTGCCTCGGTTGCCCGCGCCGACGCTTTCGTGTGCCTTACGCGTCCAATACTCCTCTATCAAAGACATGCAACACATCAGATGCATCAGCGCGCGGTTCCAAACGAACGGTACCCGTCGAGGAATAAAATTGGGCTTACTCGACCGTGCAAAGAACTTGGCGAGCGTCTCTCCCGGCTGCGGTGTCGAAATGAGATCCTCGGCCGTTCGATCCGCCGACGTCGAGACACCCTGGAATGCGAGAGCACGCTTGCGCAGCTCCTCTCTCTGTAGGACGGCATCATATCGTCAGATTTAATTACCACTGAAAAGCTCTGAGCCTGAATCGCATAGTCCTGTCTCACCTCGGCTTGTTCCTTCTGAGCCGCTATCCTCGCCAGGTCGACCTCAGATAACTGCAAATCCTCGAGCGGTACCGCTTTCATGTTGGCGTCCTCGCCCGCGGGAGCAATACCATCGTCCTCTTCATCTTCGGTCTCATCATCGCTTTTGTCCGAGCCCGCGCCATCGTCGTCGTCGTCGTCGTCGCTGCTGTCGTTCTCCGAATCGCTACCATTCCAGTCCAGCCCTTCGAGAATACACTCGCGCAGGCAGTTGAAGCGATCGAGCTTGTCGAGTTGCAGGGTGAAAAAGTCGTCGAGCGTGTACTCCTTGTCACCCGCTTCGAGAATGCCACCGTACAAGTAGAGCGTGTTGCGTTGCACCGCGAGCATCGCATTGTACCTTGCACCAGGTATCGTCTTTTCGGGATCGTCAGGATCATCCTCGTCGTCCATGTCGTTCAGTGCCTCCTGTTTCTTCTGCTCTGCGACTTCCCAGGGCTTGAGTGTATCGTCCTCGTTGTCGCTTGGGTCATCTTCTTCCATGCGCTCGTCGTCCCCTTCGTCGTGGCCTTCGCCGTCATCGTTCGCAGCCGGTGAGCTGGGGATCGACACTTTGGGCGTTTGCTGCTGTTGCAACAGCTTGGCTTTCTTCTTTTTGCCGCCGGCTTTTTTCTTCCTTTTGAGCGGCAGTGAGATCCACCGACCGTTGCCACCCATGTTGTAGCCGAAGCTGTTATCATAGTCCATCTCGGACCGCATTCAGCTTCTGGCCAAAGACTCCCAGGAGCAGCAATCCTGAACTCACAGCTCGCTGTAGAAGGTCGAATCGAGCGTCTCTTCGTCCTTGTCCTCGTCACTGACCCCACCAAACAGCACACCCATGTTCTTGGCCGACCACAGCGCCATCGTGCATCCCGAGCGAGGCGTTGGGGCGTAACCGACCTTCTTCCGCTTCTCCCACTTGAGCGCCTTCCAGTCGTATTCGCCGTGTTCGTTCGGGGGAGGCATCCTCAACAACCAGGTGTCGTTCAAAGCCTGGCCCGTCGCCCTCTTGCCCTCGTAGATCTTTGTGTAGCCCCCGTGGAGAATGACCCCTTCAGGACAGGGGATGAACGAAAAGCCACTCCGAGGTCCGGGTTTGCGATCGACCTGACCAATCTCGATCTGATGCCAGCGACAGTTCAATGTGTCCCAAACCCAGAGATCGCCGAGGTAGCTGGTCCGGATGCCGGTGTCTTGGAACCCACCAAAAAGGAACATGAGGTGCTTCCACATGGCCATGCGATGGCCCGATCGAGCCGAGGGGCGAAGTTTGGTGTCGTAGCGTTCCCAAGTATGGGTCGAGATGTCGAAGCACCACAGATCTCGGTAGTGGTGGAACGAAGACTGGTTTGGGGCCGAGAACTCGCCGCCGAAGAGCCACAGCTTGCCTCCGCCCGCTGGGGAGGCACAGACTTGGTGCGCCGAACGAGGTCCGGGAGCGGTGGGGGAGGTGAAGCGACGCCATTCGTTCTTGTCCGGCGAGTAGCGGAACACATCCGGGTAGATGGCGACCGTCGATCCGTCAAAGTACTCCCCTCCGATGAGATATAAATGGTCCTGCAGGGTAAAAGAAGAAGAAGTTTGAGCTTGTGTGAGCTGAGCTGAGCGTTGGGCTCAGTCTCGAGATGACGCCAGCGATGACGGCGATCAGCTGATCAGCGACGAAAGACGAGGTCGAAGAACAAACCTTGACGGGGCAAGCGGTCAGCGTCGCATTCGCTCGACGCGAGGGCGGGCCATCAACCACGTCCTCTGTGTAGAGTAGAGCTCAGAAACATCAGTGATCTACTCTTGCTCAACTAGCTTCACGTAGACGATGGCACTAACCCGATACGGTGTGCTCCGCCGCCCATCGCTCGCGATACTCTTCGAGTGTCCTGTACCCACAGAGCAAACATCAACAACTTTGCTTTCAATACATCTATCCTAGATGCCCCACCTGATAAGGTCATCCTCGTCCATGTCGCCATCGTCCTTGTTCTTGCCCTTGCTCTTTTTGAGCTTGGCCTCCTCCTTCTTGCTCTGCTTGTCCTTTTTCGCTTTTTTTGCTTCGGCCTTGGTGTCCTTGGCCGACTTGTCCTTGATTTTCTTCTTGACTTTGCCCATCTTGACTTTGATGGGAGGAGGTTGCTTATTCGCGGTCGAAGAGGGAGCAGCGGCGCAAGGTGGGGCCTAAAGCAAGCGAATGCGAAGCAGCGTCTCGCGCTGAGAGTCTGCGAGGATTCGATTTACCCGTCATGCCAGACAGCACATGGATTAGGATACAGACGGGATATGGTATTTCGTGTTTTTCGTGTATGCGTACAGTGAAAACAGATCGTGAGGAAATATATTGGAAATATGAACAATAGGACACAAAGTTCCGCCAGTCTCGAGCCCTCTGCCGACACATCGAAAGATTTTCGTCACTTCTCGTCATGCTCAAACTCGTCCCAAGCGATCGTCAACGCCGCGGCGAGCGAGACATCAAAGCCGGGGGCGACGGTTGTATAGTACGTCTGCTTGCCCCCCATTGCCTCGCGCATGTTCAACATCTGACGCGAGATCTGCACCACCACGCGGTCGTTGTAGAGGATGTCGGCCGCGCCGCCCAACAGGTTGCCCCGGCACTTGAGCTCGACCGGCCGGCCGTCGCCGACGAGATTATTGAACTCGGCGATGTACTTTGATCCGCCGATGCTGATCTTCTTGACGAGCTTGCACAAGTCCTTGCCCGATCCGTCCTCGATCAACTGCGTCTTGTGAATCGCCATCGTCTTTTCGCGCAGGCTGAACAAGAAGTTGTTTTGAGGGTCCTTGAAGTCTGTTGCGATTGAGATATTGCGAGCCGTATCACAGTCCGAAGAGGTCACACGCGGAACAGTAAATTTTACGTCAGTCCAGCTGTTCAATAGCAAGTGCATGTAGGCAAGCGATCAGACCCACCTTTCTTGTCCTTGAAGCTCATGGCACGCCCACTACACTTGAGCACATGAACGCCATTGCCTGGAACGAGCACAGAGAATCGTCTGGGCGTTAGTCTTGTGAGGGGAGCGGGGAGCGGCGGGGAGCGGCGGGGAGCGGCAACAGCAGTCACGGGGTAGGGGACAGTCGATTGTCAACAACTCACTGTCCTTGATGGTGAAGTCATCGCCGGAGAACGACATGCGGCTCTCGGCCATCACGAGCACAACCGGGGTTGGTTTGATGAAGTGGGGATTGAGCCCGATCGGGGGGGTCACTGCGGCGAGGTTCATGGGCGCCGATTGCTTGCCCGTGACGGCACCGACGAGTGAGCTGAGTCCCATGTTTAGATGTGGGTGTTGGGGGTGGTGGTGTAGTGGTGTAGTGGCGAGGGACGGGGATGAGGTGGCAAAGATGGAGCTGAGAGAGCGACGAGTGGTGAGAAAGAGGCCAACCGCGGAGTGACGTCGCCAATTCCGAAGCCGCAGCACACCAGAGACAGCTACGCCTAGCTACGCTCTGCTACGCTCAGCTACGGCCTGCTTCGGCTGGCTACGGTGGCGGTCTGTGGCAGTGCAACTCGTCGGCAGAGGCTACCGCTACCAGTGCCAGGCAATTTTGAGCCCTTACTCATTTTGAACCGTCTCACGTGTACATCGTTATGCCACTGGCTACATGTTTCATAGTCTATACTGTACTACGTATGTATACTTACGAGCTCGGCACCGTGCAAATGATCTTGCCAGTGTTTTTAGCATCCTCCATCTCCTTGTGCGCGTCACTAATCTCCTCCCAATTGTACACCTGGCAACGCCCACACGATCCACAGAGGATCAGCGACTTGCACAAAATAAGATGACCTTAGTCTAATGCAAAGGTAACTGACCTTGTGGATGACGAGGTCGAGGCCGCTCTGGCCGTTGCACTTGGAGAACAGCTTGTGAAGCGCTTTCTCGGAAAACTCGGCGAGCAACTCGGACTGGTACTCGAGCGAGCGTGAGCGAAGGGTTGTTCCTGCATCGTGGCCGGGGTTGGATGGAAAAGTGGTCAGCCCCCCAATACAATTCGTCGTACGAAGAGACCCACCTTGGACCCTCAATCGTTTGAACAAGAGCATGCCCAGGTCGAGAGGCTTTTCGGTTTGCCTGCCTCCGACGAGACCGACGAGCACGAGGTGGCCGTCGCGTTGCAGCGAGGCGATGTTCTTCTCCCAGTAGGATGCACCGACGAGATCGATGATGACGTTCACACCGGCCTTGTCCGTGGCTTTCGAGATCTGGTTCGGTACAGCAGAGTGTGCAGTCGGGCTCAGCAGACTGTCTCCTCATCATCTGTAATTATGCATAAGATGGCGGGCATACCTCCTCGGCCCAATCTTGGGTCTTGTAGTTGAAGCAAGTGGCACCATGCTGTTCGACGAACTTGACCTTGTCGTCCGAGCCAGCTGTCGCAAAGATCTTCGAGCTGGAGCGGGAGCGGGCACGGATGAGCCCAAGCCGAAGGCGATCAAGCTGGAGAACTTCGGGAGAATGACTCACGCTCCGAATGTCTTGGCCAATTGAATGGCAGCGAGCCCGACACCACTCCCTCCAGCATGGATGAGGACGGACTGGTTGGGCTTGGTCTCACCGATCCAGTACAAGGCCTGGTACGCGGTCAACCAATTTTCGCAGATCGCGGCCGCCTGGACGTCGGTCACGCCCTCAGGTTTGACGGTGACCATGCCTTCGGCGACGCAGATGTACTCGGCATAAGCTCCGCCGTACGCGAGGCCAAAAACGGCGTCACCCTTGTTGAACTTTGTGCCGGCGGTTTCTTCGACGACGCCGCTGAACTCGACGCCGAGGATGTCGGTCACGCCGGGAGGTAGAGGATACAAGCCCTGTCGTTGCATAATATCCATACGGTTCAGCCCGAATGCATTGACCTGGAACGTCAATTGGGCGTTGTTGGGAAGCGCAATGCAAGTTCGTCGTCGAGAGCAGGGAGAATGGGGTGGGGGGTGTCGGGGTCGCGTCCCGTTTACGTCAGCGAGGCAGTGATGCGAGGCGTTGAGCGATGCGACGACGTACCTTGACCAGGACCTGCCCTTTTTGAGGCTTGGGACGCTGGACTTTATCGATGTAGAGATCATTGGCGGTCTTGCCGGTGCCTTTGACTTGTACAGCTCGCCTGCCCCGCCGAGGTGCGAAGAATGTGGGGGAGCGAGTCAGCTGGCTAAATGAGCAAGCATGTGGCCACTGGTGAGGGTTGAGGGGAGGTACCTACATTTGTGTCATAACGGTTGACGATTGTTTTGTGATGAGTGGTCGAGGAGCAGAGGGACAGGCGACGAAAAGGAGGCGGGGAGCCCTCCACGGGACCTCCACGGCGCCTTCTGCGATTCTGCAAGATTCTGCAGTCCATCTGCCAGCTTCTGCCGACTTTACGTCAACATTTGTCAGCATTTGTCAGCGCCTGTCCGCGCCTGTCACCCAGGTCAGCGCAGACGCGCGCAGGTGCAGCTTGCAAACTTTCGCGAATGAGCGCCAGCCTGCACAGACAAGCGCGAGCGCTCGCGAGACAAGCGAGGACCTGCGAAGACTAGCGCGAGCAGGCGCAGGCAGGCGCTGGCAGAGGCTGGCCGGCGCGAGCTCCCTCTAGCTCCCTGATCAGTCAAGTTCGTGTCTACATCAACGAACGAGCCAGCTCGTCCTCAGGCTCCTACACGGTCGACTGAGCTACCTAGTGCCTACGGCTGGATCACACCAAGCTCTCTATCTCGACTACACCTACTACACATTGGCTTCGTCTCTTCCAGAGCTCTGTTGCTCGACTCCTCGAAGCTCGTCGTCGCAACCCGACCGTCGACGACTCGAAGGTCGCGGGTCCGTCGATCGCGCTCGACACGGCGCTGACTCTCGCAACAACCGCGAGCGACCGCGAGCTACCGCTGCTCGATGTGCGACAGGACCAATTGACGCATCGGCACGCGACGGGTCTGAATTACCAAATTGAATCCCACGGTGAGTTTGGTCGTGAGCCACTCGTGTCGATGTCCGACCGCGTCTTCTTCAAGGCAAGCATCGGCTGTAACTTCACACCCATCCCGGCTGGACCGGCGTCTCCTATTTCTTGACAACTCGAGGATTCGTGGAGATGTTCTCCCTCGTTTCAAGGACGAATGGGCAGCTTCCGCATTTTGAACACGACTGACATACCTTGCCGCTTCCTTTTTTTGACTTGTGCGAATTTGACATCGCGACGGGCCCCTAAGAAGTCCACGCTCCCCGTCGCGCCTCACCTCGGGCCGACAGCGCGAGCGCAACCCATTTCCTTTTCTGCGACCCATCATGCTACTTCAGCTCATCCCACCCTCGGGGTGTGGCATTCCTGCTTCTCTTCAAACCCATGCCGTCCCCACTCCATCTTCATTCCCTAGGGGTCTGAAGCAACCCGCGAACTGGACCCGCACGCGGACGACGCTCAACACCCACGGCATAGCTCTACCGACCCACCAATGCATCGATCGCGCATCGTGGCTTTCTTTGGCGGTTGAGCAAGTCACATGGAACCTCGAGGATGACGTGCTTGTCGTCGCCTTCGTCGATGGATCCGTCGAGCGATGGCCGATCGCTGCAGCCGCTTCACCCCTCTCTACCCAGGCCTCATTGCAGCTATCCAATGCTCGTGACACACGTAAGGACAACGCGGAGCAAGCCGAGCAGATCCAAGACACTTCCAATTACGAGCGAGCCGCAGCAACTTTGCTGGTGCCAGCCAACGAGTCTAGTAAGTCACGTGATTCTTGCTCGGCGCCTCTTTCGTCGTTGTCGTCATCGTCGCGGGAATCATGGTGCTTGCCCTCTCCACCCTCATCATCGACCATAAAGACTACCTGTCCCCTCACCGACCCATCGACAACCCAGCCGCTGCGAAACCTTTGTAGCCAACTCGGCACCGCCTACGAAAAATTCGTCATGTCTGGGACACACGACGTGGCCGACGACGATCTCGAGCACATCGTTACCATGGCTGGCGATGCTACTGTCGCGCCTTTACCTCAGTGGGAACCAGATGCGTCCATCGGTGTGCCGAGCGGGTCGGTGTCCGGTAGCAGCCCGCCTCGTAGCGACGATGATCGCGACGGAGAGCAAGCTTTGTCACACCCGACGGAGCCCACTGCTGTGATGCCCTTCCCCGGAATCTTCCCCCCGCGTTCGGCCCCGACATTAGAGGAGGTAAGACCGTCAGAGCATCAACGTGAGCACCTGCGGTCCGCCTGGGGAGAAGCGGTCCGCAAGGTCAAGTCAGGGGTTCCGGAGGCCGAAGGGGCGGTCGGAGTGCATGTCCCACTGCTCTCGATCCTAAAGACGATTCGCATCACTATGCTCGATCTATTTTCCCGGGTGCTTGCGCCTGCGATCAAGGAACGACTTGATGCCCCCACATACTGCGTGTGGGCCACTTCGAACGCCGCCAAGGCCGCTCGAGCTCGCGCCATTGTCCGGGCCGGCGAGGTTGCTTGGAATATTCTCGCTCTGCTCAACGATGACGGTCAGACTTTTGATGCGGGAAGTGACGATACCAGCGAGTCAGAGTCGGAATCAGACGATCACGAAGACCCCGGCGGAGTGGAAATCATCGACCAGCTGGCTGAAGAAGAATGGCGCGGGGTCGACGACTTTGGGGCGTCGACTGCTTTTGAACTGGGTCGACGCAAACGTCGCACGGCACTCAAGGAGAGGCGCATTCACGAGCAACTATCCAATAACGTCATGCGCGAGTGTTTTGACGATTTCGAGTTGCGTCTGTGGTGCGAGCAGGCAATCGGCCGCGCTCAAATGATGGAGGACAGTGGGCATACATCGGAAGAATGGGGCAAGCCCCCCGGGGTGCCTCATCCCCGCGTCAGCGCCACTTCGGTCGGGCCATGGACGTGGGCTCGCAACATCCCATCGTGGGAGATCACTCGGCTCATCACGAGCGATATCGACATCCCCAAGGTGACCATCAAGAGACGCAGCGTCCTCCTCGGACCACATGGCAGTGGAGTGACGAGCAAGAACGAACCTGACGAGACGGGCGAAGATCCGTCCACTTCACCGCCTGCAACGGACCTCAGCGACAGCGAGGGCCAGGACTGCTCGCCCAAGCGGAGACCCCCGGTCCCAGCCGCGATGATAGCCCTTGAAGATCCACTAGGCGAAGAATTGCTACCGCCTCGCATCCCCAAGGCCCTGGTCACGAACGCTCGCGATCCGTATCTGGGCAACGAGATGATCGCGATGAGAAGAAAGACTCATCAGAGCCTGAATCAAGTCGCAGGCGTGAGTGCGCTGAGACCGCACTCCGAGTCTGGAGTCTCCGAGCTGACGCGGAGGATCCCAACTCAGCTCATTCGAAAGGCTAAGGACCTTCGCGATTATCTGGCTCGGCAATTAATAGACTGGGACAAGCAGCAAGTGAAGGAGAAAGGTGAGTGGGAAGGCTTTCACAAATCGTGTCCCAGACTCTTCGCCTGATTTTTAGCTCGGTGTTTTTAACAACACGCAGCACTGAAACCACCTCAAGACCACCAAAAGTCCTGTCTTCGCAACCCAACGACCTCAGACTCGCCCACAGTGGAGTCGAAGAGGGTCGGATCCTCCAAAGCTCAACCCTTGATTCAGCGAGCGGCGGACCGCAGCGTCTCCCGACATGTGCGCAACGAGCTCGAACGTCGGCGGCGCAGTGGTTCGATTTCCAAGAAGGCCGAGGCTTCAATCACCAAGCACCGGAATACGCCGAGGAAGCGACAGAGAGAGAATCTGGACATTATTGACATGATCGAAAATGCCAAATCGCCGGCACGCAAGCTACCCAAGCAGGCGACGAATACACCATCACCCGACAAGGTTACCGACGAGAACTTCGGTAGCCAACAAACTTCCACGATGTCCCAAGACAGCGAGCCAAACATTCTCGACCGGTCTCGATCCCCGTGGTCGAACCTCCCTTCCTTCCCGTGGGCCGCAACGACGGGCACGAGTGCGCAGCCAAATCGACCACCGCGGTCCCACTTCACCTCTGTGGATGACAATCGAGAGTCAGGGGCTACGAGCACCTCGACGAGCTCCACCACACTAGAAGACTCCGTCGCACCGGCCGAGCGGTTTAGCATCCAAGAATTCCGTCGCTTCCGTCCTCACCCAGTCGAACACATTGCTGCGACAGACTTGACGCTCGAGAATAAGTCACCGATTGAAGACGTTCCGACGGTTCGACGTGGTCCGCATAGCTGGGATCGAAAATACCCATACGGTGAAGATGGCGACGAGGAGATGCGCTTGTTGGGTGATGGTGAAGACGACTCGGAGGAGGAGGTCGTCGAGCTGAGGTTGACGCGCCTGAGTGACGTTGATGACGAGAGCGAGTCAGTGGATACCGGTTCGCAGACCCAAGGCAAGAGGCATACTCCGAGTGGCATCTTAAGAGTGTCTCAAGGATTGGCAGAGCAAGGCTCTATCAGCTCTCAGTGGGTCCTTCCTCGACCTCGGTCCTCTTGGAGAACAGGCGTCACTCCGCGATCAACTCCAAGAGACGACGGCAATTCAGGTCCGGAGGTGCTCGAACAGCGCAAAGCTGCAGATCACTGCGGAGTGACCTCAGATGATTTAAAGTCATCCGAATTTTCAAAGGAAACCCCTCCGCGACCCCAAGAGGACGGCGAGTCGAGCGACATCGAGGTAGAAGTCGAATCACCTGAAGCACCCGCGTGGATCCACTCGCTGCGCGCTCCGCTCGTGGACACTACATGGCGATCGGAACGGTCGGTACCGCCCTCAGCAGAAGAAATGGGTACAAGTGCTGTGATATCGGGAACCCGCTGACTTGGAGGTAGAGAGCGGTCCGGTTGCACCGACCAGATCAGCGCCAGTCCCCTCAACTGGCAAGCGTCTAGATAAGGAGTCGTCCGAGTAATTCATCGTGTCCACACCCACGAGGAGGTCAAGAGAAAGTGACTTTACTTCACATGTTTTCTTTCCCAGTCCCCCATCATCCGTACGAAAACAACCAGCTACGTGCGGCGACGTGGAAAAATCAAAGGTTCGAAGCTAACCAACACGTCCCAGCTGGGAACGAATTCGACGCTTACCGTGTAGGTCTAGAATCGGCAAGGCGTGTCTGTAGCAGTCTCTCTTTTCTCTTTGGCTTGTTGTGCTTCAGTAGTAGCAGGTCCCGTTCGAGAATCCGACAGTGCAGCAATCTCGCTTCCACATCGGCTCTTGCCCGTCAAGCATGTCAAGCATGATGAATTGGAAAAAAGAGAGGTCGAAGAACTACCACGTTGGCTTCACTCGCGATAAGCGCGTACGTAGAATGTCTAAGCAGCGGATTACTTCGCAACCACCTTCTTTCGTTCCATCGAATTTCCTTGAGCGAAAAAAAACCCCATTCCGTCCAAAACGTTCAACGAGGAACAAACACCAACCTCAACCAATCCTGTCAACTGCCGAACACGACTCGGGTTGTCGAGCACACGGTTTGGTTTGAATCGAAATCTGCGTACACGTTCCTTCTGCCTCTCCTCCCCTCTCTTCGCCCATCACCCTCCGCCGCCTCTCCACGTCCCCACCGTACCATGACTCCTCCTGCCCGCAACATCCTCATATGATTTCTGCCCCTCCCTCCCCCCACTCATCGAGCACTAAACTACCTCCTCCGTCGTTACGAGCAACGCGGCCCGAGACACACCAACGCAAAAACCTTCACTCTAAACTTTGATCCCGGGAAAGACGAAAACGCGAAACCCAAAAGATCGTGCGCACGAAATTGATGAGTCGCCAAAAAAAAGTTGTTCCGCGGCGCAAAGAGAGTAATACAATAGGCGTGTCGGTGACGATCGAAGAACAGAAAAGGATGATCGTGATGTGGGGATCTAGTGGTCGTATTTACGGTTTCCGGGCTGGTCGTTTAGTTCTCGTTTTATTGTTGGTCGTGTCGCTTGGTTCTGTGTCTCATCCTCTTCCTTGCCTCTTCTCTTCAGATCATATCTGCTTTCTCCTTGCGCATCATGTTAACCGTTCGGTTCTTATCTCCTCACCTCGTCCTAACCTCCCCCCTTCTTCCTTCGCTCGTCCCACTATCCGGTCCTGCTCTACTGCCTCCGCTGCCCGTTCTGTTGCTGGCCCCCATATCCTCCACCTTGCTGCTGCTGTCCTTGTTGAGGTCTCTGTTGCTGCTGTCCTCCCTGACTCTGCTGCCCTTGCCCCTGGTAAGACCTCTGCTGTGGTTGTCCCTGCTGTCCCTGCTGCTGTTGCTGTTGCTGGTTTTGTTGCGCCTGAGCCTGATTCGGTCGTTGGATCGTCTCCTCCTCCGTCCCCGGTGCGACGTACAGACTTCGGTCAATGACCGGGGGGATGGGCTGGATCTCGGTGCCCAACTCTTGTTCGATGCGGTATAGGTCGAAGCGGTCGTCGTAGGTGATGAGGTTGATCGCGAGACCGAGGTGGCCGTAACGACCCGATCGACCGATGCGATGCAGGTACGTTTCGGCGTTCTTGGGGAAACTGAGAAGGGTGCGTAGTGAGGAGCGGGTCAGCTACATCGCATCAGGTTCAAGGAGTTTGTTTTCTTAAACTGACTCGAAGTTGATGACAACATTGACGGCTTGGATATCGATACCACGGGTCAAGAGATCGGAACAGACGAGGTTGCGGCATACGCCATTGCGGAAGTCGTGGAAGACGCGGTTGCGGTGCGCCTGGAGCATGCGTGCGTGCGAGTAGAAGCACGAGTAGCCGAGCTCGGTAATCTTTTTAGCGAGCAGTTCGACGCGGTTGGTCGAGTTGCAAAAGATAATGCTCTGATTGATCTGCAACTTGGAGAAGAGCGTGTTGAGGCAATGCACTTTTTGTCGTTCCTCCAAGAAGGCGTAGTACTGCGTCACACCGCGTAGGGTGAGCTCGTCCATGAGGTTAATCTCGTACGGTTTGGTCATCCACTTGTCCTTGAAGTCCTTGACGATCAGGGGGAACGTCGCGGAGAAGAGCATCACTTGACGCTCCTTGGGCATGAGCTTGAGCAGTTGCTCGATGACGGGCGTGAACTCGGGCGAGAGAAGCTTGTCGGCCTCGTCCATGACGAACATGGGACATGCGCTGAGGTCGGCAATCCCCTTGCCGGCGAGATCGAGGATGCGACCGGGGGTCCCGACGAGGATGTGCACCGGTTCGCCGAGACGGAGGATGTCGTCGCGCAGGGTCGTTCCGCCGGTGGTGACCATGATCTGCGCACCCGTGTGCTTGCCCAAGGTCTTGCAGACCTGACTGGTCTGGAGTGCGAGCTCACGCGTCGGTACGAGGAGAAGGGCCTGAATCTTGTTGATTTTGGGGTTGACGCGCTCGAGGGTCGGGATGATGAAGGCGGCGGTCTTGCCGGTGCCGTTCTTGGCGCGCGCGAGGATATCTCGTCCGGTCAAGGCGATTGGAATGGCTTCCTCCTGGATCGGAGACGGTCGTTCGAAGCCGGCCTCGAAGATACCCATGAGTAGTTCTCGCTTGAGGAAATAGTCCTCGAACTCGTTGCCTTTGGTTGCGGTGACATCCTAAAGGGCGAAAAGTGGGGGAGGTGAGCGTCGGCGGTCCTGTCAGGGCCAGTCGGAAAAAGGGGGGAGGCGCTGCCATCGTTGAGCCCGCCCACACGAGTAAGTATGGCGTACCTCGGTCTGTGGCCTGTGGTCCTTGGCGGGGAGGTTGAGTTTGGCCTTCCAGTCGGCCGGTGTTGTGCCTTGTGTGGCGACGGCTGTTGTGGTGGTGGTGTTGGAAGAGGACGACGAGGACGAAGCGGAGGGCTGCTGCTGCTGCTGTAGCCTGGTGGCCTGCTGTGGGTTCGGTCGAGGGTTTCTTGTTGAAGCAGACATGGTGGTGTGGTGGGTCCAGAAAGTCAAGTGTGGTGTTGCGGTGTGTGCCGGGTCGCGGGGGTGGTAAGCTGCGACGGCTGCAGGGGGCTGCTGTGGTGTGTGACGCTGACGGGGAATGGGGCGCAGCGGGTGCTAGTGGGCTGGTGCCGGTGCGCAGAGAGTGAGAGAGAGGAGGAGAGGACGCTAATCTGACGTGGTGCTGGCAAGTGCGCTCAACGGGGAAGGGACAAACAGGCGTGACGAGGCCCAAGTTTGTTCCTTTGAGATCAGTGGGGAGAGTACAAGTGAGAGGGTCAAGTTGAGCTGTCGTGTGATGGGTGGGTGCGGCAGCCAAGAGTCGGGTGGGGTGCGTCAGAGAGCGAGCGGGCACGGCCGGGCGACGACGGGGCCGACGGGAACGAGACTCGCTAAAAGGACCTCTAAGGACTCGCTTCTACTCGCTTTTTAGCCGTTACAAATTGAGCTCGGACCCAGGCCTCACTTGGGCGGGGCAGCTGGGAGCAGAGCACGCACATCAGGGTCCATGAGAACTAGACAGAAGCAAGCAAAGTCAATAAACCTTGTATGTCTTCTGTCCAATAGCAAGGAGTTGCAACCGCGGGCTAAGTAGCCCAGATAACATTGAAGAATGATCCTCTACTCGGCCTTTTTATCGGTCGCCAACCGCGCCTTCCGCATATCGCCCAACGCATTCCTCCCCGTCAAGGCCGTCAACAGAGCCAGCGCGATAAAGTAGGGTATCGTCGGCAACAGCTTGAGCGAGGTCCAGTAGTAAATCGTCAGCAGTTCGAGCGAAGTTAATGAGCCGAGGAACGAGAGCGTGGAGAACGATGGCGTTCGGAGCTTGAGTTGGACACTTCCAATCTGTTCGTAGCAGCGCAGCCAAAGAGTTCGTCGGCATCACATTATCCACAATTCATCTTTCGACTCAAAACTCACCACGCCGAACAAGACGACCCAGGGACTGAGCACGGCGATCAAACCCAAGCCGGCCTTGAACAGCCCGACGCGCTTCTCGGGCTTCCTAAACTCCCATGCGATCTCGGGCATCTTACTGTACCTCTCGATCTCGTACGACTTGGGCAGACTTGACAGGGGTGGTTGAGGGAAGGGGAGCACCAGCGAGGGCGCGAGGGTGAAGGTGCCGAGCGGGATCGACAGGCCTCGGGGGTGCTTGGGGTCGCCGACGAGCAGCGTCAACGAGATGGGCCCGGTCGAAAGCGCCAAGATATCAACGGGTGCCCTCGAGAGGTCCTGCACATAGGTAAGCGCGAGTATGGTCAGTATTCCATGGCGGGAGGGAATTGGGAGTACTGACCAGTTCCCACTTGGCCTTGCCGCCTTTACGGATCTTGAGCGGGATGACGTGGTCCCTCCCCGGCTGACCTCGCTCTTTGGGGTCGAGTGCCTGCCAGACGAGGAAGTTTTGTTGCGGCGTCGCCGGTTGCTCGTCCTCGACGGTCTGGATCGTGTAGCTGAGCCTCATCGTGTCGACGGGCGTGAGCTTGATCGCGGACAGGGGTGCAGGGCTCGCGGACGAGAATCTGGGGAGACCGTTTGGACGAGCACATGGCAATGGGTCAGCTCTGACTCGGCACTGCTCTAGAGGACATCCTATCCCAAACAGAGGAGGACTGACTGGGCCTGCTGCGCAGCGATGCCGACCGAATCGAGCAGCGCAAACTGGCCATCGACGACTCGCAACTCGGCACGTGCGACGGCAAAGAGAGCGGTGGCGAGCAAGCTGAATGACACGCGCATGATTGGAGATGGGCGAGGCGGGCGAGTCGGAGACATGGGATGTGGGGGAGGGGGAGGGAGGACGAGCGGGAGAGGCGCACGCACGCACGCAGAAAGAAGGCCACGTCGACAGTACGTCGACCTAAGCTCAACTAAACAAGGGAGGGGCGTCGAGCTTAACGTCGACCCGCGAAGGCGCGTGCCTGCGCGTGCCTGCGCGTGCGGCCCAAAACGGCGGGGCCTCCCCCGGGGTAGCCAGGGGTAACCAGCCATTAACAGCCATTAACAACCTGTGCATTTACAAGCGCTTATTATCCCGCACGCCGCGCTTCGTCACTCGACACCGTTCACGGCTTGCGCTGCACTTGCACCTGCACCTCGACCGCTGATTACCAACAGCTCGTTTCGTGTTGCGAGTTCAATCCCCACTTTACCATGTCGATCGACAACAAGCCGACCGAGTCGATGGCCGTCGACAGCGCTCCGACCTCGATCACGGCCGCGGACAAAGACAAGGCCGCCGCACCCGTCGTCGATGACTACACCGTTTTGGAATTCAGTAAGTGCCCATGGGTGCTCCCGCTCTCGGTGTGTACTCTGTCTCAGAGTTACTTGACGTGCGACGATCGATCGATCGACCCCGACGGACCCTGGCGCGCGCTTCGTCATCGTTAATCCGACCACGCCTCATGCAGCGCCATGATCTGATCCTGCGAATACTGACCCCGCCGGCCGGCCGTCCTCCTGCAGACGTCAAGCACAACCTGGCGTTGATCTCCAAGGCCGTGTCATTGCTCGAACGGCGCTTCACGAGCCGCGCACTGAGATCGTTGCCTGCCTTGCGCAAGAAGCTGGGTCCAGATGGAGCTCACCTCGCCGACCTCATCCGCAACACCAACATCTACTCCTCGGGTAGGTGCATCCCCTCTATGAGCTCACTTCGGCCTGCTCACGCCTCACCCGTGTTCTCGATGCCCCCAGACTCGCCGCGCAAGACCGAGTTGATCGAGTTTCTTGGCAACCCTTCCTCGTCCAAGTCCAAGTCCTCGTCCAAGCCGACAGGGATGGACATCGATGACGACGCAGCAGCGACCCCGAACGCGTCCTCGACCGCTTCCCATGTCGTCGAATCGATCGTTGAAAAGAGCTCCAAGCTGCTCGGCCTCTCCCACGACCGCGTCTCGTCCGCAAGCTCGACCCTCAACGCCCTCGCCGACGCGACCCAACCCGCTTCGATAGCGACGACCAAGCCGACCAAGAAGGAGAAGCCTGACGAATCCAAACTAGTCGCTTCCAACGTGCCCGAGGGCGATGTCTACGTCGCGCTCTTGGTCCTGCTTCGTTTGATCGACAGTGGCGATTATCGCAAGGTGAGAGAAGCCGTCCAGAGCATCTCTTGCGCAACTCCGCTAACTCGATCTGGTTGCTCGACATCAGGGCAAAGAGCTCGCCAGCTCACTTCTCGAGCAGGTTACAAGCCTGAACCGTCGAACAATGGACCAATTATCGAGCAAGATCTATTTTTACTGGGTCCGCCTGCACGAGCTGTCGGGAGACGACACCGCTCCTCTTCGCACGTACGTGCATGGTTTGAAGCAGACTCATTATCGCACAAACTGATCGTACCCCTTGCTGTACAGAACCCTCCTCGCGGCTCAACGAACTGCCGCCCTGCGCCACGACGATGATCTCCAGGCGACGCTCTTGCCACTCTTGTTGCGCAACTACCTCGAACACCACCTCTACGACCAGGCCGATCGTCTCGTCAGCAAAACGACCTTTCCCGCCGACACGGCTGGGAACGCTCAACTTGCACGATGGTACTATTACGTCGGTGAGTGACCTCATCGAATTCAGAGTCACGTATACCGTCAGAAGCTGATAGTCGATCCCGTGTGTAAAGGCCGAATCCGAGCGATCCAGCTCAACTACACCGAGGCCCACACGAGTTTGCAACAGGCGATCCGTCGAGCCCCCGACGCCACGACCGCACCGGGCTTCTTGCAGACCGCGCACAAGCTTTCGATCGTCGTCGAGTTGTTGATGGGCGAGATCCCCGAACGAAGCATCTTTCGAGAACCGGTGCTAAAGAAGGCGCTGGTACCCTATTTGGAGATTGTTCAGGGTGAGTCTCGGTCACACGACTGAAGTCTCCTTTACCCGTGCTGATTTCGCTTTTCCGCCTTTCCTCGTCGATTCAGCCGTCCGAGTGGGAGACTTGACCAAGTTCAACACGGCCCTGGTGACGCACGCCAAAACATTCTCCTCCGACTCGACGCAATCGCTCATCGTGCGCTTGCGCCACAACGTCATCAAGACCGCCCTGCGCACCTTGTCGCTCGCGTACTCGCGCATCTCGCTCGCCGACGTGTCCAAGAAGCTGCATCTCGACTCGGAGGAGGATGCCGAGTACATCATCGCCAAGGCGATTCGCGACGGCGTCATTGATGCGACGATCGATCACGAGAAGGGTTACATGCAGAGTCGGGAGACGGGGGACGTGTACGCGACGAACGAGCCGCAGTTGGCGTTCGATACGAGGATCAAGTTCTTGTTGGACTTGCACCACCAATCCGTCAAGGTTTGTCGCTCGGACATATGTTGGTCTGTTTGCGACTGGAGAAAGCTGACTTTCCTCATGCTGTGTCGGCGAGCAGGCGATGAGGTACCCTTTGAACGCGCACGCCAAAGACCTGGCTTCCGCCGGTGAAGCACGAGAGAGGGAGCGTGAATTGGTCAGTTCTTATCCGTCTACAGAAGTACGCCGTTATCGATCTGACTCGCGACTTCACCTGAATTGCTCCAGGCCAAGGAAATTGAGAACGCCGATGAGGACGATGACTTTGGAGCTGGTGGGGACATGGACGAATTTTAGAGACGGTCATCACCTTGAGCAGAAGTTCTGCGATCGAGAAATAATGCCGTGTCATGAGTAACGACTGTGCCAAAAGATCCATTACAAAGCGTGAAAAATCCTGATGCGCGTGCGGCGGAACAGACGCTCAAGTCTCGTTGACGGGGCCAGAAATGACGTGGCTCGATTCCATCGCAGCGCTCTTGGTCTCCTTCCCCCCACATCACCAACCCCACCCGCATCATGAGCCCCCATTCCTTCGGCCACGACGCCTTCATCCTGCTCTTCCTCCTCACCCTCTTCACCCTGCCTATAGTCCTTTACAGCTCCACGTCGTCCCGTCCCCACCTGGGCCTGGGCTCCATCATCGCCGAATGGATGAGGGAGACGTTCGCTTCGGTGCTTTGGTGGTTGGGGATGTTTGGAGCGGGTCTGGGCTTGTTTTTGTGCGTTTTGGGAGGGGAGATGGGGCATCGGATGTGGGTAAGGAGAGGGAGGAAGAAGGCAGGGGCGGAAGGGGGAGGGGGAAGTGGGGGAGGAGGAGCGGAAGGCAGCGAATTGATTGGCCAACTTGGAGCGGACGATGGGGAAGAGGAGAGGAGGAGGGTGAGGAGGGTCACGAGGGAGGAGAGGTACGAACGGAAGGTCGAACACGTCGTCGATGCACTCAAGGGGAAGCGAACGAGGACAAGTCAGCGACCGAGCTCCCGGGAGGAAGTGGAAATGAAGGATTTGAGTGGGGAGGTCGACACCACCACGACTGCGACCAAAAGCAAAGACCATAACATCAGGAGAAGGATGCCACCTCCTCCGCCGCCGCTTTAAACGGGACATGGACCGAAGACGCGTGATTAGAATCGGTGGGGGTGAGTTCTGGGCAAAAATGAGTCGATCAAGAGTAGGGTCGCGGAGGTGGAGAGGCTTTCAGAGCGCTGGTGGCTGATTCTTTGTGACCTCTTCCTCATCCATGACTATGCTAGGTGCGGTTCAGCGGAGCGATCTTGAAAATCCCGTGAGATCACCGACATGCGACAGGTTGGCCAGTCTACACCATCGACAAGTCTGAAGCCAAGGACGAGCTCGGATAGGACATTACGTTGATATGGTTATCTCGAAAGTTGCTGTTGTACAATCACATCAGAGAACAGGCCTGACTACATAAACCTACAACGACTCGGGATGTGTATCATGTGACAGCGCAGTGAGGGGCTCAATGACTGCCAGCCAGCACCCCCGCTTAGACGAGCCTCTGCGCCTCGATCTGTGCGACTCGCTCGGCTTCCTTCTTGAGCCTTCGTTCTCGTTGGTAGTAGACGGAGCCACCTGTTCGATGAGAAGCATACCGATGATCAGATCATGAAGTCGCGCGGAACGTTGTCCTCTGGAGAGACTTTGAGAACCAACCGAGAGCAGCGACGACGGTCAAGCCTTGGGCTGCGACGCGATACCGTAACCACTTGTTGAACTGGGTTCGATTCCCCTTTTGCAACGCCGAGGTCGCTCCACCCAGTGCGATGACGGTTGCAAAGATGCCTTTGGGCGTCACGCCGTCGATCGTGCCGAGAAAACGAGTCGTCAGGAGCACAGCAGGGAATCAGGAATCAGGGGTAGGACCGACAGAGAGAGAGAGCTCCGTCAGCTTGAGAGCACACCCCCAAGTTGACCACACCACCACTGACCAACGGGTACAAGAGGTTCCTCCTTGAATTTCTTGATAAAGCGCTGCCACGACGATTCCGGGACCGGTGCAGTCGGCTTGAGCGGTTCCCAGGTGTGAGGATCGAGCGGTTGGGTCGACGGCGGTGGGGAGGGGGTGTACTGCCCTGGCATGCTGTGTGGGGTATGAACGGTCTCGGTCTCGGGCTGTGCGGTCAACACCGGGCGAGTCGGCTCGGCTCTCAGATGGTGTGTCGCGTGAGGATGGACTCGCTGATGACGACGACCACGCCTGCAGCTGGAGCAGCTGGAGCAGCTGGAGATCGGACGCCGAGACGGAGCTGGAAAGCGGTCGTAGGGGGACGCGAGGTGCGATGAGCTAGTGCAGTGCGGCAATTCGACAGACGTGTGTCGGGCTAGGCGTTGAGTAGGGTTGGTGCGGTGAATCAAGCTCAAGCAGACGTGCCCGGAGGTGGAGCTGCAGGCTATGCCATTGCCGATGGCGCATTAGTAATTGAGCGACTACTGCCGATCGCCAATCTTCGCCAATCTTTGCTCATCTGCGTCCGCGACTCCGCATTCGCGCTTGCGAAGGCCGTTCTTGCCCAGCGCGAGCTAGCGCGAGAACGGAGGCGAGCGCGAGCGCGAGGGGCTCATATTTCACGCTTTCGAGCCTACGCTTCTGCCCATCCACATACCCTCTTCGCCAACTCCGCACCTCCAACTCTATCTCACACAGCATGGCACCCAAGAAGGGACAAAAGGGCTCGAGCAAGCAGCCCAGCCGAGTTGCCTCGGGTGCCTCGACCCCGGCTCCCCGTGCTGAACCCGTAAAGGCGTACGTTCCCTGGGGACCCTCTGTATCAACGCTGCAACTTGGACTGATTCATGTCCTTTCCTTCGCTCAGAGCACCAGCCGTGGTCGGTATCAACTTTGGCCAATCCTTCTCGTCGATCGCCGTCATCAACAAGGTCAGTTCGAGCGCTCAGCTCCGCAAGGCTTGCCGTTCGGATTCTCAGATGATCCCCCGGCCGTCCTAGCAGCGTCGCGGAGCTGATCTCGGTGCATGGCCTCAAATCTTATAGGAAGCACTCGCGGACTGCATCGCCAACGACGACGGTGAACGTCAAATCGCCAGTGCGCTCTCCTTCAATGAAACCGAAGAGGTCGGTACCGGCCAGCGTACTTGTCGGATGCTCTTGCAGTCGACTCACATCCTTGCCTCTTTGTGTGTCAACAGTACTCGGGTGTTCCCGCACGCATCCAACTCGTCCGAAACGCACCCAACACCATCCTTGGGTTCAGGAATTTGCTCGGCAAGACGTCAGTTTCCTCTCGACGCTGGGCTTCCGAGTGCTTTCTCCAACACTGACCTTTCTCCCCCCCCCCCCCGACTCTACTCGGCACCCACAGCTACGACGAGGTCAAGGATACAAAGCAACCTTACAACTCGGCCAAGATCGTCGACTCGAACGGCCAACCAGCCTTCACCGTTTCCATCAACGACACCCCGACCACTCTGACCGCGCACGAGTGCTGCGTCCGCTTCCTCAAGGTGCTGCTCTCGTACGCGAGCGACTTTTTGGGTCGCCCCGTCACCTCGGCCGTCGTGGCCGTTCCTACGGATTTCACCCCGGCTCAAACCAAGGCGCTCGTCCAGGCCGCCGAGGAGGCCAAGATCACCGTTGTGCAGACCCTCGACTCGGCCGCCGCCGCTCTTGTCGCCTACCATGCCACCGAGCTGAAGGAAACCGACAAGCTCCCTCCCGTTGACCGCAACTCGGTCGTTCTCGATGTCGGCGCGACCTCGACGACCGTCTCCGTCGTCGCCGTCCGACAAGGCCTCTTCGTCCCCTTGTCCTCGCACGCCGAGGCCAAGCTCGGCGGTGACCTGTTCGACGACAAGCTGATCGAATGGTTCTCCAAGGAGTTCACAAAGAAGACCAAGACCCCGATCGAGGCATCGAACCACCGCGCGCTGATGAAGCTTCGTTTGGCCGTCGAGGTGACCAAGAAGTCCCTGTCCGCATCCAACTCGGCCCCTTGCTCCGTCGAATCCCTGGCCGAAGGCCTAGACTTCCACGGCTCGATCAACCGCATGCGCTTCGACCTCTTGTCCGCGTCCGTCTACTCGCGCGTCAACGACGCCGTCGCCAAAGCTTTGGAGTCGGCCAATTTGAACGCGCTCGAAATCGACGAGGTCATCCTCGTCGGTGGCTCGACGCGCCTCCCGTCCCTTTCGGACAAGCTGTACAACCTCTTCACGCAGGAGACGCTCCTCATCTCGTCGCAATTGGACCCCGACGAAGTTGTCGCCAAGGGAGCGGCATTGCAAGGCCAGGCTTTGCTCGACTCCACAGTCGCACAAGCCCTCACCCGAGCGTTGAACGAATCGACCATCGTCGAGCCAACGCTCTTGACAAAACCCATCGGACTCGTCGTCGATGACGCGTTCCACGTCTTGGTCAAGGCCAAGACGCCGCTACCTTTGAGGCGTACTTTCGAATTACCCGTTGCCAAGTCAACGTCGAGCGTCTTGGTTTCGCTTTGGGAAGGAGAGCAAAAGGTCGTCACCGTCGCGCCTACACCCAAACCCGCTAAGAAGGCTTCGGGAGGCGGATGGTTTGGCTCCAAGAAGGCCGCTGATGAGGATGAGGACGAGGATGACGATGACGAGGATGAGGATAAGAGCGAATTGGTCGCTGAGAAGACTTCGGCTTTGGCCGACGTCACCGTGGATACCGAGAGTGGGAAGAAGGTCAAGGTTGTCGTTGAGGTCTTCGTCGGCGGTAAGGGCAAGCTCACCATTCAAGGAAAGGGGGACAAGGTCGTCAAGGACTTTTAGATGACCCGATCAGCGACGGAGGGCCCTTTCAGCTGGTCTTATTCTCCCTGTCTTGTTGCTCCCCACGCTTTTCCGTAGAGGAGACCCACGAGGTTCTTATCCACTAGGTCTTGCCCCTGCAACAGAGTTGTCCTATAGAGATGTCTCATCGCCACTTGACGGAGAGTCTACGCAGAGCCTCTCAACTGATGGTTCGATGGATTCCCGAAAGAGAGAAAAACGGTGTAAAAACGAAGGAATGCATCGATGATTGCGCGCAGTAGAGGAAAACGCCAGGCCTTCCTATCCGTCTCAAAACAGTCCAAAACGAAATACACGGGTTCTACAAGGGCAACTAAACTACATGATGGTGGTGGTGGTGAAGGAAAGAAGTAACGAGACAATTGCCGAGATTGCCGAGGACGAGACGAGCAAACGACGGCTCTACAGGACGAATGAGGGCATCATAGGAAATGTGCCCGTCTCTGGATCTAAGCTAGCGCTGGGAGAGGAGGGTGAGCACAAGAGAGAAAGAATGAAAAGTGCGCGTGGAGGGTGACTCCAAGCCTTGCTTGAAGCTCTACTCAATTGATCGGCGAAGCCATCAACGTCTCGATGGTAGGAGCGTTCCTCCCCTCTCCCCCAGCTCCGGACCCACTCGACGCCCCGGCCGAAGAAGCGCACAAGAAAGCGTTCGAGTTTGAACCGCCAAAGACGGCACCCAATCCCAATCCTCCCTCGTTAACTCCAGTCGCCAATGGAGAATCGGAGAATGCCGATCCAGTCTTGGTGAAGTAAGGATGGAGGAGACTGCTTTTGGCAGAGATTCTTCGGGCTGGGTCGTAGGTCAGCATCCCGGAGAGGAGATGCAACGAAGTGTGGTCCATTTCGGGGAGAACCTCGCGAAGATCCTGCGGCCGCCAGCGTGGGAAAGTCGGTTTAAAGTCGGGCATCGTCGCAAGACCGGGCCAGACTTCGGCTGTTGGCGTGCCGAGTAATCTGTGGGCAGGCGGGCCAAAAAGTGAGTATGGGCAGAAACAACTCATAGGAACTGGCATAGCACTTGCCGGAAGATCTTGAAGATCTGATCAATCTCGGAATCTCCAGGGACAAGTGGCATGCCGCTCTGGATATGAAAAGTGGCGCAGAGCGTGTTAGGTGTTCTGACAATCACGCGGCTGCTTGGGGGAAACAAAACGTACCAGCATCTCGGCAAAAATTGTCCCCACACTCCAAACGTCAACCTGTCAGTTTGCAACGAAGTAGGCTGTCAGTCGTTGTCTTCAGCTCGCATAGCCACTTTCGCAAAGACTCACTGCTGTCGTATATCGTCGACCGCCGAGGAGGACACATGGTGGTCGGTACCACAGCGTTACAATCTGTAATCAAACGCAGGACGTCACTCGTCAGCCCTCGCGTGACCAAGGTCAAAAGTTACTGGTAGCGTACCTCGTGTGTATATGTCCTCAGTGGGATACCGAACGCTCGAGCCAGGCCAAAGTCGGCGATCTGTCGAGCCGAAAGCGAAGGGGAGAAAACGGTCAGCGTTCGGCGTATTTGACCGAGGAGCGCAAAAAACCCCAGAACGAACCTTGAGATTGCCAGCTTTGTCGATCAACAGATTTTGTGGTTTCAGATCCCGATGCAGTATCCTCCTCGAGTGCAGATGCGAAAGTCCGAGGAGCAGTTGGGTCATCAATTTCTGAAAGGGGGAAGAAGTTTTGTCATCAGACCGGGTCTGCTGTCGCGAAGACATATTTGCGTTCACTGACCTTGACTAAATCAGGCGGCAGGCCTCTCCTGGCTCTCGCTTTGCCCCGAAGGGACCCCGTAGCCTCGAGACTGATTCCCACGCCGGTGCCACCGTGACCGGCCGCTTTATACATGGCCAGATCTGCGGCCTGCGACGCGTTGTCCATGAACTTTTTGAGATCGAGGTCCAAGAACTCAAAGACGAGGCAGAGGCACGAGTCGTTGTGGATGACGTCGAGCAGCTTGACGACGCTGTCGTGGCCCGGTCCATCGGATTGGCCGAGTTCCATCAGGACCGAGACTTCTCTGAGCGCGGTCGAAGGAACGCCTTCGTCGTCGTCTTCAAGTCGAATCTTTTTCATCGCGACGACTTGCTTCGTCGTGGGCTGTATCAGGGGACATACATTATACAGTATCAGCAATGCAATCTTTGATTTACTCCTAGGGCTGCCGCGTTCACCGATGCTCAATTTTGGAATCGGATCTATCCTTTGCGACGCGATGAGGCGCGTCGCGAGGACCCCGATCTGATCGACCAGAGGATAAAAGGGGAATTGAACTGACATGGATGCACTTGTAGACGGTTCCATAGGTTCCTATTCAGAAGCAGATTTTTTTTACGGTGAGCTCATCTGGCCCGATGGTGCGAAGACGATAGCAGATCCTGAGAGCGTAGCGTGGAATAGGGGGCGCGACCGAGGAGTTGGAGAGACGCCTCGCTCGTGTGACGACATCAATCGACGACAGCCACGACGCGCGAAACAGCAGGTGCACGGGGGTACTGAGCATAGCTTGGATCACGAGACTTGCCCTCTCCGATCTTGCCCAAGTCGTGGTAGGCTTCCATGGTGAGATCAAACTGCGAATTCAAGGCGATCGTGCGGGAGAGATGGAGTCGACTCGGTTCCGGCGCGTCGCAAAGGCAAATTGAGGGTCGGCGCGACGCGAGCTGGCGGCTGCTGCTGCTGGCTACTGGCGGCGGCGAATGGCACGCGAGCCGGCGACGATCGCGAGCTACAGGCGGTTCAGGAAAAAAGAAGGAATGTGAGAGGCAGAGCGAGCCAAGCTGAGAAAGTAGAACGAGTCGGTTGAAAGAGGTTGTCGTCGCTGTGACGAGACCTTGTGCGGAAGCTGAGAGACCCCGTAAGCGCAACGTACAGCCCGAGCGGCACGAAAGCGAGCTGCCGGCTGCTGCCGGCCTCTGCCGGCTCCCCAGCCAGTCCCAGCCAGTCCCAGCCAGTCCCAGCCGAGCCCAGCCGAGGCCCAGCTACGATTGGCTTACCAGATCGCCATCGCGCGGACCTTGCAGAACCTTGCAAACTGCAATTCGAGGCGCGTCAACCCAGGTGTCGAGACCCGCTCTTGGCTCCCACCCATCCCGAGGCGATAAAGTACAATCTCGGCAACATGCCCTCCGACGACAAGCCGTCCTCCAGCAGCAACATCTCCCGCTCGCTCGTCCGCGATCTGCCGTTGCTGGTGCTCGTCGCGACGCTGCTCGCGCTGCCCGCACTGCCGTCGTCCGCCTCGTCGCCGTCGTCGCTGTGGTCGCCCAAGCCGACGCTGCACGCCATCACCACCACCGTCGTCTACACCCTCGGGGGTATGGGCGCATTCATCATCGGCGGCACCCTCATCCTAGCGAGCGAAAAGGCACTGCGCGGTGCCATGGATTGGTTGCTGCATGGCTCGTCCTCGTCGGCAGGGATCGAAACCGGGTCTGGAGCGGACGATACTACATCCACAAGGCGATCTTGAACGGATACGGCCCGCCTCATCATCATATCAACTCTCAAGACACGTTCACGCACGAGAATGACGCGTCGTCGTGCCCCACATCATCCTAGCGCCCGAATGCTTCAACCTCCATGGAAGGGCGGCGACACGCCGCGCCTTATCGTAGGACGGGCCAGATCGACCTCGATCCATCGTCGGCCTTTGGCGCACTCGTGACACGCATCGAAGACCACCCTATCATCGTGTGATGCCTTCGAAACAAGATGAGATCCATGATGAAATTTCGGCAGATACGGCGCTCGCACAAAGATCGACCGTGGAACAGCTCAACGAGGACTAAACCGGCCGAAAGAGTCAAAGCAGCCAGACACAGGCGGCTGAAGATGAAAGCAAGCAAGGACAGGGTCGGTAAAGATCTGGCTGTCGAAGTGAATGAATAGGATATGGATACTACAAAGAAGAACAAAGTGGCTGCGATTCGCAAGTACTTCAAACTAAAAATGAGGCTCTAGCCTTTTTACCCCACCCCACGCGACGGCCTACATATCTCAGCTAGAGACCTGTCTTGACCATGCCTTCGAGCATGAAATACCCGACCTTGACACCATCGATGATCTTGACCCTCTCCCCCTCGGCCGCACCCAACTCCTCAACCGCAGCCTCCCGGACGGTCTGATCCATCCCAGCAAACCCGGCACAACCCAAGCAAACCGCTCCAACATCCCCGTTCCTCAGCAATCTCTTCACCGCATCCTTGGTCCGTTCCTTGACGAGTTCGGGACTCGAGTCGTGCAATTCGACGGCGGTCAAGCCCGTTGTTTCGACACCGGCGAAAAGGGCCGAATTGTCCGAGGTACCCAGGAAGGTATCGACGGCTTGGGTCAACAGCAGCTCCCATACTTTGCCCGTTGAAACGATTCCAAATCGAGCTCGTTTGCTCTTAATGGCCGCTTGTTGGTCCCGATCCCGTTCGCTCTGGCCTTCGACTCTTAGTGTCGATGTCAGATTCGCTATCGAACTCAATACTGAAGCCTCAAAGATGCCGAGCACGGCTTTCTCGCCTTTAGTATAGGGCAACAGTTGCTGCACGAGCGGGTGATGCGAATAGCATGCGATCAAGACGGCCGAATGCGATGCGAGCAACGGGATCAAGTGGGGGAGAATGATCGTGGCTGACTGGTGGCAGTCGTGGGACGAGTTGATTGACGCAATACCAGGATATGGACATGTGAAATAGGTTGGTTTGGGCTTTTGGTCACGATATTTGTAGAGTGGAGGGAACGGACAAGCGAAAAGGATCAGCAGTCGCAAATGCGTATCGCCAAGTGCGTATCGCCAAAAACCGGAGATGACGGAGGTTCGGCGCCCGACTTACGAACGAGGTATCGGTGAGCAAAGGAGAGAGCATCGCCTCGACCGACTTGGTCATTGTTTCCGTCGTGTTTGGATTGACGATCAGGATCGGCAATCGGGTGGAGGAACCCATGCTGAGGGAAGCGCTGCGAGATGGGTGAGAGCGAAAGAGCCCAAGAGCCCAAGACTGCCGAGACGAGCGGGTGAAGCAGATCGTCAGGTTCAGCTGAAGATGACCGTATGAGGGCATGCGCGCATGCAAGTGACCAGGGTTCCTCGTTAGAGAAGAAAATCTCGCAGATCTTAGATATCTATCTAAGAAAATTGGGCTCTGGCCCTTATCTATCTATCTCCCATCTTAGTCAGATATCTTAGATAGAGGCCTAGATATCTAATATCCTAGGAGATAAGATGGATATCTTTGCTTGGAGGCGGTCGATTGGAACTCGTAGTAGGAGCCTGCCAGTGTTGGGTGGCCAGTACCACACTTTAAGTATCGCAAAAAGTGGATGAACCGGCAAAGCTGGCTTTCTGTTCACTTTTTTCTGATTCTCTTGTATTGATAAGTGCTGGGAAGACAAATCATTGCTTGGTCAAGCGGGAGAATGCATGCCGATCGTTGTGCTAATCCGTGTCGTCAGAGTCGTCCGAAATCTCCACCTCCGCTGGGAACACTGCCATGACGTCTTTGATTTTGACTTTTTCTCGCTTGCCAGCGATCGTTTGCAAAGCCTCCTCTCAGTCGAAAGTAGTAAGTCTGTGCCTCTTGGTCGGTGGCGAGTTCCGTACTTACACTGGCAAGCTCCTCAGCAGTATTGGGGAGGTGCCACTAGTGATGCGACGACGGAAGTCTTAAAGGACGAAGTACCCGAAGTCATGTTTGCTTCGCATGCTGGTAGCCTCGTACACTGAAGAGGAAGACTGCAAACCGGCTTCACTTTTGATGGACTGAGATTGACCTATGCACGATGGTGGATGCCTCAGCTGTCAGACGACCCGCCGATGGCGAGACGTCGAGCTTGCGGCAACGACGTCCGCACGGTCCAAGTCGAATGTCGAGTGATCGCCCTCTCAATTGACGTGACGTGCAGCTCACGGCGGCAGGCACCGGCTCACTAGAATTACCGTGCAGACAGATGATGCAGTGGGAGGGGGTTCTCTGTACACGAGGTTAGGCTGGATGGGACCGGTGGTGTCGTAGAAGCTACAACAACTTGCTCCCGCGAAGGTTTCGCTTTGAATGAATGACCAGGACCAGTGTGCTCATGGAGGACATATGCCCCGAGGGCGAAAATAATTCCGAACGCACCTCTGGGTGGATGAATCAGGATCGGGTGTGATCGCCCAAAAATAGGCACAATTGAGATCCGGCACAGCTTTGAGCGCCAGGTCCACCAGAAATCGACGGTCGCCGTCGACCGGCACAGCAGCACTGCACACCTCATCATCTAATAAAAAATAGCACAACGAACATTGGTGTTTGATATTGTCTGCATCGACTGTCAGCTACCACACTACCAATTCGCCAACCTGCCCTACGTCGCGCAGGCGTAAATCGGTCAATTTTCAACTCGCGCTTGTGATTCGCCCGTGCGAAATTTGACCAATCGTCTCTCACGATTCGCCCCGTTTCGCCCGCCGTCGCTCAAAGTCGCTCAACCGCCCGTGTCCTTGCTGCGCGCCGTTCTTCCCTTTAACCCTTCTCTCCGTTCGTCTGTTCACCCCATCCACCTTCCACCCATCCGTCATGTTGTCCGCTTCGACCGTTCTCGTCGCTCTTTTGGCCTCGGCCGCTCACGCCGCACCTGAGCCTCAAGTGACGCAAGCTCCGGGCCAACAAGAGGTTGCTCGTGCGCTGCAAGCTCGCGCCTCGGGTGACGGTAACACACCGTTGCCACTGACGTCTGCAAGTCCTGCACCCTTCTCACAAATATTGTCTTGTCTTGTGCGATACTAAGCAGCATTTCACTCTCTGTCCACCAAACAGTACACGTATGCCTACAATCAGGTGCCCAATCAAGTCAACCCTTACGAGTCAGTCCGCCTGCTCAACGCGCCTCGCCCGCCTGCTGGCGCAAAGACACGCTATTGCGGACTCCGCTCTGCGGGGTGCCACGCCCGCGCAGTCGTGGCCGTCGTCGAAAGAAGCCAGTCGCTGACGCCGAGACCCCACCGTTGTTCACTTGGGAAATTGTCTGTACAGCTACCTCCGTGGTCCTCAGACTGGTACCAACATTTGCAACTCGACCACCGAGAACGCCGATGGCATGTGCCAGACCGCTCTATTGAACTCGATCGATTGTGAGTGGCCTTTCCGCTCGGCGCGCGCGGGGTAGAGGCGCTGCTCGGTCCGACTCGGGATTCCGAGCCCGAGCTCAAACAGCTCCTCCCGTCTACTACCTGCCCTGCACGACATTCGATCCCATGTCAATGTGCGCGGTGGAAAACGGAAGATGGCGGGAGCTGACGCGTTTCGACCTGTTCGTCCTGTCATAGCTTTCTGCCTGTGGGGCTCCCCCGGAACGACGGCCAATGAGACGATCGGCGACATTGAGGCCGAGGTCGTAGCCTATGTAAGTCTGGTCGTCTAGGCGCTGCACTGGGTGCCTGTCTACGTTTGCCACAAGGTCTGACGCGGGTTTTCGATGTCTCTCTCTGATTTGCAGTGCACGAGGGCTGGTCTCGGAGGGCGAATCATGCCCGCCGGCACAATCACAGGTCTTCAAGTGAGTATAATTCGCTGCGCTACCCTGCCCAATCGAATCGAGTGCTGATCGCTTCGAGTACTGCGATGCGCTCTCTTGCAACAACAGTTCATGAGGACTTCGGCCTACATCCAGTTTGTCGGTTACCTGAACCAGACCGGTCTCGGCTTGCAAGAGACCGACTCGGGCGGAGAGCTTGACCCCCACGGTGCCGACTTGGTAAGTGACCGATCTCTGGCGCGGCATTGTTCACTTGTTCCGGGATCACTCATCATCTCTCTCGTTCCAACGCCAGCTCGGTAATCCCCTTGGTGGTCTCGTGTACTCGAGCCAATTCCCTGGCGCTAACACCTCGGGCAACGCTTACGGTCAAGTCGTCCAATGGAACAAGTCAGTCCACGCAACCAGCCGGGGCAACATGCATGGGGCTTTCTTGCGCAGCACCTAAACTGACGCGCCTATCTTTCGCGGTACTCAGCTTCGTCGGTTCGGGTGTGTTCTGCTTCAAGTTGTGCTTCCCCAACGTCACCACCCCCGACTATTGCCAGAAGTGAGTGTATCCGTTGAGACTACCGTTCATTGGTCAGCGAGCGATTGGGACGGCAGATTGCTCACGCGTGCGCGTTCTTCTCGCCTGCAGCAAATACGACATCATTGGTTGCGACTACAACATGCCATCCAACGTCTCGGTCGGCGAGTTCATTTCGTGCGAGGGTGATTTGCAAGACGAGGTTGGTACGTACACCGGCACCAACGGCAAGACGACGGTCTGGTCGCAACCCGAGGACTTGCCGGCGACCTCGACCCTCCCTTGGACTCCCCGCGTACCCGCTTCGTCCAACTGCGTGACCCACGCTTCGACCGCTCTGTTTCCGATCGCGTCATTGGGCTACCAATCTAATTCCGCTTCTGCGAGCGCCGCCAGCAGTGCCTCGTCTGCGGCTTCCCCCAGTCGCTCAGGCTCCTCCTCGTCCGGCACGGGCACCTCGGGCGCCACGGCGACGTCGACCTCGTCCGCTGCAGCTAGCACGACGACCCGCGCCAGTGGTGCCGGCTCGATTCAAGCCACCGGCGTCGTCGGTGGTCTCTTGTCTCTTATCGCCGCTTTCATCGTTTGATGAAAGAAAATGTGGTGGCATCGCTTCGAACGCGTGCCCTCCGTCGTCCGCAAATTGCGTTTCCCAGGACTTATGATTCGGAATCCATCACTCATTATGAACAGCATATCCCATACCTACGTGACAGTTTGTCATTTTCGCGCTCCTAGATTTCGCCCCATTTTTGATTCCTACGCGCGCCCTTCCCAATCGAACGCTCTTCGCATCTTGTTTCATGAATTCTGTCTGACGACTATCTGTGTTTTTGTCTCTGCAATGGCCACCTTAGATCATGAATAATAGGCTTGATCTGCATAAGTGTTTCGCACATGAATTTGGGCTCTCCTACACATCGCGTTGGTAGGTGCCGGTGCTTTCAACTTTGTCGCGGTTCGTCGTATGCCTTCCGACACAGACGCTCGGTCGCGGGTGGTTCGAAATCAATCATAGCCATCTCCCACGGTGGGCCTGAAGTGAGACCGAAATCCGTGCATGACGAGGTCCCTCAGCGGGCGATCTCGGTCGTTGTCACGTGATCAGGCCCTCGTTGAGTGTGGGACCTAGAGGCGGCTTGTCCATCGGGCACGAACTTGTGTTCGGCTTGTCGATCGAGATGCTCGAAATTCGTGTTGTAGGTCGGTGATGTCGAGTGACCCCCCGGCGAAAGTGTTCCAGATCCCTGACGTTTGGAGCTCCGGCGGTCCTACTTCACGCGATTGAGCCCCAGCATGGCCCGTTCCCCCTTCTCGGCACGATTCACGACGCCTTCCAACGCTTTGGCGATACCACTTTGAGCCCTCTCTGCCAGACCATCGGCCCCTTTCAGTGCCTTTGTTTGCCTCTTGGCCCATTGCTTGCTCGCGCTGGCCGGGTCCTGGGGGTTCCACTTGATCGCTAGGTGCATATCGGCCTTGGCACGATTGTAGTGGTGGTGGTAGTAGAGGGATGGGATTTGGTGTAACAGCGATGGGGACGCCTCGAGCAACTTCAATGTCGCGTGGACTGTCACGTGGTGAGAAGGGCGTGGTAGATTTAGCTGGGCATCCATTTGTAAAGCCCGAATGGGAGAGGGGCCGAACCTTTCTGCTCGACGGTAGACCATTCTGCTTGCTCGTCTTGAATCAATTCTCTCAACTGGGGACGATACACGGCACGAAGGTTGCTTCGTTCGTGGCGCACGAGAGGGAGCAATTGCCCGAACCGTCTCCATGCGAAGCGGTACAAGGATCTTTGACGGCTCGAGAACGTGATCGTGGTAGTGATGATGATGGTTTTGCACATTCTGGCCTGTTGATTGATAAACCTGCGAGCGGAGACGAGCGAGAAGGACCTTGTACTGGCGACAGGAGGCGGTAAAGAGGTGAGAGGAGGTGGGTACTACGCTTAAACTCCCGTGCTCGCTCGACCTCGCTAGGACCCCCGAAAGCCCAGCCAGAGGCGGCCCGCAAATTTGGACATTTTTGGCTCAAAATGGGTCGAGGCTTACCTCATTTTTGGACATTTTCCTCCCTCCGGTCGAACTTTGTAGCGCAGACCAGGGTAGCGGGAGGCTGGCCCAGGCGCAGGGCTATATAGCCGGCCCAGCGGCGCGCTGTTTGCGTTTGGAGCGCGCTAGTGTCTGCATTTGCTGTAAGGTATGCGCCTCTGATGTGCATACAATACAATCTGTCGTTCTTGACCGATAGGCTAAAAGCAAGTCGTAACTAGAACTCGATAGTTCTAGCTACTCAGAGGCTACTTATGGGGCTGTTCCTGTGAGCCCCTTACATTTGCGATCGTTTATGTATTTTTTAATTTGATCGTCTCTCGCTCGGAACGCCGACGTGTCGAGCTACGTCTCCTCTTCTTCCTTTCGATCTGGAAGCTCTCTCGCCGAAAAATACCTTTCTCTTCCTAGTCGGTCGATAGATTCACAGGGTTCGCCGGCGCCAATTCTCGTCGGATTCTTTGGAACCGATCACCGAAATGGCACTCGAAGAGCTCGGGCGTCAATTCAGGAGTCCAAGGCTCGCCTTGTGTCTCTGTAAATCACCCAAGGGGGATTTGGGGGGCATGACTGATTCTGACTCAGGGTCAATGAGTCCTACACTACTGCCCTAGCCAGTGTGCTTAACTGCATTTCCTCCGACTTTTCCAGATATTTCTAGGTATTAGGATATAGCGCGCGGCTGAGAACCTTATTTTGGGTTGCATTCTTTTATGTAGTAGATTATAGTGTCATTTTGATCCATCAAATGATAAACAAAGATGAGATCGTATTCGAGTCCATTTCAATTTGAAAAGGCTCGTTGGCGGTCGCGCTGGCGGCGCTCTTGGATCTTGGTGCGCGCGCGCAACCTTTCCCGTCCGCGCGCGGCAGGAATGCAGTCTGCAGGTAGTGCAGAAAAAATTCTGAGCATTGTACAACTTGTAGAGTTGTTTCGAGAAATTATTCAACACTAGGCGGCCTTCATATTTGGACATTTTCAGTCAGAATCCGGGAAAACTTCTGGACATTTTGCCTCGAAAAAGGCCGTTTTAAGAGGCCGCCTACCTCGCTCGAGTTCGAATTTCAAATCCGTAGTGCATGCGCATCTCGATACGTGCACTCAAAAACTACAAAACACGAAAAGGGTTGACGAGGGAGGCTCAATGTAGGAGTTGGATCTGGCTAGGTTAAACAAGGTCAAGTCGCCTGCCACTTAGCACCGCCAGCGTAAGAGTTCCGCGTAAAACCAATTCGAAAGCAACAGAAAAAGAAAAGGGGACCTGGTCGACCAAGGTGGAGATGGCTTGAAGACCGTGTGCAGCTGGAGGTTGACGCGTACACCGGAAGTAAGCCACCTGGTACCAAAGATTTAGGGTACATGCTACGCACTGATGTTAGGGGTACCGTGAACCTCCTTTGATCCGAGCAGGTGAGATCGGTCGACTCGGTAACGAGTGGAGGCTGCTGTGTGTGGAGTGTAGGCGAGGATCGAATCGTCAGCCCCGCCTCGCCCGTCGTCAAGGGCCGGTGAGCACGATCGATCCATCGATCAATCAAGGGTCAAAGCAAAGACTCACGGGGTACGATCAAATGCAAGCGGTCTTGTGGACCAGGAACAACCTCAGTGACATGCCGTAGGCGCCATTCAACACTCGTCGACGAGTGGATAGGCTGATGGGGCCGTGACGCCGTGACAGACAGGAAGCGAGAGATCGCAGTGAGAGGGGAGAGGGGATAGGTGGTGCGGGGTAAGATGATGGAGGTGGTGTGGTGAAAGATGGACGCGAGACGGGTAAACACGAGACAAGTCAGTCCGACCCTACGCCACACGAACACGATCATAGCTAGGTGGTTACTCACACTTTTGACGGTGGGAGGGATCGAACGACAGACTCTACCACATCACAAAGGCCACCGTTTCGTATCCTCCTGAAAAGGGGGGCGATGTCGGCAAGATTAAGTGGTGCACAAAGTGTAGAGCGCGTCGACGAGGGAAGGAAGGAGGGGGAGGGAGGCTGGGGAAGGCAGATTGGGAGGGGTCAAAGACGAGTGAGGAGACGACGACGATAAGAACAGGTAAACGAGAGACGAGGTAAACGAGATGCGAGGTGGGATGGGATAGGGTGGGATCGGGTGAGGGGAGGTTAAGGTCAAGGTGAAGGTAGAATCAAGGTGGGGTGAAACGAGGGTCAGGTGAGGCGAGAGGTGAGGGGAGGGGAGAGGAGTGTCGAATGAGGTTGAGGATTAAGAGGTGAGGGGGAGGTGATGGTTCGCGGCCGAGGCGCTGAGACTGCACGACGGTGCATGTGGGAGCATGGCTGTGCACACGTGTGCATTGGCATTTAGGAGTGTTTATCGGGGCTCTGCCCGAATATGGACTAGATTCGACTTCGTTTCAGCCTACTCCGAAGGGTGTGTTGACGATCGGGGAGGCTGAGCCTCACGTGCCCTTAAGCTTGAATCGATTTACAAGTGGGGGTGGGGGCCTGCAAGAGTCAAGAGCGAAAACGTTGGCGTGCTTCAAGCTGAAAGAAGCAAGGGGAGGTGGGCCCTACCCCATCAAACGGGTTCAGAAGATCGAAAATGTTGTAGATGTTGAACTTTGGTCAATGATCCCTTGTGTTGATGACTCGAGTACCACGTCATACCCAGCTGGCACCAGCTAGTAGTAGTAGTACTAGTAGCGGTATGCTTTTCAAGGGGAACCCGGGAGACCACCCGAGGTCTGGGAGACCTCTCCAAAGTCTGGGAAACCTCACACTGGCGACAAAAAATCCACTGGCTTTCCCATGGGTCGCTGCCGTCACTGCGTTTGCGCCTCAAGAGAACAAGGCCCGCCGAGGCCGTCACGACTCGGAGCCGAGCGTTGACGCGTTGACGACGTAGACAGCTTTCCGCTCCCTCAACTCGGAACAGCGCGCCAGCTGAAGAACCCCCTCACGACGAACATCTCTTACGCTCCTTACACTAGGTACCCAGCTCGTACCCAACGTCACCTCCGAACGAGACGACTGGAGCTTTTCGTTGTGGGTGGGGGGAAGGGGGTTTCTGCGATCGTCCCACCTCGCTGCCCCGATTCCGGGGAAAGCCCACAAAACCCCACCCCCTCTCCAATCACTGCCGGTCTCACTCTCTTCACCTCGTCGGCACCGAGCTAGCCAACAACGTCGCACCCACCTCGTCCGCGCGCCCAACTCGTCCTCGTCACAGCGATTATGTTTGGCCTATTCCTCTCGTCGTAGTAGGAGTAGCACCTGGTCAGTCGCAGTCACCTCCGTGGGTACCTGTGTCGCACGCATGTGCCAGCGGAGTGATCGTCGCGGCTGAGGCGCTGAGGCGCTGAGGGCTGAGCGCTGAGCACTACGTCGCACGGGTCATCACAGCGCCGCCCCAACTGAATCTCGACCCATTCACCCCTCAGATCCGAGCAGCAGCATCACCAAAGATCAGCCTACTGCCCCACCATGAGCTCTCCTTCAACGCCGATGTCGGCCTCGCCCTCGCCCTCAACGAGCGCGCTTATCGAGCATGCGAAACCCCCATCTGGCAGCAGCCACGAGCGGAGCAACTCGAGCGTCTCGCCCTCCAAACGGATCCCACTCAAGCGCCAACAGCAAGAGCAGCAGCAGCGACTGCAAAAACTGGGCCAACGACCCAAAGAAGCGGTGCGGCACGATATCGAGTTGCTCAGCGACTCTTCGTCCGACGACGACGAGCAACCCGACGAACCGCTGTTGCAAAGGAAGAGGAGGGCCAGTCAAAACAACGCCGCTTCGACGACCGCAAAGCCTTCGTCGGCTCGAGCGGGTCCGAGTCAAGCCTCAAAGGCACCGGCATCCCACAACCCACCTGGAAGGCCAACCAAGAAGAATGCGCGGTCGTCGGACAGTAGTGCCGAGTCCGACGAATCGACCGAGACCTCGGGGTCGAATTCGTCGTCTTCTTCCGCGACGCCCATGATGGAGCGCAAAAGGAGGCTTTCGAAGGAGACGCTCAAGACCAAGAAGAGGAAGACCTTGGGTGCAGGAAAGCGAGCAGATGCAGAGGATTCGGACATCTCAGCGAGCAAGGCAGCCAACGCCGGCGTCGCCTCAACTGTGCAAAAGAACGCCAGCACACCCAAGCTACAATGGCAAGTGTCGAGGAACCAGGGGCACGATCCTGTGGGCGGCTCTCACATCGCGGGAAAGGGCAACGGTAAGCGGAAAAGTACCGGGAAAGGGGACGAGGATGAAGTCGACGAGGCCTTGTCGTGCGAGCTTTCCTCGGTGACCCACGAAGGCAATACGACCAAGGAGAAGGCAAGGGCTCCCGTCACCCAGCAGCGGGTACCAGATGACGAATCCTCGTCGACCAAATCAGCCGCGACAGCTAGGATGCACCCGGCTCGGTTGAAGAGCAAGAAATCGAACGAGAGGCTGTGTCAAGATGATTCGGAGCGGAGATTCAAGAAGAAAAAGGACTCCGAGGGTGAGGGAGTCGATCAATCGGCAATCACATCTGGGCCTACCCCGACCACGATGAGCGCAAAGCATCAAAAGTACTCAACCGGATTGGCGCTGAATGTGGCATCGAAACCACCTGCGAAGACGACACCGGGCGGACCTGCACTCGTCATCAAAGTACCAGTATCGGGATCTGGCGCAGCTTCGGCCACTCGAGATGCTCCATCGACGAGCTCAGGTGCCGTGGCATCGATAGCGCAAGCAAAACCTAGCCCGAAGCAGGCCCTCACCTCTTCCTTTCGACCTCAAAATCCGAATGAACTGGAAGTGGTCACACCGACGTCGGCAATGTCGACTCCCTCGAAAACTAAAACCCCCAAGTCGACTGCCCTTTCCTCGAAGCCATCAGCGCCTGTCACATCGTCAACCGCTTCTGCAGCTTGTTCCACGCGAACGGGTATGACCTCGTCAACACCGAATCTCTCGCAGATGAGAAGGATTCCAAAATCCGTGCCAACGCAGCAATCGCCACAGCAAGACCTCACGATCGAGACTGATGACCAGGGACTTGCGTCGAACGGTCGGCTCGCCGGGACGGGGAAACCGTCGGCCACGAATCACCGTCCCGAAACGTCGCGACGAGTCAGCTCAAGCGCTGCGTCGGACTTTCGCTTTACGCTGAAAGAAGAAGCCATCACCGGCTGGTCATCAGTTGGTGGGTGGTCGCCTGGGTCATCGGAACTGGTCTCCCCGGTTTGGGTGCCCTCACCGGCCTCGTCGGAGCCGTCGCCATCTTCCAGCTCTCCTACACGTTCCCGCCTTTCCTCATGCTGGGCCTCACCGTGGGTATGGACGCCTCGCTCGCCGATGTGCCTTTTACCACTCCCGGTGTCGCCCCCAAGCGTATCGACACGTGGCGCGATTTCGTAAGTTGCCTGGTTCTCTTGTGCTCAAGCTTTTCAAGTGAGCCCCTCGCTGAGAGCTCATCTGCTTCGCAGTCGCGCTGGAAGCGTGGTTTCGCGGCCGGTGGAAGCAAGCGTCTCGCAAACAAGTAAGTCGAACATGTAGGACTCATCACCGAAGCTCGTACTTGAGCTCATCCTGCCTTCGATCCGCACGCACTGCAGGATCTTCAACGTGTTCTTCTTCATCGGTGCTCTCGCCATCGGGGGTCTCGGCATGTGGGGGACGGGAACGACTCTTGCTCAGACGATCAAGGCCGGAGCAGCTTCGTCTTTCGGATGTGCCGCACCCGTCTAAGGATGGGGTTACCGACACCTACAGCCACGGGGAAGGCGCCAAATCGCCCGCAAATTTTGATGGAGGCGGCATGACTTTGATGAATCTACTATACTGATCAATCGTTTTTCGATTTACGAGTATATTTCATTGTGCTATATAATGATTCTGCTTCACACCCATTCTTTTGGAATTCCAGAGAGCGACGTGTCCGGCGACCGCAGTTAGTCTTACGAGATCGTGTAGCCGTCAGATGTCTTGATCGAGTTGGATTCAGGAGAGAAGGACTCGACAGCGGCCGAATAGTGCTTGACTCCGGAAGGAATCACATCCTGCAGAGGTTTCCGGCGGGGTGGTCGAGGGACGACGCGAGGAATTTGGCCACTGGGGTGAAAGTTGATGAGCTGGGAGCAGCGCGGTTTGGGGAGGGATTGGGGAGGGGAGGTGACGACGCGGAGAGCAGAGCAACCACACCTTCTCACAAGGGCAATGCCGCCAGCAAAAACGTTGGTCCAGATCTTGGAGCAAGTGAACGCACAATTAGCGACGACGGTCAAACTTCTCTTCCGCGCGGAGGGGTCCGAGCTCACCATCTGGTCGAGCACGGGGGACTCGGGCCCGAACGCGGAAGCTCAAGCTCAAGCTTAGACCGAACCTAACGCCAGCCTGCTCCTCGCAGTCGCCTCTCTCCCTCCCACCACCTCGTCGTTCGCACACCACCTCACCGTTCTGCCAGCCCAACTACACTCGGGTGAGTACCCTCATGTTTATCTCTGGGTCCCTGTTGCCGTCGTTCATGGCAGTACCCCTTGCTCTCGAGCCCCGATCATACGTGGCGGCCAACCTGCTTGTTCGACGGCACTCCTAAGGCAGGATTTCCGGCCCAGAGTCACAGCCAGGCTGGCGCCCACAGTGATGTCCCGACTCGGACCACAGCGCTGAGGAACCACCATCCTTGATCTTCCTCTTCTGCTCCTCCAAGTAGCCCACACGTAGCCAATATGGGGGTTCACTACGGTCCCCAGTACATCAGGACTCCCATTACGCAGAATCCAACAGCCCTCCTTGCCACAGCCGATACCATCGAGGATCTCCTCAAGAGCGTGCCGTCTGAGCAGCGCAAAGGTGCGCTCCAACATCTGACCTTTCTGGTGGCACATTCTCGCTCGTGCGACAATCGCTGACGATCTACGATCCGTTGCTCAACGTGCAGCACTCCTCGTTGACGTGTCGACGACTGAGCGCGGTATCTGGGCCACCACTCGGGGCAACAAAGGAACCGTCGAGCACGGACGCGCTTTCGTCAAGAGGGTCGCCGCGAAGTACCATCGACAAGCTCAAGCGCACGGCGGCAACACCCATGTGTTTGCCATTGTCGACAACGAGCTTTGGCGACCAGAGCTCAAGCGGCAAACGGTCAACAGGCGCAAGGAGATGGCGGTGGATAGTGGCATGAACGTCCGCGTTCGCCTGGATTCCTTCACCACCGAGCCGAAGTTCATCTCGACGGCGTCGCTCAAGATCCAGTGTGACACCTTCCCTGATCCTACCTCGTCAACCGTGGATCTAAAGAAAGCCGATGGCATTATTTTCTGGTCGTTGACGCCTCGGGTAACGTTTGTCATGGCAAAGTCCGAGGCGGACACCCTGGCGTTTCTCGTCTGTCGTCAAGGGTTCCTGTTACACGTCCCCCTCGATCCTTCGTCGACTCTTCTCTACTCGAAGGATTCTGACTGGATTTTGAACCTTCCGCCCGAGTTCTGCCATCGTCGCATCTTCGTCGACATGTCGATTCCTGACTCGACCCAAGACCCGGCCAACAAGCTCAACATAGCTCCTCGACGGGGCTCGGCGCGGCCACAATGCTCGTCGCTCTGCCTCATTGATACCATGGTGCTCGGATGGGACGGCGAAAAACTCATCATCGCCGGGATCCTTGCGGGTGGAGATTACTTCCCCGGCGGTCTGCCGTCCGTCGCGTTCAATAAAGCGTTCGATACGTACAAAGAATGCCTCTCACGTAAATTTTGGGAGGGACAAGAACTTGGCGTCGTCCTCGGGCGCTTCCGAGCCATCAAGAAAGTCGAAAAGTTGAGCGATACGTTCGTCAAAGCGATCGAAGAACTTCGAAACAACATGCCGGCGATCTTTGCGCTACTGGAGAAGGACGAAGGCGAACGGTTCAACAAGTTCGACTGCGCTGGCGACCAAGCATCTCCCTCGGACCATTCCGTCCCAATCAAGTTCCCCCCCAAATCACGTCGCTTTACGAGAGGAAAATCGCCCGGGGAGCAAATATTCCCCAAGGGCACCCAGGTCGCTCCAGCTCCTCGATCCCAACCCCTGTTCGAGGTGCCACCGGATGCTTCGGCGCCGCCGAGCGAGTGGTTCTTTGGCAACTCGGTCTATCAACCTGCTCGAGCTCAGAACGCCAAGACTCCGGCCCGACAGTTCCTTTGTCAACCGAGGGAGAGCATCGCGTCGCTCAAGTCGACCAAGGATGCCATGGTGGGCCCAGGGAAGCGCCCATACGAAAAGCGCTTCAATCGACTTGTCAAGCTTCGGCGCAAGGAGAGTCGCCGAGTCGCCCGAGCCCCTGCGAGTGTTCAAAGCGCCGTTCTGGGCTTCCCCTTGTGGGAGTCGTTCGACTGGAACAAGCCTCCAGAAAGGGGTCATCCCCTGCAGAAGAAGCCTGGACCCGAGCCGACCCGAGCCGCCGCGCCCCCGGTCGAGCCGACTCACACCGCCACGAGCACGCAAGCCAAGCCTGCTCAAGCCAAGAAGTCGTCGACGTCAAAGCTCACACTAGCGGGTAAGGAGTACTCCGGGCGGATGCGTCGTTGCGACTTTACCAAGAGTTTGCGCGAGCAGCTCCCTCCCTCGCCCGATGGCAAGAGGAAGCACAGGTCCGCCGAATTCTTCTCCGACCTGATGCGCGTCCAAGTCGTCATCCGGTCCATCGAGGCGAAGGTGTATCAGCCTTGCGTCCGAAATTATGTCACCCTCTTCACCGACAATGATTGGAAGATCATGGCCGCCTCCAAGTTCGAGAATGAATTGAGGAAGAGGGTCACGGGCGTCTTTTCGGGGTTGCACCTCGATCCGGATTACAGCACCAAGGCCAAGCGTAAAGACCAAGGCTCGTTCACGATAAACACACCCATCGACCCCGTGAACATCTCGCCCGACACCCATCGAGCTTATGCTGCGGGGTACGCGAAGGCCGCCAACCCTCAAGGCGGCCCTCGTTTCGCTGGGGTGAGTCTTGGGCACTGTTACCGTGCCGCCTTGAATGCGGCTTTGACATGATCCGAGGCCAGAGGGTTTGACCAAGCCAATCTCCACCGTTTGATCTGCGTTTCATTCCAGGCCACGGGGGCGTTGATGACCGCAGTGGACAAGACTCGAGCGGCGGGCCTGACTCTTGGTGCGCACCCTCAATTCGGGGTGCACTACGAGGACGTGGTCAGCTCGATCGTTCGCGCTATCCTCGGCTGGAAGGACAAACTCCCCTACGTCCTCGCCGAATACGGCAAACACCTGCTCAAACCCCTCTTGAAGGAGCAAGGACTCCTTTCGGGATTTCATTCGGACGACGTGCTCTTGACGGAGAAAGGGCAGCAGGTCCTCCTCGATATCGTGGTCTCGGCACTTCGCGACACGCCTCATCCCGTCGCCGAGCACCAAGCAGAATTCCAGAAGACCCTCGAGCGGGTCGACGCGCTCATCGGCGAAAACCCTGACGGCCCCCACGCAGCCTTTCGAACGGTCTTTGTCAAGCAGGTCTATACAGGCTGCGGGGTCCGAGACATCTATATCCCATGGGCGCTGCCCACGGGGCAACAGGGGACGTTGCGGGGCCTCGTAGGAGTCAAGTTGACGGACTTTTCTGCCAAGCACAAGACTCGCGGCGGCGGCGGGAGCGGCGAAGATGACGATGACGACGATGAAGACAACGACGACGACGAGGACGAAGAAGAAGAAGAGGGCAAGTCAGAGGAAGGAGGAGGGTTCAGGGTCCAGTTCCCAGCGGCTGCCCTGCTTCCCCTCATGCACCATCTGCTTATCAGGAGCGGCCATACGAACGGCATCGTCCCCGTGAGTTCTGCTAGCCCCTATTCGCGCTCAAGGCCGTGCATCTTGCTTACCCTGTTCGTTCGCCACGCAACATTCATACTCGCTCAGACAATCGATTCCAACTTTATCCAGTGCACCCCCGGCTACCTCACCACGATCCTCTCCAACCCAGTTCGCGTTGTGAGAGACCAAGCGAAATGGCTGTACAGCATCGTGCCGGCTCTCGTCACTGACCATGGCGCACCCGAAGACCGATCCGCTCGCTACGTCAAGATCGTACGACTTCTCCTCGGCGCTACGGGGGACAAGATCTTCGACTTTGACCAAGCCGATCCTAGGGTGAAGCAAGAATGGAGCGACGATGCCCTGGAGAGTGTCCGTGCGATTCGAGAGAATTGCTTCGGGTCCCACGTCGCCAAGTTGGAGCATGGCCCGGATGCGACCTTCTTCAGGTCAGAAAACTTCAGGGCTTTCGGGTTTCGTCTGGCTGATGTCTTATTTAAAGTCGAGAGCATCCTCCCCTTCCACGAGATCCAGGCGGGCTCGTGGCAGACGGATGGCGTGCACGTGCATCTACGCGTCATGGATATCAGGAGAGCGTCAGAGGACAGTCGAGCGGCGGGACCTCCCAATAGCGGCGCGTCGAACTCGATCCGGGATAGCCTCATTCGAGCCATGAGGAAGGCCAAGCGGTGGCATCGATTAGGGAAGCCTCCGGCCACGCGGGGTGGACTTTATCGATCCGCACAAACGCCGTGCCAGCACTACGTCGACGGTGTCAAGGAGACGTTTTTGCTTTCCTGTGCCGAGGGTTTGAACAAGCCGCGTGTAGAGGGGAAACCCCGCGACCGCATGGACGCTCTCGAGGACAAGCTCAGGGAGGAGGCAACCCAAGCTGGAAGAAATGCCGATGACGCAGTTCAAGTGAAATTCGTCCCTTGGAGGGAGCTGCAAGACGTTCGGATCGTCGATGGGGAAATCTACGTACCCAGTCTCCGCAACGACGGCGCGTTCTGCGAACTGCTCGAGACGCTGCAAGGCTTCAGCAACAAGAAGTTTCACACCAACGTGAGTGATATAATATGCCTTGCCTCGGGCTTCAGACGATTCCAAGTCCGAGACGTCTTGGCGGTCGTTACCCGTTTACTCGGCCTACTTGAAGTCATCGATCGAGAGTTGGTACTGATCGCGGTGCCCCACTACCTGCGCTACACAGCACAGCTTCAAGAGGGACGATCTCATCACCGAGTTCAACAAGCGCGAGAGCTTTTGGCACGACATGAATCATGCTCTGAGCCAGTGTATCCTCGTAGCCAGCGACCTCGGGCACGAACGCCCCAACACCATTGTCGCCCGCGTGTTTGACCGCAACGACGTGCCAGTGCTGCAGACGGTTATTCTGTGCAAACAAGTGCCGAACAGCATTCTGCGACGGGGCGCCCAACTGTCGGCGGAGCTGCGAGAAGCACGGGCAAATCACGTCAAGACGACCCTCAACAAGAACAAGTTCGAGTGGTCACCCCTTGCACTGGCTCGCGGGTTCCCTGAGGGGCGCACTACCGCTTCTATGAAACTGCGCTCAACGACTCGCGAGGCCAGAATGACGGTTTTCGAACAACACGCAGAACAAGTGCTGCACGTCACAGGGATCGAGAATATGCGTGAGTCCTCGTCAATCGGGGGAGACTCTACCGATCGCCGCTTGGTGCAGGTCAGTTGTAGTTGTGGCCAGTATGTGCTGACTTCGTTGTGCGCTTTTCCACATGCAGGTGCCCATGCACGTCCGCATGCCCAGGAAAAACAGGTGACGATCGAGCCGGCAGCGCTCCCAGAGCTCGCCAAGCCATGCCATCTGTTTTCGAGCGAGCTGCGACCAATCATCTACGTCGCCGGCGACAGTTCGAGCTCGGGTCCGAACCCGCGAGGCGTCTACTTTGGTCCGGCCGCCTACAAGTCGATGCACCGAGCCTTCAAGGGACTGAAGAAGTCCGGACTCGAGGTTCATCTCTTTACCGTGGACGAGTTTCGCACATCCAGTCACTGCTGGCATCTTGACTGCCGTGACGACCAGGAAAGGCGTAATTGGTACGTCCGTGCAAACCGAGGCAGACATTCGCTTGGCTCGATAATGACACGAACCCACGTGCTGTACTTGTTGCAGGGTCAAAACCGGTACGAGCGCGGAGGGATGGGCCATCCATCGGGTCCTACTCGGACAGGGCACCTGCACCCATATGCCTTCAGATCGGGACATTCTCGGCGCTCGCAACTGCGCGCACGTCTTTGAGCATTTCTTCGCTCACGGCCTACATCCGTTCCGTCCAGAAAAGGGGGAGGGGTACCGCGGCGCTGGGACCCGAAGGCGCGGAGGAGGGGGAGGGAGTGGAGGAAGTGGGGGAGGTGAAGGAAGCGGAGACGATGAGGAACATTGGGATCATGAGGGCAAAGGAAGAGAAAGTGGAGGAAGCGGAAAATGTGAGGAGCATTGGGATCGTAAGGGCAAAGGGAGAGAGATCGCTCCCGACGTGCAGGATGAAGAGGAGGACACTGGAGATGAGCAGGAGGAGCAGCAAGCCGAGTATCACACTTTTGAGGATGAAGAGGAGCTTGAGTATCTCGACTATAAATGACGCGTTGAGAAGGGCAGGGATGAAGGGAAGGGCCCACTCCGGAGCAACTAGTATCGCGGTTTAAGGGTTTGATTAGTAGCTGTACAGAGGTGGTGCCATACAAAACATCCAGGTTTCCGATGTGACTCTTCATACTATCGATGGCTGCGATTTGTTCTGATGCCGAATGAAAACAACAGCGATTGTCGAGGCCTTGCGGCTTTAACCAGGCTCCTTCTCATGTACTCTGTCACAGTTAGTGGTTAAGAGTCTGAAGAGTTTCTAGTCTGTTTAGGCTTATTTTTACCTATTTGATATGCTAAATGGAAGAGATTCTTGCTTTATAAAACTTGCGCTGGCCTGACAACTTGTCACTAGCTTGTTAGTATGTTTAGCGCATGGATAACACTTTACTTCTTGGTCTCTTCCCCGTTCGCTCTCGCAACGGTGCTGACTGAAGTGACATTCAGTGCGAGATACATAGCGTCCCAAACCAGGTGCTCGGTTCATGATTTATCAGGTAGGTCTGTTCAAAGTCGTCTTGATCGCAGCAGGTTCTCCATCCTGCGGCGGCAGGACTCGGCCCCTTGCCGGTCTCATTGGCTCGGCTGAGGCGGGCGGGACGCGGGCGACGGAATCGATATAGCTCGCAGACTGGCGAACACAGATTCTAGATATGATTGGGTGTACAAGAGGACTTGACCTCCTGGATCCCTCGCCGTTCGGCTCTGGGTAACTTTGAGCCGGCCTCGCCCACCAAGTTGACGGCACTATGTGTGGCAGTGGAAGCCGGTTGGGGTCCGTCCCCTGTCAAACTTCAGACGATCCCGCGCCCGGGTGCATGGGCCAGCGCGTGCGAGGCAGAGCGAGGCAGAGCGAAGCAGAGCGAAGCAGAGCATCGAGGAGCAGCCCACGCTCGCTGCGGTCAGACGCGCGATTACCCTCTGGCAGCCCACCACACTGCTGCAGTGCCGACTGCCGTGGTACGAAGTTCTTCGCTACTACGACACCCAACACCGCCGATACCATTATGGTGAGTTACTTGATCCCCTCCCGGCTCTAACGTTACGACAGTCGCATTGTACGATGCTCCGGGTGGACGGTGCGAAGCGATGGTGTTTCGACAGGCCGCCGCCACGTCGCGATGACTACGTCCATCCGTCGCCACCAGTGCGCGAGCGGTCACAGTCACGCACGCCGCCGAGACCGTCAGTGCCTAATTTGGGTGTACCACCAGCGGTAGTGAGCGCGACGAAGACAACGACGACTTGCTTCGAGTGTGTACCACCTGCAATCGAGTGCGTCTACTGCAGAACGAAAGCAGGCAGTCGCCGTCGTCGTGGTGCGTGCTGGCCCCGTCTCTTTACCCCACGGCCCCAAAGTGCGGCTGTGGCCGCCGTGCCTCGTGTGACGACTAGCTGGCCGCTCTACGAGTCGGTGGCGACAACTCGAGTCGCTTTCACACCGGCGTCGACAAAATTTGCGGGTCCCAGTCCACGAGCGGGGAACGTTCACCAATCGTCGGTTCGTAGCTGACCGCGATTCGTTTCTTGCACCTCTCGTCAAAAAAACAGTTGCCGACGAATCTGCGACCCTTCGACGAGCTCCAGCAAGAGATCGATGTGGTAGGGTGTGGTCGACAATTCCCCTGCACGCCGAGCGGCAGTGGTGACCTTGCCGGCTTTTTTGCAGGCACGAGACTGCGAGGACGTATCGAGACCAACATTTGCGTTGGTCGCGAAGGTATGGGTTTCCGTGCAGTTGATGAGGGATGAGTTGCGGGAGCTAGTGGAGCAGAGCAAGGAGATGATGGAAAAGGTTGAGGATTTGAACGAGAAGGTGGAAAAGTGGAAGAGCGGGCAGGGCATGATTAACGCACAGCTGGAGCGAGGAGGAGCGTCGACCTCGGAGAGAGCGGTGGTCGGAACGGGGCGGGCGCAAGGTGGCCCCCAGGCGGAGCAAGGCGCAGTGAGTAGTTGCTTTTTGGGTGTGAACATGGTCACTGCTCGATCGCACCATTTTACCCGTCTTGAATGCATGTCGTCCACTGATGCTCTCGCGGTCGAATCTCCCCAGTTACACCTGCCCTCGCCCTCTCTTCAAGCTACAGGACTTTCTGTCACAACTCTCATTTCAGACGACGCCGTCCGACCGAGACATTGCGTTCGCGGTGGTTTCTCATCCTTACCTCCTCGACCACAAGAATCACGCGCTTGCGCTCGCTACGGTGAGTACTGCCGTCATCGCCGGCCACTGGGAACGTTCCGGTCGTGCGTCAGAGCCGGCCACGCACGCACTGCAAAGACCGAAGCTGACCCTGCGTTTGCTGTGAACACCAGCTGGCTCATGCTCGCCTCTTGCAACTCGGTGTTGCCGACAACACCATCGACTTGAGAAAGTTGAAAGGCGCCGTGTCGAAGGCCCGTTCGGAACCTGGCAAGCATGTGGGTCGCCGCTTTGCTGGGTCGTCTCGGTGTTTGGTGGTGTGAACTCTTGTGAACTTGCGCCGGCTGATGACGTGCCCTCGGTGGGCTGGCTCCGACCCTCTTCCTTGCATCCCTCGAATGAGCAGGCCAAGGACGCTGTTGCAACGAGCAAGCATCCTCATACCGCCGCCATCGAATGGTACAGAAAATCGCAGTGTCCGGTAGGAATGGGAACCCCGACGCAAGTTTTCGTCGTCTACTTTCGTCTTTTGGTACGTCACCGGGCGTTGTAGCCGACCGCCGCCGATGGCTGTGCTCGTCGATTGATCCTCGGCGGCAGGGACTGACGTAGCACCTGCTCGACTCCCGCCCCGGGGCCCCCGCTCCCACCCGCCGACTTCCTGGTGGCCGTAATAGATGACGATCGCCGTAGGAAAGGCCGAGGAACAGACCGTCTCGGATGCGTACGGCGCGTGGGTCGAGACGAAATCAGAGGCCGTCGTCGAACAATACGCCAAAATGGTGGCCGAGAGTCACGGCAGCCGCAAACCTCGCTTCGAGGAGTGAGTGTCCAGCGTCGGGTCCCATTCCCCACCCGCGGACGATGGTGCCACCTGCATCTTTCGGCTCCGCCCCGATGTTCACACCCACTCACACGTCGCCCGTCGCCCATGACGATTTTTTCCCTTTCTTTCTTCTGCCGATAGGGTCGTCGCCGGATTGCTCCCCGGCGAACTGATTCGTCACGATGACACCGAATCGCTCGTCACTACAGTCGGGCAGCTTGACCCTGGGGTCTGGCCTTTACAACGAGCGATCGACGATATCGCTCATTCGGACGGCGCGATTCATGTTGCTGGCATCGACAAGGTGAGTACTACTAGCCGCGAGTCTGATCTCGGGTGGCAGAGCTCGGCTCCGAGACTGTACCACTCCCAATGGAACCAGTAGGGCTCATCTCGAGAGTGCTTGCCCGTCGCAGCCTCAAGTCCTCGTTGCGCTGGTTGAGAAACACGGCGTTGCGGAGGCGACGGCCAAGATCTGGCTTGACCTTGCCTGAGGCGGTACCCCTTTCCCCACACAAAGGTTTGTCTTCCTCCAGACTCGCATCCCGCCCACGAGAGGGGGGCGGTGATCCCTTGAAGTCCCCTCCAGGTGATCGTCTGCCATACGCAGCTGATTAGGCTCCGTTCGTCACGCAGAACAGACACTTTCGATAACAGAATGTACATCTCCCAAGGTCACGTTCACTTTTGCCTTTCTTTTTTCCACAATAACAACGCCCCTTGTACACCACTCGACGTGCTTTCGACTAGTACAGTACCTGCATCGTATCCACAGCTCTGCCGCCACTGATCACGGCTGGAATCCAAGCATCATGCGCCTGCGTCTGAGCCCTCCTTGATCCGAAGCGAGCATGCGAGATTTTTTCGCTACGATATGGAATCTAGCTCGTCCTCCTGTTAGGTTGGGAAGGATCACTGGGTGTATGGGACATGCTCGATTGATAGCTAGGCGAAGGTTGGTACAACAAAGCAGAACGAGAAGGAAGCGAAAAACGGCGCGATAAAAACAAAAACAAAACGACTCGAATGTCTCACATTCACACAGAGACGAGATTCAAGCAGATATATACCGAAAGCAAGCCGACACGAAGAACTCGAACGAGGGCATGACGGGGCTCCTTGTTGATCGGCCATGGGACCGATTCTCCAGGGCGACGATCTGGTTTTGCCGCGCGAAGCGATCGAACAGGGACTGGCAATAGCTCAAGTCAAGCCAGATCGGCGCCAAGACGATCAAGGTCGGGACGTCCGTACGGAGGTCCAGCGAGCCATCCGGGTTGAGTTCGATGGATCGGTAGGAGGTCGAGGTCGAAGTGGATGCCGATGGGCTTTCGGGTTCGGCCCATGTGGTGCCTGGCCCAGACGGATCTTGTTCGTCTCGGCGCGGCCCGTAAGTAACCCAATACAGTTCGGTCGAGCCGGGCAATGTCACGTAAGGCATAACGTGTCGAACCAACTAATGGCCCTCTCAATGGTGGTGGAAGAACAGAATCAAAGCGATGGCAGTGAGTAGTTCAAAGGACAGTGGCCACGGCGGATTAATAAGCGAAGTGCTTCATTTATTAATTAAACGCGATCGGTCAGGCGAGAGTGCGATCCCGAGATCGAGCGTCCGCCGCAGCCCAATTTCGTGTACGAGGAGTCTCGACTCGCCACTACGACGAATCGCTTAGATACTGCTGTTAAAGCTGCTAAGCGGAAGCCGGTGGGAGCCAAGCATCCTTCAAAACTGATGCTTTGCAATCAAGCTCGACGAAATTTTTGCCCATCTGCGGTATGACTCCGTTCTGGCAGGAACAGCGCAGCCGGACGTCCGTCCCGCCGACTCGGATCAACGAACCACTGGTTCAGTGATCCACGCGTGCTTTCCCATCGGCTACCAAGTCAAAACGGTGCGACGCCATCCCAGGACGAGATAGCTGGCCCGCGTGCAGTGTGTACAGCACACGGTTCATCGTGAATGCGAGTGCTACATGCGCCTTGCCGAGGTGTGTCCACGGCGGGAGGATAGGATGGGATGTGCAAGTCAGAACGCGTGAAGTACTAACTGTCTGCCGCCTCAGCCGGTGAGTCAGCCCAGTCGGGGTCGCGTGATCGCGTGATCGCGTTCGCGCGTTCCCTCCGTGCCTCATTTGTGCGCGACGCCGAGCTGGGTCCGTGCACTTTGAGTAGAAATTTGAGCTCCCTCCACTGCAGGACGCTCGTGTCCCTATTTTATTTAATTTTTGCAGCACTGCCAACCCTCCTTCCTGTCGCATAATGTTGGACAAGTTGCAAAGCTGAAAGAATGGACAATAGAGATTACAAAGCGAACCTGAAAACAAAGATGGAGACGGTGGCCAATTAAGTTAGGGATCGCGAGCACCGCAAGCAAGCACGGGCCGGGGTTGGTGCAGTGGGACGCAAGGAGTCGACATTTTGCCAGACAGAGCAAATGGGAGCTCCTCCTAAGGTATCGACGACGACGACGGATCGTATGTCGGAAGAAAATAGGTGAATGACTCCTCGAGCTCGAGCGTGCGCCTCGTCACCACAGACGAGGTCCGTGCCCGACGAGGTCGAGTGTGTGCCGCCGGTGCCATATCTGCCTATGCGGTGCACACTGATCAACCAGTCTCAGGCACGAATACAAAGTCGAATATGTTTGCGCCCATACTGCTCCGATAAAAGGTGCTAGAGTCTGCAAGTGTGGTCTCAGTCGACATCCTCGGCACCGTGCTTCCCGGCCGCCGGTGCGCCGCCGCGGGCAGCTACGAGTGACGACGAGTCCATGTGGGAGCTGTGTATGGATGTGCACTCGGTTGTAAAGGCAAGAATAAATGAGAGGACAGCCCCCCTCTTCCTAATCCATGTCATACCGGTGCGTGCACCCCTGTGCACCGTTTTGTACGAGCCCCTTAGAGACGTCGCTACCGCCCGATGCGGCGGCCACCACGATCCACAGGGGTCAGCAGTGGTCCGCAGGCCCAAGTCGATCTTCGGCATTGGTGCATTGGGGTGCAAGGGGGTGCATCGAGGTGCACCTATATGCATTTTGATCTCAAAAGTTTGGTGTATCAGTTTATGTGAGATTCAGATCCCTGCACATGCTTGCATCCATGTACACAGCGGGGCGCGGTGGGACGGCGGTCTCCTGGCACGGCTAAAACGCTGCGAAGTGCAAGCGCACCGGTCCACCAACGACGGCCAAGCTGAGGCTCGAACTCGACCACGCGCTTGCATTCACATGCACGGATGTGGTATTGCTATGAACGAACGGTTGTTGAAGTTTATCGTGTACACCTAATCAATACATGTGCTCTCCGAGTATTGGGTCGCAGTGCACCCATTTTCAAGAATGCTCCGGCGCCGGCCAGCAAGCGTAACGCCGGTGATGAGTCACCGCGACGCACCAGAATCGGCGTGCATCGGTGTGCATTGGAGTGCACACACCGGAAATTGGATCTGTACGGTTTCATCTTCATTTTTCAAGCAACTGCACTGATGTGCACACGACTGCACGCTCATGCACATGCCTCCGACTCGGATGAGCCCGAATACCAAGTCCCTGGCTGGCTCGCCTCGGTCGGCACCGGCGCGGCATTGATTCAGTCGATGTCGACGTGCACGGGTGTGCATCAGTGTGCATGGGCGTGCACCGACCTTCTTTTGGGCCAAAAGTTCTTGTGGACCAACTTGCAAGCGTATGCAAGGATCTACGCGTCTGTGCACGGGCATGCATACCAGCCCCGGCCCTGGGGAAGAAGTGGAATGGCTAGTGTGCGTGTGGGTGCACGGGTGTGCATCAGTGTGCATGGGCGTGCACCGACCTTTTTTTGGGTCAAAAGTTCTTGTAGACCAACTTGCAAGCGTATGCAAGGATCTATGCGTCTGTGCACGGACATGCATACCAGCCCCTGGGGCAGAAGTGGAATGGCTAGTGTGCGTGTGGGTGCACGGGCCGGCATCAGTGTGCATGGTCGTGCACTTGCATTATAGCGGCAGAGCAAGGTCCTGGGAATCCACTGGATCATGCGCCAGAGATCTGATCCATGGCGTTAGTAAGTTTTTTGATGACTGCAACTCCACAAGTACTTTCACGATGGATTTCGACTTGGAGCAAACATGGATTTCATTCTCTTGGGCAGAGCATGTATGGCACGGCCAAATTTAGATATACTACAGTATTCAAAAAAATGATCTATCGAATTCGAGCCCTCTCACTCCTCCTTGCTCTTCTTCTTGCTCCTACCCTTGCCTTTGCGTGGTTCCTGTGCTCTCACCAACCCCGGTTGCAAGGGGTCGGCGGTGCCGCGATCGAACGAAGCAGGGGGGCCGAGTCGAAGCGGTGCGCGTTGTGAGCTGCGGCTTGACAATGCTTCCGGCACGGGCTGGGCTGTGGCCGTCGAGCTGGACGCTACGCTCTTTGCCGCCTTTCGCTTCGACAAAGAGGCCATTGTCGGAGTCGTGAAATGAGGCGGAGGGGGAGGCGTACGTTGCGCAGGGCGACTCGTCGAGGAGGAGGGTTCTGCCAAACGCACGGTCGGATCAGCCCAAGGACCGAGTGGAAACATAAAACGCTGAAAAATAGAACTTACCTCGGACAAAGTCAGAGGCGTAAGCGGAGGTGGGCGCTACGGCCGGCGAAGGGGTGGTGGCCGAGGTTGAAGCGATGACTGGGTCGAAGTCGGAACGAATGGCGATTCGTGCTTCGTCCTCGGTGCACGCCACCGTCATTCGCGACTCGATCCGCACAGTTTTTGTGTAAAAACGTCTCGCGCCATCCTGATCTTTGAAGTTCAGGTATGCCGGTGGCAGCTCTTGTGAATACACGACGCCGGCTCGGATCCACTTGCTGCCCCCCGAGTCGACGAAGAGGTGACGGTTGCGGCGGGGATCGATGTCCGGAGTCTCCGCAGGACCCGCTTCCTCACGATCAAGGTGCTTCTGAAGCTCCTCCGCCGTCATCGGCCCCGCGCTCGACGCAGACAGACAAGGGAGGCCGGGCAGGAGCTGAGGGGGGGAGAGGTACTCCATGCCCCACTCCGGGTCACCTTCGGCGACGAGTCGCGCCTCGCTCCAGTCGACGGACAGGAACTTGAGGTGGAGATTTTTGTTTCGGAACTCCACCGCGTCGAAGATCCTCTCCGTGGTCCCCTCCGTCTTCGAGGGGCGAGAGTAGGGCATCCAGTCCGAGTCGGTCTGCTGTTCGGGTTGGGACGAGTGAGACATGGCGCAAGTGGCGTCGTCGAGGTGGGGTGTGCACACAGACTTGCAAAGGTGTTGGCCGTGAATGAGAGGTAGTAAAAATGGCAAGGGCCCACCAGTGCGCCCGGTCAAGTGCTCTTGAGCGAGTGTGATGTCCCTAATAGCTACCGAGTGTGATGTCCCTAATACCTACCGAGTGTGCCACCCCGCGGCTCGACCCGCGCACCTCCGAGCGGAGGAGTAGTCGACTCTCCACCGCCAGCTGCCCGTGCACGACGGTGCATCGATGTGCAACGATACCATCCCAACGTCTGAATCATCGAATTCCCCCAGAGGAGACATTGCGCGGTTTGACAAGGCTATCGGAACTTTTTTCTTCTTGCGGATCCAAGGGTGAGTGCGCCGGCCCCACAACTGGCCCGTCGCCGAAATGGGAGAGGAGGTCTTTCTTTTGTTCGGACTTCGCTTGACCACACCGGGGTCAATGACTTGCTGAGTCACGCGGACGGGGACAAAGCGGGATGCCGAAAGGCGTGATGGATAAGCTCGATGAACATCACATTGAAATAACCGAATCGATGCGGAATGTTCGGAAGAGTCCCGACAGCTCGTACGTGGCCGAACCGGGAGAATTCGAGTTGAGCCGACATCCGAGTTGTCGAACTACATTCTAGCCTGGAAAACCAGGGACATCAGCTGTTCTGGGCAGGGAGAACAAAGAAAAAAAGACGAAACTAGCCGACAGTAGAACAGTCACCCGTTGCTTGGCGCGATGTACGTTTGGTGATGCCGCGGAACTCGGGTGCACATCACCTAATTGTCCCCCGAAGCGGGTCCGTGCGCGCAGACGGAAGATAAGAGCATGACCTCGCTGGCTCGGCCGGACCTCTCTCTCTTTCTCTTTCCTCATCGAGCTCGTAGAAAGGCCTACTGCCACCCACACTTCGCACCCGCCCTCCCCTTCGTGCAATGTCGCTGTCAATGGTCCGAGTATAGAGTGATGGAGTTGGGTGAGTTGGTTGCTGCCTTGTTGCTGCGTTTGGATTGGCCCGGTGCGACCTCGTGCGACCGAACCCCCACTTGGCTCAGAGACTCAATCGGCTGACCCTCGCTCTCCTAACCCACCCCTACCCTCTATTGTATTGTCGATGTTGCCCTCGTTTCGATCAGACGCCTAGGGCGACTACAAATCGGCTCCATCCGGTCGCCCGCATCAACCTTTGTGTCTCACACTTTGTTCCAACATTGCCATCGTCCCCACCCCTCTCGATCATCAGTAAGTCACGCTTTCCTCGCTGTGTCTATCCGACAAGCAGCCCAAGGAGCCTGCTAACATTCAGCCACACGACATTCCTTGATTCTTCTCACTTAGAACAACATCTGTGTCATCGTCGTCATTGGCATCGTCGTCGTTGTTGGATATCGAGTGTTGGCAGGTCGCTGGGGATGGAAGGATAAGGACGGCACAACAGCTTAGAGAGCGGATGGTGGGATGCAACACTCCCACGGCTTGGGTTTGAATAGTTTGAAAAGTTTTGTTTGGTCTAGGTAGATTACATCGCACACACCAGTGCGGGTGGCATTCAAGAAGCTTCCCCGGGCTGCACACGGTGCGCCGTCGGATGTTGCAATCTACTACAGAACGGTTCCGGCATTCTCTTGTTTTCAACATGTTGACGTTATTCTGTGATGACGGATATTCATTCAAACTAGTTAGAGCTACAAGCGTGTATGATAACCGCTACATTGGAACTACAATCCGCGCACCTGCCTCGGACCCTTATGTACGAGCGGCTCTGCTGTGTTCACTTGGCGGCTGGGAACTCTCAACGATATGCATAAGACGGTGTACCCAAGGCTCTGTGTCGAGTACCGATTCATATCACTCACTGGAACATGCCTTGATACCCTGCGAGATGGCGTGCTTGGAAGGTTCGTCGGTGAGGAGAAAACGAACAGAGTTCTGGTTCTCACGCGCCGGCATCGTCGGTCTTATTTTCTTCGATCCAAACAATGTGAATGCGATCGGCTGAGTGACTCTGCGGAGCCTACACTGAGCCGACAAGCCGGCTTGGTCGGAGCCAGGCTCAATTTCCGGCAATGACTCCGGTGGGCTGCGAGCTGTCCAGGCTCGGTAGCGAGACGTTCGAACATGTCGATGACCAAGCTGCACAAGACCGACAAGACCTTCACTGAGATGCCAGTGTCGGGCTGGACTTGCTTGAGGAACTCGCTGGTAACTGTAGGCCATTTCGACGTGACGTGCACCTCGGTAGGCATTGTTCTGCCTGGTTTTGGGCGACAGGGCAAGACGATCGACACCTATTAGATTAGATGTACGTCGAATAATTCTCTTGTCACGTCCTATGCCTCTTGACCTTCCTCATTATGTCTTCTGATGTGGTGAACATTTTGGCAGGTGAACTTTTTGGCCGAATTTTTGCTGACAACCTGAAGCAATATTGCACGAGTTTCGCGGACGAGTCGGAGTCAGCGGGGTGGCAGTGCACAGAGATATCGAGGACTCATATTCGGCGGACGCTGTTAGCAGATGTCTTTTCTGAGAGGGGACTTGAGTCGGGTGCCATTGCTATTGAGGTTGGAAGGTATAATGAGGTGGTGAGGAGAGGGTGAGAGCGTCAACGCGCAATCGCGTCGCTCGCAGCCAGACGTCACCGCGCTGCCGAGATCAAAACCGACAAAACTCCTTTTCCAATTTGACATCGCGTCGCCCCGGGTTGACGCACGTCGTTGTTCAATTTATGCGGTAGGCTCATATATCATCGGTGCCATCAAATATGTGCTCTCCTTGGATTCAGGGTGGGAGGACTCCGTTGATATCGGCTGATCGAGTACAATAACACTCCAAACCTTATCCACTCTCGCCCTCGCTTGAGAGTAGCGCGTCAGGCCTTCACCCGTGTCGCTTCCCCTTCTCCACCTCTCTCCTCACCTCATTTGCGCCCCTTCACATTTGAGGAACTCACTCACCCAAGCCCTCTGAACCACGAAGACCTCGTTCCCATTCGATCCTACTCGCTTCTTAAGCATTCCCTACAGAATCTAAGGAGGCAAAAGCGGCAACGGCAAACCAGTCACGCAGCGCTCGTGCAGGCTTGCAGTTCCCAGTCGGTCTTAACCATCGTCTGTTGTGCAAAGGCAACTACTCGCCACGTATCGGTGAGTCTGGTGATCGGTAGTTGCTTAGTAGCGAAGCACGGTCCCTCCCATCTCTCAGCCCCGACTACTAGATTAGTGAACTATGACCACCGCTCGGATGTGATGTCCCTCGCCACTTGCAGCTCGCGGCTCGCAAAGACGAGGAGTTGCACCGCTCACCATCTCCCAAGGCGGCGTCTTGCCCAACATCCGCGCAGTCAGTAGCTCCTTCTTGTATACCAACCAAGGTTCCGCTTGCTGAAGCCATTCTTTTGGAAGTTGGTTGACCGTCTCTCATTCCCAGCCTCTTGCCGCGCGCATACGTTGACCTCCTTCACTTTTAGAGATGCTCGAGACTTTGCTCCCAGTGAGGGTCCCCGCTGGCACGGATAGACTAACCTCGGTTTCGTTCTGCCCTTCAGAGCAGAAAGAAGAAGAATCGCGTCGAAGAGACGCAACAGTCGGGTGAACTCTAATTTCGCCGAGTACCTGCCTCCCCGGGCCAATCTCGTTCAGCAGCTTTCGTCTTTGATCTCAACCTGATCCACTCCCGGATCAGGCTCACTGTACTTGTACAATAGGGATTTGCTTCAGTTGCTTGCTCAATTTTTCCATAAATGGTGTCAGAGTCTTGTCCGAGTGTGATGTCAGTTATATGTGTCGAAAGTCAATGGCCGTGAAACGCCTTCGGACCCTGCCAGGGCTCGCCCGATCGTTGCCATTAGCCGCTCTTGCCGCCTGGCCCGCTCGCCGGCGCATTTCCCGATCGAATGCGGCAGTTCGCCGCGTGGTTATCTCAGCCTCTTCCGTCGTGGATCGTGCAACAACCCCTCGTCCCAGCCAACCATCGACCACCAGAGTATCCCACTCACGATGCCGACCGAAAAACTGTGGCCAATCGAACACTGTGTCGACGCAGACCTCGAACAGGCCGTCCTCAACGCTCCAAAGCTGGGTGCGGTGCGGTCATTGAGTGCCAGTCGTCTTGCCCCACCGCATGGGATCGCAAAGGTCGTCATCGGTTCGGTGTTGCTCGCTGGTGTCATTCTTCTACAGCTCCATCCGGTTTCATTCCAGATATGTATGCACCGCAAATCCGTAGGTCAACGGATCCGCTGCCCATTCGCCACCATCCTTTCTGCGAAGGATCGGTCCCTCCCTCAGGCTGACACCCCACTTGCCGGCCGGCGCATCTTGACCTAGCAGAGCTCTTCGATCGACTGGCAGCCGTGCGCCCAGAACGCAAGCTGGTCATGCGCCCACATCACCGTACCAAAGAACTATCTCGATTTATCCGCCGGCAAAGCTCATATCGCTGTGCTCAAGGTCCCCTCGACTGCCGCTCGCGAGGACCGACTGGGTTCTATCGTCAGTCTCAGAGTAGGCGCCCCTTTCATCGTGTGTCCTTGCGGCTCTGAACTTCTCCTTTGTAGTTCGTCAACCCTGGAGGTCCCGGAAACAGTGGGGTTAACTTCATCGCCAGCTTTGGCGAGTACATCTCGCAGCTTGTCAAAGGTCCGTCGGTGAAGTACAGCATGCAACGACTTTGTTCGCTGGCAGGTTTGAGCTCACACACACAGCGCTGACGCAGGACGATACGACGTCATCGGATTCGATCCTCGAGGAGTGGGACGAACCGAACCACTGGTCGAATGTTTCAGCTCGACCTTCGACCACGAGCTGTTCAAGGCTCATACCGTATTGGAACACGGCTTCGACGTTCACCCGGACCCGAAGTCGCCCGCGGGCCGACGTCACTTGATCGAACAACACCAGGAGAGGATGGAGCTGATGAAGGCCGAATACGAGCGCTGCGGCGAGATGATGGGCGACGAGCTGAGGTACATGTCGACCCCGACGGTGGCGAGGGATATCGTCGAGATGACCGAGCAGCTCGAAGGCAAGGGTGCGCTCGTACACTACTACGGTTTCTCGTACGGAACGATCCTCGGTCAATTCCTGCTCAACATGTTCCCCGACCGCGTCGGCCGGGTCATCATTGACGGTGTCGTCGATGCCAAGCAATGGGCCGAGACCAACTCGCCGGTATGGCTCCATGACTGGCTCAACTCGACCGAGGCAGCCTACGAATGGTTCTTGAGCGACTGCCATCGAGCGGGCCCCAGGCATTGCCCCCTCGCTCACTATGGCGACGAGTCTCCAAGCGCCATCAGCCAGCGTATCTTTGATTTTGTTGACCACCTCTATGATCACCCGCTTGCGGTTCCCGATGGTGCGCGACCAGGCATCTTGTCGTCTGGAGCGGCCCGCTCGCAGGTATATGGCCTGACGAATCGCCCTGCTTTCTGGCGCACCGACGCTGCGCGTATCGCCGCAATGCTCGACGGCAACGTCACCGAGGTGTTCAACGCCATATACGTCCCCTTCAGCCCTCACGATCGCAGAGGGCAGCTGGACTTGTCGCGCATCGCCGTCGCTTGCGGAGACACGATCGGCTACGAAAGCGAAGCCGACTACCCGACTGCGGAATACCTCGCCGAGCAGACGTACAGAGCGCTCGAAACCTCGCCTCATTTTGGTGCCAGTGTTTCTCTGATCGAACCAGATGGTTCGTGTGAGTACTGGCCGGCATCGCGAAAGACGCCCGAGAGATTCAACGGTCCCTGGAACTCCAAGCTCAAGAACAAGGTGAGTCGCCAGAGGACACCCAGGTACTGCCAGGTGGACTAATACATCGATTGAATGGTTGCCGATTGCCCAGGTCCTGATTATCGGAAACACTGCCGATCCCATCACCCCGTTGACGTCCGCCCGCAAAGCCAATGCACGATTCACCGACTCGACGCGCCTTCTGATTCAAAACTCGCCGGGACATTGCTCGTTCGGTGGCGTCTCGACGTGCACGGCCAAATACTTCCGCAACTACTTCTTAACTGGCGAGTTACCCGAAAAGGACGAGATTGTATGCGAACTCGACCAGGGGTACTTTGATTCTCTAGACCCGGAGCATGACGGTGAACGAGTGGACGAGGAGCTCGAGTTGTTCGAGCTTGGAAAAGCCATCACTTCCCGATGGGGCGCATTCTTGAGCAACTTGCAGTGATGGATACCATGCAGACGGCTATTATATCTCGAACTTATTGCAATCAAATATCGTAGATGTGCGACGACGGTTATGAACATCAACCGCGGCGAAGTTAAGATCGTCCTCGTCCTTGAGAAGCTCCATCACGCCTGGATTCGCCGAAGTATAGCCAACGGCATCACATGACTGTCAGAGGCTGGTCTGAACTTGCCGTCCCCGGAGCACCAGAATAATGACTTAAGTACTCGTCAAGTACAGAAGAAGTTTCACCATATTTTTCCAAGCAGCATACATTCGTCATGAGTATGCCGATAGCCGACAAGCACTGATTCGGTCTGCTCGGCCGGGCCCACCGCGGGCCGCTTGTTCCAGAGAGTTCCAGCACATTCTCGCACCAACTCGAAGACTCCTCGGCGGACAAAAAGGCCATCGCGCGCGAAGAATTGCTCAGCCTCTTTCTCTTTCCGTCATCCACCTCCTTGTCACGCCTTTATTCACACACACGTGCCTCGACGAAGTTTCACATCCTCAACGTACCCACATTCGAAAAAAGCCCCTTGGTGATTAGAGTAAGTCAGTGTCCTCTGCACTCAGACCTCCCAGGACTCGGCCTAGCGCAAGGTTCTGACGCTTCCGAAATCTTCCATCTCGTTCTTAGCTCTGATCCCAAGCCCAGACCCGCCGACAATAGCATGTTCCACTATCCCACCGCCCCATCAGTCTTCGTCGACCCCTATGATCCCTATGCCCCCCACCATCAACCTTTCTACGCTGCGGGACCGTCTCGACTCTCCCAAGCTCAACGTCAGCGCGAGCTTTACCACGAACAACGCCGCCGAGCACTCGCGATGGAGGCGCAACGACGCGAGAGACAACGATTGGCGTACGAACAGCACCTGAGAGAGCAAGAATGGGCTCGACGAATGAACTACTCATCCTTCTGGGATCCACGACAAAAGGATCATTACGTTCACCATGACGACGACGGCGACGAGCGCGAGGATGAGTACGACTCTGCCGAGGAATCCGAGTCGGAGCCGGAGCCGGAGCCCGAGCAGGCGCAAGGATTTTCGACGCGACAAGCGCACATCTCACAAGAAGTTTCATCCTCCAAGCGGCCCATCTCTCCGAAAAGGTGTGGCATCTCAATCCCCATCCCCGAGCCTGCATCGTATGGTCCAACCGAAGAAGATGCCGCCACGACCTTGCAAAAACACTTCCGAGCCCGACTCTACCGTCGCCAGGCCTTGGCTGCGCTCAAGGCCCTTGCCGACACTTATGCGCAACGCTCCAAGGTGGAAATCCCTACCAAGCTACATGCGTACAACGGGAAGCTCGCTTACGACTCTCACAACGCCCCATTTCACGCTTACGAGGACGCGCTGGTCAAGCTGCTTACCCAGCTCGACGAAATTTCGACCAAGGGCGACGACAAGATCAAAGCGGCACGCAAGGCTCTTGTACGCAAGATCGAGAAGGAACTGAACCGCCTCGATCAAATTAAGGAAACTTCGCTGGCACAAGTCGCCCTGTTGGCCCCATCACTCGAGGCAGAGGATTCGGGGGACCAGGATGCCGGCTCGGAGGGTGAACAGATCGCTGGGGCCGAGGACGAAGAGGAATGGCACGGTATTCCCTCCGACACTGAATCCGAAGCCGAATCTACTGGCGACATTGAACCACTAGTATGAGCGAGGAGACGATGTGATCATAGGTCACGGAGGGAGCCTTGTCGTGCTCGGATTTGGTCGCCTTGATAATTTGGTGAAACACTCTCTGTGCAATGTTGTACTATACTTTGGACACTTTTTGAATCGAGTGATAGTGAGAAGTCATCGTTTCCATACAATTGCCGGCGGCGGGCGGCCGCCGGAAGCGCGCTAAAAATTGTCGCTCGATTCGTGAAGCGTCGAGGGAATCAATATCCTTGGAAGGGCGATCACTTTATCAATCTACCATATCTTAGAGTCAGTTAGAATCCAGAAAAAAAAAAAAAAAAAAAAAAAAAAAAAAAAAAAACAGAAATTTTTTTTGCCGAGGGAGTGAATTTCTCGAGACCGGCGAGGCAGCGAAAGCGAGGGGCGGCAAGACCGGGGAGGCGGGAAAGCCAAGATTTCTGAAATCATCGGCGGGGTAGCAGTTGATTAACTACGAACGATAATAATTGGTGTAAAAGCAAAGAGGTCGAGCACTTGTTGGTGACGCATTCTCCTCGCTCGCTCGGCGTGCTGCGCCCGTGGGTCTCCGTGCACGTGGGTCGTCGCCGCGCTTGCTGGTTGAGGCTGGTTGAAGGTTGGCAGGGTTGGCCTTTGCCGGCTGCCAGCGGCGCGTATAGAGGAGTCCAGACACCAGCTCACCGTTGTCCCTCTCACATCATTTCTCGTTCGCACATCCTTTCTGCACGCCGCAACGAGAGTGCGCATCATCGACTAAGAACCTGTGCTCCTCAACAGGCCTGTGACACAGGGTCCTGTAGCAACTCACGTGATCGCTAACCCGCTGACCTGGGCGCGGAACCGGACGCTCACGGACGTCAGCACTCTGTACACCCGTCTTGTACCTGCACGTTGTTTATACATTGTGATACATCGTCCAAGGGTATCAGACATGGCTGGAGCGACGTACAACGTGACCCGGTTCACGCGACAGGTGCTCAAGCGCTACCGCAAGGAGCCGCCCTCGCTCGTGCTGCACTTGTACAACACCCATTTCAGATTCGAACAGCAGGTGCGTGATCATCCTAGATAGAGAGCCAGTCTGGGGCCGTCAAGGGACCCTCACTGTCGCTTGAGCGGCTGATCGAGGCGGGTCGCTTGATCTGACGCGTTCCCTCCTCTCGTCATTGCACTGCACAGCATGGCAACTTCAACTACGACTCGCCAATGAAGTGCTTCCTCGAGGCTATTCGCGAGCAAAAGCTGCCAACCGACCTGCTAGATGTGCTCGACGAGGCAGGCGTGCGATACTACGAAGGTCGGTTGCAGGAGGTTCGGGTCCGGCTCCGAGGTCCACAAGGCTCAACTGACAACACGGACTCGTACCCAAAGGATGCCTGATCGTCGAAGTACACGACCATCGCGACCAGTCCTACTCGAGTGCAGCTCCGGCACAACCCTCGATCCGGCCAGGGCTCGCGCTCTCCTTCCAGCTTGGTCGGCAAGCCCAGCCCGTCGTTCAGGCTCGAGCCGAAGTGTACCGAATCGTACTGGGTCCCAACCCAGCGACGCTTTGGACCGAATTGGGGATCATGGATCGCAGGATACGAGAGACGGCGGAAGAGGATGCTGCAGAGGGTGGAGTCGAACCCGAGACTTTGGGCTGGACAGAAGAAGAGGCTGTCGAAATCGAGGCGATCATTCTGGTGCGTGCGGCCGGGCTTCATTCATTGACCGGAGGAGGTGACACGAACCCAATACGTCTATGCACAGGCTCGGACAACAGCACCGCTCTGCCTCTCACCGTCTTTGCAAACATCAAGGATCGCCAACTCCATGCTTCGAGCGACGACGCTCCGACCACCAAAACGCAAGCGCAGTCGGGCGGCGAGCGAGGGAGAAACCGGAGAAGACGGTGAAGATGTGCTACGACGCGAGCGAGAGGAGCACGAGAAGATGATGAAGCTCGGTGACGAGGGGGTCTCGCGAGGTAGAGGTCATGCGTACGTCTCTTGGATCCTTCTCGCATGCCTCTGTGCGCTTCTATGCTTTGATCGCTGATCCTGGTGGATATGCTACTCGTCCTGAAATGTGACAGCTTTGCAAGGCTCGCCTTCATTCAATCTTACCGGGAGCGGCAAAATAACCCTCAAGCTCCCGTTCAGGCCGGCCCGTCGGCGGCTGCTTCCGCTGGCAATGTCGGTGGCAACGCAGCAACATCTTCTGCCGCCGGTGGTACTCAATCGCCCACCAACGTGATCCGCATCACCGCGCCGGTGCACCAGATCGCCCCCTCGGGCGCATCGACGCCTCGCACGGCCGGATCCCCTCCGGCGTCCATCTCGGACCGCAAGAAGAAGTTGCCGATCGGCAACATCGCCGCTTCGACGGCCGACGATGCATCCGAAGCGGGTACACCGGGCCCTGCGACCCTTCCTGCGACTTCGGCGGCCGCTATGGCGCATGCGGCTTCGACCAAGAAAGCCAAGAAGATCGCTGCGCAGGCGGCCAACTCGAATGTGGCCGACCCGACCCTGCCGAGTGATCCGGCGGAGCGGGAGAAGGTGTTGGAGGCGAGGCAGCGCGCGCAGGCGAACAAGAAGCGGCAGGAGAACAAGCTGCGCAAGGAGAAGAGGAAGCTCGAGAAGGAGAAGCAGCTGGCGGCGGCGAATGATGTCAAGGTGTAGGCCGTCGACATGGGCCGGGGCTTGTGCGATAGCACTGGTGTTTGCTGGCGGAGCGTGCAAGGGGAATCGTCTTCTCTGTTGTTTGAATAGGTTACCTTGTGCAATCTCTTCTTTTTTTTTTGATAGATCAACCATCACAAATTTTGGTGCCTTGGTGCTCGGTGTGCCAGGGTGTGCCCCACACACCTCGCTGAGCTTCGCTGAGCTTCGCTGAGTCGCCAACAAATTCCTGAGCGACGTCGTCATTCGACCCGCGCGCTGGCGCTTCTCCTCGACTCTGGCCAGCAGTATCCACTCACTGGCACGGGCCCACTCCCACAGTATGTCTGCGATGGTATCTCGCTCTGCAAGCGAGTCGAGCTTCATCTTTGTCGACGACCCCTCGATCGAGGACCAGACCGACAACGAGATGAACGCCGACGATCTGTCGTCGCTCGACTCGCTGAGCGCCTTCCTGCCGACGCTGCATGCACCCCACGCGTTCCAATGGGACGATACGCACCTGCGCCAGGTCGACCAAGCTCGTCACCAGCGACAGCATGGACGACTCTGCATCGACGAGCTCTTGTTGGACTTGGAACTAGACGGCAAGTCGATCTCGTCATGCTCGCTCGCGAGTGGTCGCTCAACTCGTCCCGGGTGACCATACCTCGTCGAGTAACCCATAGCTACACTGTTCCGTACATGAACTGACCCTCTGGCTGGCTCTGATCTCTACCAGGTACTGACCTCTACCCGCCGACCTCGATCTCGGAGCTCCACTCGTTGCTGTGTGCCGTGCTCGACGCGCCCGACGGCGACCTGATCCGCACCCACTCGGTCATTTACTACATCCTGCTCGCCGTGTGCGACGGAACAGAGTCGACAGTGCCCCATCAATTCGCATATGCCTCCGAGTTTCTCCTCCCATCGGGAACCATTAAAACCGTTCAGGGGGTTTTCGCCCTCGACACTGGGTCGTGGCAAAGAGCGATCGCTGCTCTGAGCGACCCACATGTCGTTCCTGACTGGATCTCGGAAACTTTGGCCGTGCTGTCGACTTGTCCGCCCATCGAACAAAGAGCCAGCTATGTGCTGAGCTTCTGGCGACTCAAAGGGATCACGCTGTCCGACCCGAACGACCTCGCCCTTATCCTCGACGCTCTGTGCGATGCGACTCGGAAGAGGGGCGTTGTGGAAGCCTGGGCCTTGCAACGACAGTGGATCGATGAGACACACAGGGACGAGCTGGCAAATCGCGTCTTATCCCAGTGCTTTGGTGACAACTCGCTCGGCAAGCCCGTCGCGCACCACGTCCGGGCACTGCTTGCCCAACCTTTCACCTCGCACGAGGATGCGCTCGTTGATGCGTTCTGTCGCTCACCACCTTCCGACAATATCGCCAAGACGCTCGCCGTCGACTGGCGACTGAGCAAGCTGATTGCCGAATCAAGACCCCTCGATGCCTTGCGGTTCTGGTCCACCGTCAAAGCCACAGTCCCAGCTTCCGAAGATCGCCTCCGACTGCTCAAAGCCGCGCAGGCCACCCTGACCGAGGTGCAGCAGAACACGCTCGCTCTCGAAGAGGACGTTGACATCATTCCTGCCTCCAATTCGATCTCGACCTCCAAATCAGCCCTCGAAGCCACTAGCAAGACGACCAGCAACCTCACGCAGCCGGCGTGGCAGCCCGTCCCTGCCCCGACATCGGCACCGTTGCCTCGCTCGCTCTTGTCCATTCCGTCCAAAGTCGCATCGTCGTCCCGCCCCACCAATGCAAAAGCACCGTCCGCCAGCGATTTGCCCTTATCGGCCTCGCCCTTTTTACGGCGCGAGAAACCGCTCGTCTCGAGTGTCGATGCTTCCTCGCTCGGCGGAGTGCAAAAGAGCATGCTGCTGGCTCTGCGGGAAGGGGAGTCCTCGGGCCATTTTCCCGCGCCCGACTCCCCGGGACCTACTGCGGATCTAATTCGGCGAGCATCTGGGCCACTTCCATCGACGGCGAACCTGTTTGGCATGAGTCCGATGCGCGAAAGCTCGGTCGCGACGACGAGTCTGTTCGGAGGTTCGCCCGCACGAAAACCCACGCTTGGAGGCTTTGGCAGCGTTCGACAACCCGGGGCGTCGAGTCACTACGGCAAAGCCCGCGAGGCATCGCCTTCTCTCTTTGGTGGACCCCGAGCAGAAATCACAAGAATGTCGGATGCAGGCGATGATGATTTGACGATGTTGTCGCCGCCTCAAGCGGAAGCCAGCGAGGCTGACGAAGAAGAGGAGGCCGCTGGCAGCTCTCGCGCGGGTCGATCGAAGTCCGCCTCGACTTCGAAGTCGGCGCCCACCTTTACTGCAAAACGACGCAATGTGTCGAATGGTACCGCCGCAGGAGCCGGGGAAAAACGACGAGCCGTCAGCACGGAGGCTGAGGACCGACCGAGCTCGAGCATCAAGGTCTCGAGCAACAAGCCCCCTGCTGCTCCTTCGTCGAGCACTCGACAGAAACCGCCAGGTGCATTTCCCAGTGGGTTTGAGAGTGAATCGCACGATGAGGATGATGATGTCGACGATGCGCCACAGCAGGGAGCTACCAAAACGCGAAGATCTGCGGCTTCGACGACGACGACGACGACGACGACGACAAAGAAATCGGTGGCCAAGCGTTCGAGTGCGAGAGCCTCTTCGGCTGCTGCGCCGGGATCCCCTTCGACGCCGAAAGCCAAGAAGGGGTCGTCGTTCAAAGTCGAAACACCTTCTGTGGCTGCTCAGGAAACGCCGAGGGTGACGACGGTGAGGCGGAGTACGAGATTGCAGACGCCAGCCAGGGACGAGGCGTCCACGAGCGTGCCGACTTCGGCTCCGCGATCGACGAGGAAGGGTGGTGCCGGGGGTGCGACGAAGGTTAAAGGACGGAGGTAGATTGCAAGATCCGATGGCGCACAAGGTGCGGCCCGGGGAAGCTTTTTGATTGCTACCCAGACTTTGTGTGTCCGATGCAATCCACCTTGACCAAGTAAAATTATTCGAACCGTCACAGAACCTAAATCGTGGGGATCATCCCACCATCCGCCTTCTCACTTGTTGTGCCCTCCATTTTCTTCCATCCATAGCGACTTGCAACCCATGACTTGACCAAATCCAACAACGATGACGGCGACGGCGACGATGACGACATTGACGACGACGACCACGAGAACGATGTCGATGACGTTGATGACGACAACGACAAGGATGTTGTTCTAAGTAAGAAGGATCAAGGATCGTCGTGTTGCTGAGCGTTAGCAAATCTCTGTACTGAGCGTCGCATGGACGGGCGATGCAACGAAGTGGCAGGTCACACCGTCACAGGAGGCCGAATCGATCCGAGCGTGCACGTGGGTGCATAGTCGTACCATTCAGAGGGGATGATCAAGCGCAAAGTTTGATTCGAGTAGTGCAATCTGAACAGAGCTCTGAAACATCGCCCCATCGGACGCAGCCAGATACCAATGATGTCGTGGAGCGCGAAATCTGACACCTCAATTAACGCGCATCGAGGCGCGTCAGGCGCGTCAGTGGCGCGTCGACCATTCTGGACGAGCTTTGAGCACCCTCCCGCGGCCGGGGCGACTCTTTCCCCATTCCCCACTTCCCAACAGCTTCGGCCGGGTGCAACAACACTTGTGTGCGAACCGTCAACAACTTTGGCTGAAGGAACACATCGTCAAGGTCGGCCGGCTGGGCCTTGCTGTAGTTGAATTGGACGCCGTCACGTGCTGAACGCTGAACGGTCCAAGCGCGTTCACACTCGACCTGACCTCGACGCGACGACGATGCTCAGCCTCTCGGACCTGATCCACGACCTCTCCGACTCGGAGGATGAGCCAGATCGCTCCACTTTGATGGTGAGGCTCGCTGCAGGCGACCGACCGGCGATCGAGGGGATGGGCAGCTCGAGAGTGCCGTTGCAGTCGTCAGCCGAGCGCTGCGAGACCGATCCCGCTCAGGGCCAGCGAGCAGGCCAGCAAGACTGGGGCCTGTCAAGCGTTACAAGGTCCCCATGGCACGAGGAGTATGGGTCGTATTACGAACCGGCAAGTGACGGGAGCAATGGTGGCGATGGCGCAGGAGGAGAGGTCGATCTTCTCGAGCATGGACACGCCGAGCTGGCGGGGCAGCATCACGAGCACAGCGACCACCTCATGCAGTCGAGCCCACACGAGCAACTAACGTCCATGATGGCCTATGGGGACGCGTACGCGAATGCCACAGCCTACGGTCGTATCTCATTGCCGTTGCCACCACCCACACCACCTCCACGCTCTCCTCGTCCGCGCGGCCCCCGTCGCGCTGAACCCGAGCCAAGATCGTCGCCGCTGTCCGCCACCGTGAGCGTAGACGGACCACTCGGGCGCATTGAGCAATCCACGCGCTCCATGTCGATCCAAGACGAGGCTCTCGAGACTTTGAAATCGGACGACTGTCATGGTAAGCGATGCACACAGCGCCTACTGAGAACATTGTCCGCCGAGCTCACCAAGACTCTCTTCTCCAATTCATCGCAGCTGGTCGAGACGGCTCTGTCGACTCCTCTACGGCTCCTTCGACACCCCGTAACCGTAAACGTTCTATCACCACCGAACCCTCGACGCCTTCCGATGCACCCTCGCCACAACCCGCGGTGACGGCGCACATGACTCGCTCACTCTCGGACCTGTACGACGAATCCGAGCATGACGACGTGGCCCTCCAGGTCGCCGAGACGGGCAAAGAGGTCGAATCGTTCGCTGAAAGGATGGTCGCGTTCGTCTACAACGACACGGACGGCGATGGGTCGGCCACGCTGGCTGGCGTGATCACGCCGCTCAAGAAGCGCATCTCCGGACTTTTCCTCGGTCTGAGCTCTTACAAGGGGGATGAGAATGCGATGATACACCAGGTCGACGATCAGAAGGCTCTGGGCAAGTCGGAGTCGGGAACCCATGTCGACAAACCGGACATGCCCGCGATTGTCGCGCAGATTGTGCCTTCAAAAGCAGATCCGTCCGTGATCGTTCGTGCGCACGCGAGTCGAGATGGCGCCGAAGGAGGCGCGGTTCCGTCCGAAGTCGGATCCGAGCTAATGGTGGATGACGATACAACGATGGCCCACTTGGTAGTTCAAGACATGGTCGATGCCGAACGAGCGGTTTCTGCCTCGGTTGACGAAGGTCCAGAGGACGATGCCCAGGACGTAGAGCCCGAGGAGTGTGCTCGCATCAGAGACGACCTCCCCGCTCCGTCGACGTCTTCCTCACCCACGACTCTGATTCCGTCATGGACTGAGAACACGGTTGAAGTTCGCTTCGGGGTGCGTTCGAGCTTCGATGCGAGGTAGAAGAAATAATTACTGACTGTGCTGCATCCCGATCTTCATAGGACCCAGAGTATCCAGATTCTGCAAATGCGTCGGATCAAGAAGTTTCACCGCAGGAAGAACCCATCGCGTTCCACGACGAAAAAAAAGCTGTCGATGTCGAGCCGGAACAAAGCTCCGAACTACCCATTTCTGTAGATGAGGAGGATGAAGAAGACAGACAGCAAAACATATCGACCCCTGACCTCGAAGCGACCGCGCAATTGGATCCGCCTTCGAACTCGCCCGCGCCCGCTCCACAGAACGAAACGAGATTGGCGCTCGAATTACCTGCAATGAAGGACAAGTCGAATGACAGCGAAGCGGAAGCCGAAGTCGCTCAAGAATTTGCTGTCGGCACCCTTGTGGACGAGGTGGAACCACATGCCGAGGCTGCACCTGAATCGGAGGAGACCGCGCAAATGGAGCATGCCGAGGACCCGATCGTGGAGGGCTCACATGCAACCATCATAGACGAGGTCTTATCGGAAGCGATCGAAACAATGAGGATACAGCGCGAAAGTCGTTCACATGAGCCTCAATTGGACAGCTCCGAGGACCTGCCGGTTTTTGAGGAAGCCGATGCCATCGGGGATGAGGAAGACGAAGTCATCGATGATGAAGTTGGAGAAGGGGAATATGTCACGCACAGATCCCCTCGGGGCATTGACGAGCGATCCGAGATGCGCTCGGCCGATCTGTACAGCGTGCCATCGTCTCCACTTGCTCGATTTACGTCCGAGGCCTCAGACGACAGCCTGCAACGCGACGAAGTCTCCGACGACGGTTCACAGCGCAACGAGGCCTCAGATGATGGCGAGCAGCGCGAGGACCCTTTCATCCCACCCAGGGGAGCCACACCTGTCGTAGTGGCTCCGCCCGCCACCTCATCACCGGGATTGGAGTCCCCAACTCCACAGCATGCTCCACGACCCAAGCCGAAACCTGTGCCGGCATCCAAGCCGACGCCCAGATCAGCCAGCATCCCGGCGCAGTCGTTCTACGTGGATGTTCCTGCTTTACCTCGACGGAGACACTCGTCCATGTCGGAGCATGCCGGCTCCTCTCGCTCGAGTCGTCAAATCGAAAGTAGACGACCGCTCGGACCGACGGACAAGAGCCTGGAATCTCCGATCGCGTCCATTCGAGCGAAAAATGAGGCGCGTCTGTTCGATGACCCTCCTGACCTCAATGAACCTGGGTCTCGTGAAGCATCGGTTCAATCGCGCTCCTTCTCGACTCGCCAACTTCTGGGAGATAGCCTCGAGCAATCGTCGCCTGGGCCAATTCCGATGGACGTGGAATTGATGGAAGAGCATCCGGTGGAAGTGTACCAGCAGGTCGAGGCGTTCGACGAAGCGGGCCTTGCTGCGGATGATGTTGCCCCAGTGCCTCAAAGCGAGCAGGATAACGAGTCCGATGACGTCGTTGAACTGATCTCCCCACCGCGGAGACAACCTCGAAGGATCATAGTCGAGGAGGAGATTCCACCCTCTTCCCCTCTACCCAGCCTTCCTCCTTTACCGTCATCGATTGCGCCCTCGGGTTCCATCCGGCCGTTCGATTCCCCGAGCAAGTCGCCTCCAGTCGAACACGACCGAGCTCCTCCTTCGCCTGGCCCTTCTACGCGACGCCAAGATGGAGATTCATCTTCCGACGGTGAGACACTCATTATGATCCCACGCGCACGACCAAGAAAGAAGCGTAAAAAGGCGTCGCCCGCGGTCAAGAAGAAGTTGCCTCGGCCATCCATCGAGCCCGCGCGAGAAGTTAGCGACGAGTCGTCAGCCGATGAATTGGACATGCTCAGGACAGCCAAAGTACGACTTTCTCCAATCATCGGGCGGAAGATCACATTGCAGAGTCGACATTTTACGACGCCGACGACGACAGAGCCATACCCCCCAAAGACGGTCACAAAGACTCGCAACGCCAACCCTAGCTATCACCGATTATCGCTTCCGAGTCGAAGCGTGCCAGCGCTGGATCGATCGAACGCTAAGGGCTACATCATCGCTCCTAGCCGACCACATGCATCGATGGACAATGCACCTTCCTCGAATGGGCGTCCAGCACGTACACGAAAGTCGACGGCGAATTGGTGGGAGCTTAGTAAAGGTCTGCAGCGGAACGAACCTCTGAAGACCAAACGTCAACGCAAGGAGGAGAATGACGACGATTACGAATCGCGCAGACTCGACGAGGGGTTGGAGGACGACGAAGTGGTTCGGTCCTCGGTCACGAAGAGGAAGTCGCCCTCGCTCAGCAAAAGACGCAGGGTATCGAGGGTCGTAGACGACGATGAAGAGGACTGAACCCGCCCCCCCCCCCCCCTCCCGACAAGCTCTAACGCACGCAACAACAACAGATATATTGCGACAACTATTTCCGAAACAGGCTCTTTATGGTTCTTCAATGTACATGTACCTACGTACCTCTATTTGAGTCAGTGCTGATGTTGTAATAACAAGTGCACGCCCCATGTCGTACAATATTATTTCCCTCGTTCAAGCGCGACATCGTGAAGAATCACTCGGCCTTTTCCTCCTTCGAACCGACAAGGCCCATCCCTCGCAAGCCAAAGAGACTGATAGTCAACGCGATCGCGGCGAAAGCGAATGTGAGCCACCCTCCGATACGGTATCCCGCCAACAGGACATCGGGGGACTCGGTCGTGTTGGGGCTGAGATCACCCGCGAATGGGTTTGCGGCGAGATATTTGTCCGATGCAAGTGTCGCGATCGAGGAGATGATGGCGAGACTCATCGAGGTTGCGAGCCTCGTCGTGACTTGGAACAAGGCGCCAGCTGTGGCTTGTTGGGATCGGGTTGCGCTTCGTGAGATAGCGATGGTCGCGACGGTATAGGACAGATCGGTCGCCGGAGCGAGGGCGAGCAAAGGGAAGATGGCGGCCCAGTACCCGTGATCTGGCTTGACGACGGCGAGGAGAATAGGAGCGATGATGCCCAGGGTCATCGAGATGATGATGAGAGTATTGCCATGGATGTAGCTGATCGCGTAGCCAGGAATAATCTGTGGTTGACAGCGAGAGAAGAAAATGCATGAGCGACCAACTTCGATTGTCGAGGAGGTGTGCGCGGCTTACATTGAAAATAATCCCCGAAACGATGAGTGGCAATTGGAACAAGGCTGTCTTGAGCGCTGACTCCTCCATGACAAGCTGCAAGACAAGGTTCACGTAGTACGTGCAGGTGTTGAAAGCTCCCCACTGCAATTTCGTGAAGTTGGACTGGTCAGAGGGCGATCGGGATCTGTGGATGGCGATGTGCTACTCACGGCAAAGAAGACGACGGCCAAGATCGCGGGCAGATGAGGAGTCGTCCAAATACCAGGAGGCAAAATGGGAGGGGGTGGCGGTCGTTTCGGCTTTCCTCCCAATTTGGGCTCTGGCGGCGAGCTGTAGAACGCGATGATCATATGCTGCAGCCGGACTTCCCAGTAGAAGAAGGCGATCAGGAGCAGGACGGAGATCGGGATCAAGGGTGGCAGCCAGGGCGTTTTCCACCCGAGGGGCTCGCTCGAAGCATCGGCCAACGCAAAGGTGAGCAAGACGAACCCTGCAAACGACAGCAAGGTACCGATCCAATCGATTCTTCTGTTTTGAGACAAGTCAGGTGGACTGGGTGCTGCTGACTCAGCAGCGGAGGCAACCGACGCCGCGTCCGAAGTGGCCGCAAGGGTGACATCGGCACTTTGTGCGGTGACGAGAGGGATCGCCCCCGAGTCCATGGCGAAAATTTTGGGGATGACGAAGAAGCCGAGTACACCAAATAAAGCCGCAAGAGCCGCTTGGACGTAGAAGCTCGCTGGTTCATCAACCGCAGCGTCAGCTGGGAGTCGAATGACAAGTTCGAAGTCCCCCAGGAGGCCGAGAAACTGACCTCGCCATCCGAGTTTCGTCTCTGTCAACAGAGCGCCGACGACCAGACCGGAAGCGAAGCCGAGCGGCTGACCGGCACCGAGCAGGGCGAAAGCGATGTTCTTCCTCGGTCCCGGTTCAAAATGGCGCCTATGAATGCGCCGGCGGATTAGAAGAGGAGTTTCAGTATCTTCTGACCGGCGACCGACCGGCCGAGTCCTGGCGAGGGAATGAGGCCTACCCGAGAATACCTATCCCTGAAGGAGTATTCGCTGCGGCACACTATTTCCCGGAAGGGGAACAGGTGTGTTCAGTGGGATGCCGATCTTTGTCAGCGAGTGAGCGTCGATGATGATGCTTGGGCATCAGGGCGACGACTGACGATACCGAGCATGGAGGAAAAAGCCGAAAAGCCGATCATCGTGGGACTCAATGCGACGGCCACGGATACGACAAAGTAAAGTGCAGCTGGTAGACAGAAAAGGTCGCGATGTGGCCCTGGTATCAGTATAGTGGACTGGTGGTTTTTCGCGCCTCCGCTCCCCCCATGGTCGAGCTCGGGCGCGGCTGGGAGGTCGGGGAATGGGGACGGGAGATGACTGACTACCGATCAAGAAGAGCAACCTCGGACCGTAGACGTCGGCCAACCGACCCATGGGAAGCAAAGTCGAACCCAACACGAGCGCATAGAGCGTGAGCGGCCATTGCAATGCCGATGCAGCGATATTGAGGTCCTTTTGCACTTGCGGAAGCGAGACGGTGAGCGCGCCGCTGAAGTAGCTGTTGATGAAGCTGGTGCCGCTGACCGCGGTCATGACGAGGTAGTCGCGCACACCATCCCGTCTTCCCGAGCTTTCGTCGACCGACATGGAACCAGAGACGAGTTACGGGGCTAGGGTGAGCGTGGAAAGGGCGAGGAGAGGAACGACGGAGGCGGCTCGGTGATTGATCGATCGATTGCTTGGACGATTCTAAGTTTCAGAGCTTCAAAGGGTAGATTTACAAACTGTACGGGAGGCTGCTCGGGCGCCAACCGGGCCCACCCCAAGTGAGGCTGTCAAAAAAATATTAAGAGTTCTCAATTGATCCAATAGCATCAACTTACCAAAGAGTGGCTGGTTGACACCCACTGAGACGTCTCCGCTACCGACCCCACCGGGAGAAAAATGAAAACAGGTTTTCGCTCCCCCACACCAAAAAGGTCACGTGACACCACACGACGTAAATGGGGGTTGTTCTCATTACACGGGATATTCACGCTTTATAGTATCTCTAACCTTGGACATGATAATCCGATCCACCCATCCATCCGGATCAAACCCCTTTTCCCACTGGTTATGCAAGTGCACAGCCCACACGTTCCCCACCTTCCTCTCAAGCGATCTGAGTCTCTGAGCGCTCCATTTACTCTCCGCATGAGCCGAAGCGAAGGGATCCGGTAAGCGATTGTCGAGTCGACAAGTAACGCCGTCCGTAAAGCAGAAGGGAAGGATCTTGAATGGCGCGATCCCTTCAGCCATGAGACGCCGGAAAACCTTGTAGTAAAGGCGCGAGCCCCAGTCGGTCGAATCCTTTTGCGGTGGTGGATCGTTCGCCATCGCGTACAGCATCTCACACAGGTAGGGACTGTGTTTGAGAAAGTGCATCATTGCACCGTTGAGCGGTTGGTAGATTTTATCTGCGAGATGGGCGGAGGTGAGGCGCGATCGTGGAGAGTGGCCGAGCGTAAATCCGAAACATGCTTCAGTATGGGTCGCCGGGTCAGGAAGAATATCTCAAGCTTCATAGTCGATACTCACCATAGCAGTCCCATTGGGTCACCCACTCATGCTCCCCTAGCACCCTCATATCCCTCCCCGTCATGATAGTATCGAAATCGACCCAAACCCCACCCTCGGCCCAGAGTACAAGCAACCGCACCAGGTCGCCATCAAGCCATGCCTTCTGGTCGGCCAGATCCAGCAGGTTATGACCTTGCATTGGCGTGCCCTCTGCCAACGCCTTCTTGTCGACGCTTCGCACGACCAGTCGGGTCGGGCCATATCGTTTCAGCAGAACGGAGAGCAAAGGATGGGTTTCGAGTCGCTCCGTCGTCAGCGCGCTTGTCCACAGGATCACAGTCGAAGTCTCTCGGTCCTGCATCGCCAGTATCGAGTCCAGCAAGGCGGTCTGCCGTGCACCGAGCGGCTTCAAATCGTCCCGCCAATAGGTGTGAAAGATCGTTCGCTTGGGCAGATTCATCCCCGGCACCACGGTACGAGGTATGGTCGAGGCAAAGGCGAAGCAGTCATCGCCGACTTGCATCGAGAGTCCGGCATGAAGCTCGACGTATTTGGGGGAGTGGGCTAAGGTGGTGTTGTAGTCCGTCGCAGCGATCGTCGCAGGATTGAAGCAGGTCCCTGAAAGCGGTGGCACGGGGTCGATGTTGCGCCGGATCCAGCCCCGACGATAAGCTTGAATCTCGATGTGTAGTTGATAACGCCTCCACAGAAACCCAAGCTGTATGGTCCAAAAGGCGGGGATGGACAGGGGCGACGAGCCGAGCAGAAAAACAGAGACCCGTCAGCTTAACAATCCCATCGCCGCTTCGGCCTCGTATCTGATGCAGTCCTACATTCTGACGTACCAGCAGCAAAGCAGTTACAAAGACGTAGCTGGCTATCCTTCTCGTGCTCGGAAGAGCTCCGTGCTGCCGCTTGCTAAATAGCTTGTCGCCGTACCGCGAGCTCGACGACGGGTTGCGCAGGTCAATGCCACTGCCGCCCGTTGTACCCAGCAAGCCAGGTCGCATCCGATTCGAATTTGTACCAAACGGCATCCTCATCGACCTTAGATCGACTGACTCGCCGCCCATCTCGGTCAGAGAGCCCAGTTCAATGAGGCCCGTGCTGAGGAGTCGAATTGAAAGTGCCAACGAGCTGCAGCTGGTCACGTGCATCGGCCGCGCGAGTAGGGGAGACGAAGAAAAGAAATGGATAACCTGCTCAGCTGTCCCATACGTGGGCTCATCAACCCACAGATTTCCTCGTAGTATCACATAAGCACGTATCTACATTCGCGACTTGCTGCTCTATACAACCGATAAAAAATCTCCAAGACTGTCTACTATATACGTCGGCTTGGCGACCGCATCCTCGGCCTCTGCTTCGGCCCTCGTGTTGATGCCTGCGAGATGAATGATCATTGGCACCAAACATGGATAGTCAGGAACAGGAATGTTAAGTATATTCTTGAGAAGATCCGTGATGCGCCAACTTACCGGTCAGGACGAGCATCGTGGAAATACCGCCGTTCACGCCAAACAGAATGTCCGTGTTCAGTCGGTCGCCAACCATGAGCATCTTGCTCTTGTCCAGGTCATAACTGAGAGGGGTGATCGAGGAATTAAAGATGTCAGTGAAGGAGTTCACGATGCCTTTGTTACCAGCCTGGTCACTGACGTCTTCAAGATGCTCTCGAGCATCGCCGCTTCAGGTTTCCCAATTACGAGCGGCTGTCGGCCCATCGTCGTTATCAGAGGTGCGATCGTAGCTCCGCCGCCTGTAGATGTATCAAAAGCAACTGTCAGTAAGTATCCAACACAGGGTCTAGCTTGTCGCACTTGCCAGGATACACGCTCCCATGGGTAGGGAAAGTCGAATCCAAGTTGGTGGCGACGAAGTGACACCCCTCATTCTCCCGAAGGTACCGACACCCTTTAGCGATCTTCTTGTAGTTGAGGTGCATGTCGAGACCACACAAGACGGCGCCGACCTCTGGGTCGGGTGTGATGGACGAGAAATCCATGAGGTCGATGAAAACGTTGTCGGCCGGGTCCTGGGACAGAAGTGGCCGTCGAGATATCGGGGCATTGTAACATGCACGATAAGCTTCCACTTGGGACGCCTTTACATGGTCCTTCTTCTCCGAACTCACCGTCCCACCCGAATGCCGAATGCCTACACTGTCCAACTCATCCTCGATGCCCTTCTCGCCAACGACATACACCTTCTTGTCCGCGGGGAAGTTGAGCACGTTCTTGAGGTAGGCCGCGCTGGCGTAGGCCGAGGAGAAGATGTCGTCGACGTGACATTCGATGCCGAGCTTGTCGAACTTGGCTTTGTTTGCTTCACGCGATTTGGTAGCACTGCATATCCAGGAAGAGCGCACGGGGGACAAGGTGGGGGCGGCGGCGGGTGGGGAGGATGGGGGATGGAAGCAAGGACGCAGCATCTGATCAGCTCCGGAGGACTTGGATAAAGTAGTCTCATTTTTTTGGTGATGAACTGACTTGTTGGTGACGAAGAAGAAGCGCTTGCCCATTTTGCGCAGTCCAGCGAGCACCTCCTTGACGTGCGGAATCAGGTGATCACCCTCCCAGATCACTCCATCGCAGCTATGGATAGGCGTGGACCGGCGAATGTTAGTTCGTGCAAGATAGCTTCCATCACTTCATCGCCTCGTCTACCCTTTGGACTTGTCCATGCCGGCCTGACCAAGCGAGACCACGCCATCGAACAAGCTGTCGCGAGCGCAAAAGAGGCAGAGGCCGAGCTTACTCAAACAAGATCGTGTCGTACTTGTCAACGATCTCTTTCAGGTCATTTCGTGTTGTCAGATCGCGCGTCATGTCTCGTGTCGATTGCGTAATGCGAGGGGGCGAAGACAAAGCGAGGTCGTGAGGCGCGAGCGAGTATCGGTGTCGGCCCGACTGCCGTCTCCGAGAGTCCCGAGGACCTTCGAAGTTTGAAAGGGCAGCGTATCAAAAACTTTTTTAAGCATCCAACTTGCGACTACTATTAAGTTATCAAATCATCATCAAGCACCACCAAGACCCATTCCAGGCTAAAATGCCGTCTCTAAGCGACCTGTTTGATCTGACCATCTCCCGCCCTAAGCTGACGCATCGCCTCCTTCTTGTGCCTGCGCATATGTTTGGCCTTTTCGACTCCGAACCCATCGCTAAACACTTCGAGCGTCTCCTCTAAGCTCAAAAGCGCCGTTTCAGGGTAGAGGAAGATGCAGAACAAGGCGCCGAGGAAACAAATGCCCGCGTAAAGACCTGGTCGAGGAAAGACATCTTTCCGGTTAGCACAGTCCGTCAATTTTGAAAATTTGAGAGCACGGAAGACTGACCGAATGCTCCCGAGGGGGTGATGGCGTTGATCAAACTCAAGAACGTCAACGAGATGATCAGGTTGCCCGCCCAGTTGCACGCAGTACTGATCGAGGTCCCAATCCCACGAACGCTCACGTGGAACAACTCTTGTTGTTGCCAAGGGATGTTTCCGATACCCTGGGGGCGTGTGGGAAGCAAAAACCCTGTTAATCGACTGTGACTCACGAGTACACTTGATCGAAACTTACCGTAGCGTAGAAAGCGACGTAGATGATCATCGCGGCCAGGACGACCGGCGACCACTTTTGGTCGAGTAAGGAACCGCTCACTTGTCGACGAGTTGAGGAAAAAGGCGAAGGTGCGAGGATCTGGCGATCCAAGTCGATCTTGGGCTCGGGGATGAAAGCGCAACGTACTGGACGTGCGACTTTTCGCATGAGTATATCTCAATCACTATTGGTGAATGAGGGGTGCCTAGATCGGATCGCCCCAGCCGGAAGCGAGGTCTTGAGTATCGGAGCCTATGCGCTTCCGATTTATAAAACCCAAACCTCTCTCTGACGATGCCATGGATTCTTATTTGGTACAGATTATCGATCTTGATTATGCTACGTAACTCTTCGGAGCAAGCTGAGAATCCGGAGTGTTCTAAAGTGCGAAGTCAGTACGACCGACCCGGGGGTCCCACGCTTACCAATGACGCTAGCCCGCGCCGCCGCCGCGCGCTGCGATGCTCCGAAAAAGGAGACCCCTCGGTCACCCGAGGTCACCAAGTCGACCTGATTTGCAGCAGCAACAATGAGCAAAGCAGTATTCTTGATGGTTGCAAAATGACACTCGTATTTTAACGCATCTGCTCGTACTACTCTGAGTCCGAACGACCCATTACTCGTGGTGCCCTTCCATGGCTCGGAGTCATTTTGAGGGGTCAGAAGATCGAGCTGATGAGCCAGGGGCGCGCTCACGCGCAACCTGTTCACGTCTGACGCCTCGGGTACTACCCTCGCACTCCCTCATCCCTCATCTTTCGATCTCTCACCGACCATGACGATTGCACACGCACACAAACTGCTCGACCAGGAACTCCTCACCGTTCCGGAAGCCCTTTTGGGTCAGCATCAAGATGTGCGACAGGCGTTGGTTTCGCTGGTAGGCGCCGTCGATGGTGAGTCCGAAGCCACCGTCGCTGCTGGTGCAATGCTCCACCCACCGATGAACACCCTCTCTCTCCCCTTCCCCCCTCCCCCCCCCCCCCCCCCCCCACACACACACACATACACCCGGCTGTCTACTAGTCGTGATTCTCGACGGCTCGACGCTGTTCTCCTCCGAGTGGTTCTCGGCCGCTCGGAGCGGCACCTCGGAACGAAAACAAACGCAACGTTTCGTCGGCTCGGTTCGTGCAGAGGCGGATCGCATCGTCGCGGCGACGGCCGGACAAATCCACCTCGTGATCGTCTTCGACCACGCTTCGGCTCGTCCGGCCTTGAAGGCCCGTCGGACCCCCATGTCGAGAGACAACGGGAACGGCGTCCGGTGCTCGCCCCAAGTCTCTCCCGTCAATTTCCAAAGGAGAGGCCCCGACCGGCACACCGACCCCGTGACCGAATGGCTCACCAATTTCGGGGGTCTGGGCGAGCCAACCTTAGCGGGACACGTCTTCGACATGTCCTCGAAGGTCACCATCATCATCTCGGCGCACGAAGCGGACCCCCTGATTGCGGCAAGCACCCGAGTCGGCGTCATCGGCGGCGTACGCCTTCAAGGCGGCCGTACCGCCCTCGCCAGCAAAGATTCCGACTTTTTCATGATGATCGGAAGTGAGCGTGCGAGATACCGATTGATTCCCTCCGTCAAGCATCGGGTGGTTCGAGTCATCGACCTCGAGATCCTCGAACGTCAGGGAAAGTTCCCCGGTGCGGAAGGAAGGTTCGTTGCGGGGTTGATGATGGGATGCGATTATCTTCCAACCGGTATCAAAGGTTACGGTCCGGACAAGCTCGAAAAGTTGGATCGGTCCGTCTTTCAACTCGCGACTTGGACACAAGGGTACGAACACGCCTCGGCGGTCTTGTATCGTACCGGCGCCAAATTTGACGTTCGCGCCGTATGCGATGCAATCACTCCCATCCGCAACCTGTACGACTTCTATCGGTGCGACTTGATCTCGAAGCCACCGAGCGCCCCGCGAGCCATCGAACATTCCCCCCGGGTCCTCTTCCCCGACACTTCGTTCGATGGTGGCTCGGACGAACACCTGTGTCGCCAGTCCGCGCCCGCGCTGCGGCCGTTCCATGCAACCCCGCTCTTGCAAGGGCGCCAAGGCCACGGATCAGAGAAGGGTCCCCTCCAGCCTCTCGCAGTGATTCGCGATCAAAGGACACGACACGAGGCCGCGGCCGTTCGGCGACTCGAGGCCGTGCAGCCCGGGAGATGTGCGTCGACCCGCCAGATTGCGACCAAGGGCGCCGTCAGGGCGGATGGCTTTCACCTTTTGACCCCCGAGCGCCCGATCGTCGAGTCCGTATCGGAAGGCTCCAATAAGGCGAAGAAGAAGATCACGACCCCAGCCCCGCCCAGGGTCAAGGCAATGTCTGCGAAACAGGGGCGGCGGGCACACGCGATCGCCTCGGGCCAATCTACTACTACGTCTACCGGCGACTCGGACAGCTCAAAGGGCGCCGGGGCTCTGGCCCAGGTGTACAGGATGTTCACGATGTCGGATGCACTGGAAGATCTCGTGAGGGAGGTGGACGGTGGAGGCCCTGGCCCTGTGGAAGATTCCAAGAAGCGGCGGCGAAAGGCCAAACAAACGAGGCGCCGGCACAAACAGGGTCGGAAGGCGACAAATCCGTCGACGAGCTCGGGAACGTCGCACTCGCCCGAGACGGCCAGCGACGCCATGTCGATCGGTTGAGCTCGACGACCTGTCTTGCTCGTGGCTTACTCCTGGCGTACTCCCGACTTCCTCCTGGCGCTCATTCTCGCTTGCTTCCTCGTTCCGATCCTCCCCCCCTCATGACACTCTAATCGCACATCGAAGTTCTTTTCTGGTTGATAGCCTCGTCGCCTCATGATTCGATCCCTAGGCACATTTTCTTCGTCTTTTTCACGTACGCTTTGTACGAGTTATAGGGTGCTATTCAGAACACAGATCATCACATCATCATATTGTGTGGCTATTTCCTCGAGACTATAGCGCACCCCTCAGCAGGTGGGAGGAGCGAGTAGGCGAGGAGCGGGGCAAAGAGGAGTGAAAAAAGGGGGGGGGGGGGGGGGGGGCGGAGTCTGTGGCCGAGTCTGTGGCCGGGGAAGAGGGTTAAAGGGGTTTGGATCTGCGATCGCAGGGCACTACTTCTTTCGAGTCAAAGTGAGAACTATCTTACGAGCTTGAGCTCTTAAGACGATGGTTTACACTGCCTCGATACAAGAGCAGGGTGAAGAAGGAGAGAGAGAGAGGGAAAGAGACCAAAACCGGACTGCTAGCCATGAGAACCGTCGCCTTGATGCTTCCCCGTAAGCAAAGAATACGATGAACCCCCGCGAACCATGTACGGTACATATAAACACCCATCAACATACCATCAAACTTCCCCTCAACCGATACATGGCCCCGCAACGCTCACATCCGATCCCAAAACCCGGTCACCTGACCTTTCCAAGCGGCTTTTCCTCGGGGAATGTTCTGCTAGTCGGGTACTGCGGGACTTGTTAGAGATATATGGTTGTATCGTCCTTCATCTGATTATGGTTCCTATTGTGGTGCTTGGGATTGAGCCTAGCGACGCTTCATGAACTCTCTAGTCACTCATTTTCCCTGCTTTACTAGTATATAATCCCTCTTCCCTATTAGCATTACGCTTCACTTTCTAGCCTTCCGCGAGTCTGTCTCTTAGTCTCTGGCCACTCTGTTCTCGTCCCCGTTCATTGGACTGAGTCGTGGTCATCATCAGATTCCACTTGAGAACATTTCTGCGATAGGACTGTTCTGCTAGTTGGGCACTGAATACGATGTTGACGAATCATGTCTCGGTACCTATCGAATTTCTGGCCGTGCGCCATAGCCACAGGAACAGGTAGGTGATACCTGAGGCTCGCGGCCTGGCTACCGCTCCACGCACCCACGGGTCACGGCACCAAGTTTCGTCATCAGTGCCATCGTCTTCCGCATTGAAGTCCCACTCCTTAAGCCTAAATGCACCGTTGTCTGTCGCGTCGATAGAGTGATGACTCAAATTGTCGCTTGAATGATCCCTCATGTCAAAGTCAACTCCTTCGTTCGTGTTGTCGTCAGTCTCATCAAGCGTGTCACCAGGGCCGGCGCTGCCGGCAAACGAAGCCAAATCCCGCAGGTCACCCGCTGTCGTTCGCTGAAAAAGTTTAGCGTCGTCGGTACACCAAAGTCGAAGCTCCACGCACCCCTCCATCTGTTGTTCGCCCGTGTCCCGGGTGCACCGCCACAAGTAATCAAGGCTCGGGATCAATGGCGATGGAGGAGGGTTCGGTCGGCG